GTACATAAGTCCATGTCGAGAATTCCAATGGCAGTAAATAGAATTATGTGAAAATAACTACCACAGACTCAGCAATAGAGGAATCGTGAAGGAAGCTTGAGTGGGTTGGATGATCAAGGATTGTTGGGGAAGGCAATAATAGAAACTACGTACTGTAGTACAAGTTACATACTCACAATAAAGAGGGGCCGTTACGACAAGAGTCGAATTAATTCATCGCGGGGTATTATTCTCCACACCGCCTACGTTATCTCGTTTGATACATCTCTCGTTCGTGATGATCCATACCGTCATCTATGCCTGTGCAACCGTAGAGTAAGATACGTACTAGTCCACAAATAGTTAATAACTCCGAGCGCTCTTTACATATTTAGTAATCACTTAACGCGTCGCGTATTACTTACACATGTACGCGTTTGGAACCTTTCAAGATAACATCCATGGCCTTGATTTTCAGGGAGAATTCAGCCCATTGATTTTGCTGGACATCAAACATAATTAATCAACCCTTCTTGGAGTTTTTACCTTTTTTCCTTTTCTCTCTCAATATCCGGGCAACTGTATACACTGTACCAACGTTGTTATGGCCTCAGAAGCAGCATCTCATATTTCTGCTGGGGCTCTGAGGTATTTATATCTATATTTTGCTGAAATTCAAGACATGAGATCCTAATTTGCAATTTTTAATTTCTAGTGCCATATTTGATGGCACAAAACCCCAGCCCCGCGAGCCTATTGTTCAATGTGTGCAAATTAAGCCTTTGCCACCCCAACAAAACCAGCAAGAGCGCTATAGGGCTGTGTTCAGCGACATCTCCAATTATGTGCAAACAATGCTTGCTACTCGTGAGTTTGAAGATAACCTATAAAATGTTAAATTTTGAAACACCTACCAACAAGGCCAACCCGAGTTCATAGAGAACAATCATCTGGTTACCAACGGTTTACTCCGAAAGGGATGCTTCGTTCGCTTGAAATCTTTCCAAGCGAACTTGGTCAAGGGAAAGAAGTTTGTGACTCGATTCTGCCGTGAAATGCAGAGCTGACCACCACAGAATTCTCATAATCCTAGACCTTGAAGTTTTGCAAGAGCTCGGTGAATTTGAAAAAATCGGAGAACCCAAAGCCTTGGAAAACAGGGCCGAGGAAGATGAGAAGGCCCAACCGACCACTATCTCTGGAAATGGGTTTTATGGCTCCAAGTTACAAGGACAGCAGATGCAAGCGCATAACCAAACACCGCCAACGCGACCAATTGCGCCTGCATCATCCCATGCTACCATATACCCGATTGAAGCTATATCCCCGTACAATCATAAGTGGACAATCAAAGCACGCTGTACAAGCAAGTCGAATATAAAGACCTGGCATAACCGGAATGGAGAAGGCAAGTTGTTCAGTGTCAATTTGCTTGATGACAGTGGTGAAATCCGCGCAACTGGATTCAATCAACAATGTGAGATGCTGTATGATGTTTTCCAAGAAGGAAATGTCTACTACATTTCTAGCCCTTGCCGTGTGCAAATTGCCAAAAAACAATTCACCAACCTGAACAATGATTATGAACTTACATTTGAAAAAGATACGATCGTCGAAAAGGTCAGTAATATGTCGAATTTTTATTCTTAGAAGTATATTCTGTCTGACTTTCTCTTTCAGGCCGAGGATCAAAGCGATGTGCCCCAAATTCGATTCAATTTTACAGCTATAGGCGAACTCCAGTCCGTTGAAAAAGATACCACCATTGACGTTATAGGCGTGCTTAAAGATGCTGGAGATGCGTCTCAGATTGTATCTAAAACCACAAGCAAGCCGTATGACAAGCGTGAATTGACTTTGGTCGACACCACTGGATTCTCTGTGCGCTTGACTGTCTGGGGCTCTACGGCAACGGGTTTCAATGTGATACCTGAATCAGTGGTTGCGTTCAAAGGTGTAAAGGTTTCTGATTTTGGCGGTCGGAGCCTGAGCTTGTTGAGTTCTGGCACCATGACCGTTGACCCTGACATTTCTGAAGCGCATAAACTAAAGGGCTGGTACGATGCGCAAGGCAGAGATGAAGCGTTTGTCTCGCATGCATCTATGTCCAGTGCGACAACTTCAACAAAACCAGATCGATTCAAGACGATTGCGCAAGTTCGTGAGGAGCAATTGGGAATGTCGGAGAATCCCGATTATTTCTCTTTGAAAGCAACTATCATCTATATCAAGAAGGAGAATGTTTCCTACCCCGCTTGCCTCTCAGAGAGATGCAATAAGAAAGTGACAGAACTTGACCCTGGTCAGTGGCGGTGTGAGCATTGTGACAAGACTCACCCACGCCCTGAGTATCGCTATATCATGCTTATTAGCGTTAGCGACCATACTGGCCAACTCTACCTAAGCTGCTTCGATGATGTTGGCAAAGCAATAATGGGGACTTCTGCGGACAATTTGATGGAAATTCGACAGAATGACGACAAGGCGGACGGTGACTTATTCCAGGATGCTAATTGCCGAACTTGGAACTTCAGGTGTCGCGCCAAAATAGATAATTTTGGCGATCAACAACGGTAAGCCCTAGTCCTTGCAGCAAGGAAATACGGACATGCACTAATATCGGATTTCTGTTGAAGTGTTCGTTATCAGGTCTCTTCGGCCCAGCCCATCAATTATTCCGATGAGGCTTCACGTTTGGCAGGATTGATTGATTCATATGGGCTTGATTGATCCTTGTTATGAGCAGAGTAGTAGGGAGTAACTTGGCAATGAAAATACTGCATACCCATTCATCCCCAGAAAAGAAAAGAAAAGAACAGGAATGAAAAGGCAGACGAATGATAAATTATTATATAGGATTAGTACACGGTGCTTATTACCCTAGACTTCTTACTATCATGTACTCTGTGTACTGAGTCTACTCCGTATGTAGACAACGACCAGAAAGGCGTAGTACTCCGTATGCGGGTAACCGCTAACAGACTCACTATTGGTGGAAATAAATGCGGGTGGGCCTTCCTCTCTTTTTTACTTTTATTTTTTTTTTCCTGTTCTTTTCTTCTTTTTCGTTACCTTTTTTTTTTTTTTTTTTTTTTTTTTTTTTTTTTTTTTTTTTTTTTTTTTTTTTTTTTTTTTTTTTTTTTTTTTTTGCCGGCATCTTTCCTATCTCTTCTCTTAGTTCTCCCTCCTTCTCTTGTATACGACAATGGCGAAACGAGATAAGGATGACGAATGCGAGTTCGAGCATCGACCAAAAAAGAAGTCGAAGACAAAGAAACATGCAAAAGACTCAAAATCGGCTGACAACGATATTAACACCAATGCAGAGCTAGGTGCTCACTACGTACAGTCTTCTGAGCTTGATGAAGTCCCTCAAATTGAAATAGATCAGTTTACGGCAGAGCACTCCATTAAGATAACTGATACTTCGTCTGAGAATGCCGCAGTACTTCGCCCGATCATATCATTTACTCATTTACCTCAATGCGACAACAAACTTTACGAACTATTGAGCTCTTTCAAATCACCGACGCCTGTACAGTCAGCGACCTGGCCACTGCTTTTTGCAGGCCGTGATACAATTGGTATTGCCGAAACTGGAAGTGGTAAAACACTTGCTTTTGGTTTGCCATGTCTTAGAAAAATGTTGGAGTCCAAAAAAAGAAAATGGAAGTCTGCCCGGCCTTCAGCAGTGGTCGTTTCTCCCACAAGAGAGCTTGCAATGCAAATCTATGATCAGCTTTCAAAGTTTGCCAATCCTGTAAACATTGGCTTGGCATGTATATATGGAGGTGTGAGAAAAGAGGAACAGCGTGAAGTCTTGAAAACTGCTGCCATCGTCGTTGCGACACCGGGACGATTGAAAGATCTTCAAAATGACGGATCCGTCGACTTAGGGAAGGTCGAATACCTTGTACTCGATGAGGCAGATCGTATGTTGGACAAGGGATTCGAGCAAGACATAAAAGATATCATTGGCTCCATGCAAAAAACTAGTCGGCAGACTGTGATGTTCACTGCAACATGGCCCCCTTCTGTGAGGAACCTTGCAGCAACCTTCATGACCTCACCTGTGACAGTCACAATTGGCGGGGACCCTTCTGCCGATCCTCGTGCCAACTCAAGGATCAAGCAGGTTGTTGAAGTGGTCAACCCACATGACAAAGAATACAGGCTTGTTGAGTTGTTGAACCGTTCGCAGAGAGGTGTTGCTTCTCCGGAGAAGGTGTTAGCTTTCTGTCTATACAAAAAGGAAGCAATGCGCATCGAGAGGCTTCTTCGCACTAAGGGGTTCAAGGTAGCCGGGATACATGGAGACATGAGTCAACAGGAAAGGTTCAAAAGCTTGGAAGCCTTCAAGTCAGGCTCTGCTACGGTTCTTGTTGCTACTGATGTTGCAGCTCGAGGCCTTGATATCCCTTCTGTCAAGTTGGTTCTCAATGTCACATTCCCTCTGACGGTTGAAGACTATGTACATCGGATAGGACGGTAAGCCAACCGTGCTTATATATATATTTTTGGACCCGCTTTCTCTATGATTGTACTAACTTTATTAAAACTTGAAGGACGGGACGAGCTGGAGCCGAGGGTCACGCAATAACATTGTTCACCGAGACTGACAAAGCACAATCTGGCGCGTAAGTGAAATGATCTCTATCGCAGCCCTATGGCTTTATCTCAAAAATTGGATATACTTTACTGACATATGTAGGTTAATTAATGTCCTACGGGCCGCGAAGCAGGATGTTCCAGAAGACCTTCTTAAGTTCGGGACTACTGTCAAGAAGAAGCAGCATGGCGCGTATGGTGCCTTTTTCAAAGACGTTGATAATAACAAATCAGCGACCAAAATTGTGTTTGATGATTAACTCTATGTTTTTATTGTTGTTTCTTCTTTGTTGGAAACTTTGATTTTGCCATGTGGCAAGCTTTTGTACATAGTTGCAAAAAGTATGCTCTCTCCAAATAAAACCTAGCCTCAAATATTAGTACCCGTTGCCTTAAAACTGCATTTATTGTACTCACACAATAATGACATAGGCAGTATTTAACGCAATTGCCCTGATGATATCGTGGAAATTGTCGTTAGGAATCTCTGAGTTAGAAACCATAATAGATGTCGCTAGAATTCCTGCAATTTGGGTGCAAAGGCGCGGGCTAAATTCGGCCAAGGCAAGCCTATTCTGATGCCGACGCAAATATGAATCTATGAAAACATAGCTCCACACCGTGCGGACTGCCATGTTCACGATGTTAGCCCATACCAATCCTTGAGCTCCCATATTGCAGATTTTCAGAAAAATGTAAGCTGCCAATATGAACGATGCTGAAAATGCCCCCATCCAACCTGTTTGCTTCCGCAACTCCAAAGGACTAGCTGTAGATGACACAAATGCTTCTGTGATACCATTAAATGCTAAAAATGGTATATAGTAGCAATACATCATAAGCAAACGATCAACTTGTATCGAGGTCCATCGGTGCCCACCCAACAGGTGGAGAACGCGAGGCACTAAAGACGGGGCCAACGGGAAAACAATGATTGATAGGAGCCCATATGCGCGCAATATGCCTACCAAATGGTTCTTTGCGACATTAAGACCGCTAGGATCAGGTGCACTAACTTCCCCAGGATTGAGAAGCGATGCAAAGAGTGTTCGACTGCTCTCTTCGATTGGTTGAAAGATTATGCGAGCAACAAGGCCGCCATAGTTCGAGGCAAGAGAATATACCCCCTGATCCTCTAAGCTCGACATGGCTGCAAGTATCATCGAGTCACCTTGAGTAAGAATATGCTTGACTGCTGATTGCACAAAGACGTTTGCAGACAGTGAGATCAACCGATAAGAGAATCTGCCAGCCAGATACCTGGACCGCTTACTGGGGACTTGTTAAGGCAGCTCACCAAACATCTGTCTTGATAATTGTTATTACATACCTGGATTTTATACACATGGGAAGGAACGAGAATCCCCCTTTCCTCGCTGTGCTAGGCATGGTGACAGCATAGCCACCAATGAGAACGAGAGAATGGCATAGATGCCCTAATGCAAATGGAAAGATACCAACATTGAAGCTGGTTTTGGAGGCCCATATAAAGGTGCTGCAAACAACCACACTTTTCACAAATGCTGCGGGCATTTCAACAAGAGCACGCTTTTCGTATAACATGTGTTGTTGCACCACAGCAAAGAAAGGTTCAACCCCAAGTTCTAGAAGTGATGCGACACCAGTAATTGCCACGCTGGTGTGATAGTATGGTGTTTCAGAAACCTTTTCTGAGGCAAAATGCACATAGAACATGGCAAGCGCTATTGTCATGGGAATTCCCATGGCGAGGCTCAAGTAAGAAATGTTCACCACCGACTGGGATGCTGTAGAATCCCCAGTCCCTACTTCGCGATTGCCAGAATGCTCTGCTTTGTCGACCACGGTCCCTGAAGGTTGCCTTTGGATTGCTATCCGAGTGCTCTCCCTTGAGAAATACAGTATTGTAGCCAGATAAAGTTCCAGTTGAGCCGCAATTCCGACAATGGCTGGAGATAACTTGCGCAGAATTAGTTGATTCGCAATGAAGGTAACAATCCTCGAGGTTAGCTGGATCATGATTAGGAATGCCGTGCCAGATGCCGACGATCTCAACATCCTGCCAAATCGATTCTTGTCTGGTTGTGCCATGATCACCAATCCAGCATCAATAATAGTGAAAGGGCAGGCTAATGACAGCTGAAAAGCGAAGAGGAGAACTGGTCAAAGCAGGACGGCGAAATAAGTGACGAAGAGGGGGTATGGTATTATTTAATTGGAATGACTTCCGTGCCGAGCTAAATATACGTGACAAGTGGTGGTACTGAGTTTTTATCGGTGGAGGGAAAAAAAAAAGCAATTTGTTGCAGTTAGAGTATGTACACAGCATTGCTATTGTAATGCCATATGGTTACCATGTGCATTGTTTCAACTAGATCTTACAAAGCCAATATGGGATACAGAGTACATTCAGGTGCTTTAGGTGATTGACCTATATATTTTGATTTTCTTCGAAAGCAGATACTACAGAGTGCTCCATACTCTGTTTAATGATATACAATGATATAGATCACTGCTAAGAGGTCCAAGGGAGACCTCATTGCTCATTTGACCAACAAAGATAACGGAGAAGCTTCGATTGATAAGGCGAAATCGACTAGAATGGGGGCAGGAAGAAAGGGTAGCCGGCATTCTTTGCCTTGAAAACACTGAGGAGGAAACTGTACACCCCAAACAAGACAACTCCCCAGATCACTACGGCCACTTGTTGCGCTTTTGCGTCGGCCATACGAGGTACTTTCATGGCAAGTGCAATTGTCGCAAAAGAAAGCGTGGCATCTTGATGAATTGGGTTAGCGTTGCCAAACGATATAAGGTCATCAGAACTCACATATAGCTGCAACGATTTGTGTCTCCATTCCAAATTGGGTTTGGAACCCACCGGCGAAGTAGCTGATGCCCCCTTTGCCATCTCCAACGACATATGGTACTCTCCGGATGTGATTGAACATGTGTCCACTTGTAAAGAGAAGAACAGCAATAAGGCTGATCGCAGCCCAGATGTTTCGATTCCGAACAATTGGCAGAACGTAGGGTGATAATACCGTAAAAAGCGTCACCGCACCCATAGACAGTGTGATTGCAGAGACAAGTCGCACGTAATTGACAGGACGTACAAGAGGAGGCTTCGGTCCCTCGGGCAGGTGACGGTTAATCCATGTGTACAGTTGGTCCGCGGACATGGGACTTTATGTCAAGGAACAAGTTAACATGAATTCGGCAATAGAGACGTTAAAGATTATCTTACCCTGTAAAGTCAAATCTGAAGGGCGTATCATCAACCCTGGCAAATGGGCCAACAGTCGGAGGGAACAGCAGTAAAACAGGTGCGGTTTGAAGCATCAGCTTCACCAGGAATGTTAGCTATTTTACGCCGGCCCGTAGAAATCGGCTCTGCACATACCTTTTGAAATATAGCCTTGCCGTGGACAAAATCAAGGGTACCAAAAAGCAACTTTAGCTCATCAGACTTCGAGCCCTTGTTCCAACTCTGTGCAATGAGCTCCCATTCTGGCTGAAGTTCCCGGCACAGAATACAACCAAAGCGAGCCTCCGTTGCTGTCAGGACGACGGCGGCATAATAATCGCGTGGCTTTGAAGTCAGATCATCATATAACGAGTCGTCCAGGTCAATGGGTGCAAGACGCGAAAGAGTTTGGAATTGCTCGAATTTATCCGTTGACGGACTCGCGAGTGCACTGGACACTATACAGAGAATAGAGAGAAGTATAAAAGAAAGAGGTTTCATTTTGTCATGACAATAGTAGTAACAGTTTTTAGGAGACGTTGAATGTGCTCTGTTGGTTGTTGCACTTAACTATCGCCATGTGTCCACTACAGGGCAGGGTGTCATAGTACAGTCCGTGACGGTAAATTACTAAATTAGGTATGGTGCTATCCACCCCTGCTGTACTCCGTACTCGATTTCCGATAAGCAATAAAGCTGCCCAAGAGCCACAACAATCTTTGTCGTCTCCTTCTCTTCTGCTGCAGATTAGCGTCGCTTATCGCAGCAGCTTACTGTTTAAATATCTCTATTTAATTTCCCACAGCTTGTTCTTGGTTGTCATATTCGCAAGGCCAACTTCTTAAAATACCATGGCGCTTGTGGGCCCAGAGGTCATAGAGGATGTATGTTCTTCACTCTGGCTTTAAGAATTTCACATGAGCTAAAATCACCCAAGTGCCAGCTGGCTATTAGAACGGCGCAGTTTGAGAGCGAATATGCTAAAATCAGTGGACGCACGGCACAGCTGCTGGATGCCGAGAGAGCTCGTGTCAAACGCATGGAACAACTACTGCTCCAGTTTGAAAATGATACTCTACGCTCAGAATTGGAAGAAGTCAAGGGACAACTAGCCGCGGCTATGCAAGCTGAGTCTGATAACCGCCTTCAGCTTCATGATGCTTGGAAAGAAGTTGATCGCTTGCGGAGTGTCATAAAAGCTTCATCTCACGAGATAGAAGGCCTCCATGTAGGTGGTGCATGACGAATAAACCCATGGTATTGATGTTTTTCTAAACTATCCGACAGGGGAAGCTTTCTTCCTTAGGATCCACCACCTCTGAATCCAGAGACCTGCTCGCAGAGAAGATCCGGCTTTCAAAAGATCTATCGAAATTACAATCAGAAATCGAACGACTAAAATCACAAAATGCATCTTCACAGGATCTTCGCACAGAAAAAAGAGATCTGGAGCGACAATTAAGCATGTTGAAGGTACAAATGGAGGATGACAAACATACACACGAGCGTAGCCAAGCTCGAGACATGCATCAAAAGCAAGAAATCGCAGACCTTACATCACAGCTGGAAAAGGCTCGTAAGGAACTGGCAGAGAGTCGGCAGGAGCATGATTCTCAAAGACAAGGTCTGGGATGGACGACACAGCAGAATGCATATGAAAGCAAGATTGAAAACTTGACCAAAAAGCTAAAATCTACAAACGCTCAACTCGAAGAAGCCCAGAAGTCTCAAAAAACCCGCCAGGCCAATATTACAACAGACGATATAAGTCAAACTAACCATCGAGGCCGTGCTATTCCTTCTCAGCGACCGATGTCACAATTTAACCCAGATATTACTATCGCAACCCCAGGGGCCATCCAGAAGCATGAAAAAGTTAAACAGCCATCAGCATTACCTGGCGACAAATCAACTTTTTCGATAACTCCCTATTTGAGTCGTACAAACGCCCCACTAGACACTCCTGTGAGTTCGGAGGTTGATATGAACGAGCTTGGTGCCATTGATTTGAAGGAAACGATTAAATCTCCATCAGATGAGGCTGGATCTGGTGGCAGCAAAGATGTTGAGATTTGGTCTGACGGTCAGCCAATTCCTGGCAAAGGCTTACCTCGCAAGACGGCAAAGCAAAAACCAACCAAGCTACAAGCAAAAGAAAGCTCGACTAAGGGGCCAGGCCGCATAGACAGTGATGACCAACTCGAGGATTTGAGTGGTTTGCACGCCCAAAAAGGTACCGGTCACGGGCCAGCTAAACCAAAAAAGCGAAAACTTGGTGGCCAACGTGATAGAAACTTGTTTGATGAGGAGGAAGACGAGCTTCACGAATACCGAAAACCGGGACGCAAGCTTGCTTTCGGTGCAGGTCGAAATCCAGTCCTAGGTGGTTTTCAGCCTGCCGGCGGTCTACAAACATTTTCACCGTTAAAACGCGATAGGAAAAGATATTAGATTCAAGAGGTGCGGCACACCACAAGCTGTAAAGAGCCTCAAATTTCGTGTCAATGCAACAAGTCTCATAACACCTGATCTACTGTATCGAGAGCGCCCTGTCCCAAAAATAAAATAAAAATCTCACTAGACCCGTCTAATAATTTTGCCGGCAGAATTTCAATTCTACCAGACAATAAATAACAAACGGCCTTCGAATCAAACTTCCAGAGGTAGCCTATTTCTGATTTTTTGGGTGATTGGATAATTCAGCATTATCAGCACTATGCCGTCACTCATATTAACCTTGTCACCATTGGTGCCGGATCTACGTGCGTTTTGCATTACTACATGCCACACCTTTACAGTAAAAAGACATTCTTCATCCAAACGATGGCAGGCGCGTCAACAAAAGGATCGCTATACGCGGGAAGCGACAGTGCAAGGATTGAAGAGTCGGGCAGCTTTTAAATTATTACAAGTAACACCTCAATATCCTTTTCCACCACACGTGTGCCTGTGCTGACACTTTTGTTCGGCTTCAAGATCGATGAGAAATACCGTATCTTTAGAAGCGGCCAGACCGTAGTTGATTTGGTAGGATGTTATTTTAGAGAGTTGCTATTTAATACAATTTCACGCTGATTTTGCCATTCTAGGGTTATGCTCCTGGCTCTTGGTCGCAGGTGTGTTCTAACCCCGTTGCGTATTCCTGGACACAATTATCTAACAAATATTTGTACAAAGGTAGCAGTCGATCGCACCAAACCGAACGGCCGAGTCCTCGGTGTCGACATAATACCAGCACAACCGCCCAGAGGCGTATCTACGATACAAGGCAACTTTCTGTCAGCGGAAGTACAGAAATATGTCCAAGGCTTTTTATGCGATCCAAGGAGAGGCAGACCTTATGAAGACGGGTACATAATGCCTGGTAGAGGCTCCGAAGACTTTTCACAACATGCTTTAGATATCGAAGCAGGGAATCCAGGAGCGAATCGGGAGAGCGATTCAGAGCTCAAGACAGTAGATGTGGTTCTAAGCGATATGTCTGCACCCTGGCCCCAAATAAATGGGTTTTGGAAAAGGAGTCTAAGTGAGCCCTACCACAGGATGATGAATACCAGCGGCGTAAGCTTCAAAGATCATGCTGGAAGCATGGTACGTGTTTTTCGCAAGAATTCTGTGAACCTCTATTCGACACTAACAATAAAACTTGCGGTTAGGATCTATGTCATGCTGCATTACAATTCGGTTACAACGTCCTCAAGACTGGTGGGAATTTTGTCTGCAAATTCTACCAAGGAGCCGAAGATAAGGAACTCGAAAAGCAGCTCAGAGAACTGTTTCGAAGAGTCCATAGACTAAAGCCAGAATCGTCGCGTAACGTATGCGCCGCACATGAGAGTATCATCGGCGTCCGCTGATAATATCTGTAGGAATCGAAGGAAGCATACTTCATCGGTCTCGAACGGAGAAGCTAAATATTTGGGAAATCGATGTGCATGCATTGGGCAGAAGACCATAATGACCGTGCAATTCCTTCACTAGCTGCTTGCGTCTGCAGAGTATAATTCAATCCTATAGTATCTCTGTTTCTTCATTCTCAGAACCTTCATCCCATTCGACATCGTCTACAGCCGCTTCTGCTGTCATTTGAACCTTTTACAGCGAGTCAGTGTCTGATTGTACGCGCATATTATAACAGACTCACCTCTTTCAGGCCGCTCAGTGTTTCCACATACCCAGTCTCATTCAGAGCTTTTTGGACAAACTCCCACCCCTCTTCCTTATAGGCATTGACTATATTACCAGAGCAGGCACTGCAGCATTTATAGCTCCTGCCTACGATTGAAATGTTCTCAAAAGTTGAAAGGAATCCCCTGATCTGGTGTGGCACAAGCCCAAGCGGGTGGTCTCCTCGATCTTCTTTGCTAGATGTTGAAGCTGGTGCCGTAGAACCCTGCGGGTGTTGGAGGAGTGACACAAGCAATTCAACCAACAATGCTGATGCTATCGCGGCCACGCCAGGACGTGTGACAGTGCATTGCTGATCGAGCGTCTGATCCTTGACGGACTGCGAGATAGTTAGTACTTGTTAGAATACATTGATTCTGAATATCTAACTCACGTTCATTGGCGCAACAACGTCATTGCAAAAATAGCAGCCAAGTTCTGATGTTGGGTCAAGATAATTGGCTGTTCCGTGACGCATGACCACGAATGAATCGAAGCCAAGTGCTGCATTCATCACAATTTTGCCCGCAGCTTTCCCCATCACAGTTGGTAACCAGCGTGACTCTCGTGTGTCCATGAGCAGGAATATGGCATCATGCTCATCTATCAAGCTTTTCAAAGCTTCAAATTCTGCCCGAGCCCTTTCGTTATCCATGATTGGATGACCTACCATCGGAACGGCTAGAACATGTCCAGTAGAGTCAACTCCAGGGTAGATTTCCGACAGAGCCTGCGAGGCACGATATGCCTTTTTCGCGCCACCCTCCAAACAGTCTCTAAAATTAAAGAGTGGCTGTCTCACAGGATTGGAGAAGGATACAGATCCACTATCCACAAAAGTGATTTTAGTGACACCCCAGCCCTGTAATCCATGCTTAGTTTGCATTTCCACTTTTGGATTTCATTCGTCCTCATTCAAGGCCTTACCATTAAATTCCGGGCAACATAACTTCCAAGAGTACCTGCACCAAGCAGAAGGCATTTGGTGCGTTTTATCTTCTCGAGGTTCAAGTTAGGGCTGATCCGCCATTTCATAAGTTTGAGGTTCAGGTCAACAGATTGATCCGCCAATCTGATAGTAAAAAATAAGTAACTTGAATGATCTCGTCAACATTATACCAGAGTAATTTACCTCTTTGGATCCAAATATTCTGTCAGGTCAACTACCTTCCCTGTCAACTTGCCAATAGCATTGCGTTCCCAGCCAGTGACTTTTGGCATGGAAGGAAGTGGGCGCTGTGATTCAATGTCTTTGGTTGACGTCGAATGTTTCGACCTCAAGACTAATATAGTGCTGCGGCCTTGGTTGGGATTTAGATGTGAATCGCGATATCTAAGAATCTGGACCTTATCAAGACCCCAGCGTTGTTTCACGAGTACCAGAAGGTTCCTCAACATCCACCCAGGTGCACTGTCATAGTTGGAAGGGTCCGCAAAGCAGATGTAGGAGTCTTCGAATCTTACTTCGCTGAAGAAACCGTTCTCATACCTCGAAAGAGGCCCTATTTCCCAATAAAACTCGAGGGCGTCCACTGATTTAGCAGGCAGATCTGCTTTGCTAGCAGTCTTCCGAATCTTTCGGGCCAGAAAGAAGCCTCTTTGGCGAGCATCTACATCACGGCTCCAGGATTGGACTGCATCCACAAGTGCCGAACTCTCAATGGAAGAGAGGCTCCTTGTATTTGATGGCTTGGTATGGCCCTCATTCTGATTTAAGCCGACAGAATCATTGGACGTGTCAGAAGGTACCCAAGCAGGCTCCGAATGTATTGCTGGAAACGCAAACCAGTAGTGAAACTTGTACTTCTTGAGATCCGCAAAAGAAAGAACCATGAACGAGGACAGCAGTGACGGGCAGGAATAGATGGAACCGTCATTGATAGCATCCCATATCTGTCGATATACAGAATTGTCATTAGCTACTTGTCAATGGTATTGCTTGTTTGGTTAGCTCACAGTCTTCCCAGCTTGTTGGAGTATATGCGTTTTGTCTATATTTCGGTATTGCTCGATGGTGTTGACGTTCTTGATTAACCCTTCAGCCCTATAGTAACCTGTTGGAACCCTACTACCATTTTTTATGAGCCAAAGTCGCCCCGTAAATATTATTATCTGCAAACGGTTAAAACAAACTCACTCGTCACTTGAGAGCGCATTCCCATGGATCTGCATACGGGAAGAGACATTAGGGAGATCTGAAGGGCGAATTTCGTAAAGACCCTGGATCTTCCGAGCTGAATCATCGAGGCGGTCATTGTTAATCTTTGAAGATGCCAGAGCGGTATAGAAAGGCAATTCTATATCCGAAGCGAACGGAGTGTACTGCATATTGCCCTGTATTTCTTCCTTTGCCGATGGTTTTGGTCTTAGCTGTGATATGGCAAGAGGGGACAGCGCCGCTGTTGGCGTTCAACAAGAATGCCAGGCTTCCTTGTAGATCGCTAAATCACTCCTCTCGATCAGAGGGTTTAAAAACGATGAAGTGCCTTTGCTTCCCAAGCAAGAAGAAAGAAGCAGACTTCAAAATCACACTTTGGACTGAGATACAGTTACAAGTGTATGGCTTCTATGGCGGGGCGCGATAAGACATTAGTTATCACCTGGCCAATGATGTAATCACTAGTGGTGCTTGTCGGGGGAGATTCAACAATGCACCATCAATAATAGTTCTCAGAATGATAAAAAAAAGCTGAAGAACAAGGAATATGACCCTGGTAAGTTAGGAATAGTGCTGCTTTTGGGGTTGACCTGGAGTTCAAGCCACTACTGGAGTGCAGTAGGTAGTCTGTGACCTCTCGGCAGTCTGTTTATTGTACTTCGTACATGGATAATGATATCTTATCTCCCACACTTTTTTTTTTTTTTTTTTTCGGCGCTTCCCTCTTCACATGCTCAATTTCGCATCCATTTTCTCTACACGTGGACATAACCTCAATTATCACGGTCATTTCATCAAATTCCTGAAAATGCTCATTGGCTTATGTGGAGGTTAGCAGTATCTGGCAGCAGTAATCTCTCTTAACAGAACAGTACATGGACTGATAAAGTATTGAAGGCATATGCTCTGGCAAGCATGCCATTGCAGAATACTTGACTCAACACCAAGGTTTTCATTTGCTTGGACTGAAATATAGAAATTATCCCCAGATGAGTGATGAGCCAGGAAATCGTGTCCAGTTACAATCTTCTGGGGCTAGCGGACAGGGTAGTGCACCGTCAGCGGAGGTAGTATTTGAGAATGTCGATTTGCTTCTAGAATTCGTAACCAAGAGATGGCGGGAATGCTGGGTCACAACCGACATCTGGGATGGCGCCACGTTGGATCGCCTCATTCAACGACCCTTCTTTCTCCTCGTGAGTGTTGATGCACCGGTTAGTCTCCGATGGAAGCGGTTCACGGACAGGTCAGCCACCAGAAACAGTCTCGTGTTGTGGTTAGCCATGTGACTAACGATTTACTTCAGATGCCGGGAAAGACAAATCGAGCCTCCAGCTCTTGAGGAATTCGTTATCTGGAATGACAGGCACTTGTATGACAGGGATATCGGACGTGCCTATTTGACTGATCGAGCACAAGCTCGATTGTTTAACTCATCATCATCCCTTGACGAATTGCACGCTGCTCTGAAGGCACTTGACCTAGCTGACGAGCAACGTTTACGACCAAATTGGGACCAGTATTTTATGCAGCTTGCATCTCTTGCTGCGCAGAGGAGCAATTGCATGAAGAGGAGAGTGGGATGCGTCCTTGTTCGAGAACGTCGCGTCATCAGTACGGGGTATAATGGGACCCCTCGGCATCTGAAGAATTGCAATGAAGGTGGATGTACGAATCCTTACTATCTTCCCAAAAATCGAAGACAATGGAATATTTTACTTACATTTCGGTAGGTCCGAGATGTAACTGTGGTGCAGGGGGAGGCGTTGGCCTTTCGACCTGTCTTTGTATTCATGCGGAGGAAAATGCGTTGCTGGAGGCTGGGAAAGAGCGTATACGAGAGGGGGCAATCCTTTACTGTGATACGTGAGGTCTCCTGATGGTTTTTGCTTGCTTGCCATAGGCTGACCTTCCATACTGAATACAGTTGCCCTTGCCTGACCTGCACTGTCAAGATTGCCCAGGTTGGGATCTTTGAAGTTGTATATTCACAGGGCTACAATATGGATCAAGAGGTGGGTTTCTGGCACCTTGCCTATCGGGTTGAGCTAATACGGCTGACAGAGTGCTGCAATTCTTGAATCTGCTGGTGTGCGACTTAGGCAGTTCTCTCCAGTAAGACCTCTGACCTCTTATTTATGCTCTGAGGCTGACCCGACCCCCGTAGCCTCGGAATGGACTTATCTATCTTCAAACCCTAGAGAACACCAGGCCCGAATAAGTTACGCCATAATCCTAAGGAAAACCTCGAAGGTATGTATAAATCGGTTATTGTACCGAAAACGAAACTTTATTGTTGAGATTTGATGTACGCCTTGGAAGATATAAATACATGATTGCCAATACTCATTACAGTCAGACAGTCAAAATTCATTCAAGGAAGCTATTGTTTTTTAGTAGTCTTGATTCTACAAAGTTCGTACCGGGAACGAAAAAAAAAAAAAAGAGTAGTATGACTCAGCTCCTATGCCATGGTCACGGTGGGGTACAACACCCCTCATGGGGACATATTTTTCCCCCTGTCTACCATCATCTTGTAATTGCACCTCTCCTTGCTCTTCCCTTATTCTATCCTAGGGTGATAGGGCTCAGTGTCCAAATTTCATTGCCATGCCCACTGTTCACCTTCTTGACTATGTCGCTGGGAACGTCCGCTCCCTAGTCAATGCGATTAACAAGGTTGGATATGAAGTCGAATGGGTCAGATCGCCGAGTGATTTGAAAAATGCTGAGGTGAGTGTCTAATTCTCCTACTTATGCACGAGTATCGGCACTGACCTTTGGTGTAATAGAAACTCATCTTGCCTGGCGTTGGCCATTTCGGTCACTGTCTTTCGCAGTTAGCGGAGGGGGGTTACTTGGAGCATATCAGGCAGCATATAGAGTCAGGGAAGCCTTTTATGGGCATCTGTGTGGGATTACAGGCCCTCTTTAACGGATCTGAAGAGGACCCCAATGTTCCTGGAATGGGCTTGATCCCAATGCGAATGAAAAGGTTCGACGCTACCACGAAAAGTGTGCCACATATCGGGTGGAACTCTGCCGTCAACACCAGTAGCGGCGATTCAGACAATCAAACGTTCTACGGACTGAACCCAGAGAGCAAGTATTACTACGTGCATTCGTACGCGGCGCTATATGAAGCTGGAATTCTTGAGAAGGATGGCTGGTCGGTTGCTACGGCCACGTACAAGGACGAGGAATTTATTGGAGCGGTAGCAAGAGGGAATATATTTGCGACTCAATTTCACCCTGAAAAGAGCGGACAGGCTGGGCTACGTACACTCCGTGCGTTCTTGAACGGGGACCAAGTCCAATCGCTTAAACAAACTTCGACAACTGGGAGAAAAGAGGATGGTTTGACACGCAGAATTATCGCATGTCTTGACGTTCGTACGAATGATGCTGGAGATCTTGTCGTCACGAAAGGTGACCAATACGATGTCCGAGAGAAAAGTGGCGTTGACGCTGGAGGTCAAGTAAGGAATTTGGGGAAGCCTGTTGATATGGCCAAGAAATATTACGAGCAAGGGGCTGACGAAGTCACTTTCCTGAACATCACGTCTTTCAGGAACTGCCCGCTCGTGGACACCCCGATGTTGGAGATCCTGCGAAGAGCATCGGAGACTGTGTTTGTGCCATTGACAATTGGAGGTGGGATCAAGGATACTGTTGACACAGATGGTACCCGTTTTTCAGCTCTTCATGTCGCGACCATGTATTTCAAATCCGGCGCTGACAAAGTCAGCATTGGCTCTGATGCAGTCACTGCAGCAGAGGAATTCTATGAGGCTGGTGAACGGTTGTCTGGTCAGACAGCCATAGAAACAATATCAAAGGCCTATGGAAACCAAGCAGTGGTTGTGAGCGTTGACCCGAAACGTGTATACGTTAGCAGACCAGAAGACACGAGCCACCACACTATAAAAACGAAGTACCCGAATGCTGCTGGACAGGATTATTGTTGGTATCAATGTACCATCAAAGGTGGAAGGGAGAGCCGCGATCTTGATGTCCGGCAATTAGTGAAAGCTGTGGAAGCAATGGGTGCTGGGGAAATCCTTCTCAACTGCATCGATAAAGACGGAAGCAACAGTGGATTCGACCTAGAGCTAATTAATGATGTGAAGGCTGCAATTAAGATACCTGTCATCGCATCAAGTGGTGCTGGTGTTCCTGATCATTTTGAAGAGGTTTTTAAGCACACAACAACTGATGCAGCCCTGGGCGCAGGAATGGTAAGCCCCACAATCTTCCTACGTGCTTTCTCACCAAGACTAACATCATTCAGTTTCACCGTGAAGAATATACAGTCAGCGCCGTCAAGGATCATTTGATGAGCAGAGGACTTCTCATTCGAGACTTTGAAACCGATTCCTGACTTTCTAGTCATGAGTTGTATAGTAGTATTTCAGTGGATAGAGACACTTAGAGTTTATGATAAATTATCACGAAATTATGAAAGCATTCCTTTAGCACATTCGAAAGGCGGTCGAACAAGCGGTGACTACACAGATAAGCGCTGGTCATGTGACTTGAACTGACTTGCCACGAACAGAGTTTATCAAATCCGCGTCTATTCTGCAGTTCAGTTCTATCTTACATTGGGGGCACCACGACGACGTTAACCGACAGACATAAGTGCCTCGATTTCTCTCGGTCTTATTCTGTTTGAGAGCGATATTTTCGCTGAGTATCTGTCCCTTCAGCCTGCTTATCCAGATCTATTACTCCTACCGACTTTACGACACTCGATTTTACTGGAAAAAGACGCGCTTCACATATAATCATCACTGGAGTGCCTTCCTTTTCTACACCTAGGCTCCTGCTTGACCAATCGCATATTGCTTATCAAATCGGATATTGTACAAAGTCTAACATCTCTTGGAACTCCTTTGAGAGCCGAGAGTAACAGGTTGCCAGCTTTGGTTGCGAGTGAAGAGGCTAGAGCTTCTTTTGTCTCATCTTGTTCTTTGAATTTCTATTGCCACTCTCTCCCCCCCACACTCTTCATTTTCTTCAAACCGATATCCATATCCATTTGCATTCTTGTATCCATCAAACTCCATCTTGTTTTGTATACAGTGATTTGAACACTTACCATCCACCAAGAGATTTTCTTCTCTTACTCACTTTTTTCTTCTTAAAATTGTCAGTTCGTGAAGTCTCGTCGATACCTAGGTCATCGGACTTCCGGCCTGTTGAGCTGTTGAGGGTTTGATAAGGGAACTGCTGTACAAGGCTGCGTCGGCTTGGTCATATTTTTCCCAGGTCATAGTCTATTATCGGCGATTTGCCAGCCCTTCCCGCTGCTTTCTGTGTTCTTCATGGTCGTTTGTATCCTGCTTTCAAAGTGGTGTTTTTTTCTCTCTCCTTTTTTCTTTCTTTCCTGATCTAATTACACTCGCAAACGGTTTCATTGGACGTGCAATTGAATACAATGTCATCCTCTGTTCACTTCAAGTTCAAATCTCAAAAAGAGCCCTCGCGGGTAACATTTGATGGCACCGGTATCTCTGTCTTCGAATTGAAACGAGAAATTATCAATCAGAGTAGGCTGGGCGATGGGTCTGACTTCGAATTGTCAATTTATAACGAAGATACTGGAGAGGGTAAGTTCTGTTATATGACAGACTGATGATCTTTGCTTTTTGTGTATTGATTCGTCCCCTGGATCTTTTCTTTCCATCACCCGTTCCCTCTTTTTAGGCCCTAACTAATAATGAAATGCAGAGTACGATGATGACACAACAATAATTCCTCGTTCGACTTCCGTGACAGCTCGAAGGCTCCCTGCCGCGCGACCCGGAAAGGGTGGAGCTGCTCGCTATGTATCTGGAAAGATGCCTGTTAATGCACGCAGTGCGCCGCGGAATGATCAGTCTGTGTCGAGCCGAGCAACCCCAGGTGCTAGCCACACAGTCAATACCAGTGTCTTGGAGCTCAATAATGCACAGACGGAAGACGAGAAGATCAATGCGCTTTTCAATTTGCAAGCGAACCAATGGAAGGAACAGCAGCAGGAGATGGCCAAGTGAGCGCATACCCTGCCACATGCATGCTTACATACTAAGAAAGTAATGGCCAGTGCTACGCCTGTCCCTTTCGGTCGTGGAAGAGGAAAACCCGTGAATGTCCCTGATCACCCTCCGCCTCCAGGGTACCTCTGCTACCGTTGCCGTGAGAAAGGTTTGTTTGAGAATGTTCAACAATGGCTATAGCAATATATTGACCGGTGATTTTAGGTCATTGGATACAAGCATGTCCCACGAATAATGACCCGAAGTTTGATGGCAAGTATAGAGTAAAGCGTTCCACCGGAATACCCCGTTCTCTTCAGACTAAAGTTGAGAAACCGGAATCTCTCACGGTGGACGGCTCGAATGAAGATCTGAAGAATACAGGCGTTATGGTCAATGCCGATGGCGATTTTGTCATTGCAAAGCCTGACAAAGCAGCTTGGGAATTGTATCAAGAGAAAGCGAAAGCGTCAGCAGCGGCAGCAGCCGAAGCAGCAGCAGCAGAATACAGTAAAGAATTACAAGCTCGTGGTCTGGAGTGCCCGATCGATAAACGTATGTTTCTGGAACCAACGAAGACACCATGCTGCCAGAAAACATACTGCAATGATTGCATCACCAATGCTCTGATTGAAAGCGACTTTGTCTGCCCCAGTTGTGCAACAGAAGGTGTTCTGCTCGATAACCTTTCTTTGGATCATGAAGCTGTTTTCAAGATCAAAGCATATGAGGCCGAACGCGCGGATTCGAAAAAAGAAAAAGAAAAGCAGCAAACAGCCCAGGATGGGAAACCTGTCAATAAGGAGCCCTCGGACCAAGGCAAAGACTCGATTGCAGGGTCATCGTCTCCTGTTCCCACCGGTGAAATCACGCAAGGGCAGTCCAAGAAAAGACCAGCGGAAGACCAGGCTAGCCGAGCGGAATCTGGAGATTCTACTCAAAATTCGTCGATGAAGAAACAAAAACCCAATGATAACAGAAGTTCCGCAGAGCCGCAAAACGTACAAAAAAGCGAGTCTCAAGCTAGCTTTCCTTCGTTCCCTTTCAATCAACAGATGCCTTTCGGCAATTTCGGGTTCGTGCAAGGTACAGCCATGCCAGCAATGTCCTTTCAAGATTCAGGATTTTCCAATGATGGAATGGCGTTCATGAACCCTATGAGCGGTTTCTCTAACAACATGGATATGGCCTGGAACCCCATGAATGCCATGAACTTTAATTCACTTCAGAGTGGAATGTATGGTGACCAGGTAAACAATGGTTTCGGGGCACCCAATATGTACAATGGTACTGGAGAGCCGACTATGCCTATGTTTCCTATGAATCAAATGGCAGGTCCAATGCAACAAAATCGAGGATTTCAGCAGGGACCAGGAATGGGCCACTTTTTTAACCAACAACAAACAAGCTTCAGTACGCCTTATGCCAGGGAAGAAGATACGGCATATTTCCGTCAACCAGTCAATCCACAACGACATCAAGCAAGACATCGGAGAATCAGGCCAAGTGATTACCGGGAACTCTGAGACCATTAAGTTGAGGGTTTCATTACTTTTCTGTCAATTCCTAAAGTTTACGCTACAGCCTAGGAGTTTGGAGGTGTTTTATCGAATTTGCATATGTTCCCTTTCCGTTTTCTTTTCCTCTTCTCTTCCTTTCCCCGTCATTCCGTTTTCTGTATACTCTTTGCATGAAAGGGCATAGGGAATGGACGATGCATTTTGATTAGTACTGTATATACTGCAATCGCATGATTTTGTTTCTCTCTTTTTTTTTTTTTTTTTTTCAAACCACTACCTATAACCCAAATATCGCTCACTAGGCTTTCAAGCATCGAAAGCGGAAAAAGTAGAGCTTCCCTGGCTTATTAAGTGCATGGATGCCCACAGTTGTCTATCCAGAAATTCTTAAACTGCAAGATAACATCAGTAGGTGCTTGGAAAAAGTGCAGTACAAGATTCACAAACCTAAATGGCTAGGTAGAAGAAAGTTTGCAATTCCCTCTTTAATCATGTACTCATGGCCACAATCCCCACATATTAATTTCCCTTCCATGATCTGAACCTCTAAGAGTAGTTTGTGCAGGTCTCTCAGAATCTGCTCATTGTTTAAAGCATCATCATTAGGTTTGGTGTCTGAGATATTAGAGAAACCAAGCTATGCAAACATTGTCAGTACAGTATGAGAATTTAAGACAAGGTGTATTATCTTACTTCATTAGCAGTTATCTGCAGCTTGTCCCAATCAAGCCGAGGAATGATATTCTGTATGAATTCAGCCTGAAAATCCAGCTCCTGAAGTTCAAGTTTGGCATCACGAAAATGAAGTGGAAAGGATTTGCAGTCTTTGACAGCACATGTTATAAAATTGGAAGTTACTACTTTCATTTTGCCCAGATAATCACTGGGAAAAAGACAATCAAAGAAGAGGAAAAAATAAAGATATTACTGTATTCCGTAGAGAGAAGAAAATATTGGGACGGAGATGCTATCAATTCCGAGCCATTTAATGCCTGAGGCATAAATCTCAGGTGACAGTCAGGCTCCTTTTCCGTACCACGACCTAACGTAACCTCCAAGAAATCACCACCCAACCCAGACGCAGTTTATAATCTCGCCATTCCAATTACAGCCTCTCTGTTCCCCGTTGCTCACTTCGAGACCTGTCGATTATCATCAAATCTCAAATCAAAATTGTTCTTAAACTAATCCATCATCTCCCTGGAAAAGAAACCTCCATCATGGCGAAATATCTCAAAAATAACAGTAGTAATCGCAACCAATTCCAGCAGTTCATCAACAAGGCCTCCCAGACTAGTGTCCTTGCAAGCTGTTACAGTGTGACTGAGTCGACCTCAGCTGTCAAGGGCTTCCATTACTGCACTACGACGGGCACCGGTATGGCTTCCTTCTTCTCCCTCTCCCTATCTCTTTCTCTCTTCGCTATTGCTACCTCATCTAAATTTCAACTGCATGCTGACATCTACCTTAATTTTGCCGGTAGGGTCACAGTGGTATCCCTGAGGTCCCTTCAGGATCGAAGCCCCCTTTAATAAGTCCTCCTTTCGATACCTCCATCCGCTCGGGGATGGAGAGCACATGGCCAGGAATTAGTCTGCCAGAATACAGAAGGGAGGCAGCGCATACCATCTCGGGAGAGTGTGAGAGGCTCTTCTGCGACGCACTGTCTGCGATGCTCCATGGTGAGAGGAGACTCGCGCGACGGGAGTTGCTTGAGGTGGATGCGTGTCAAGCTAACCAGCAGGGCCATACTGGACAAGAACATGAGCGTGTCCAATCGTGGGTGGAGATGTGGGATTATACAAGCGATGCTATTTATCGAGGCTTTGTGACAGAGACGAGCGGCGAGCGAACATTGTTCGTCTTCTTCGAAGATAATGCATTGGGGCATGGTCTCAAAAGCGGGTAAGTGATCATTTATTCGGTTGGCTCATTGCTCTGAAGGCCGCTTCGGCACTGAGCCTTGGCGTGACGCATTGTGGCATTTGCTAACTCATAGACTGGCAGACTAATCGCACTTTTCGAGCTTGCTGGCATGTCTGCTTTTTGCTGTTCTCAGATCGTTGCTTGCATCCAGCGTTCGCAAGATACAGCTGAGCTTGAAGTCGTGAGGAATCTGGGGTGGTGTGGATTCAACTTGACGACATTGGGACCTTGGCTTTCTGAACACTCTTGCGCGTCTACGATTAGTTCTAAGTGGATCTTTTTGTGCGCTGAAGTCTAGTCATATATTTCTTTTATCTCCTTGTTCTGTGGTTATTTTTTATTATTATTATCTTGTGGGAGGAAATATTTTCTAGGAAATACAGTACGTTGGTATTCCTATCTACATTAATAACTTGTTTGTTTCTATCATGTAGTAATAGTAGATACATGGATATGTACAAGTACAAATTAGTAATACATAATACGGAGTACAGCGGGGGGCAACCGAGCAACAGATTACCTTACCTAGTTAGCGTGGCTCCATTGCGGCGGCCCGGTAGATCCACCTTTCGTACCTGTCGTGGTATGATCTCAGCATGATACATGTCCTGTAAACCCAGACACTACTCTGTACATTCAACTTCGCCTTATTCATACAGAGGGGCTTCACCAGGGCAGACCACCCAACCAGCAAATATGCCAAACGCACATCATTTCAATCTTCCCCTGATTCCGAAATTCCTGCTTCCGCCCACAGTGTTCCGCTCACGACAGAGTGCGGGGTGTGATCCTTCTCAGCCTAACGATCATGGCATTTCGAAAAGTGAAAAGTATCTAGGCGGTCATGTATCATATCTTCATTGCTCCCGCTGTGCAGCAGACATTTGCTTGGCTTCTCAGGTCGTCAGCAAAGGTTTCAATGGTCAGCATGGCCGTGCCTACCTTGTCTCCCCGGAGCCCGTTGCCAGTGCAGTTTCCATGAGCGCATCATCCTCACCAACCATCTCGCTACCGAATACCATCCTCCAAAAGCCTGTGTGGCGCCAGCTTGTTACAGGAGGACATACTGTCAGCGATATGAGCTGTGCTTCCTGCGGAAGTGTGCTTGGTTGGAAGTATGTTGCTGCCGATGAGGAATCGCAGCGATACAAAGTCGGCAAATTCATTTTGGAAACCAAAAAGGTCACGGCATCATCTTGCTGGGAATCCCCCCCAAGAAACATCGGTTCTGCCGCACCATTTGGCACTGTTAATTCCCGGAATTCAGGTACCAAACTTGATGAAGATATAAGTTTTGACAGTCAAGATGAGGATGAGTGCGAGGACTTATTTGCCGGAATCTGGAATCCTGATCTGGCTATGCGTCGAAGGGGTCGTAAGCCTAACCATCGTTCCACAGTGTTCGGTCTTAGTTGACTACGACCTGGCGACATTGTTCTGCATCATGTCTCTGAACTTCGGAGACTTTTAGTTCTACCTGGAACATAATGACGTCGGGTCTTCGTCTGATACTAACGGCCATAATCATATTTGTCCTGCCTGAATTATGTATGATTGAGGCGATAAACGTTAATGTATAATAACAAAGGTATGGACATGAGACTATCCTTTCGTTCCACGATATTTGAACCCAGGCCGCAAGAAAATGAACAACATAAAAAATTAAACGAATGCTGCAAGCCTTGCTAAAGCCTTTTTATGGGTATCATTCTGACCATCCCGGTAAATTCTCTTAAAAAACAATTCCTTTACCATCCTCTCGGCCCGCCTAAGATTTATCAACGCTGCCATCGCTCACTCGCGCCCGTTTCACGTCATTACCCTGGGAAGACTGCTCAGCAGGTCGCTTATTGCTAGAATCCGGTTTCTGAGAAGACTGGCCATTAGTAGGCTTTCGTTTAACAAACGCGGACAAGTCCGTTGCACTCTTCGTCGCCGCATCCAACCGCGCTGTCTGTTCAGTACTAGATTGGCCAACAATTTGACCGAGGATGCCTTTGAGGATAGCCTCGTCGCTCCGTTCTTGCTCTTCAATTAATACCGGTGGACGCCGGAGATCAATAAGCTATAAGCAAGAAGACACGTATAAGCTATTGATCAGTCATTAGATAGAGCATGTTGAACTCACCCTTTGCTCCATGTCTGCGACTATCTCCCTCACATTATCAATTTTCCTCTTCAGCGCTGTTGCTTTGTCCTCGTCTGGGGCGTCATCACCATCCAATCTCTTTTGTTCTTGAACCATCCGAGCTTGACAGCTTTCAATAGCCTTCTCCATTTGGACCGCCGCCTCCTTCCTCATCTCTTCATCCACTTTGCTTTGACCATGGCTATCTTGTTCACCAGATTCTTCCGTCTTACTGACGGCGCCGAATTCCAAAGCGAGAGAAAGTTTGTAATGGCATTCGGCGACGACGGGATCCTCCATCGGGAATAAGGCCAGTCTCAAATCAAGCGCCGTTCTGAGATCCGTGACAGCATCCAGAAATCTTTCCCCTTCAAGCGAGATTTCAGCCTGTAAGTCGTACGTATCCGCAAGGCGTTCTTTGAGTTGTTTATTTTCGAAAGGCACTTCCGTTGATTTTCCTTTCTCATCACTTTCTTCAGCCGCACTCAATTTCTTCTGGTAAAGTACACGGGCGAGATCGAGCACCTCAAAAGCGTTGGCAAAATCATCCTCGTCCTCATCGCCAGCATCGGCCTGTGCGCCTTCATCCTCCTCTTCCTCTTCCGACTCGTCAAAGTTCTCGTCGCCAGTAAACTGGAAGAATGGCGTATTTTGTTTCTCAGATTGCCCTTTTTCATTAGCACCGGCCTCCTTTTTAGCCGCGCCATTCGCCACGGCACTTTGAATAAGGTTGTCGCTTGCAGACGTCGATCCAACAGACGTGGAGCTTTCGGTAGTTACAACATTTGACTGCGCATGTGGCTCACCCGCCACTTTAGCTCCGAGTACATCGCTTTTGCTGACAGCAACATTATATAGCGCTTTGCCGTAAGCGAACAGTAAGTCTGCATTATCAAGCGACATTTCCCCATTCAAATCTGCTTGAAGTTCCGTGGCCTCGGAGTAAAGCTCAGCAGCTGCATTGTGGTCTTTGATGGCATCTTTCGCAGCAGCTCGAGTAATCAATTCCCCCAACTGCGTTCGTCGTTTTTCGGCGTTGTTCGTCATAGGAGCCGTATTAGACCCCGGCCGTCCAATATCAGTCATGGTGGGTGTTTTCTCCCTTTCCTGGTTGTAGCGCTTCGTCTCGGCTATGCGACAAACCAATATCTTTAAGAAAGGCAGGAGTGTATGGAAATTGCGCGAGTCTTGGTGAAGAGCCTAGTCGACGGTTGTAGTATTAATTACCCGCTCCGTCGCGGGTCGCGTGCCCGCACGTGGTGTCGCGTCTTGACTCTCGTCACATGTTTTACTTTACTCTGTAGTTTACATGAATATGAAGTTGCGAATGACCCCAACTACAAAATTATTTTCAATATCACTCCCTTAAAATTCGTCTGCCTCAATTGGTGCCAAGGCAATATTCTGCTGGGCTATTCTCCCCCAGCGTCTTTCCCGAACGATTGCTGGAATACAGGCGGGCAAGCCAAGATGGACAGGACACCGCGCATAAGTTCTCGTATCCCGAGAGAATCGGATCCTGTGCCATCATCATCGCCCGGATTTGGCACACCGGTACACCCCTTTCGAATAACAAAACCTACAAATGGTCCCACGAAGGCGCCTATCCTGCCTATCCTGCTCCCTCCCTCCACCCTTCGGCCTGTGGCTTTTCGCACTTTTACTCGGAAGCATAACTTGACTATATCATCATCTGCACTTCAAACGCTAGCAAGCTTCGTTGGGAAAAACTGCGGTTCAGGATGGCGCGAAGAAGGACTCGCAGAGCGAGTTTTGGACGAGGTAGCCAAGGGCTGGAAGAAGGTTGGAGGCGGCGTTATCGTTGAAGAAGGCAAGGGGGCCTCGCTGAAGGCCATATTGCAGACATTGGAGGGTAGTATGAGCGGTGGGAGAGTTATTACCGGGAAGACCGCCGACGAAAGAACTATACCTATTTTCAACAGGAATGGAGACTCCGAATTGGGCCGTGATGGTTTACAGCCATCTTTAGTCTCAAAGAAGGCTATTGAGGACCAAGAGGACGATGAAATTGAAGTTTCGCTTCACCCAAGAAGTTGGATCAAAGTTGTTGGAGCCTTTGACCTTCCGCGTCTGACTTACAATGTCGACAAGAAGTATTTCGAAGCCATGAGGGCTAAACCAACTTTGTTCCCATCACCTGCCCACAAAACCACTCTTTTTCGGGACCGTTATAATGTTATATATCAGCGCCTACTCCGCAACGAGTCATTCCAGACTTCCTTGGGCTCTTCTGGTCCCTCTCTGCAAAGATCATCATCAACGTTTGCCCCCCAGCAGTGCTACAAACTGACCCAGATTGCGAACTTGCTGGGCAGGAGTGGCACATCACACTTGCTTCTGGGGATGCTTTCTGTCTCCCCTGCTGGGGATCTCTCCCTCACCGATTTGACAGGAAGTATCGCGTTGGACTTGGGCCATGCACGTATGATCCCTGACGATGGTGCTTGGTTTGCTCCTGGGATGATTGTACTAGTTGACGGCATTTACGAAGAGGAAGAGAATATTCGGGGCTCGATTCTTGGGGTGAATAGTGGAATTGGAGGTGCCATAGGAGGGAAATTTGTTGGTGCTTCTATTTGCGGCCCTCCTTGCGAACGGAGGGAGATCTCCCTAGGGACAAATACTCAGCAAAGCAGCGGAGAGGTTAGCTCCAGCGGTGGTTTTGGGTGGATCGACTTTCTGGGCGTTGGGAGTGAACGTGCACGAGGTTCGCGTATGCGGAAAATCCAAGCTAGATGCATACATGATGAACAAGAGGGTCCTGAAGCCCCCACTCGGCCTAAGATGGCAATTCTGGGCGAGGTAAATCTGGACGACGTTAAGACTTTGGATGCGTTAAGGAGGGTTTTAAACCTGTACAATGATCTCCCTCTAACGGAACGCCCGCTCGTCTTTGTTCTCATTGGAAACTTCGTTCAAAGGGCCATAATTAATGGGGGAGGTCAAGCGGGCAGCATTGAGTACAAAGAATATTTCGACTCGCTTGCCCTAGTCCTGTCCGAGTTTCCGACGTTGCTACAACATTCTACGTTCATATTTGTGCCAGGCGATAATGACCCGTGGGCGTCTGCTTTTTCGGCCGGTGCAGCATCTACAGTTCCCCGGCAAGCAATTCCGGAATTATTCACCTCGAGAGTAAGACGTGCATTCGCCATGGCCAATGCCGAAGCAGAGCGTTCTGACTCGGCTGAGCCACCTGGCGAGGCTATCTGGACTTCCAACCCATGTCGATTTACCTTGTTTGGGCCGGTGCATGACATTGCCATCTTTCGGGATGATATCTCAGGAAGGCTGCGACGCGGTGCAGTGAGTACTAAGCCGGATACTGACGAGCCTGATATCGCGATGAGCGAGGACCCAGCAATCAATTCCGACCCTCTGACATCAGAAGAGGGGCCTGAATCTGCACAACAAGCAGGTAGGAATTCAGGTTCGCCATCACCTGCTGTGCTTATGGCTCGGAAACTGGTCAAGACTATACTAGATCAAGGAACATTGTCACCATTCCCGCTTTCGTTGCGACCTGTTTTATGGGATTATGCATATTCTTTGCAATTGTACCCATTGCCAACTGCAGCTATATTGGCAGATGCGGAGGCTGCACCATTCTCTATAACCTATGAAGGTTGCCATGTTATGAATCCCGGAAGATTGGTCCCTGAAGGCGAGCTGTCTTCGATAGTTAGATGGGTTGAATACGACATCCTGAAGAACCGAGGGAGGGTGAAACAAGATCGCTTTTAGGCAATAGATGACGACTTATCATTCTCACGATAGAACCTCTACCTGAAACAATAATTATCTATGAAAATAAAGATACCTTGAAGGGACTCGGACTCATCAGTAATATTATGAGATAGAAGTAAGAATTCCATTGTACATGTAGAAAAGAAAAAAGAAAAAGAAAAGGAAAAAAGAAAGAAAAGAAAATGCATAACATGCCGCCTACGGCAACATAGAACGCCGCCGGAAATGATATCTTCATATGCATAAAAAAAGAAAAAGAAAAAGAGAAAAAGGGAAAGGGAAACATATTTCTCCCCTGCCAGACAAATAGCAAAAAATTCTTTTAAAATCGCTAGTCAATCATGATAATATCTTCCGAAGCCTTCTGTTCGGGTTTCATGCCAGGAGCCCCAACAGCAGACACAACTCCACTAGGGCGCACTCCTGCATTTATAATTTGTCTAGGATCGCCTTGTCCGACTGCCTGCTTTTGGCCGACATTCCTGGTACCGTGTCCTACCGCGCTATGGCCCGGCGTAGCTATAGTGCTTCGAGAATCGCTAAAACAGCCGTCAAGTTCCAGGACGAGATTCGAAACTTTGTCAACATCTGCAACTATCCCGGTTCCGAGCCCTCTCCAACCATCACCATTTGCATTGTACAGCTTTTCTCGTAGTCTGCCTGTGATTTGACTCTGGTGTGATCTGTCTTGTGTGCCACTCACATCTTTCAATATCCAAGTCATCCGGTTCAAATGCTGACCAGCAACTAGCTGAAAGCGAAACTTTGCGATAGGATAGTGAATTTGATATGTTTTCGCATTGCGCACTGTTACTTGCGCCTTCAATGGCTCGTTGTGGGATGGATTGACGGTTATCTGGTCGAGAGCCCGCAACAATGGAAGAGTGAGAGTGAGAAGTTCAAAGAAGGAGTCTAGGCCGGCTTCACTAGATGCATTGTTTAAACTAGTTGTCAAGGATCCTTGAATGCGCCGGTGAGGGTTTGGATGATCAAAGACAATTCCCAGTCGCTGGAGGAAAACTGAATCGGCCTTCGAAGGGATCCCGGAAAGGTCAGTATGTGCAGAGGACGAGGGTCCAGACGTGCTGACATTGATGTTGGCACGCAGAACCTTGCCAGGACCATAAGAGAAAGCAATGCGAGATAGTGACAGTGACAAAACGTCCATTTTCTTCCGTTGAAGAGACTCAATGATGGACAGTATCTGTTCGAGCCGTTGTAATTTCTCAATGAGATCTACGATGACAATCTGGCCTGCCGGTGCAAGAAGACGAATCGCAAAACCGCCGCCTTTCTGCCGAAAAACGATAGAAGGATCCCATTTCGAGACCAGCGTGCTCAGAGCCTTGACAGGCATTGATAGGCTCCCGTACGCCACGAGAATGGCGAGATTCTTGTGGGGATCGATGCCGTGGAAGGCAACGCGAATGGTGTTTTTTATGTAAGATTTCTTCAATCCAGCAGGTTGTGCTATCCGCAAAGCCGGGGGCAGATTCGAGGCTTCGTAGCGAATGAAGATATCTGGTGTTCTAAGACCCGTTTCGATCTGTAATTTATGCAGCGGAGGGTGGAAATGAATGCACTGTAATTCCACCAGAAAGCGAGCATTGGCGTGGATCGCCAGTATTCCGGTAAGACAATGCCCAAGATCCGCACACGCCGCATAACTTGTGTGTTGCTGCGCAGTAAGGAACCTACTGCTGATAACTTGAGCTGATCGGAGCATAGATGCATCTCGAGCACCAAGATTTGGGTGTTTATTTGCTGATAACGTCGGTCGAAGCTGTATGACCCACCAGTTATCGCTGTCCATGCTGCTCGTCGCGGCTATAAGCCAATTATGTTCCCACAGATGATGCCGGAAGAACGTAAACCGTATAATGTTAGACGGGAAGATTCTCCGGATGTCAACTTTAAGAGACCTAGGGTTAACGGTTTCAAAGCCAAGAATCTTCAGATTTGACTCAATCTCTTCTATCGCGGAAGAACAACGAATCCGTGCCACACGAGACGCAATTTCATCAGTGAGCGACTTATCGGATCCGCGGTCACTATCGAAACGATCCAATATGCTAGGCGTCGCCGAAAGAACACTGGCACCTGACATTGGTTCAACTGTGACACGAAGGTGTCTAGACGAGGTAAGCTGGATGTCGAGCTGGCAGTCTCCAGGCTCCATCCGAGATAATTGAGCACACAAAGATAGTGAACCCGTGGAGAACAATGAATTCTCGCATATATTGGTATATACCGACGAGAGAATGTGAGAGACATGTAGTGCTATAACACTCCGCAGGACATATTCCATCGATAAAATTTGCGTGTCAAATTCGATGTTTGCGTTGTCGACCTCTTGACCATCTCGCATCCAGCGAAGACCCAAACATGGCACTCCAGGATCCCCATGGCTCCCTCGTAGACGACCACTTTTGATGCCAACTTCAAGCCAGCTCTTAGCTCCAGGTTTTAACGCCCAATACTGCACAATGAGTGTTCGATGCAAGAGCTCAACCCGCAAAACATCGGACCAAAGACCTCTTGCTAAGTCGATAGCTTGCTTGAAAAGCACATTGACTTTAAATGTAAGAACCAAACCGTGCAACAGGTCGAAGCACCCGGTGAGGCCGCTGTCACGGAGTACATCATTGATTCTGATGTCAAGCTCATTCAGAACCCGACCTTTGGGAATGGCAGACGAAGGAGAAAAAAGAAAGCGGATATCAACAAAGAAAAACTGAGAAGACTTATTTTCTTCTCCCACAGAAAGATCAAGTTCGAACTCCCCAGGGACGGAAAAAGTTACTCTGCCATCATGAACATGATATGTCTGAAAAGCTCTGGGCACTTGGTCATGCAATGTTAATCGTATACTGATTATCTTATTCAGTTTCTGCAGCTTCTTGAGAGTGCGCTTTGCTGTCAACGGCTTTGGCGGTTTATACCCGAGCTAAGGCACAATTGTTAGATAGGAGAGATCATATCATTCGATACCAAGGACTTACATCTGACATGGCCATTACCCTACCCTTAGATATGACTTCTAGTGCAGTTTTCAAGTCGGGGTTGGCTACTTGAGCCATGACCAGGTCTCTCTTCATGTCACCAACCCATTGAAGAGCTGCCGCATAGGCTTGGTGACGAGTACGAATGAAACCCTGCAGGTCGATGAGTTGGCTAACATCGGCGGCTTGTCGACTCCATTGTGAGAGAACGAGAAGTTTGATGAATTCTGCTCGTTTCGCATGGGCAAAATCAAGTAACCGGAGCTTTTTCTGTACATTCGCAGAAGTCTGGTTCCCTGAGGACTTCCCATGGGGGGTGAAAGACAATGATGACTGATCTTGGTAAGGAACCTGCATTTCTGCTAGCTCTGCGACCAATTCCGACAGGTCGTTCCAGCATTGCTGAACCGATCTATTAACCAACATCGAGAATGGGAAAAACCCTTGAGTGATATGCACAAGCGCGGGTGGCTCTCCCGATGCTACTGACGCCTCTGTTTTCCATAGCTGGCCACTGGCGGTCCCTGATACCCCATTCACATGAGTCGTGCCATTTCGTAATTCAGTAGAGTTCCCTGGCCCGCCGGGATTCGACAAGCCATTCTTAGTCTCGTGAATGCCTGGCTCTTGTCCGGCCCCGCCAACATTAACATTGCCCATAACGACGCCCGGCATATCTGGACGTTATTAAGCGGGTTTATCCGTTCAAGCCCTCCCCTCCTTCACCCTCTGCACGGCCGAAGTCTGGTGGTATCTTGCACACAAATAAGCCGGTGCCGGGGTAGGAAGGGAAGCTGATCGTCACAATTTGAATTTTTACCGGAAGCTTCAGCGCGATTCCATATGTAGGATTGAATATCGTATAATAGAGTGCTCCAGTTGATGTAGCCGCAGTAATAGAATAAGAAATCGGATGATAGGACCGGCCCGGCCGGCCAAAGCGATAGTGACTAGGATCGTAGATGAAGGAACAAGAGCGCAAGACCCGACTGATAAAGCCGGGTTAGGGAAAAGGAAAAGAGTCACGTATAGTTCCAAAGGAAAAATCGAAGTCGCAAAAAGGAAAACGGACGTGCGGTCGGAGTTTGAAGGGGACAAGGTGGAAAATGTCTGATATTCTAGAGGATCTTGTCGATGAATGCTGTCAATAGAAGAGCGGGCTCGATACAAAGGGCTAGGCGTATAGAGTTCGGGAGGAAGCAGACTGCGATGGAGCTGCTTAATTCTTTTTTGGCTGGGATGGATGCGATGCGATGCGAAGTTGCTGTGATGTACGAGTACGAAACCAGCCTCAAGTGGCTGGTGAATAGTGGCTGACGGTTGTTTAATACAAATACCGCGATGATACTAGTTGTATTGTAAATGCTACTACTATGCATCTAGATCACCATGTGATGGTAATTTTACATGTACACCCTGGATATGCCAACAAATTGTTTGTTGTCTTTGGCAACTTGCAGAATAGTTATTCTCATAAAGTCGAATAAATTCGGTTTTAATTGAGGTTCAACCCTTGGATATCCAAGGGTTGATTTTCCTCGTGTTCCTCGCTCCGGTTTCCCCTCTTGAAATTCATTGATTGTTGACCGCATCGACATCATCTAAACAGCAGCCAGCAGCAGTAATAGGATTGCCTAGAGAGATCCTTATCCTGCCACTAATTTTACTGTGTACTCTACAACAATTCCAAGGTATACTCCCTTCCAGTATTTCCCGTACATATAAGCTGACTCTTGCTTGGTGACCTCCCAGGACCTGTTGTCGTCATAGCAGTCGTTCTACGCACCTAGAGTACTCTTGCATCAACCTATATGCGGCTTTTTTTGTCGTGTTCCAGACATGCGAATCGTCCTATGAGAAGGGTACCTGAACCAATATGCAAGAAGACGAGGTAGTCGAGGCCAGTCCACTGCGCCCAGAGTTTCCAGGCGATGATACTCGACCAACAAGTCGGAAGGAGCTTGCTGGTTGGTACAGCTATGGCTGGGCAGCAGAAGTCTTCACTGTGTGTGCAATGGGTATGCATATTTTGTCAAAAGTTGATGACTCGGCGTATTATCTTTATTTGTCTAATAAGTGCAGGTTCTTTCCTCCCGATCACATTAGAGCAGATGGCCCGAGATCGCGGCGTACTGCTATCGGACAAATCAACACCCTGTAGCGCGACTTGGAAAGCTTCCCAGCAAGCCATGGGATTTGGAAGCTCAGGATATAATGAACAAGCTGCATCTAGTGCTGGCCAGTGCATTATATACATTCTTGGTGCCGAAATCAACACGGCTAGCTACGCCATGTATACGTTCTCGGTGAGTGTCTTCATTCAAGCCATTCTAATTATCTCGATGTCAGGGGCAGCGGACCATGGCAATTATCGAAAGATGCTTTTGGTGATATTTGCCTTCATTGGGGCCATATCTACGATGCTCTTCATTGCCGTATCTGCAAAGGTCTTCTTTCTCGGTGGTATTCTTGCTATAATAGCAAATACCTGCTTCGGTGCATCTTTCGTACTGCTGAATTCATTCTTGCCGCTATTGGTTCGGCATCATCCTTCCTTACTTGAAGGAAGCGGCGACGAAGGTATCACGTCCATCAATAACCATACGTCCCAGGACCAAACATATGATGACGCTACCTCACCTTTATTGAGGCCCGGCCCTGCGGAGAATGGTGTGTCTGTGACGCAGTCGGCACATGTTGCTTCCATGCCTACTTCCCAAGAGCTGCATCTTTCTACCAAGATATCCTCTTATGGCATTGGAATAGGCTATATTGGCGCAGTGATATTGCAGATTTTTTGCATTCTTGTGGTTGCTAGTACTCATCAAACCACATTTTCCTTACGAATTGCCCTTTTTCTAATTGGGCTATGGTGGTTTACTTTTACGATACCGGCAGCTCTTTGGTTGCGTGCTCGTCCGGGACCGCCTTTGCCTTCAGCTCACAATGGGAAGCAGTATCGGTCATGGATTGGCTACATGGGCTTCGCATGGAAATCCCTTGGCCAAACTGTCGTACGGGCGCGACATCTCAAAGACATTACGCTGTTCCTGGCTGCTTGGTTCTTACTTAGCGATGGGATCGCCACTGTTAGTGGGACAGCCGTGCTTTTCGCGAAAACTCAGCTCGATATGGAACCAGCTGCGCTGGGATTGATTAATGTGATCGCAATGGCCGGAGGTGTGGTTGGTGCGTTCTCTTGGAGCTATGTGTCTCGACTATTCAACCTTCGAGCATCTCAAACTATTATTGCGTGCATAATCCTATTCGAGCTTGTACCACTATACGGCCTGTTGGGATTCATCCCAGCCGTGAAGACGCTGGGTTTTCTGGGTCTTCAGCAACCGTGGGAAATGTTTCCGCTCAGCGCTGTATACGGGCTTGTAATGGGTGGGCTGTCTTCCTATTGTCGCAGTTTCTTCGGGGAGTTAATTCCTCCGGGCCATGAAGCAGCCTTTTATGCACTGTACGCCATTACCGACAAAGGCTCCAGCATCTTCGGACCTGCCATTGTAGGCGCGGTCACCGATCGCTATGGGGAGATCCGTCCTGCTTTCCTGTTTTTAGCGATCCTCATATTCCTTCCACTACCACTCATGTTACTTGTGGATGTGGAACGGGGTAAGCGGGATGCGCTTAAATTAGCGGCGGACTTGACGGGCAAGTATGAATCTCCTACACTCGGATATGGGACAATTCCCAGTTTACAGTACGCCGACGAGAGCGAGGCGACAATGAATGAATAAGATATGAACAGCGGAAGGAAGAGGCAGAATGATATATCACTGTTTAACAGTTTTTTTTTAAAAAAAGAAAATGACATCATCAGAGTTTGTTGCTTTGTTCTTTCTTTTACTCTGCGGAATTTCCTCTCTGTACTGTTGTCACAAGAGAATATGGTTTAAAGGACTGTGTAGTGATTGGCGTTGACTGAGATGTAGATTTTTTTTTTTTGCAGATGGTGACTGGCTGACCTTATGAAGAATATGATAAATAATGTCAATGCTGCGTGTACACAGGTCGCATGAGCCAAGCGGTGAGCTCATGCGGCCTAGACCCCCCGCACGTAAGCGCCAAGGCTCTTATTAAGTTGATTTATCCCGCACGAGATAATTAAATACTGAACTTTACATGAAATTCAATTTCCGTTCTTAATTCTAAGTATTCGAAGAATATCCACGCAATTGAGGATCAGTTACCAAGCAGTTGCAATAATGGACTCTCTCAACCCTCAGGACTCCCAGGGGCCTTCATTTGATATCAATAATAATTTTGTTGAGCCAAGTGCTGATATCTCCCTTGAAATCAAGGTAAAATTATTTGATTGCCTGTGAATCAGCTGTCAACTGCTTGCTAACCAGTTAAATAAAGGAACCAGATATGCTTATTCCACTTACAAGAGCTAAAGGCTCTGGTCTTACAACATTGAATCTTGAGTATATTGATGACCTTCCAGAGTATCCCACAACTCATATATATGGTTATACATATGTTATTGCTTCCAAAGGACGAACACAGGTTGAAATGGATCATCTTCCTGATACTGTAAGTACTTGACAAGTACTTGATAGCTAGATACTAAGTACTTCTAGATTCAATATGCAAAACGACAGCCTTTCGGACGAAAACGACCTGTTTACTGCCCATTTCTTGGATGTCAAGTTAAGAAATGGACATGGAAATGCTCTGGGATTTATGCATGTGAATTCCTGAGCCCATTTCTCCGGTCCTATCATCATTCATCTGTTGATGAAGGTACTTGGCAAGAAATTCAAAAGTCTCAGAAAGATGTCCAGATCTTAGAGTCTGATATCAGAAAGCGCAATGCATATAGGTACTCTAACTACTTGTTAACTAGTTATCAAGTACTTATCCAGCCTTAGTTATTATCGGTCAAAGGCTTCTTTCTTTAGGAAAGGCCTTGCGTGTGTTGATCAACTTCCAACCTGCAAAGCAGTTTTTAAAAGATATAATCAGATGGTATGTGATAAATGATAATTGCTTCTCAGGCAGTTAGTGAGTGATTGTTAACTACTTTAGGATGTTCATGGAGAATACGCGCCATTCATTGGCTGTATAAATGGATCATATGGAGGTTTAACTAAACATCATATGGGGCAAATTCAAGGACATACAGCCATAGACTTGCAGTTTCTTGAGGATCTTTTTAATAAAGAGATCTTGCCAGCTACTGAAGAATGTGGTGTTTTTGAACCTCTATCAAGCCGCCGAAAGTACTGTGGTAAATACTTCTTAACCACTCTATATCCAGTTACTAAGAAATTATTAGATCGAGATCATCCTCAGGGGTCTGGTCAGTTGAAGCATACTCCTTGTGATATTATCTTCAATGCTCTAGTACCTACAGATATAGAGCAATGCCCATATATAATATTTACATCACATGGGGTTCATAAACATCCACCACCACCACCAAGCAAGGCACCTGAAAGGATTCTAGAGGGTGTGAAAAGAATTATTGAACAAATTCAGGACCCTAATTTAACAACAGGTAAGTACTATTCAACCACTTGTGGAGTAGTTGATAACCAGTTACATAGCTCAATTTCTTCGAAATCCACAACTTGAAGAATTCTGTCGGCAGTATAATGCATCTACATTAGCAGAGATTCACTCTAGCTTTTGTAATAAGGATCGAATTGCAGCAATAATTCAAAAGCAGCGTCTTATTTCTTATCCTAATGGACAGGATATCAATGGCCTGATTTTCCTTCAAAATACTGACCAGCATTTGAAGGTAAGCACTTCAGAAGCACTTGCAAAGCAGCTGACAAGTACTAAACAAGCTCTTAGGATTATATCCAAGAATATTATCATGATTCCCAGGGTATCATGGTTCTATGTGCTTTTAAAGAGCAAATCCAACTTCTTTCACTTCTCTCATCTTTTGAGGTTGATATGTCTTATAAACGAATACGGTCAAAAGATATTAATGAGGTGCTTTTTGCTACATTCCTGCCAGACCAATGCAAAAGTATTAATCCCTAACTACTAAGTGAGCAGTTACTAACCACCCAGTCACTAGTTATTACTTTACTGCGAGTCTTTACCAGTACTGATTCTACTGAGGGGTATTATTTACTTTTCAAGCGAGTTTTTGACCTAGTCCAGAGGGTCTCTTCCCGACCAGTTCTTTTTGATTCCATCCATGGGTCCGGAATCCATGGTATTATTGTTGATATGGATTCAAAACAATATACTGGTAAGTACTTATTAACTACTTGGAAAACATATACTAACTACTTAGGACTTGGTCAATATCTCTCTGAGATTGATCCTCAACACCAAGACATAACATGGCATTTACAGCATATTATTGTCTTCTGCAGGGTTCATTTCCAACGGTCAATCTTGAAAGCTATTGGAACTAATAACCAAGGCTCTCCCCTTTGGAGCCGCATGATGAGTCTTTTAGACTGCAGATCAGAGGATGATTATGATAAATTATTAGATCTTCTGATAAGTATATAACCACCTGTTGACCGCTTGACAATTAGTTACTGACTGCTTCAGTGTATGAGAGTGCTAATGTCCAGAATTGGGCAGTTCAAAAGAAAGGCAAAGTAATCAAAGCCGGGTTAAATAAAGCATGCTCTAAAATTCAACCTCATTACTTTGATATACTGCGAAATCATACAAATGCTGTTGAGCAGTCCCATCAGAAATCATATGCATCTGGAAAGTATTTAACTTTGGTACAGGCAGTTAAGAAGTAAGTTCTTTAAGCACCTACCAACCGCTTGTCAACTGTTTAAGAAAAGTACTAATATACCCTAGTTCTGCGAAGCTAGATAGGGATGATATTGTGCAGTACAATAACTTTCAGGACTTCAATATTCACCATTCATACCGAACTTCTAATATGGAAGCTAACTACCTTCGGCATATGAGTCGGGAAAGTATGTATTAGAGAACTACTTCACCAGCACTTGTTAACTGCTTGTTAACTACCTTGACTTTTAGGGAGCCGAAAGCGCCGAAGGTCTGCCTTATCTACTTCATCTGAAATTGAATCAGCTTCACCCTTACCGCAAGGAAATACAAGGTCAAGGTCACAAAACTCCTCAAAAAATGGTGATAATGAGTAAGTCCCGACAAGTGCTTCACAAGTAGCTATAAAGTAGTTCACAATTACTTACCAAATGAATTAGGTCAATAAGATCGAGTAATCTTCGACGTGCCATTTCAACAAATGTCTTAAATCTTGAACAGAGACGTCAAGTGATTGAGCTAGAGAATCTTGAAATAGAACTTCAACAAAAGAAAGCTAATCTCAAAAAGCAAGAGGAGGATATTCGCCTGCAACAGCTTCAAAATGAGAAGTTGGAACTTGATCTTATGGAGAGAAGAATGCGGATACAGGAACATGAGTTAACTGGTTTATAAGCAGTTTACAAGTACTTGGTAAATACTTTAATAGAAAAGTTGCGTAACTCTCTATAGTTAATGTATCATGCAGAAATATATTTTGGACCAAAGGTAACTTACAAATGTTACAGAGGCACTAACTTATACTATTTCTGAACTAATAAATTGGATCTTGATAAACCTATAGCTTATTAATTGCTTAAAAAGTAATAACTTTTTCTTTTTGAATAGAGCAGCGACAGAGCAGCTATGTAGAGTGGTGTGGTGGTGGTATGGTAGTTACTTTACAAGTAGTTGGTAATCTGTCTGACACAGATGATGCGGGAGGAAAGTTTGTAAAGCTCTTTTGTTGATCACATGATTGCCAAGACTGTTATATAAGCAAGTTTGTCCCGCACGAGGGAAAAGTTGACCTCAGGTCACCTGCAACCACCAATGGTGCTTTATGATTGCCCTGGTGGATCTTTGGTCTGGGGGCGATCCGGCACTAGTCCAGATACGTAGTCTTATGCACATCCATAATATCGTGCTCTTGTTAGCTTCCCATGAGACTCCGTTCAAGGAAACTCCGTAGCAGGATCAAATAGATCATCATAGCTAAGAAATAACGAGATTTTTTAAGCCTCACTGTTTAGTAACAGTATAAATTCCTGGATAGGTGGTAACCTTGCTTGAGCGTTCGCTGTACCTGAAAGTGGATCAGCTGAAGCTATGGATTACGAGCGAGTATTGTAATTACAGTATTTTACTTTACAGGGCCATTCAATATCTTCGACTGAGTCATGATTTAATCACAAACAACAAGTTTTTATAATGCTACATAGGGAGTACTCTATGAAATTGAAAAGAATGGCAGGTTTTAGTGCCCTATGTGCAGAATTACGATACATACATGCTCCGTACACCATGTACCTTGTTATGCGGTCCCTTGCGGTGCTTGATACAGGTGGGCTTGGCATGGCCAGTCAGCTCGTTCCATGACTGCAGAAAGAACAAACTGTCCTTATCGCCTGCCCGGGCCTTTCTTACTTAATAGCGCCAGGCGCGTCGTCGTTCTTTTCCCATGTATTGAATTCTCTTTCAAATCCCCATCCTCCCAGGTGTTTGTTGTCCCAACCTTTTTTTTTCTTGTGTCTTCATTTAACTGCCGTGGAAATTCGGCATATCGGGATCACTCTTTTTCAACAAATTGAACCATGCGGTCTTTCGCACCCTGGGTTTTGAGCCTTGTCGGGGCTGCTGCTGTGGCCTCTGCAGCTGATGCAAATGCCGACGCCAAATCTGATGTCGTTTCCTTGACCAAGGATACCTTTAACAGCTTCGTCAAGGAGCATGACTTGGTGTTGGCCGAGTTCTTTGCTCCTTGGTGTGGCCACTGCAAGGCCCTGGCCCCGAAGTATGAAGAGGCCGCCACCGAGTTGAAGGGCAAGAACATCCCGCTTGTCAAGGTCGACTGCACAGCGGAAGAGGAATTGTGCAGAGATTACGGGATCGAGGGTTACCCGACCATGAAGATCTTCCGTGGTCCTGAGTCCACCAAACCCTATATGGGAGCTCGCCAGGCGGAATCGTGAGTCACTATTGACTGGGAATACTTGAAGGTGCATTACATAGTGCTAACCAAACTGTCTCCCTGATTAGGATTGTTTCCTACATGATTAAGCAGTCCCTCCCGGCCGTATCCACCGTTTCCGAGGCCAATCTCGAAGAAATCAAGACCATGGACAAGATTGTTGTTATCGGATATTTTGATGAGAACGACAAGTCCTCCAGCAAGGCGTTCACCACCTTCGCTGAGGCCCATAGAGATCACTACCTTTTCGCCGCCGCCAGTGACCCGGCCATCGCCAAGGCGGAAGGTGTGAAGCAACCCTCTGTTGTTCTTTACAAGGACTTTGACGAGAAGAAGGCCGTCTACTCTGGAGAGCTGGAGCAAGACACATTGCTCAGCTGGGTGAAGACTACTAGTACTCCACTTGTTGGTGAAATTGGCCCCGAGACTTACTCCGACTACATTACGGTTCGTATTAGTTCCTCTGTGTTCGAAAGAGTCAAGCATCTAACTTGAATTCTAAGTCCGGTATTCCGTTGGCATACATCTTTGCCGAGACCAAGGAGGAACGCGAGAAGTTTGTCGAGGAATTCAAACCTGTCGCAGAGAAGCACAGGGGATTCATCAACATTGCCACTATCGACGCCAAGATGTTCGGCGCCCACGCTGGCAACCTTAACCTCGACCCTCAGAAGTTCCCAGCATTTGCTATTCAGGACCCTGTGAAGCACGCCAAGTACCCTTATGACCAGGAGAAAGAGTTGAAGGCCAAGGATGTTGGCAAGTTCATCCAGGAGGTTATTGAAGGCAAAGTTGAGCCTAGCATCAAGTCTGAACCTGTTCCCGAGACCCAGGAGGGCGCAGTTACGGTCGTCGTTGCCCGTTCTTACAAGGATATTGTTCTTGATGATGAGAAGGATGTTCTCATTGAATACTACGCCCCTTGGTGTGGACACTGCAAAGCGTAAGGGAAATATCTCTTCATCACTACGTTCATGTTCTCTAATCAATTTTCACATATACAGTCTTTCCCCGAAGTACGACGAGCTCGCCAGCCTCTACGCCGATGGTCTTAGCTCCAAGGTCACCATTGCCAAGATCGATGCCACTGCCAACGATGTCCCTGAGCCGATCACTGGCTTCCCCACTATCAAGTTGTTCCCCGCTGGTGCCAAGGACTCCCCTATCGAGTATCTCGGCACCCGGACTGTGGACGACTTGGCCAACTTCGTGAAGGAGAACGGCAAACACCAGGCTGATGCTTACTCCACTAAGGAAGCGAAGTCTGAGAAAGGCGATGAGGCTGCCTCGTCCGAGGCTCCTGCTGCTACCGGAGATGACCACGATGAATTGTAAAAGATAATGCAGATCCGGAAATGTATTTTACCAAAAATCATCAAATTCCTTGATATCCCAGTTCACATAGGCTGTGCTCTACCGATTTGTTGTATAAATACTCAATAGCTACTTACGTATATTTTGCTTGCTTTTCGTGCATTATCACGTGCATGTCTACTACAGGCAAACCTAGCTCTATGATAATCTTTCATGAATATATCTAGCTCATGGGACTGGCCACTCTAAGATGTCAAATGAAAAAGTGAAAACCCGAACGCTTTATCCAGACATTAGCTGCAAATATCACAGGAATTCGCTGAATAGCTTTTTCCAATTAGATGGGTTACCGTTTGAAGCAAGTGGATGGTTTTCCTTGGTCGCAGACTCAACCTCCAATCGGTTTTTAGTTCTGAGCTCGGATCCGTTTTAATGACCTGCACTGATATTTGCCTGCTCTTGCTTTCGTTCTTCTGCGACCAGAGCTTCAAGAGCGTCAACATCTTCGTCAAATTCATCTTCTTCGTCTGCTGACTTTGTAGATTTTCCACTTTCCGCGACGGGTTTGGTTTCTGATGGCTTTTCGACGGGGACTGTTGATTCCTCTTTCGAAATAATGGTGTTCTGTGTAGTAGTAACGGTACTTGTGCTGGGCTTAACCAAATTCCAATCGATGATTTCATCCGGCCCATAACGCTTCGCAAGCCAGTCATTGCACTTTCTGAAATGACCGTTGTTGAACTGTACGCCGTCAGTATCCTCAATCAAAAAGTAGGAGGGCAGTTGACTAACAAAGCCGCGCGATGCACTGAGTGGACTCGGATGTACCGATTGCAACACATAGTGCTTCTTTCTATCAATACCCGCAACACGCTTCCCTGCAGGCGCTCCCCAGGCCAGAAAAACTACACCACGGGTTCGCACCCGGGCGATAAGATCAATCACCTTCTGAGTGAACCGCTCCCACCCCCTATTCGAATGACTGTTAGCCTGGTGAGCGCGAACCGTCAGACATGCGTTAAGCATCAGGACTCCGCGCTCGGCCCATGGTATTAAGAGTCCGCCTTTGTTTGGCGGTGCCTGGAAAGATGGATAGTCGTTCTTGATCTCTTTGTAGATGTTGACGAGCGATGGAGGAGCAATGGTTGGAGGACGGACGGAGAAGGCTAAACCGTGGGCCTGGTTGTGATTGTGGTATGGGTCTTGTCCGACGACGACGACCTTAACGTTGTTCAAGGGTGTATGTCGGGTCCTAAACCCGTGTAAGCAGATGTTCTCCAAAATAGCAAAACCGGAGATGCCCAATACCAAGAATAGACCTCATTCTCTGGGGGAAAGATCTTCGCACCCGAGTCCTTCTCTTTCTTAAGAAACCGCTTCAAGTCCAGAAATTCCGGAGTTACCAGTTCCTCCTTAAGCCGTGCCAGCCAGCTCTCATCCATGGTGTCGATCTCGAGTTTAAGCAAAGTCCTTTGCTCCGGCATCAACGAATCCACCCATTTCTGCTTATTGAAGTTGGAGGGCACAACACTGGCGGGTCTGGCGTTGGCATTGGCGTTAGTGGGTTTGGCCTTCGGGGCACCAAAGAACGACGTGATGCTGCCATTGGTCTTGGTTTTTTTGCTGTCTGTCGCCGGGGATTTGAGATGGCCAGCATCCCGCTTGGTACCCGCTGGGCTAGACATTGTACGTGGTGTTAGTATTTTGGCGGCGGTGCTGGTGGTAAAAGTGACGTGGGATGCGGCAGAGCGCAAAGTGGGAAAGTTGGACGCTGGCGAGAAACCGATGGGTATGTTATTAGAAATGATGGGTATCAATTTTCTGCGCATATCTTTTCGTTATAGATCATATCAGTGTCCTCAGAACGCGTCGTCGCGTTCGCGCGCGTGACTGGATAAGACCCAATCGGGTAAAAGCCGAGAAGCTCACTTTAAGTGCGGATTGGTATGCACTGTATACTCCGTACAGCACAGTACTTCCCAAGAATCAAAGTATCACTATAAGCAGACATATAGCAGCATCATGTGAGATGGAGATTACCTGGGTCGCCAATACTCCCCAAACGCGGACTCGTTCAAGAGCTCCACGGGCATGCACCAGCTGCCAACGGAAAAAGGTGATTATTCCTATGCAGTCGCAAACCGTCTGTTAAAAGCCCATTTGCCATATGAGGTCTTGAAAGCTAAGAGAAGAGAGCCGCAACGGCGTAAAGAAACGTTGCAATCATTTCTGGACTCAGTTAGGCACAGAACCCAGCCAAAGCCCACGGCTAAATGATAAGAATCGCCATCATGACAATCAGACTCAACAACCAACAAGTGAACAAAAACAGTCTCCACTGGCTATTCCGGGCCCATCAGCTGGTGGAGGGTTGCAACGGTTCGTGGGGGATCTTAACCCTGAAGCTGTCATCCGCGAGAGACTAGATGGTCCATCTTCGAAACCTTTAAGAGATCGGATTGGGCTGTGGATCAGCTCCGCCGGTCAGGATGGTATTGATGCTGATGAAAACGCTTATGGAAGACAACAAAGACCGCCGTCTGGCATAGAAATACCGTTCACGGCAAGCCTATCACCTCAACAGCCCATAGCAACATTCTTGCAGCAACGATATGCTGCTGCTCTACAATCCTGTGAGCGCCTGCCATTATCAACCCGGGACCGGCTGATTCCTGTTTACTTTTCTCGGGTCAATCACATTTTACCATTACTCGATAAGGACTTCTTTTTGAAAGCACACTCCGATGGAACGGCATCTATATTCCTCGAGAGGGCACTATGTTTGGTGGCAGCAAAAGACCAAACGGCAGGGCCAGCATTGCGTCTGACTATTGATGGCCCGGTCTTGAGTTCTCGGAAATTCTGCACCGAAATCTATAAAGGACTCTCCGCTGCAATGAACGCAGGACTTGAGTCCGATCGTATAACCGTTATCCGCATTCTGGCACTCATGTCGTTACATTGCGAGGGCTATGAAGGTGGAGAGGCAGCATCGATGAATATCTGTCAGGCTATTCACCAGGCTCAAACTGCAGGGCTACACCTAAATCGACCCGGCCGGGCACCAGGGGATTCGCTTTCTAAACTTTTCTGGTGCCTTTGGACTCTAGATAAGATGCATGCCAGTATCGGCGGTCGCCCTATCATTTTAGCTGATCGCGACATCGGGATTGAAAAGCCTGATCTTAAATCCTCTGCGCCCCGGTCTGCCTTTGACGTTTGGCTGGCTATTTCTGACCTGTTATCGACGGTGATCTCGTTTTACCGACCTTCAGCAGATCATAACATTGGATGGGAAGACAACTTTCCAACTTTTGAACAAATTGTCGGCGACCACATGCAAGACGATCTAGACTTTACGACTCTTGGTGCGCTACTCTCTCCGGAATTCCGGGGCCCCAAATGACTAACAATGTAACAGGTATATTGGAATTGTACTACCATGCAGTTGGCATTCTTTCGTGCAGACCGAAACTGTCCAATCGATCTGATGGTTTGGAACCATCATACGTTCGCCAAGGTCTTGCGTCTGTCCGGATAAATTCTATTGTTGCTTCTGAATGCTCGCAGAATCTCCCACCTCTACCTGTCGCCCCATATGCTCTCTCCCTCTCAATGGGAGTCTCGTATCAGCAGTTCCGCTCCAGTAAGCTGATCACTCATTTTAACAGAGCTAAGCGTGGCTTGGAAGCTTGTTGCGCCCTACTAGAAGGTCTGGGAACGTATTGGTACTCTGCGGAAGCTATGGCTCGACTGGGACGCAAAGCCTTGCACCACATCGAGGGGCTGAAGCCAGAAACTCGTGGACACGGCTTCGAGTCCGAGAAGCATAATTCAGCTGACAAGGTATCCGATTTTACTATTCCAGCGTCGGCGCCTGTCATGGCACGGCCATCCTATCATCATCCAAACGACTTGGCTTCTTCAGGTGAAGTGGCTCCTTGTGAGGATTTAGCCACCACTTCTGCTCAGGATCTTTCCAGGCTGGAATCCTTTGGTATGGGAGAACCTGACGTTTCCGGTAATGGCAGTTTCGCAGATATAGATATGCTTTTTGGGGATTTCCTGGATCTGTCTCTCCCGACCAACTTCTGGGATCCCGTGTTCTTTACCGAGAAAGGTTACAATGATGGAGCAGATTGACTGCTATTTTGTGGTAAATAAAAGGTTAGAAAAGACATTACTGTACGCATTCTCAGCGTATTCTTTCGGAGACATGTATACAACCACACAATCGTGGTCTTTCATTGGCTCATAAAATATATCCATATCAGGTTCAAATTGCATCCATCGTCATCAGCAGCAGTGAAAAAATTAACGCGCATAGTTATTTTAATATTACCCGTACCATCATCATTTGAACCGGACTCGGGCTGTGCGAATAGGAACAGACCTAACGGGCCTAAGGTGTCAGTCATAGCACGGACCCCATTCAAAATGTGACTGATTATAGATGATCACTCCACGAGGCAAATGATGATGTGGAATAGGAAGACAACAGCTCTGAAACAGTTCAATCCTCCGACATGACATGACATGCGGTCCTCCGTGGCCAGCAGCGGAACCACCCACGAGGAATACGAAATGAGGCTCATCTCGTGCTTCTTTCTCCGTTTACGATATACTTCCGAGTCCTTTCTCCAGAATGGGTAACGGTTCTTGTCGATTCTTTGTCTCTTGTGCTAAAATTAAAAGGACAACGGGAATTGGCTGTTGAATAGTCGGTCCGTGTGGAGTTGTCCACCAAACTCCCGCGAGTCAGATGAAGGTTCACCACGAAATCCCGGTAACCTTCATTTCCCTCGCCAGAGAAGAAGAGGAATTATGGACGATAGGGGAGAGGAGGAAAGAGATATGTATCGTCGACCACTGCTCCGATCATAATCGACCATCCAGGCTAATTGCATCGGCTTGTTGCACCCTGCTGTTTTGCCCCTGACTCGGTCCTGTACTTATTCCTGCTTTCCCTTTGATTCTCGGTACATACTTGGGTTTGGGGTTTTTTTTTTTTTTTGGCACATTTCCTCATCGTGCTGTTTTGTTCATCGCCATATCTTTTGTTACGTGTTGCTTGTCGGACTCGTCTGGATCCTCGGGAGTTCCGCTGAACCTGAAACATCGTGTCCGCGACAGGCAGCCTGTAATCCATTGTTATTCGGTCTTGTCGCATAGCAATATTACGTGGGATTGCCGGTGCGACAGTGAAAACTCGTTCTTCATTTGCTGCTTCAATTAAATCTTATTGTTGTCGCTGTCGCCTAATATCCAAATATCGCGTGTGCTGAATTGGCATTACATGTGGCTGCCTTTCTTTTCTTTTTTCTTTTCTATAACCCTACTGAAACGCCGCTTCGTATCGGTCTCGCATTGAATACCTGTTTGTATATATCGCGCTCTATTCCGCCGTGACGGACATGTTGCTCGGAAGAGGGATCAGTGGCTGACAGCCCTCATGGATGTTGAATACATGCAATTCGAATCGGTCAGTCGCATGCGCAGCCTTTTCTCATTGTTCGTTTTATGCGCACGTGGAGAAGTATACACTATCCATACCATCCCGACAGCTCCCTAGCAACTTGTGTTTGACGGGCCCCCGGGCCATTGGAGATTCTAATACAAATGGCGCCTATCTCGAAAGCTCATGAGCAACACGGTGTCTCAGCTGCCGCGGAAAAAAGAAAACAGATTGATTCTCCTGCTCACCCGATCTCCCAGCTGCAAGGTCCCTTTGATGAATCGATTGTGGAAGCTATTGGAGGGACGGAGAATGAGTGGACGGTTGAACTGGACGCCCAGTCCCGCCGCAGGGATCTTCTTGAGAACGCCAACTATGAGAGACTTTGCGGTCGACGATGGCGCCAGAGACGTGGTGAAAGGCAAGCAGTTAACCTGTTTACCAATCTGCAACACTGACTAACAGAAACACAACCATAGGTATCATCCGTTCTGGAAACTCATTGCACAAATGTCTTTCGGTGTTCACCTCCTAGTGAAAGCGCTAGCTAAATCAAATAGCGAAGTTCTCAAGATCCTCCAAAATCATGTTGATGAGATGGATGGGTTCCTTGAAAGGACTTCGGAGGATTTCCTTATCATTCAACTCGACCTTCGCACCCGAATTCAATATCTCAGCTTGCCTCTGCAGAACTTGGATGTATTTGACGGAATGCTTGCAGATCGAAACTTCCGGCTTTCTATGATTGGTTACAACGACCAAATAGAGCATGCCATTGAGCGCTTCTCGCTTACAGTCAAAGATGCGCTGAAGGATATATCCAAGGGGAAAGAGGCTATTCGTGCCTTGTGGCACTACCTATGGCAATCTGCCACGGAAAATGTCCCTTTGCCTAATCACATGCAGGCTGTATTTGATTCTATGGCTGCGAACGTCGAAGGATGGAATAACACCTTCTCAAGGTTGCGTAAAAAGGGCACTGCCCTCGAATCCGCACTTGTCCAACTTGGCCGGGCTGTGACGGAGATGCAACGGCGCGTGGGTGTGGCGAGTAGGAAAGACAAGGTTCGTAAATGGTACCATCTGTCTAATTAAATACAGTCAGCCCCTAACTTACGGCAGGTTTCATCTTTAAATACTTCTCAGAGCCAGAGCCCACCCCCTTCGAGGTCCCTGAGAGAACGACTATTTGAGAAAGGGCCATCCGTCTCCAACCGTCCACTCTCTGACAAACCACTACCCCATGATCCTGATTTCACTAGACCAGAGTCCTCACCGGGAATATCTAGACGAATTGGAAGTCGAAGAATGGCTCAGAAGAGCGTCCCTAATCTTAAAGCTGCTGAAGCTTCGGACAGCCCTGCTACAGCAGAAAGCACTTCTAGCCGTGCAAGATCCGCCAACGAAGCGACAGAAAGTGACCCTGGAGCTGATGCGGTTGCCCCGAAACTTCATAGAAGTTTCAGCAAGAAGCTCTCAAGGGTCATGCTACCAAAACGATCTGCGAGTGAAGACTGCGTAGCCACGCAGAATCGACCTACTTCAGAAAGGTCCAATACACCCAAGCATCGGAGTATTTCATTGGATCGTTTGAAAGCTATACGTGCAAATAGGGATACGTCTGCGCCAGAGGTACCGCCAGTACCATCTGTTGATACATCGATTCCGCCACGACCTTCAACAAGACAAGATAACATGAAGGATCAGATCCTACAACACTTCAAGACAGACCAAGTAGCAAATGCTTGGGAAACGGAAACAGCAGAGAAGAAGGAAAAGAAAATTACTCGTCGTGCCTCATTGAAACTAAAGGAAGGCCCATTGAGTGCATTCCGCAAGAGATCGTCGAACGCACTTCGCATCTCTGAAAGACCTCAGTCTGCAGTGCCATTTGAGAGAGACTTGGATAGGCAAATGGCCTGGCTCCAGGAGGAAACGGCAGCTTTGAACACGTACTCGCTGAAACCGAAACGCATGGTTTCACCGAGACTACATGTTCTTGACGTTCAGTCGGAACTTACTGAGGTTGAGGAAGAGGGCAGATCAGCTGATGATGGTGCTGATGAAATCGGAACTACAAAAGGAGATGCTGAGTCGTTAATAACAGCTCTTCCTTCTTTTCCCCTTCAGCCGGTAAGGATGTCTCCTTCGTTTTCCATGTAATTCTAGACGCTAACTATGAACAGATAACTGAGGTGCGCACTGCTTCTCCGACATAGCGGCAATCTGACATTTCTAATGATCATTTTATCCAATGCGGGATATAATTCCCCATCTACCGACCCGTCAGCCCACATGACATCGTCTCAAGGGTCCAACCCAGATAGCCTGAAACCCGGCCAAGGGAGTCTACGTCAACAGATGGCCTCTCGCAGATCCTACACATTGCAAGAATCGCGTCGGCAACCTGCGTGGTCATAACACCCGGGATACTCAGACACCGGGATCCTACACCACCCTATCTGCGCACATCCCCAAATGAAGGGATCATACCCTCCCGGCGTGACACATAATCCGGCACCTCCATGTAAACCCATCTGTTCTCTTGACCCGCTGGAGAATACGGGGAAAATCAGTCCAGCATATAAGCAGTGATTCTCTTTCTGATACGTCACGTATCCACCGAGACAGGAGAGGGCGAGGCGAAGGACAAATCACGAACAGCGCACCTCTAAATTTATGAATATGGGGACTTGATGTATATATCTTCCCAAATTTGGGTATTCCGTGCAATACTTATGTATATAAATCTAAGTTCAGATCATCCGTATTTGAGAATTCTATACCCAACGCGGCTTACACCCGCGAATTTCTTCTCAATTTGAAATTGAGAGATAAGATAATGAATGAGAAATAACACAACCAATATCCAAGAAGACAAAGGCAGGAAAGAAGAAAAAAGAAAAGAAAAATGTTGATGACATTACTCGTATAAATGAAGCGATTTTATAATATGAAGGACCGTTGCTCTCATCCATACACAAGCACCCTTAATTTTGACCCTCGCCCACATCCCACATAACTAAGATAATGCAAAAAAATACACTGAAAAAGCAACAAAACGGAAACAAGCAAACCACCTATTCAATAACCGCATGCGCAAGGGGTTCTCGGAACATAGAAAATCAGATTGGAAGAAATAAAGAAACTACTTGCAACGCTTCTCCACAATATTCGGCCCATGTTCATCAAACTCCTTCTTCGAGATCCACATTTGATGGAAAGTTCCCAAACTAGCAAGGATACTTCCACCAACCCAAGAGCCAAACTTCCGCTCCGATGTGTTACCAGGTGCCGATATCCTCACGCGAGGACCGGGGAAGGTCTGCATAAGCTCTTGGTTCAAACGGTCCGTGAAGCCGTAGAGCAAGCTGGAAGCTCCAGTGACAACGACGTTCGCCAGCAGGTGAGGGCGGATGTCAACATCGACGCCGTTGAGGGCGCTTTTGATAAGTTCCGTGACTGTTTGTGCCTGCGTCGGCGCGGGGAACGGCGATTCAGGGTCGGCAATCGCGGCTTTGGCGTCGAATAGCGATTCTACCACGCGATAGCGGTCAACGCCAAAGAGTTGGTTGTAGCCGTCGGGGAACTCGAAGGGCCGTGCTGGAGTGGTCTTGGCCATTTCTTCGTTCGGAACCCCGCCGGGACCAATAGCGGCGAGCTTGGTTGGGCCGGGCCAGACCTGGACGACGGATTCCTTGAACTCGGATATCGAGCGCTCCTCGAGGAGGGTTCGGTAGGATGCGTCTGGTGCCTTCTCGGGAGGGAAGGTCTTGTAATTGGCTTGCGCGGGCTGGCCTGCCTCGACGCCGTTCTTGGAGGAGATGAGATAGTGAGGCGTGATGGTGATCGGTTGGGGGGAGTTGTTCTTGAAAAGCGCGCGAATTTGTGACGAGATGTAATCACCCCCCAGAGGAGAATGTTGGACACCACGTTTCAAGATCATGCCGTCATGGACTGGCGTCACCGAGATGTTGGAAGCGCCGATATCGACTACAAGGGCAGATGCCTTTCCTGCAGCAAATCTAAAAGAGCAGTTAGCCAGACGAATGTCCTCCTTCAAACCGCGTGAAAAGAGGAAGGTATGGCTGCTTACGCAGAAAGAACACCATTTCTCGCCAGATAGAAGGCTGGCGTTCCCCAATTCTCCATGGCAATCTCAATAGTCTTTTCGCGCGCCTTGGTGGGATTCCACCCGCACTCTGACATCAACAGCGGGCTATCTGCGAGTGGTTTCTCGGTATCCTCAACCTCCATATCCGCGGGAAGTTCGCCATTAGAGACATCATTCAAGCCGTTGTGCAAAGGATTCCCTGGCTTGGCTCCTGTTAAACGCGACGCGAACGAATATTCCCACACTTTCTCTGCCATATCCCAGTCTTCCACAATCCCATCTCTACCTATTGGGTTGTGGATTGACAGCCCGGGACGGGGAGTGACGAAGACATCGTCGCCGAAGATAAGCTTTTCTTGACCTTCGTAGGAGTATTTTCCGTAGTATGTAGGGACCAATGATTTCGGGGCATCTTCTCCAGCAAAACCGGCGCGCGTGGTGGAAAATCCGGGATCGAGCACAATAGCAGAAACCTCATCTATACGTATCATGCATTAGAATTGACCATTGTGAGTTGGGAAGAGAGTAAATAGGCTGCTCGAAATGTGCCCTGTATGTCTGGGTTGGACATACCTCCGCCGTATTCGGCCGTTGAAGGTGGGATTGAAGGATTCATGGTGGATAAAAGACAGCCAGTCTGACAGTCAAGATGGAATTGACAATATCCTTAAATCAGAATAGAGCTTCAGGGTTTCACGAAAGCAATGGTTGTGGAAGAAAGAGTGAGAGAGGACGTGGAGTGGTAGATGTCGAGAGTGAAGAAAGGATCGGTGTTGGGGTGCCGTTTGGAACCTCACCATTTGTTGCCTCCGCCGGAGTTGTAGCTACAACATCTTTGACACCTTCAACGACCTCGTTTATAGCTACAACCAAGTTTTTATCTTACCTTCCCGAAAAAAAAAAAAAGGCAGATATTCCTTTGTTCCTGCGACATTTCCTGCAGGACAACAGAGATGGATACAGAGCTTCAACCGGCGCCCGAATCACTCTTCCGGCCGGTCAAGAGACGAAAGTTCCTGCGACGCCGCCCAGACCATGAACAAGGAAACAACGAAGTGAACGGTGATAGCGGTCGCGATACAGAGAGCTCTATGGCACAAACACCCCAAGAGACAGATGACGTTGTTCGCCTTCGACGGCCTCAAAGGACTCGGAAAGGTGGTATTGAGTTCTCAACAACTGGTTCGCGCCAGACCACCAACAACGATGCTCAGGCCATAGCACGACGGTCCGCAGAAGAGACTGAGGATGAGAGACTACGAGCGATGTGTGATCGATTTACTGTACATACGGGGCAAACAGTAGACGTGGATAAGCACATGTATGGTCCCTTTGCCACGCGATATCTTCCCTTATGGTTTGCCTTTCTGTCGGCAATGGGACTAACAAGATAAGGATGGACTATATAGAAACCGAAATGGCTAAGCGTCATCGGCGTGATATGCCCAAAGATACCTCTGATTCAGAGGCTACTACGAATGAGGCCATTAGTGGACCGGCCGGTAGCACCAACTTCGCGCGGCGCGAACCAGCGACTCTTGGTAAATTACACGAGATCGATCTCGGTCAGGAGACCAAGCTACAGAATATCGCGCGAACAGAGGCCGCGACGAGGCGACTTGCAGGAAGTGGCGCTACAGCAGCAGCAACACCCACAGAAAATACCAGTGAGAAGACTGCAGTCGAACAAGACAGGAAAGCTTGGCGAGATCGCAAACGGCGAAGTAGCAGGGATATTGAACGAGATCGACTGGTTGAAGAAGTGTTACGGGAGAGCAAATGTAAGTCAATTTGCCCTTTATCTTGTGATATTTTCCCTGTTGACATGATTATAATAGTGGATGTATATGATGAACCGGACGACGAGCCACGAATGGATGATATGGCGGCCGATGACCGCATTGCCGAACAATTCCGGAGAGACTTCATGGATGCGATTCAATCACGCCGGCGAGTGGTACGACAGAAGAACACGACAACCACCAAGGCGGCCAAGCCGGAGGTTACCAAAGGACCAAAACTTGGGGGGAGCCGGAGTGCAAGAGCAGCGATGCGTGAGTCGCAGAAGACTCAGAAATGAGCGATTGTCTTGCCTACCTGAGTGTCTGTGATGGGACAGTAGTATGGAAGATTGATTTGTTGTCGAGACAGTTATACTCTGAGTAATATGACCAATACAAGGACAGCCTGGAAAGAAGGTTTGGCATTCCAGGGCGGTAAGTCTTGCCTGTCTTGTCGGCAGTGGGTATTCCACGATACCTGTGCAAAGTCCTGACTCAAACCGCGGCCAGGGATGTAGATATGAATCGAGGGAGAATCATACTCTACATATAATTGTCTACAGGGCAGTCCCTGTAAAATAGGCGGAATCCAGCAAGGACCGACCTGGATTCTAGGGCGGGAGGAGGTTGGCCCACCGGGTGGAGAGCCGTGTCTGATTTAGATATCTCAATAAGCGCCTAGTTAAATAGATGTGATTATTCTTAGAAGCGGTGTTTTTATTATAGATTAAGTGATGTCAGAATACATGAATTTGTACTCGTTGAATGGAAGATATTCAAAGCATGATGATCCCGAGCTCTAGATAGGGTGCTCCTGGTCTATGGTTACTGGAAGCAGTAAATGGGGTACTCCGTACATTCTTGGAGACGATGATCAACCCCATTGCCACCGCCCGAATCGGGTTAGTGTCGATAGCATGTGGCGGTTTAGTGTGGCGCGTGTCTGGAACAGTGTGGGTCTTGGTCCTTTATTTAGTACTTTATTTATTTGCTCTACTGTATTTGTACTATTCTATCCGTCTGTACTCTGAAGCACAAAATACAGTGTTATGTAGCACATGCCAACTTGGATAAACGCTTTAACATGTATCTATACTCGGTACTCCGCCCAACAGGCAGAGAAATTCGTGCATAACCCCCATGTAAAGTCTAGACGGTCTATGATGGCGGCATTAGCGCCCGCTCCTTAGACCAGCATGCTGTTCCAATCAGAGTATGGAATTATGCGGAATTATGGAGAGACCATTGGCCATCCATGGATCTCGTTCGCGAATCAGCGGGGGTGAACCAGCAGTAAAGAGCGCTTAGTCAGTCAGGGGCAGCCACAACTGTCAACTGCTTGTTTGAAACATGCAGAATAGGCCGTTGGGTCGATTTTCTCTTCAATTCTCTCTCGCTCTCTCTTCTCTGCTTGTTTGTATGCGATTTGTTTAGCCATTCTCTCCTTTGATTGACACTCTTTTCCGTCGTTATCAATTCATCCAGTCTTTCTTTCATTGCGAATTCGCCTTTTAGGTTTCGCGAGATCTCCTTTTCTCATCCTCCTCGACCACTTGTTATCGCATCGCCAGCGTCGAGAAGAGGTCTCTCCCTCTGGCTCCCCTCCAGCCATTCGAATTGACCAGCCAAACCATTCATTGACTCGTCCATTCCCTCGTTCGACTGCGAGGGTAGGACTCGGATGCGATACTAGCTACTACTACCCGCCCAACGAGTCCGATTGACTGCCTCTGCAAGCCTCCCGATTGATATTTCAAACAGACAGACGCTCCTTCTTCTGTTTCTTGATTCTTCATACACACTCTCTCGTCTTTCTTTTCTTTCTTACCCCGGGTTGATCCTGGTCGAACTGGCTAGTCCAGTCCCAAGCGCTCTGTTTCTCGCATACTCCCTTTTTAATACCCAACTGATCGAATCCTCGCCTACTCTGACTATTACTGTCTCCTACGCTCTCTTACGCTCTGTCGCATACATATCACAGCATCAACTTCCGTTTCTCTTCCCTCGTTCTCTTTCGACGCATGATCGTGTCTTGAATTGAATTGTATATCGCAACTCCCATCAGCATGCGGTTTACTCTTTTTGCCCAGGCTGCGTTGCTTGCACTGGGCTCTTTGCCCTCGCTGGGTCTCGCTGGCGGTACTCTTAGTACCAAGGGTCTGTCTTCCTGTCAAACTGACTCTGAAATCGAGATCCAGGACCTTCAATTTACATACACTCGTTCCACCAAGGAAGTCGTTTTCAATGTGGCCGGAACCAGCTCAAAGGAACAGAATGTCACTGCCTCCATTACCATTTACGCCTACGGTAATAACATCTATTCGAAAGAATTCGACCCTTGTAGCCCCGATTATCGCATGGACCAGCTGTGCCCAGGTAGGTCATACTTCTTCCGGGTATCGCTTTAGTTACATTTCGCCCTCTAACTATTCACAGTCCCCAAGGGTCCCTTTTCCGCTGGTGGGTCGCAGCAAATCCCTGCGTCTTTCGCCAGTCAGATCCCGTCTCTCGCCTTTGCCGTCCCTGACTTGGATGGGCAGGCGGAATTAAAACTGACTTCCAAGAAGAGCGGAGACAAGGTCTCTTGCGTGCAGTCAGATTTGTCCAATGGCCGGTCCATGCAGACCAAGGGCGTTTCTTATGCTGCTGCCGGTGTGGCAGGGGCCGCTTTCGCAATGAGCGGAGCCTCTGCCGCTGGTGTTGTCGGCCATGGCGCGGGGGCGGCCACCGGAATGGGCCATGGGCCAGGCTTTGCCCAAACCATGGGGTGGTTCCATACCTTGGCCACCAGCGGCATGCTCAGTGTCAACTATCCCACCATTTACCGCAGCTTTTCCAAGAACTTTGCCTTCAGTACCGGTCTGATCCCCTGGGGCTCAATGCAGCAATCGATCGACTCCTTTAGACGAACCACCGGCGGCAATCTCACGGACAACAACTACGATTTCCTTCGCAATGCGTCTATCGAGTTCTCTAATGGATCGTCAAGCTCGTCCAATGCCAAGCGTGGTGTTGATATGGCAATTGGGGTTGCCAATTTGGTCAAGCGTGACGACGACAGCGGCGATGATGGCGGATTTCATCACTTTGTATCTGGCATTGAGGCCTATGCAGAACAGCTCACCATTCCCCAAGCCAATACCTTCATGACTGTGCTGCTGATTTTCGCCATTGTCGTGGCCTCCATCACTGTTGGCATTCTGCTCCTCAAAGTTATCCTCGAAGTATGGGCCATGTACGGAAAATTCCCGGAGAAACTTTCGAACTTCCGCAAAGACTACTGGGGTCTCCTAGGGCGTACCCTTACCAACCTGATTCTCGTTCTCTACGGGACATGGGTGCTGTACTGCGTCTATCAACTCAGCAGTGGGGATTCCTGGGCTGCCAAGCTCCTTGCCTGCGCTACACTTCTTATATTTACCGCAGTCTTGCTGTTTTTTGCCTTCCGGATTTTTTTGTTGGCTCGCAAATACCAGCAAACAGAAGGAGATGCTTCCAGTCTGTTCGATGACAAGGACAACTGGCGCAAATATAGTCTTTTTTACGATAGCTACAAGAAGGACTGCTGGTGGCTGTTTGTTCCGGTCATCATGTACATGTTCATCAAGGGCTGCATCATTGCTGGCGGAAACGGCCACGGGCTGGTTCAGACGGCCGGTCAGCTGATTGTAGAAGCTCTGATGTTGGCTCTTTTGCTGTGGTACCGCCCCTATGTCGCCAAGTCGCACCAGTGGATTAGCATCACCATCCAGGTAGTCCGTGTTTTGTCGGTGATCTGTGTCTTGATCTTCGTCGAAGAGCTGGGCCTTTCCCAGACCACCAAAACTGCCACGGGCATCGTCCTCATTGTCATCCAATCCACTCTCACTGGCGTCTTGGCCATATTGATTGCTACAAATGCAATCATGGCGTGCGTCCGCGAGAACCCTCATGCCAGGCGAAAGAGAGAAGCCGGTAAGCTACACTTCCTCATTGATCATTCTTTAACAGCTGCTAACGCATTCTTCAGAAAAAATGGATCGTGACATCGATGATCTCACACCGCTCGATGCACGGCAGTCGTTGCTCATGGAGAACCCTCCGCGCAAAGAGTACGCCGAGATGGCCAAGTTCAACTACACCGGTCCCTACGGGCCCTACAAGGACCAGGTGCAGGTCCGTTCCAGTCCTATGGAAAGTACCGATAACTTGGTTAGCACTGGTGATCTCGAAAGCGGCCACATCGGTCGCAGTGAGAGCCGACAAAGTCGTGATAGTCATAGTTCAGTGGAAGGGCGCGAGCCCACGAAGCCTGCATCTGGCCTGGCTAAGTGAGTCCAATGGACTTTATGGATTTTTACGACATTTTCTCTCATTACCTATCAGCTTGGCATCTCCTTTCTATTTTGGTTCTGTTTTGGGTGGTTAGACGACTTTATCGCATTGGGACGGTCCTTTTTATAGATCTTCGAGTTCAATCATTCCTTTATTTCGTTTTTATCTTTCGTTTTAGATTTTGGATTATACTACTTTAGCCAGCCTTGTATTACTGTTTATCTGGAAAAAGAAGTTATGTGGTTTATTTGTGTTGTCTGATAGTGTGCAATGGTGCACACATACAGCAGTATATACGACCATAACGTATGGAAACTAAAGCTACCCGTCCGTACATATACATACAGTAGTGATAATAAAATGTTCATGAAACTATCCAGGCGGCCTCTATCTATAGCGATCCTATCCTTCGGCGCCTTTGACCCGGTTCATTCCTGTATTTCAATCAGCAAAAACAGGATTTACTTGATGGTATTGACTTAAAAAGAAGGGGCCACGCAAGTGATATTTATACGGCCTGTTTGACATAAACCTTTACTGGTACACAGGTATGTTAATATTCAGCACGAGCATTCCTATGAAAGGCAAAAGGTTAATTTTAAGACTATCCTGGAAATTATGCAGAGTGACTCTTCAACTAAACGCTAAGTAATGGATTGCTTGATGTATAAACATTTCCAAAGAGAGCAGTGAATCAGTGTCAAATAATAGCAAGAAGAAAAAAAAAAAAAAATACCATGCTTGGGCTATTGTTTGTGTTTTTGCTTGAAAGAGAAGAAATAGAACAAGGCAACGTAAGACAAAGAAGAAAAGACGTATTCAAACAAAGGGAAAGAAGAAAAAACGCCGGGTAGTTTATTTTGCGGTAGTCCTTTGCGAAGGAAAACAGCATTATCAAGTGGACATATTAACCATGGCCTTTCTTCTTTCCTTTTCATTTCCTAGCCCCGAGAGTAAGGGTGGAAGCCTCGGTGTCCTCCGCGGCCACCCCCACGGTAGTTGGCACCGGGTTTCCCAGCGTTCTTAGGGCCCGTCGGGGCGTTTGCCGGCGGAGTACCCTGGGGTTGAGGGGTAGTCCCTGTATTATGTCAGTATGTTGTTGATCCACTACGAAAAGTGATGGTTATGGAGTGCATACCACGTCCCATACTTCCGGCACGTGTCATACCTTGAGGCCCACTTGGGATGTTCGGTTGGGGAACTTCGTCGTACATGCCCTCCCATGAGGTCGGGCCGCCTTGCTGATACGGCGAGAAACCGCGGTTGTCTACGACGCGACGAGCCTGCTGCTGTTCGTATTTCTGCTGCTCGAAAGCAATTTGTTCATGAGCATTATAACCAGGTCCGCCACGGTTACCTGTGAAGTTGCCTCCTGTACCTCCTCCTGCTGCTGCTGGTGAGCCAGCACCGCTGCCGTTATTGCCCATACCCATTTGCCCTTGCATGTTTCCGGTGGCTGCATTGTTGGTTTGACCTTGGCCCTGGCCTTGCATTTGCTGCATCTGTTGCATCTGCTGTATCATTGCGGGATTCATTATGTTCTGCATCTGCGGAGTCGGACTCTGCGATGGAGGACTCATGCTTCCCTGCTGTTGGTTATTGCCCATTTGCATCTGCTGCATCTGTTTCATCTGCATTTGTTGCATCATGGCCGGGTTCATTCCACCCATTCCCATACCGCCCATGCCGCCTTGACCCTGTGCGGCTGCGACGGCCATTTGCTGTTGCATCATGGTAAAGTATTGCTGCATACGCTGCCAATACTGTGCCATCATCTGAGGAGTAATGCCAGGACCCATTCCAGCTTGGCCTGCAGCGCCTTGTTGCTGAGAGCTATCGACGCCAGCCTGACCTGCATCGCGGAAACCTTCCCGGCCACGACGCCTCCGCTCTTCTTCATCGCGCAGGTTGCCCCGTGGCTGGGCCTTCTTGACCTCGATGGGCTTGCCCAGAATATCAAGGGGCCGCGATAGAGCTGCTTCAACTGCTGCCTCACTGTCGAACGTCACAAAGCCGAAGCCACGAGGGCGGCCGGTATCCTTGTCGATCATTAAGGTAGCATCAATAACGCGGCCGAATTGCATGAAGAACTGCTTAAAATCCTGCTCATTTGCTTCTTGGCTCACACCACCGACGAAGATCTTGCTTGTCTTCTCTTGTTCGTCGCGGGGAATCGCACGTTTGGGATCAATCTTTCGAATATCGTAAGTTTACATCTTGCTCGAGAGGGAGAGGATATCAACTGCTTACAATCTTTCCATCCAAATAATGCTCTTTAACCATCACAGTATTGACTGTCTTGGGGTCCCTAAATGTCAAGAAACCAAAGCCTCGAGAGCGACCAGTAGCACTGTCGCGCATTACGGTGCACTCTTGTACCTCTCCGAATTGGGAGAAATAGTCTCTCAGCGATTCTAGTCTCAATGGTTAGATTGCATCCAACAAGATATCTTAACACGATCTCAATGGGATGAAGCATACGGTCTGTAGTTTCCCAGTTCAAGCCACCGATGAACATTTTCCTATCCAACAAAGCTATTAGTCAAATGATCTCGCCATATATGTAGAATGACAGGTAGACAATGTGCTATCGAGTAAAGCTATCGACTCGCGTTTAAGAAGAGAAAAAAAAAAAAAAAAAAAAGGTCGGCCGGGTTTTGTAGGTCGAGAATGCTGAGAAGTTGCCGACGAACGGGCTGTCTAAATAGCAGACGAGTCTCGTATGCCAATATCATAAAATGACCGAGATTCACTGAGGAAGAGCCATAACCATATCGTATCCGACAATGCACGGTGATGGGAGAAGTTGGAAACATCGTTGATCATCGGATGGGTTGGGACATCCAGGCAGGGCCAAGTCGCCGTTGTTGCTGCAGGATCAGTTCCTACAACAAGAACTGGGGGCATGGTTGAAAAGACGCTGTCGACGGTGACACTCAATTGTCTAGAGGGATTTCCACTGGTTTACGAGACGACCCAGTGGATTGGGAGCCAAGCAACAGGTTCTCCAAGACCCGGAGGCCATGCGCAGCATGTCAGGCGTAACAAAAGTGAAATTGCTTTCTTTTCTTTTTCTTCTGACCAAGGATCCTTTTGCCTGCCTGCTAATAAGAGTTCGAAGCTAGGTAAAGCTGCGCGAAGATTCCCAAAAAGACAGCCCAAGGTATCTATTCCTTGCTCTGCTCTATCAAGATTTATCGAAAAGATGCTATATAGTATCTGCTGTACTATAGTCGCTCGTAATAAGGGTTCGAAGAGTCTGTATGTAGTCCGACATTGATATCGACGCTGACCCGCTGCCATAGATGCATTTGTTTCCATTCGGGGGCGCGTTTGCCTCTTCCAAACTGGGGCTCATGGCTGAATTCGAAGTGTCTCTAGAGAGCCCCGTGTCCGTTATTGGTGCATAAAGCAACTTTGGAAAAAGCGACTGATCCAGTCTCTCCATCACATATCAATGCTCCCCAAAAGCTTTCCCAGACAATCCTCTTCAGATGACCGACGAGTATACCTTGCCCTCTCACTACCAGACCTCTAAGACCAAATGGTAAGTGAAGAGATGAGGCGGGCAAATGAATATTGTCGATGTCCCCAAACGTTCCAAAGAGAGCCCATACGCCATAGCAACTTGTGAATCCCAGGCAATACGGTGGCGAAGCTGACAGCTTTGCCGGGGTGGGGGGAATAGAAAGAGGGAGAGGAACAACTGGTGTAATATAATGAAATGGACTTACCCGTCTTCCTTGATACCGGTCCCTTGGGGCTCCGGTTCTGCAGCAGCGGCCGGCGCATTGATACCTCCATGACCATCTAATTGCCCTGCACCATACGCTTGCGATGCATCATACCCCTGGTACTGGGGTGTCTGGTAGAAGTTCTGTGGAGGTTCCGCTTCAAACTGGGGGGTCTCGACACTCTGAGCGATATGGCCAATGGGTTGAGCTGCAGTGGCAGATGTCGCAGAGATTGAAGGTCTTGGTACTTCCGTCGCTGAAGTGGCTTGGGCGGTAGGCTCATCTGCTTCGTACCTAGAAACGGCCAAGACGTCAGTCAAAATGCGGAACGTGGCCAAAGAACGAAGAGAGCCTTACAGATCGGCGAAGAGATCATCTTCGACACCCTCTGGATCCGCCATGTTGACTCTTTGTGAGGACAAAAAAAAAAAAAAAAAGAAAGAAAAGAAAAGAAAAACAGATAGACAGTGAGGTGATAGACACTCAAAGAGGCCGACTTTTCCGCCTTGAAGATGAGACTAGGAGACTGTGTCACGTTCCCAACCTAAGGTCTCAAGGACTCGAGTTCATTGGATGAAATGAGTAAATAAGACAAAACAACAAAGGGCAATAGCCAATATTGGTGATAATTGGCAAATTATGGTGATGGGATGATATGATATGGGGAGAGAAAAAGAGAAGAGGAAGAACGCGAGAGATGAAAAGAAAGCGGAGAAGTCCCCGAGAAAGAGCGACCGCGCGGGAAATGAACAGCGGGCAATACTTTGGTCCGACAGACAGCAGCAAGATCTCCGACTCTCAGCTCAGGGACCACCAGAAACAAATGCTGGAATTCGATTGATTACTTCTATTTATTTTATTATTCTTTGCCGACGAGGAATAGAGCTATTCCGGGTTGTTGAGTGCCCCCGCCATATAACACCAACAAGCATCCAACTCTCGTTCAACTCCCGATGATCTGTACTATCTCGCTCTACGCCTGAGACTCGCACACCATGGCGACTAAGAAGGGCCAGCCACAGGTAAGTTCGAGCATGGAAATTCTCTGCGAATCAATAGCTTTCATACAAGGAACTCAGTGACTGATCAATTCCCCAGGAAATGGTCCAGGTTGGTTCGTACCTCACTTACTCCCTATCTTGGGAATCTCCGTTACAATGGCTGATGTAGCTCATCTATTTATGGGCAATATAGATCGCTCTGAGTATGTGCTTAGATCCAGTCTGTTCCCTAGTTCTGTCGCATTCATGCTGACAATCGCAAAGACGGGCCGGATCCCCTTTCTGGAAAGGCAGCTCGAGTTCCTTGAACCAAGGAACTCCCAAGTCCCATGAGCAGAATGCGGTCGTGGGCGCCTCATATTCTCATGCTAATATCTTAAAGTTCGCCGTTCCCGTGCAATTGGCCGTCCGAGTCTAGAAACTGACACATGCGTTCCGAACAGAGGGATCCCACAGCAGAATGCGCCTCCCCGAACACCTCCTCGATCATCGTCTGCACATACCCAACAAACCACATCATCTCCCCACCGACCAGGAGCATGGGGCAGTGCATCCGCTCACACATCCTACCCGGGTATCACGAGTTACGCCGATGAAGAGGACGACGAAGACGATGATGACGAAGAGGGCGATATTGTCTACGATGATGATGAGGATGAATTTGGACTCCCTAGTATTGCTAGCATGCGAAGGAAACCAACCAAGCGTTCCGACGCTTTTCAGTTCAAAACCGTTGATACAGGTGGTGGTGCCGGTGGTGACAGAAGTACGCGCAGCGGCGGCTTTGAAGCTGCAGGCAATGCAGCAAATCTGGGGTATGGACTGGGGTCAGGCAGGTTTCGCGCCAATAGCGCGGATATTGCCGAGGAACGTGGTACGCCAATGTACCCCACTGCCCGAAAGGGGGAGGGTAAGATTCTCCGGCCTCAGTATAAAGAAATCCTGAGAGGTAAATCAATTCCGAACCGCAAGCTAAGAATTGGCTTTTTACTGACTCCTCTAGATCCCGCTCATGCCTTAAACCTCATAAACCATTCACCGCCACCAAAAAATGCATCGTCGAAAGAGAATGACGAATACTCGAGCCGCATATCCAGGATCAACAAATTCAAACGTCTCCTGCAAACAAGCACCGTCCCCCTAACCGAATTGAGGAACTTGGCATGGTCAGGAGCTCCTGAAGAAGTACGAGCTATGACTTGGCAGCTTCTCCTCGGTTACCTACCGACTAACAGCGAACGACGAGTTTCCACCCTCGAAAGGAAGCGCAAAGAGTATCTTGATGGTGTTCGACAAGCCTTTGAACGCAGTGCTGCGGCTGCGGCAAACCCACCACCGTCGACAACTGGACGTGGACGGGGTTTGGATGAAGCAGTATGGCATCAAATAAGCATAGACGTGCCGCGCACTAGTCCTCATATCCCGCTTTACGGCTACGAGGCTACACAACGCTCCCTAGAAAGGATTCTTTATGTTTGGGCCATACGGCATCCAGCAAGTGGCTACGTGCAAGGAATAAATGACCTTGTGACGCCTTTCTTCCAGGTTTTTCTTGGAATTTATGTCACAGACCTCAACGTTGAAGAGGGCATGGACCCAGGTCAACTACCAAGAAGCGTTCTTGATGCCGTGGAAGCGGATTCTTTTTGGTGTCTTACGAAGCTGCTCGATGGTATACAGGATAATTACATATATGCACAACCAGGCATTCATAGGCAAGTCAGAGCGCTACGAGATTTGACCACGCGCATCGATTCTGGTCTTGCGAAGCACTTGGAGAGTGAAGGAGTGGAGTTTATGCAATTCAGTTTTCGATGGATGAATTGTCTGCTCATGCGGGAAATGAGCGTTCAAAACACCATTAGAATGTGGGATACATATTTGGTATGTGCAAACTTCAGCTACAGCAGCCAGGAAACATACTCATTATAATACCAGGCTGAGGAGCAGGGCTTCTCGCGATTCCATATATACGTTTGTGCAGCTTTTCTTGTTAAATGGTCGGACCAGTTGATGAAAATGGACTTCCAGGTGGGTATAACTTGTCTGACGCTAAGTATGAAGGAAAATGAGCAGACGAAGCTGACTATATACAGGAGATTATGATGTTTCTTCAAGCTCTTCCAACAAAAAACTGGACAGACAAGGATATCGAACTGCTGCTGAGCGAAGCATTTATCTGGCAGAGTCTATTCCAGGACTCCCGTGCCCATCTTCGTCCGACTGGTGAGAAAGCGCCAGAGGATGGTTTGTAATAATGTCAATCATAATTCATTAATATGCCCTGGATATGTCGTACTCTTGGATTTTTTCCCAGCATGTTGCATAAGAGAAATACGATTCCCATGTTCAAGTGAAATGGAAACCCTTTTGGTTAAACGCCCACAGCAACTTCAGGAAATCATTCTCATCACACATCCTTGCCCGCTTGTCTGCGAGCTTTGTCTCATCTTCCAAGACCTGGCGTACTTTCTCGCGCACCAATTCTGCGACCTTCCCCTTCTTCTTGCGGTTCGGGTTGTTCTTCTTAAGGGCTTCCTGGACACGAGCATTTGCTTGCTCCTTGAAAAAGTCTGGCACATCATCTTCGTCGTCTACCTCCATGGTCTGATCTTGATCTTCCTCTTCTGCGTTGTCTTGCGCATCACCAATGTCCATAGCGTCACCGCCTTCATCTTCAGCAGGCCCATCCTCAACCGGAATGTCATTTTGTGCGCACCATGTCCGATAATTTGCTTCCAACATGTCCATGATGCCGGTTTGCCCAATGAAGCTGGACCGAATAGTCTTATTCTTTCTGACAAAGACAATTCGTAAGAGCCCATCCCATTCTTCATAACTGATCTGTGGTCTGGGGTTCTTGGGGACCAGACGGACGACGCTCGACTCGACAAGCGGTGGAGGCTTGAAGTTGTTTTTCCCAACTTTCATGATATGATCGATCTTAGCCCACATTTGCGCGTTCACGGAAAGTCGACTGTAAAGCTTATCTCCTGGTTTCGCGAAAAGTCGTAGGGCGAATTCACGCTGGAACATGAGAATGCAGACCCGAGGTGCGGGGGAGGTCGCAAGAAGTTTGAAGGTAAGAGGGGAGGAAATCTAGTAGCGATTAGCATACACAGTCAAAACAGAACCCAGGCGTATATAGCCATACCTGATAAGGGGTGTTGCTAATGCAAACATCGAAGTATGGGAGCTCTGTCTTAATCACATCTCCCAGAATGACATCCAGACGCTGCTGCACCGGGGTACCCTGAACACGCTTGGTGATTTCTGCCGCCATTCGAGGATCCAATTCGACAGCGATACATTTCTTCGCCTTCTCGAGGATCTTGACTGTCAGATTACCTGTACCGGGACCAATTTCGAGAACAACCTGCAGTGCGCGATGTCGTTAGCATGTACCATCAATATATAAGCGCATCCCTCTCAAGAGATTTACATCACTCTGCTTCAATGCTGCCTTGTCCACAATAGCCTGAGCAATACCGGGGTTCTTCAACACGTGTTGACCGATATCCGTATTCATCCTGAAGACACTGCTGGCGGCTTTCGTTTTGGCGGCCGCATCTGCGTATGGGCTTTTCGCAGCGCCACTGCGCTTATTTGTCTTCACCTTGGGCATTGTGCTAAAATAGCTACCGGTGATAGAGCAGGAGCCGGGGACTAAATCGTGGATCTAAGAAATAGAAAGGGATCAATTGAGCGGCAATGCTCGTAGACTTTTTTTTTTTTTTTATCATCGCGGACGTACCGATAAGATTACCGGAACCCGGCTCTATGTTGTTGCGTGCCATGGCTTTCGACGCCATCGAATTCCAGTTTACTCTTAAATCCAGCGACAGCAACTTAGTGCTTTTTATTTGCGCACAGGCTTTTCGTCAACATGGCGTCCGGGCGAAAAGATTTCTTGAACCAACCAGCCCCCGAAAACTACGTTGCGGGTCTAGGTCGTGGTGCCACCGGATTCACCACGCGGTCGGATCTGGGACCTGCACGAGAGGGCCCTACTCCAGAACAGATCCAAGCTGCGCTTGCTAAGAGAGCAGAACTTTTAGGTGCAGCTCCCCCGACGGCATACGGGGCTGCTCAAAAAGGCGGCAAGGAAGACGAAGAGGACGAAGGAGGGGACGATGAACGATTCCAAGATCCAGACAACGAAGTCGGTCTTTTCGCCTACGGCCAGTTTGATCAGGATGATGACGAGGCAGATCGCATTTACGAGGAAATAGATGAGAAAATGGACAAGCGACGGAGGATAAGAAGGTTAGTAGCATTTCTCCTTGGCCCGAAAACCATTCTTTTTTGTTCATCGGGTTCACCCCGGTTGTTTTGGACAGCAGACCGACTTGAATACTCGCCACCTTATAGGGAAGCCCGCGAAAAACAAGAACAAGAAGAACACGAACGAAAGAACCCCAAGATCCAGCAACAATTCGCCGATTTGAAACGTTCCTTAGCTTCGGTTTCCGAGGATGACTGGGCCAACCTTCCTGAAGTCGGAGACCTTACCGGAAAGAACAGACGAGCGAAGCAGAATTTACGCCAGCGTTTCTATGCTGTACCGGACAGTGTTATTGCCGGCGCAAGAGACGCGCAGCAATTCGATACTACCATAAACGAGGACGGCACACAAACCGAACGTGGAGGCGGGGACGGAGCGATGACGAACTTTGCGGATATCGGTGCTGCTCGTGACAAGGTGCTGAAAGTCAGACTCGACCAAGCTGCGGGATCGACAGGTGATGCCGCGTCGGGAAGTTCGACAAGTATCGACCCGAAGGGATACCTCACGAATCTCACGCAATCAGAACTCAAGGCTGGTGAAGTGGAAATTAGTGACATCAAGCGTGTTCGCGTCTTGCTCGAGTCGGTAACGAAGACGAACCCGAAACACGGCCCAGGTTGGATTGCACTTGCACGTTTGGAGGAGTTGGCTGGGAAAATGGTGACCGCCAGAAATACCATGGCCAAGGGTTGCGAGCTTTGTCCGAAGAGTGAAGATGCGTGGTTGGAGAATATCCGGCTTAACGAGGGACATAACGCCAAGGTCATTGCTGCGAATGCGATTAAAAACAACGATCATTCGACGAGACTTTGGGTCGAAGCTATGAAATTGGAATCGGATACTCGTGCAAAGAAGAATGTTCTGCGGCAAGCTATTCTACATATTCCTCAGTCCGTTGCTATCTGGAAGGAGGCCGTGAATTTGGAAGAAAATCCGGCTGATGCACGTCTTCTCCTCGCGAAGGCGGTCGAGATGATTCCTCTATCCGTGGAGCTTTGGCTTGCTTTGGCTCGCCTTGAATCTCCAGAAAATGCGCAAAAAGTCCTCAACGCTGCCCGTAAAGCAGTTCCAACGAGCTATGAAGTGTGGGTTGCTGCGGCGCGACTACAAGAGCAAATGGGTACTTTCCACAAAGTCAACGTCATGAAGAGAGCTATCCAGTCTCTTGCAAGGGAGAATGCCATGCTCAAGCGAGAAGAATGGATAGCGGAAGCTGAACGATGCGAAGAGGAAGGCGCAGTTCTCACCTGCGGTGCGATTGTCCGTGAGACGCTGGGATGGGGCCTGGATGAAGACGACGACCGCAAGGATATCTGGATGGATGACGCTAAGGGCAGTATCTCCAGGGGCAAGTACGAGACTGCTCGAGCCATTTACGCCTATGCGCTGCGCGTCTTCGTCAACCGTAGACCCATCTGGCTCGCAGCAGCCGATCTGGAGCGCAACCATGGTAGCAAGGAAGCGCTGTGGCAAGTTCTCGAAAAGGCTGTGGAGGCGTGTCCACAGAGCGAGGAGCTATGGCTGCAGCTTGCTAAGGAGAAGTGGCAATCTGGAGAAATCGATGATGCACGGCGAGTTCTCGGCCGTGCCTTCAACCAGAACCCCAATAACGAAGACATCTGGCTTGCCGCCGTCAAGCTGGAAGCTGATGCCGACCAGACAGACCAGGCGCGAGAGCTGCTCTCCACGGCCCGTCGCGAGGCAGGCACAGATCGTGTTTGGATCAAGAGCGTCGCATTCGAGCGCCAACTGGGCAACATCGACGACGCTCTCGATCTCGTAAACCGAGGTCTTCAAATCTACCCCAAGGCTGACAAGCTCTGGATGATCAAGGGTCAAATCTACGAAGCCCAGAACAAGTACCCACAAGCCCGGGAGGCATACGGAACAGGTACCAGAGCGTGCCCCAAGTCTGTCCCTCTCTGGCTCCTGGCATCCCGTCTGGAAGAAACGACAGGCGCAGTAGTCAAGGCCCGTTCCGTCCTCGACAGAGCCCGTCTCGCCGTCCCCCAAAGCGCAGAACTCTGGACCGAAAGTGTCCGTGTCGAAAGACGCGCGAACAATATCGGTCAGGCGAAGGTCCTCATGGCAAAGGCGTTGCAAGAAGTGCCCAATTCAGGATTACTCTGGAGCGAAAGTATCTGGCATCTTGAGCCACGGCCGCAGCGTAAGTCACGGAGTTTGGAGGCGATCAAGAAGGTTGAAAACGACCCGATTTTGTTCATCACCGTGGCGCGGATCTTCTGGGGTGAGCGCCGGCTGGAGAAAGCCATGACCTGGTTCGAGAAGGCGATTGTTTCGGACAGTGACTTTGGAGATGGGTGGGCTTGGTATTATAAATTCCTGTTGCAGCATGGCACAGAGGTGAGTACCATCTCCAACCCCCTCTTCTGCGAGGCATTGCAACCCATAAAAACAATTCTAATCAACTATTCTTTCAGGAAAAACGAGCGGACGTCATCTCCAAATGCATCATAACCGAGCCCAAACACGGCGAAGTCTGGCAATCCATCGCCAAAGACCCAGCCAACGCGCGCAGGTCAACCGAGGAGATCCTCAAACTCGTTGCAAACAACATGAATTAATGCTTTCCATCCATGTCCGGTGTAATAATTGAGGCCTTTGCTTTTGCTTTTACTTTCATGGGATGGAATGCTATTGCGATTCTGGCGTTTGGGACTGGTTATTCCTTACCTGTATTATGAGAGATAGAACATACTACAAAGATGGCCATATCCACTGAGTGGGTAGTGGCATGTTATTTTGAAAGTTGCTTTTCTATAAGCGTCGCACCAGAAAGGAGTATATATAAAGCAACAAATGGATCATCTTTTAAAGCCAACGAATTGTACATATTGCACATCACTTCTAAGAAAGAGTAAGTAACTAGTAGGAAAGAAATATAAATAATAAGAACCATAAAACCTGTCAAGTCAACCCACGGGTATCGAACAAAATCCCACCACTGGTGGATCCAAGTCATCTCGTCTTTTTGTTGTAAATGTAACAATGTAAAGCCTTCCCTTGACCAAACCATACTAAATATCCAATCCGGAGATACCACAGCATAGCACACTCTGCAAGTCATGTCCTCCTCTAGCAATAGTAACATAAATAAATCTGCAAGGAAGAGGCGATAGACCATGGGATCCAAGATGATAGGAATCGAAGATGGAAACGCAAAAAACAAACAAACAAACAAACAAACAAAAAAAAAAAAAGAGCAAACTCCATGCCAGATGCGAGAATAAAACAAAGAAGTTCTCATGTCACAGCGTGACAAACAGCCTTCCTTTAGATCCCCAGGACGCCAGACCGGACGTCTTAGTCCTTGGTCTAATTATATCAAAATTAGCATCAACAAACCCAACACACGGAAGATTTGCGGGGAAAAATAAATGAGGAAAGGTAGAATGATACATATGTGTCGGAGGTAGGATGTAAGAAGGGAGAAAAGAGAAGAAGAGGGTAAAAAATGGAAAGGTTATGCAGCCATGAACAGACACTCGTCCAGCAACGAGCCCAATTGGTCTTGGTCCGTGGCACCGGCTCCTTCCCAGCCCGAGTCGGCTTCGTCCAGATCCATCTCGTCAGTGAAACTGGCTTTCGTGTCGTCATCAGTAAGAAACGGGGCACCATCAACTGTGCGGTCTTGCTTCTCCGTCTCAAGCTCATCCTCGAGATAACCGCCCATGACCTGATCTATAATTAAAGGCATATGGCTGAGTACACCCTCACCGAGTTCCAAGGCTAACCTAAGATCTCGAACCCCGAGAGGTTTCCTAACGGCCGCTTCTTTCGCTTCCACGGGAAGTAACCCACTTGCGCCGTCCTTGACGATCTCTCCGCGAGTGTAGGCTAGTTCCTCTTGTTCAAGTTGTTGTCTATACTTCCGCATCATCATGCCATTGATGGTACCAGACGGGCCATTGGATCTAGTTCGTGAGAAGACAACGGACAGAACCTCTTTCACAAATGTCTCTGTTGCAATTGCCATGAAATCCGCACAGGGAAGACCCGCACCGCTGACGATGGATTCTTCATAACATATCGGGATCATGCGCGCGTATATGGACTCAGAATCGGGGAACTCGCCAGTTTCTGAAGCTAGGGGTTGTGCGTAGCGTTTTCGAATTTCTAGTTCCCAGTCTGTGAAGATGGCGATTAGCATGAATAATTCAAGCACACAGAAGCAAACATACTGGTCTTATTCAAACCACCGGCACTTGCAGGAACCTGGCTTGGTAATTTGATTTGCTTGGCCAAATGATATTCTTCTAGCTCATTGGGCACCGTCTCGTTGGGATCACGCTGTCAAAAAAGCAAGAACTGTTAGCATCACCAGCGCATGCATGTTCCATAACAATGCCCAAAGAATACCTCTGGAATTGCCTTGAGACGCCGCCGGTCTCGGGCAGGCAGCTGCATCACCTCCGTCTTCAACCTGTGCTCAGCCGCATCCCCGGAGGCCGGCTTCGACACCACAGACGGCTTGTCATTCGCCGATACCCAGCTCGCAACGCCGTGGTCGGGGAGATCTCTTGTCAGGTTTCCAATGATTGCGCATACGAAGTTATTGTGAAGATGTTCGGTTTTCGGGTCGGCGCATATTATATGATCAACACGCGACGAGTATTCGCTTTGGTTAAGATGCCCTGTAGTGTGAAAGCGTACGGAGTTAGCCTTGCCGATGTCACCCAATATTTGCGCAAATATTGAAATAACCGCCCACCTAAAAGAAAAAGTGCCGTAGACTGTTTGTACTCAGACCAGTTATCGCCGATGGCGGCCTTCAACTCCGTATAGGCAGGTTCCAGTTCCAGTCGCGGAACGGAGATCAGGGCCTTGCTGGACGACTTCTGAGTCGCGGGCGCGTTGGGAGCAGAACCCTTGGACGAAGCTATCGCAGTCGACGCAGCAGCGTCCGCCCGACTCAGGGCCGCCGGGTCAATCTGCATGGTGTGGGCAAAAGGGCTCACAGGAGCGCGACGGGCTGCGCGAAGCCGGAGGCGGGGAGGGAAACTAGTAGGACTTCATGAACGTATATTCCGTCTGTAGCTGCGGGTTTCAGCTATAATAAGGGTCCTCGAGCCGACCACGAGCCTGGAAAGGCCGGCACCATAAGAAAAAAACGAGGGAATTGATGGAATCGCGATGGAAATGGGGGCCGGACGATGGAAAGCGTTGATGGGGGATGATGGAAGGAGGTTGAGGTTTCCTCTCGCCAGAAACGGTTATGCCCTCCGCCTTGGGAGCGATTCACGATCGGGTGTTTGCTCTCGAGAAGTGAATAGAATACTATAAACACTGGTCTACAGAACAATTTAAAAAAATATTTTTATAAATACTATAACTACTGCAATCGGACCGCATCTTCGTTGAGTAAACCGAACAACTTCCCGATTTCGCCCAACACCTCTACGATTTCCATCGACAACTGGCCAGTCACCAGAACTGCACTAGTTAGACACCATACCACCAGTATGAACAGGGCAAGTAGGACTTACTGTAGGCATAAATCAGCGCATAGTCCTCGTCAGTCGAGACACGCGACACTTCCTGATCCTGGCGATATCGGAAGATCCGGGCGAGCAGCCGGTCTCGTGAATGCTCAATGCTGGGGAGGACATCGACGAGCGGATATTCGAGTTTCATAGATGAAGCCATTACTGACAAGAGATGGCTGATGCGAGACGACAGATGCTTCCTCTCTTGTGCTGTGTACCGAAGAATAGAAATCTCACCCTCAGAAACATCCCAGCTCTTCACCAGCTCCAGATTCATCGCGTGGAATGCGTCCATCATACTCCGGGTACGACGAAGAATACCACCGTAGGCAGCATCGGAAAAAGCACTCTTCAGCTCAAACTCGGAACGGGCTGCAGCTTGAAGAGATTCCAGATGAGATTGGAAACGCTCAATTTCCAACTTCTCCCGCGGACTCATATATGCCTCCAACCTCCGTTCCATAGCCATGGTGGACAAAGGATCCCGCTTCCAAATCAAACTCATCCGGAGCCAGAGCAAGCTCAGATTGTGTTTCAATCTCGTACGAGCACTGACTGGCCAGATCACCCGTGTGATTATGACACCCCAGGCGCAACCGGATAGGACTGCAACGACGCGATGAAGAACAATGTCGGTAATGACTGGGTTATCTCCTCCTTCGTCATCATCATCGAGGGCCTCTTTCTGCATCAGCGAATAGGCGTATAGAACGGAGAGGTTGTAGGTGAGCATGATGTATCGGCTCATTGGTCCTTGTTTCTTGACAATATTTAGGTATGACGTCCAAGTCGCCATAAATAGGCCCAATACCGCCAGTCCATATACGTTCCCGGAAGTCACGTACCATGCTGCCACGGCACAGCCTGCCCCGAGGAAGGTCCCGAACGAACGAGCATATCCGGTGGTATTCGAGGTGCCGATGGTCATTGAACACACCAACATGTAGGACAACAAACCCCATTCGCCTCTCCAGTGAGCGTATAAGGGTCGAGTATAGGAAACAAACGATGGCAAGGCGTAGAGGGCTGCACCAGTCCCGACTTTGATTGCAAATTTTGTATCGTCCCGTCGGAAGAACCCAAAGGACTTCCAGATGCGATAGCCAAACCGTTCTTTTGTGGGGGAATTTTCGAGACTAGGAGGTAATGAAGTGGAGGGTTTGGACGGCCCAGTAGACACGCCATTCGTAACCGTAGGGCTCCCAATCAATGCCTGCTCTGCTAGGAAGTCAGCTCCTTTCTTCCGACGGAAATGAACGAACAAAACTTACCTGTATCAAGTTCATCCCCATCATTAGTCTCGGGTCCTCCTCGACGCCAGAACTTCAGCCAGTTCCAAGACCGTCCGCTGGGCCTCTCATCAGCCTCGAGGTGCAATTCATCTAGAATTGTCAAGAGCTCTTGTAGCTCTTCACCGAACGAGAGGAGCGAAAAACTAAAATGGCCGCAACTTGCAGAGACTTCCTCAAGGTCAGCTGACAATTCCACGGTTCGTATTTTCATAACCTCCTTTTGGCGGTAGATGGATTTTAGGGCACTTTCTCTCGATTCCTTATACAGTTCGAGGGCACGGTCGAGACTGGTATGGAATCTGCTGTTGATGCAAACGCGGTAATCTGGCCCAGGACCGAAAGGAATTTCCTTGAAGATCTCCATGTATGTAAAGGCGAGGGAGCGCTGTCAATCATTAGCATCCATTGATTTGATGATAATTTTGGGAGAGAAAATACCATAGAAGGTCCCAAGTGGTTTATGAACAGTGCAAAAATGTCTGCGTGTGGAAGACGGTAACTATCCAGCGAGTTCACACTAGACCGGTTTTTACGAGAGCTACCAGAGAAAGACACTTCTTCCTCCGGCCTCTCATCAATAGGCTCCAGGAAAGGGCGCTCATCATGCAATATCCATGGACTTGGCAAAGGGAGTTGGCCGTTCCCGCTTGAGTCGCCCTCGGGACTCCGGAGCTGCATCGATTCACCAAGCCTAGTTTGTTTAAGAAGCTGGAACTGCAGGAAAGCAGCACTGCGTAAACCTCCCATATTATGGGTGATATCTTGCACCAAACGGACGACATTCTTCTCGAGTCTGTATTCCTTTTCCGTGCCGGCGACATAATGCTCGAGCTTAGCTTCTTTCACTAAATTATCAAGCTGGCTGTAGGCCTGTTTGTGACGTGCAGCTGCATTGATGAACTCAGCTGACTGCAACTCCTCCTCAGACCCGCTCAGGAAGCTCTCCGTAAGCACCCCTGACATAATCGCTAGCGACTCGGTAACTGTAGTCAGATTCGACCGGAGTTTCTTTCTTGCAGAAACCGGGAAAATCAAAAGCGAGACGGCCATGGTGGCACCCACACCCAAGATGACCATTTTCAGGACCTGGGAGACTTTGGCAAGAGAGAGGTCGCCGCTTTGTACAGCGCCCTCCTTGGTCAAAACCGTGATAGTCGCAAGCGAAGTCAACGAGCAGGCGACATTGACCAACGGATCACCCAATCTCTGCTTTGTCCATCCAATGAACCCAAGACCACCTCCGCAGAACACAATGAGCACTAATGCATGCCCGAGCGGGCGCAAATGCAGCGTATCCTGGAAGAACATTGAGACACCCATGCTCGTGATGGAGACGAAGGCGGCGTAGAGGAAGGCCAAGAACGCACATATTGACGCCTTGTACATGCTTCCTTGCGACCTCGCTGGGTGAAAGTAGACGGTGACAGTAGCCACGACATGTTTTCCATCCTGCTGGCCCAAGAAAGACGCGATTGCAGGAATGAAAGTCGCCAGAGACCCCAGTAGGTAGGCCAGACTGCACTTCAGGACGCCAATCCCTACCTCCGAAGACAGAAAGTTGTAGACAAAGAGCCAAGCATCCCGAATTTTCGCACGAGTTTTCGAGACGATCCCTTCGTTATTATATGCGATGTCACCGGAAAGAAGCCCGCGTCGCTCGTCGAGTTCCGAATTTGAATTCGCACTGGAATCGGGGGAGGTATATGCATTTCGTAAATTGACCAGGCCTCTTAGACGCTGACCAGTCTTTGGTAGGACAAAGGTCGCCTGGCGTAACTATAGCATACAAGTTATACGTTAGCAAAGAATACCTCTTGAGATTTGTTGACGCTTTTCTACTCTACCTTTGGGCGTGAGAAGCGGGAATTGGTCGATGAGTCCCTAGACGACGGCATGATCTCATTCTATCTCCTGAGTTGCTCAATGCTGAAGCTGAGGTCCATAGTTTCTGGCAGAGAGAATGAACCCTGAGAACATCTGGAAGCGTTTGGAATGAATGGGGTTCTTGTATCAGCATAGCTCAGAACCAGGGAGCTCCACCACAATAGACTGTCGGTATTTATCGCCACGCGATTCACTGCTAGGCACACGGAAGATCTTCAAACCTTCCCTTTTGGGACATATTATGACATGTGACCAACTCAGCAGGATTTCTCACCAGATGCCAAGGGCTGCAGTGTTATCATCATATGTACTCCGTAGAGGCACCATGTGTGCGTTTCTCCGCGTCTAAGGGGGTTGCCAAGTCCTTACAACGGTTGACTACGTCGGATATTCTGCATACCTTGTGGAACAAGATGAGGGCATCGTCGGGATACAATTCAACTATCATACGATATTTTAAGGCATTCTTGTTTGATCTATTTCAGGCCCTCCACTTTCCAGACCTTTATGGCAGCATCAGCACCAGCAGAAGCCACCTTGGACGACCCGGCAATCCATGCCACTCCGGTTACACCCTCCTTGTGAGCGTTCGTGACCTGGAGCCAGTCGCCAGGGCTGCTCAAGCTCCAAACGAAGATGTTGGTATCCACAGAGCCACTCACCACATGAGTATTGCTCTCATCCCAGGCAAGGGAAGTAATTCGGGCAGTGTGCGCCGTCCAGCGGTCAGTAACCAGACTGCCATCAGCAACCTTGTAGACAAGGATGCGGCCACGAGAATCACCAACTGCCAGGAGTGACCCATCGTTCGAGAAGGTCAATGCAGACACAGGGTTCCTGCCGGTTTTGATGTCTGCCTTAGGGGATAGGCTAGTGCTAGAGACGTCGCAGATTTGAACAGATGTATCTTCGCCCCCGACAGCCGCCACGCTCCCGTGAGCCGCGACAGCAGAGACCGACGACTTGGGTTTGTACTCCCCAGACTTGCTTCCATCGCTGTAAATCTCAACACCTTCCGAGGTTCCCACCAACACGGTCGAGTTACCGGCAGCAACGCCCTTTGGTTGGCCGGATAGCTTAGAGGAGCTTCCGGTGTATGTTTTGGCGCCAATGTCAACGGACCGGAGGGTATCGTCCCAAGCCACACTATAGATTCTACCAGCGCCCTCTTGGGTGGGTGCGAGGCCTGCGATGTACGCCGTGTGACCGGCTCCCTCCGCTTCTTCGGCGAGTCCCTTCGAGACGTCCCAGCTGCAGACTCTTCCGTCAAAGCTGCCGGTCCACAGGGTTTGATTGTCACTGGTAGACCCAAATTGGTTTAAAGAAGTGATGTTCTTCTGGTGACCCTGAATAACCTGTCTGGGCTCAGGCGTACCTTCAACGAGGTAATTGAGGTCACCGCTGAGCGACAAACTGATGAGCAGACCGTCGCTTCTGCCAGCAGGCCAAGTCACACCAACCTGGTGGTCTCTGATATCCTCTCCGAGAGTCCAGCTCTGCGAAACCTTGCCTGCCTCAGCGTCCCAAATCTTGACGGTCTTGTCAGCGCTCGCTGTCGCAAATTTCTTCGAATCGCCCGACCACGAGACACCAAAGACGCTTCCCTTATGCTCTCCCTCTCCAATTTGGCTCTTGACCTCACCAGTCTTGCCATCGTAAAGCCAGATCCGTCGGTCCGCGCCGACACTGACCAAATTAGAGCCATCAGGGCTAAAAGCATTTCCGTAAATGTAATTGGTATGCTTCTCGCGGATCGCATTGTTGAACTTGAACGGCGCCCCGTGGTAAAAGACAATCCCCATGTCGTCACCGCCAGCGGCTGCTCGCAGAGGTCTTTGTTGTCTAATCGAAACGGTGTTGATCTGTTGCGTGTGTCCCATAATCTCACCGACTGTGTTTCCACTGTCCCAAGTAATGCAGTGTCCGTAGCGTTGCTTTCCATCGCCAACGGCAATAATACGCTGAGAATCGCCGTCCCAGGCCAGATCATTGATTCGACCATTGACAATGCTGTAGTCGCCCTTTGTGATTCCGTCACCAACACAGTCCCAGACTCTGACTATACCGCTTGCATCACCACTGGCGATGTAGAAGCCGGAGGGAGAGAAACGGGCGACCGTTGTGTTGGCATTGTGTTCGGTGTACTGTCTCGCGATCGTGGGGTTATCGATAGACCGGACGAAGATAGATTTGTTCGACTAGGTAATGACACAATCAGTATTTCGCATTATTACAATAAAAAACTGCCCCGGATAATCTTTCATACAGCATAAGTAAGACGTTCACCCTTGGCATCCGAAGAGAGTTGGGTGGGTTGACCTCTCGTCGTGGAGGGGCTTGCGGCCCAGATGGACTCTGTATATGTCAGATTATGTGCATGAAGAAGGGGATAAATGCATCAACATACCGTTGGTAATGGGCATGGTTATACCAGCAGCGGTAAAGTGTGCAAAAATGAAATTATAGGGTATACAAAGGAGAGGAATACGGATAGGAGAAGAATGTGTTTACTTGTTATATAGACTCTGGGGAAGGTCGTCGGCGTAGTGGGGAAGGAAACATCACAACGGCAGACCGAGTTTCAGACGGAGGATCATCCCCTGTAGTCCGGCCACCAATGAAGCAGTGAAATTACAGGGATCGATATATGATAATCATACTACATATGTATTTGTAGATATAAATGGCTAATATTACACTCGTGTTCTTCTCATTTCTAATCCGTCCCATAAACAAAAGCAGTAAAGGCAAAACTCCATATCCTACACTTGGTATTGATTCATGACCTTCCTTTCTAATTTTTCACTTTTATGTCTCGCGAAAAATGACCTGTCTTAGTACACATTGTTGGAGTTCCCGTCTAGCCTTGCCTTGGCCTCTGCAGCCAGAATCTCCGGGTGTCTGTGAACGCTGGGCATGAGTCCGAGCCCGATAGCCCTGCGGATGGCTTTTGCGATTTTACGCTGGTTGACTGGTCGAAGACCAGTTTCATTGCGGTGTTTGATGCGTCCCATAGGCGTCATATATTCAGACATGATCGAGAAGTTCTGTCACAGCATTCCCAATTAGCCAGCCATTCCATTTCCAAGGTTCCATATAATGAAGTACATCTGTCGAGAGGAGAAGCATACCTTGTAGAGATCAAGGGGATTCTTGTCTATGGCGTCAAAAGCATCCGTAGGCGGGCTGTGGCGCACCTTCCACTTCCTCATCTCGGACGGACTAAGGTCATGCGGTGCATAGACATCTCCTGCCCTCCACTCCCGAGTCTGAAATCTTTCCAATGCCCTGCTCTCAGCCTGCTTCTTTTGTTCCTCAGCTATTCTGGCGCGGTTCTGGAGTGTCGTGCTACGGTGGTATGGTTTGGGACCTATTTTGGAACGTCAGTCAACGATTCGGTACAGGACGCTGGTTTCCGTTCAGAAGTTCGATATACCCCGGGTAGGTCTAGCAGCACTCTGGAGGTACGAGACGGTGTCTGCGTTTGTCGAATTCCACCGGCATGTCGACAAGGGCCCGGAGTTGGCGCCGAACGTGCGCGATGGTAAACGGGAGAATATATTCAGAGTCATTGTGTTTTGGTAGCAATTCGAGTAGAAACCACCCTCCAGAAAGTAATTGATTGGATTGGGGATCAAGAACGAAGATGGTGAAGCCGAAGGCCAGAAGAGTGGAGAGCGGATTCTCGGAGGATTTCTTTTTGTCGCGCCAAGACCCGCGTTCTCTGCGTTTCTTCCCTTTCCGCCGCAATTGGTTTCTAGCAGCTCATTTTTTGTTCCAACGAGGGTTGCTTACAGTGCCTGCTCTGGTTGCTAAACTATCATTTGTATCTTACCTTTTTTGGGCCATACCGAAGTCTAATATAAAGTCGACCTGCGTTGAGAATTGACCCCACCAATCGATTGCCCTCCGACGCCGAATTGGACGACCAAGCACTTTTGCAGGCTGCTAGCAGCTAGGGAATATATTATCAACATGCAATCCCATCTCACCAAACGGGTGTTCCGGGCGATCCTGAATAACGAGCCGTTATGTTCGTCGAGATGCCGCTACCATCTTCTACACACGATCCCCTCACATCGAGCTCGAAGTCTAGGCCTGCCAAAGTTCAACCATGTCCAGCGACGAGGATTATTCGCATTCAATATGAAACCGCAAGGTATTGAACTGCAGGCGACAACTCTGAAATCCGAGATTGGTCTGAAGACGATGAGGGATCTAATGCGGTCGTTAGAGGACAAGAGTCGGGGACCAACAAACGATGTCATTGCGAAAGCTTTTCGAGATTTCTTCACGGCACGAGCGGATACTCCGGGATTTATTACCGGATTCCAGGGCCGCCTGCTTAATATAACATGGGAGCACTTGCATTCTCAACAGCAAGATATGGAATCGAGTGATTGGGCGGCAGTATTTTCAACAGAAAGTCTGGAGAGTGTGTTATTTGTCTTGTCTGAAGCAACGTGCTTACCCGCATCTCGTGAATTTATCCTCAACATAGCACACTCGGTCTTTCTGGAGCTCTGTGCGGACCAGGGATTTGGCCCTAACGAGGTTAGTCGGCCTGCACTCACGGCCTATGTCAACCTGATGTCTTCAAACGGTGAGCCTGAGCGAGCTCAGGAAACAGTCGAAGAGTTCTGGGACAAGCTGCAGAAAGCAAAGCCGTCTCCCTGGCTTGCGGTAATTAAGGGATACGCCGTCCAAGGCGGCCGAGCTGAAATCAAACAAATTCCAGCAAGACTTAAGAAGCACGGCAAGCAGTATGACGCTGCAAGCCAGGAAGAATTGATTAAAGCGCTCATTGAAGAAAATATCTGGCCTGCCGTCCAGGCACTCTATGAGTGCCCTGTGTCAAGCGGCAAAGAAGAGTCCACTTATGCTACAAAGGAAGCTGTGATTAGATACGCGCTTTTCAGATCCAAAGCTACTTGGGCACAGCCAATTTTCAATTCGATTGCGCAACGGCCTATTGCGGAGACTATCAGTATTAGTTTGCTCTGGGAAGCGGCCCAGGGCGGTAACGCGTTTGACATCTCAGAGAAGGCCAGAACCTGGACCGCCGGAAACCCAACCGCACATCTTACGACGTCATGTCTAAACGATTTGATTCACTTTGCCAATGTCATGGACAACCCGCAGCTGGCCACAGAATTCTTCTCTCTGGCCTCGCAATGGGGTCTCGAGCCAGACTCACAAACCAAGATGTTGCAGCTGGAAACGTACATACTGGCTAAGGATGTTGACCGGACACTTGAACTTATGCGGGAGCTACCTGATATCGACGCTGCGGTATTTGACCACCTGCCACTGATGAATAAGCTCATAACGATGCTCTGCTGGTCTGGACAGGGAGACGTTCTATTCAATCAAGTATGCGGCCTTTTGGACCCCTTATTCGAGAACAATGTACGCTTGGAACCTGTGACTCTCGCAGCATTGACACATCTGCTACTTAGTCGACGTGACTGGGAGGCTGTTTCGGAACTGCTTCGTCCGCGCCTTGGTGCCCTTGATTCGGGAGAAGCAACTGTGGTCCGGGAAGTAGTTACAAACTACATACTGGATGCCAGTAAAGACACTGATGATGTTTGGGGGGTATATAATCTCGTGCGACTTGCATTCCCCGAAACGGGGGTGAACAAGCGAACTGAAATCATGTCTGCCTTCTTCGAGCGTAACAGAAGTGACCTGGCTTGTCTGGTATTTGGTCATATGCGCCAGGCAGAAAATCCGGGACAGCGTCCAAAACCCTTCACCTACGCTCTGTGCTTGCAAGGAATTGCCCGCGCAGCCGATACAAAGAATCTTGAACTGGTCCACAACATGCTAAAATTGGATATCGAAGTTGATCTAAACACTCAAGTACGGAACGGTTTGATGCTCGCATATGCGTCTTGCGAGATGCCCGAACAGAGTATGAAGCTATTCCGTGAAATCCTCACATCCGAAGAAGGACCTACGCACAGGACCATCGGAATCTTCTTCAAGGCTTGTGAAAGCCACCACAATGGAGTCCAAGAAGCCATCAAGATGATGCAGAAGGCAAAAGATTTGGACATCGGGATCGACCGCCGGATGTACGTGACGTATATTGTAGCATTGGCTGCGCATTGCGAGTTCGAACTTGCTACGGTGGCTATTGATAACATGTTTTCTGAAACTGGCTACAAGCCAAGTCGAAAGACGTGAGTATTTGTATCCTCTTGTCTTTGTATTATAACGCTAACAGAAAATCAGGATTGGTCTCTTCTACAACGCGATTCCTTACCAGTACTGGAAAGACGAAGTTGAGACATGGGCGAAAACCAAATATCCAGAATTATGGGACCATCTAATGGAGCTGAGTCGTTCTGAGCACGAGGAGGGATTGAGATTCGATAAGCTCTCTCTTGAATACCTTGTATAATGGGACCGAACGAGGTCTCTGATGTACATATTATTGTATCTGTATATATTAACGGCGAGATTATGATGAATTACTGTTCAAAATATATTGCTAATAAATCCTGAGATAAGGCCATTTCTCGATATTCGCTCTTCTGGAAGCAACTTTAATGAGGAGGTCTTTGCTCCCAACTGCTCATGACAACTTCCTTCCCGATCAACCACACTATGTACTATCATGTCGAATCCTCAATGGTGCTTAGTTCCATGCAATGCTACATGCTTCAGCTATCTGGCCAACTTGCTCCCATTCATTACAACCGATATTGAATATTATTACATAGCATAAAGTCATTCGCTAGAAAGAGATATCACAAAGAAAATAGATCACTGCAACCGTCGAGCCCCAGCTTCATGTGCCAGTGTATACTCAGTGGTGACTCGAATAGCAAGCGAAGGATTCCCCTCTGGTCCTGACCCCGACGATCCAGGCCCAGCTTCCTCCTCATCATGTCCACTAACATGGGTATTTTTATTATTCAAAATCATTTCCTTACTTGCAGTCGACGCCCTCTTCGCATCGCCATCATCCCTATCCCCCAACGTCGTCGTAGTCGTCGGCACATCATGCAATTCCATATGGCCCGTTCGATTACTACTGACCAACGATGTAATATATGTCTTCGTATTCCCAGAACCCTTTGATCCAAAATTATTATACCCCGACGATGAAGGACCTGTGTAATTATACTGCTTCCCACGATTGCTCGACCCGATCCAGCGAGTGTTCCGGAACAACGGCTTGATACCGGGCAACGAGACAACGATAGCAGCGACGAAACACTCGCGGTTCGCCCAGCCCAGCGCGATGCTAAGCGTTGTCAGGGACTTTAGAGAGTAGTAGGCGCGGAGAATGGTGCAGATCATGATGAAGATTCCCGAGGAGAACATGGCGGTGAGGATTGCCTTGCGGTGCAATGGGACTTGGAGTTTGATGAGGATGGGGATGGGGATTAGGATGATGATAATGTCGGAAACGACGTTCATGACGGCGATGACAATATATAGTGGACCGCGGATTGTGCAGGAGTCTGTTTTGTGGTTAGCTTCAGGCGCTTTGATACGTGGCTGGGTAGGGACGTACCTCCGGCATAGGGCTTGACCTGCCAATTACGAGCAATCGGCATGCAAATGCAGATATGCGTCAACATACACACTAGCCATGTCATGAAACAGAACGCTGATGCGGCCCAGACTAGATGTTGTCGTCGAGTTCCTTGTCTATTGCCTGTCAGCAATTTAGGGTTTTATCTTGCGAGGAAGGGAGCGTACGTGAGTTTGTTGTATAGACAGAGCAAGACACCTTTGAGGCACCAAATATAGCACATGTACCAAATCCAGTTCATGAAAGCCAGCTTCGAACCGAGCTCTCGTTTGGGCACCTGGTCGTCTGGGACTTCCATTGCGGTGACGGAATTGAGGCCGATGTTATTCCCGAATAAAACTGCATACAATCGATCAGTTTCATATCGTCAATCGGTAGAGCCGGGTCTGTGCAGTGTACCAAGCAAGTAGATAATAGCTGTCTGGAGGGTGAAAAAGATCTAGATCCGTCGACGTTAGTCAATGCTTGTCTCGCTGATACGAAAGGAGCTCACAAGAGCCATGATAGCAAACGCATCGTCCAACTGCAAACCGCACACTCCAGCCATTCTCACTCGGGAAAATAGCCGGAGGAGCAGGAAGCAAGTGCCAATTGCATATTCTGCAAAACACTCGGCGATCTGGTTGTAAGCCATGTCGTGCAGATACAACAGAATAGCATTATCTTCGACACGGTTTTAAGGATGGTACGTTAACTTATATGAAGTGCTTCCATCCTTTGTGTGGATTAAGATATATGGAGTACCATATAATAATATGGAATAGTCAACGTCTTTTTGTCATTCTCTACGAGTACATCTTTATTTCCTTTTTCGCCCCTGTTCTATTGACAGATCGAAATTTCTTGCTGAAACCCATATACATTTACTCGTCTCGCCATGGATCCCTGTCATGAAATCTAGGAGACAGGTCCCAAACGATGTCCTAATGTAGCCAAAAGACCGGGCTGTACCCTCCATTAGGGATCACCAGACGGCAAATTGTAGCAGGATAGTCGAACTGGTTGACTGTGATAGCAAAGCTCATCACATACTCCATACATGAGAAGCTGACACGGCCCAGCAAACAGTCGTGGGATTTTTTTATCTATCATTTTTCGACTCACTGTCACACAATGTCAAATTGCCTCTTTGACGGAAGCGCACGGCATAGTCTGATCGATCAGTGGTGCGTCTCAGATCCATTCCTGCCCAATAATCCCACCTGTATGAATTCAATAAACGACAGCTGTGGGGATCTCCTACTGGCTGATCTTGATCCGGTCTGGAATTATCGTCAGGTCAAGTGGAGCTGTTGTTTCCATTATTATATCCTAGTGCATGTGCCAACGGTAAGGATTTTGGATATGCCGGTATACGACATCCGGACCCGCTTTGCCTTCTTTGTCTTACCCTTTCGGCATTGTGCGCCGTCAATGCAAGAGCTAAGATACAGTCAGACGAAAGAGAAAGAAAGAAAAGTACCGGACGTGATCTGCACAACGCCAGTAAATTGGCAGGTTGGACCGAGTGCCAGTGCTTCGGTACTGTTTTTCCTCCCTCATATGGAAGGGAAGGGCTATGTCCCGTTTGCTCTCTCCCAGGTGCTCGGTATGGCCTGGATGGCACGGCAGGAGTAATAATACTCTGTAGTATGCGAGTAGTTCAACCCAAGTAATATAAAGCCTCTGGTTATTTTGGACGTAGTGTTTCAATCCAGAACAACAGTATCACCTTGCAACACGATGACACCAAAAATCGCACTCATTACCGGAGGTGCCAGCGGCATGGGCCTCGCCGTGGCCAAATCCCTCGCAGCTCAAGGATCCTGGCATATCCATCTGCTCGACATTCATCCCGATCGAGGCACCGAGGCAGCAAATGGCCTACATCCTCATGCGACCTTTCACAAAGTCGATATATCGAACTACAATGACCTGGCAGCGGTCTTCCAGGAAGTTTTTCAGCGGCACCGTCGACTCGACTTTGTTTTTGCCAATGCGGGGATCATCGAACGGACGAATTTCTTTGAGAATCTGCCACAGCAGAAACCCACAGATACAGAGCAAGTACCGCCGGAGCCGAAGGGTCTGCAGGTTATCAGTGTGAATCTGAATGGCGTCGTATTCACCAGTTACTTGGCGATGCATTACTTCCGACGGTCACCTGACAAGGGCAGGGGATGCAATTTGGTCATGACAGCCAGTTGTGGAGGATTGTATCCTTCGCATTACTCGCCGTTGTACACTGCTACGAAGCGTGGGTCTCCCTAGTCCGTCCTATATTAAATCGAATTTTCCCCGGTGATAAATCACATCCAACGGGTGGAACCCCCCAAACAAGAAAGACAAGCACGAGGCAGTACTAATTTTCGGAAACAGATGGCGTGGTCGGATTCATGCGCTCCATTGCAACTCAATTATGGCAAAACGACGGCATCCGGGTCAATGCCATCTGCCCCGGAATCGCACAGACCGATCTTGTCGGTGCTCAAGGATGGGCCAGCTTCCCTCCTCACCTGTTCATCCCGTTGGAAACCATCGCCAGGATTGTGCTTATGCTCATCCTGGCGGATGACGGGAGTACGGACCACGGAATGACCGATGCAACGGGCACGTTCATTCCTGCCACGCAAAGGTACGGCCGTGCGGTGGAGATCTCGGGGGACAAGTTCTACTTCCGAGAGGCGCCTGAATTCTGTGATGATGGGATGCGGGCGATCATGGCAGCGACGGTGGTGGAGAATCAGGTTGGAGGCGTGCTGAATGGTACTTCTCGTACAAGCAAGCTGTAGTGGCTAATGAAGATCATTGGATATCCTTGTAAGCGACATAAGCGAGGGCTAAAGGATTCCCGGGTTGAACTGCCGGAACTTTTGCCGCCTGCGCCGCATAAAAATGAAGTCAAACGAAGTAAAGAGAGGGAAAAACAAGCAATTGTATTTATTGTACATATGAATGCACTTCGGGATAAAATTTCCAAATTAACATCAGACCAATGCGACCCCGTTAACTGTCATTCTTATCCGACTTTGACTTTCGGACTGGCCCGTCTACCAAAACCCCAATCAGTGGGCCCGAAGGAACGGCGGTTTCGCTTCCAGTTGGTGCTGGCCATTGGGTGATGTATCTGTCAATAAATGCAAACGCACTCTGACAGCTATATTTTGGAATTCCGGATCATTTTAAAATGAATATGACTAGTATTATGTATCTATACCGACCCGAAGTTTATCTGACTCGTAGTAAAAAAAAAAAAAAAAAGGAAAGTGCATCACGGAATGGCATCTTGCAGCCGCGAGTCATCCCCATGCATCATCCGGAATAAAGGCTCCCATACGGTTACTGCCCTCTTCGTAGCCATCCCATTGGCGTATTCCGGCATCGGATAGAGGACACACCGGTCCCCGGAGCATTCGAGCATTTCACCTGCCATTCCTGTCGTATCATCCAGGAAGGTTTGGAACGCGCTCAGGACTGTTTCCATTTGTGTTACGCTGATTCAATTCTGTTAGCGACATTCATCCGATTGTTCAAATGGGAAACTCACCACTGCGGCGTGACTGCTGCGATCATCTCCGGTGGCACGATCGGTGTCGCTACAATTCCTGGAAGCACGCAGTTGATCAAGATGTTCTCCCGCTGTTTAAGCAGCGGTGCAACGCCTCGCACGAATTGGTTGACAGCTGCTTTTGCACCACAGTATTCCGGATACGACGGGTGAGGAAACATGCCTCCAACGCTGCTCGTCACCACAATCTTCCCTCCGTGCGGCTGATTAAACTTCATGAAATGTCTCGCCAGTTGTACACCGTAGATGACACCCTTGTAGTCCGCATCTGTGCAAGACAAATTCGGCTCCGGAGGAATTTCATCCACCGTCTTTTCGTGGGACCCGTACTGATAAAACGACGATTGATCCACAACTGCGGCATTGGGAATGAACATATCGATCTGGCCCCAGATCCGGTGGACATCGCGGAAGACCTTGGCCTGACTCTCATACTGCGAGACGTCTGCTTGGAAGAAGAAAACGTTGGGTCCTAAGCTGGCTGCCAGAGCTACTCCGACATCTCTGCGTCGGCCGACAATGGCGACTTTCCAACCTCGCGCAGCGAGGAATTTGGCGACTTCAGCTCCGATGCCAGACTGCAGTGGTACCCATTGTCAGTAAACTGCACAAGATCCGAGGTTAGACTGACTGACAGTGGCACCGGTGACAATGGCAACTTGGGTTTCTCCTCCCATTTTCCGTAGTATGATTCTCGGTTACTGAATGAAAGAATAATGATTTGTAAATTGATCAAAGACTAGTAATGTTAGCTAGAGACATTAGCCCAATAAATGCAAAGACAGACAGAGAAGAGGCTGATCTGCTCTGTAATCATGGAAGCCATGACCCCATAAGACCATTTAATCCACGTGCATTTCGGACCAAATGCTCTGAGTCATGGTCAGAATAGCAAGGATCCCCCTTCTGGTATCTATCGGCCGCGATGCACCAAATGGAGCCCGGCAAACGGTCGACCGCATTAACAGTTAAAACTGGGTCATTCTGGGCCCACCTTTACGCTAAATGGGCCCCTACCTGCAGGATTGTCAGCAGAACACAATTTAAAAAATAATGTATGCTTTTTTTTAAGCCACGCGGCGAAACAAACTCCTTCCGGGGTAGTCTTCTGGCTGGTCAAGATTATGCTTATGGGTAACCACGAATCCGGTAACTCGAACGAGCGGAATAAGTTTCGAATGATAATGATGGACATAGCATTGCGTTACAATATTGCTCGCGGCTACTTGCATCTGATTCGTTTGCCTTCTGTACGAGCACATTCTAGACCGAGTTAGTCAGTAGTAACTAATGCAGCGCGGCGTGGTGGGTGGATTCTGCGTTGATCAGTGAGTCGCATGGCATCCTATGCAATGCATCAAACAGTTACTACTCAGAGGTCAGGGTTTCGGTCCATATGCCCAGAGGGACCGTGTTCCGTAGCCTAAGCGCCCCAGAAGAAAGTCGTTTTAAGTTTTCGTGACGGACTAAAAAGGGATTAACTCCATTTCACAAGACAAGGAACAACAGCTAGAGGTGTCGGTCCAGTGCGTCCGACTGAAAGACTTTTCGGTCTTTTCTCTTGCCTTATTTGTAACATCCCCTTTTGCTGAAGGATAAAGACAATTCTTTTCTCGTCTTGGATTCCATGCTTTTCAGGTTCCGGTATTGAGTCAGTTCACAGACGCAAAATTATGGCAGTCGATCAAGAAAAAGGGTTCCGTGAGCCTGCTTCAGACAGCAATGATCATGCATCTCAGAGCACTATCAATCAGGTTTCTCCTGCCATTGCGAGCCAAGATCCCGAACCCGTCGTGACTCTCAAAACATGGATTGTTGCTTGTGTGCGTGTCTCTGCCTCGGTTTGCAGAAGTTCGACCTTACTGATCCTTTGGTTTCTCGCATTAGATTCTCTCCTGCGGATATGGTCTCTCGTTCTGGCCTGTTCCGGTCGTGGCTGCCATTGGTAGCACGGTTTCTGCTGATCTGGGAGAGCCAAATGCGTATGTTTGGTTTACGCCGGTAAGTCAATTGTCTCTCGTGCTGAACTTCTATCCGGCTGATAATGATGGATATAGGCGTGGACCATTTCGATCACCTGCGCATTCCTCATCTTGTATGTCTCTACCCCTGCTTATATTGTTGTCGGTAACTAATTGACCCAGTGGTCCGAATACCGACCTACTTGGTCGTCGATGGTTCCTTGTAGGAGGAAACTTGGTAAGCAATTCTTTGATACGGAGCTCGTTCATGGAGATTAACATATCCAGGTCTGCACTATCGGCCATATTATCGTCGCATCAGCCAAAACGAACAACCAAATCATCGCCGGTCTCGCAATCTCTGGCTTCGGAGGAGCCAACTGTCAAATGGCCGCATTTGCTCTTCCCGAACTTCTCCCGAACAAATGGAGACACATTGGAGTTGTCATTGCCGACTTTACCGTGTACATTGCCGTCATCTTAGCGCCGGTTACGGCTCGCTATGGCTATGAGTTCGGAAAGTGGTACTGGAACTTCGGTGCGATTGCCATCTTCCAAGGAATTTCTTTCTTCGGATTGCTGTTCTTGTACTATCCTCCTGCGCACCCAACTGGAATCTCGTATGGTGAGGTTTTTAAGTCGTTAGACTATGTCGGTACGTTTCTGTCTGGCTTGTCGTTGAGAGCGCTGATCTAATGCATAACAGGCGCAATCCTATTCACCGGTGGCGCTGTCTCCTTCCTAATGGGCATCGTTTGGGCCGGTGTCTACGACTCCAATGATTCCCACGTTGTCGCCACCCTAGTCGTCGGCGCTTTCGTTCTCATCTGCTTTGCCCTCTGGGAAACCTTCAGCGGAACCCGTTTCCCCCTTACTCCAACGCACGTCTTTACCTCTTCCTGGGGCCGCGATTTCACAGCCCCTGCCATCGCCCTGGGTGTCATCAACATGTTCTACTACTCCTCTAGCATTCTGTGGCCTAACATGATCACACAGTTCTATACCAACGGTGGCGCGAAATGGAAGTATGCTGTTGTACTGTCGCTGCCACAGGGCTTTGCTATTGCATTCGGTGCCTTCTTGCTTTCTGCTCTTGGCAGTAAGATCAGGCACTGGCAGTGGCAGTTGACAGGGTCTGTGTTGCTGATGGTCGTGTTTGGGTCGTTGTTGGGAATTGTCACGCCTACTAACAAGGGTACTATGATTGCATTCATTTTCCTCTCACAGATGGGCTTTGGTTATGGAATTTACCTCAGTATCGCCATCACACAAATGGGTGTTGATCAGAAGAATCTGGGTGTTAGTGGTGGTATCTCTGGGTGTATTCGTTTTGCTGCTGGTGCCAGTGAGCTCCCCCGTTCTCAATAAACTTAGCCTGCAGGATAAAAGCTAACGGTATGGAAAAGTCGCAACCACAATCTATACCACGGTCTACAATAACAGACTTAGCGACAAAACCGCCGAGCTGGTTCCTCAAGCTGCCATCAACGCCGGTCTCTCAGAGTCTCGTGTCTCCGATCTTCTATCTGGTGTGAGCGGCGGAACGGCCAAACTGAGCGAGTCTTTCGGCCCTGCTGTGGCCACTGCAGCTACTGATGCGTTGAATGATGCATACTGCAATGCAATTTTGTAAGCTTTTTATCGGGTAATTTCCCTTGGCGCATTTCTGACTTGATAGTGTCGTTGCAATGGTATCTATGGCTTTTGGTATTGTGGGGATAATCGCCTGTCTCTGCTGCAAGGATGTCGACCACAAGATGACGAACAAGGTGCGTATACAATCTCCAGCTACTATGCTTACGTAGATTTCATGGCTAACTTGTGGCTTTTTGTACACAGATCGAAGTCTATCTTGAAAACACTGCTCTCGCCGAGAGGAACAAGTACCATTAATAACCTTACCATAGGAAGCATACTGGATATTGCTGGTAATGTATGGATATGATCTTTCAGGTACTATAGTACCCGGTCCTCTGCTTTCTGCTCATTGAATAGAGCGAAGAGTAATGGCATGGGAGTCTTTTGTATACAGCAAAAATAGATAAATAATTTAAAATTCCTGAAGCATGTCGGTGTCACATCACCACAACACATACATCTATAGGTACTGCATCCTATCGAATGCTTTCTTTGCTCGACAGAGTAATAAGAAACAATATAGCGTCATGATCGCTATCTGAAATTGAGCCCGCATCTGACAGAGAACCCGCATTCGTCATCAACTTCTATCTGATAAGATTCCTGTATCTGACCTTACTAGATCTGAAGAAGATGCACGGCAGCAAGGAGATAATTTTGTCTTGTTCACTTTCAATACGGCCGATTGTATCTCGAGAGCGTTTAGACGCATATAATGCGTAGTGAGCTTCGAGTCGACGTGGGGTTGACCTAAACGAGCGGCTTGAAGCCTTCAATTAGACGATTCATGTTGTCTATGATGATTGTAACTCCATTGGCAAAGGTGCTCATTCTGCCCTTTTGATAAATGCAATGTTGACGACGTCTTGGGCACTTTGTGAATGTATTTAGTCGTTCGACAATTACCAACGTGTTCAACTTGTCAGATTATTCAAACGGAGATTCTCTGTCTAGCTGAATATGAGCTCTTCGGATGATGTGGACTTGGCCTGCAATCTCCCTGTGCTAACACCCTAAGGCAGTCAGCCTTTAATTCTATCCGGTCGTACATCGCGTTCACACTCTTAAACCCTGCATCTGTACTCTTGAATTCCAAATCCATGCTATCGAAACTTCCGAGTAACTTATCAAGCTTATTGGAGGAGGCAATTACCGGACGCCATGTTAAAAAAGTATTTGGTCTTGAGAATCCATGGCTTGTAAATTGCTTGGAGTGCTTTGCTAGGAAGGCGAGAAGAGACAAATGACAACGGTGGATTACTAGTAGACAACTAGTTTATGACGGTTGTTAGGCAGAAATTTGAATAAAACAAAGCATAATAACCAATAGTGCGATAATAACTCTATTGGTATCAGCCTATTGTTTGTTGCATGATCTTAAGTAAATTTTGGAGTAGTATACTACCCTTTGGAATATGAAATAGACGTATCAAGAGAGAAAAAGAAAAGAAAAAGCTCTGTAGATCCCAGGGAGATCAAGCCTTACAGAATTTGGTCTAAACCTACAGCAGATACATGTAAATGGAGATGTTATATAGCTCATCTGAAAGCAGTAACGTTATTATTGTATTAGAAAGGACTAGTACTATGTCGCCAAGCAACTCTCGGTACGAGTAGGGACCCCAAGAATACTGAACATTAGCAACACCAACATCAAGGGGATTCCTCAGTACCAGCTTAATCCTGATGACTTTCTACTCTCACATCATCACCCCAAGGTATCATCAAGGCAACATTATTATTAGTAACTTTGATTTTCTCCTGAAGATCATCCACTGTATCTTCAACCATCTCAAATCCCGAATCAATATCCTCATTCTGAGATCTTACCTCGGCAACAAGTCAAGCTTCTGGTCCATATCCGTAAGCTTGCTTGACATCTTTTGCTTGGACTTTTTTGTGCTTGCACGGATATCAACTAGCTTGTTTGGAGAGAATTATAAATCATTCTTTAGACATTCACTTCTCCACGTAACTCATCCAACAGATTATGAGATGGGCTATGCCCTGCTTTGGATTTTGATCTAAGGTTATCCACGCTTGTTGCCAGTGCATTGATGCCCGCTTGTAGTTGTGAAACTTCCGACAGCGATGGTTCGGATGGGGTGTGGTTTCGAAGCTGCAATATTTGCGGTAACTCAGACAAGCGTTGAAATTCAGATTAAGATGAAGGAAGGATAAATAACAAGCTATATGACTCAAGCGAGACAGCATTGGGAAGAACTGGGAATTATGTCCGAATTTGACACGAATCATGAATCATGAAGCATTGAAGTCGAGCCGTCGAAACTTGCAATTCCTCGCTCAGTTGGGAGAGTCGAGACGTTAAATCTGATAAATCATGGGCTTGGGCGTCCATGGCTTGAGAGCAAATTGGAGAGGATAGTTTGCTTGACTGGGTAACTATAGCAGTTAGTTAGTCCGAAAACCAAACTAGAAGGAAAGCGGATGGATGGTCAAATAATATGCGAATAGACGGCAAAAGAAAAGCACTGTATAGACAATGACATCACGTGCGACCTGCATAAGAGTACAGAGTAGATATCTCAGTCCATAAGGCCATATTAGAGATCTGCGCTAAGCCCTAAAACCGCCCCCACCGATTCCCGCCTTAATAATACGAGCCCTAACCACGTATACTCTCTTACGGTCTACAATATTGGGGGCCATCACTGCCTCAGAGCATGTTTATAAATATATCATTCTTTAAGCAATCCCTTGTCATTTCTTTATTCTCTGTTTTAGATTTCTTCTTCAAACAGTCAAAATGCTTTCAGTAACGCCGCTCAAGACACCTCTCAAAACGCTCTCCGGGTCCGAAAACAGTTTTCCTACTATCACTACAAAACCAACTACAAAACCAACCTCCAACCCAGCCCCAAAATCAATCCTCACACTTCTACTTCTCATAACTGCCCCCTACATGCTCTGGAAACTCCTCTGCCTGGTAACAGGGTCCTCAATCCCGATAATGGTGGTAATATCGGAGTCCATGGCACCCGCGTTCCACCGCGGCGATATCATTTTTCTCTGGAACCGGTCGAAACTCGTGAATGTGGGGGATATCCCGGTTGTTTGGTTTAGGAGTCAGCCGTTGCCGATGGTGCATCGCGCGGTGCAGGTTTTTGGGGAGGGTGTTGTGTACGTTTCCCTTTATTTCCCTTCCCGTCTTGCTCTGTTTGGTGGATTGGATGAGGGGTGGTTGTTCGGTAATTACAGTAAAGCTAATGGATTAGGCAACATATTTTGACGAAAGGAGATAATAACTACATCGATGATGTTGGGTTGTATCCTCCCGGACGGTCGTGGGTGCGGAGGGATGAGGTTGTCGGTATTGTTAAGGGGTATTTGCCGTCGTTGGGGTGGTTGACTATTGCTGCGAACGAAATGCCTTGGTTACGGGGGATGGGAATTGTTTTTGCTTGTCTTATAGGGATGGTTTCAAATTAATGTACGAGACATTTCTATGTTCAATCTCAGAAATTATGCATTGCATTAACTCGTAATGTTTTATCCATCATGATGGTATGCCTGCAAACCAAACATGTAACATGCTACTTATACATCCATCTATCTATGCTTTGGACTGGTTCAATCTCTTGGTCATACTGCGTCAAGGTTAGCATTGTTTCCAAGCTTTAGTGAGCACAGGTACTTACAAGTCAAAGAACGAGAACTGGCTAGGGCTGCTGCCGTATTCGTACACGAATCGGCTCGCCAGGTAACTGCCAAAGATGGCCCGCAGATAATTTTCCGGCACCTATTTTAGTTAGCCTAGTCCTGACGCAAGATTCAAAGGAATTGCTTACCCGTCCAAGAATGGTCTCAAGGCCAATCTTGTCCAGCAACAACTTCGGAAGCGCATCACTCAGCACCGACCGACGGAGCTCCACGTTGTCCCACAGTTCGGTCTTCTGCAGCTCTTCATCAAGCTTGGTGATAGCCAAACTGAGTCGGTCACTCAGTACACTGCGGAGCAAATTCGTCTGTTCATGTTCGCGCCACATGGCTTCGAACTCCAACGTAGCGTTCTCCTTGATGATCTCCTGCACCTGCTTGACGTACGCCTTGTAGAATTCGGGAACCGTGCCATCCTCGCGGATGCACATATGCTCCACAAATTCCTTGTCATCAAAAGACAACGACGCCAACACCTCCAGTGACGAAGAGGTCACGCCACCCTTGTTGGCGGACGCGTCCTTGTACAGGATACTGCCAGCCTTCTCCAGCCGGAGCTTGCTGTCCTGGGTGATGAACAGGTTGGCACCCTCGACTATGTACGGAATGGTCGATTTGCCGTCCTTGATAAGCTTACCCACCGTCGCCAAGTCAATCGACTCGGGCCTTCCACCACAAGGCACGAACACATCGTACGGCTGCTCAGTCCGCAGATGGAAGGTGTTCCGGAAAATCATGCCGTTGTGGACCAACTCGCCACTGGGGAGCTTAATGTCGCTCTCGTCCACCAACACGCGGTAGCCGGTTGGCGAGAGTTTCGATGTGTCGAATTCGGAGATGGTAACACGCTTCGCAGCCAAGCGACGGAGTTCATCGATATCCAGACCGTTGGGATCGACAATGACTCCAGAGCCGTCCACAATAGCAGTATACTTTTCGTTGGACAGCAGGATTTCATTAGATCCCAGATCGCCATCGGGACCACCAGTCTGCAATTTCCGGATCGTAGAGGGATCAATCTTCAACTTGCGGTAGATACCCTGAACGTACTGACGTACCGACAAGGTCGTCATACCGTAAGTGTCGTGGGGAATACCGCCAAGCTTGGGGTTCTTGCCCGTGAAGAAGGACTTCCACCAGGGAGCACCACGGTTCTTGGCGTGTTCAGTGGCCCAGTCGACCAGTTCAGCCGTATTCTCATCCGGACCCATGAACAGAATTTCATCCTTGCCGTGTAGGTCGACGATGGGGTCCTTGATACCGGGGCTGGTGGGCGGCAGAAGCAGGTCCAGGATACTGTCGATGTACTTTTCAAAGGCCACGCTTGCTTTGTCCTGGTGGTTGACATCCAGCAGGATGACACCCTTGGCACCGCCTTCAGGAATGTCCTTATTCTTGCGCTGTTGCGTGTTGGCCAAGTTATAGTTCTCGTCGAACAGCGAGCGGGCGTTGATGCTGTAGGCCTCCTTGTTGCGACTCTTGACAATCCGGATACCGCCACGGGAGATGTCGCGGAAGCGCAGGTGAAATCCACGGAACTCGGAGCTGATAACGAGGAACATACCGTACAACGGCTGGGGGTACTCGTGCTGAGGCAAGAAGGTTGGGTTGAGACGGAAGCTTAGGGCGACCTTGGTGGGGGTGAAGAAGTTGGTCTTGAGAATGGAGCTGTTGAAAACCCGCAAGGCGGCCATGACCATCTCATCGTGCTCGTTGGCTGCAACGGTGGAAATCAGCTGCTTCAATCGGCTGCTGTCCAGCACCTCATCCACCTGGAGTCGCAGGTAACTCAGAGTGGGGAGGAAGTCATCTCCAGAGGGACCCTGAGTCTGGACGTAGTGGGTGTTGGCAAAATCAAGGTAGATCTTGTGGATCAGATCCGGGTACTTGTTAATGATCTCGAGGATGTAGTCGGAGGTAAAGGTCTCGGTACGCAGACGCTTCTTAATCTTGGACAGCAATTCGGCATGGACGCTGTTGTTCGAATCGAGCAGGGCCGACAGGGAATTGTACTCTGAGCCCAGACGGTTGAGGAATTGCTGCACAAACACCCAGCCGCAGTGAGCATAGATAGTCTCCTGCAAGCTGAGGCGGCCACTGGCGAAGTGGTGCTGGAAGCGATTCTGCGGAATGCAGTAAAGCAGCGAAACTTCCTTGATGATCTGGTGAATAGCAGCCTCAATGGGCGGGAACTTGCTTTGCACTTCCGGTTGAGTGGGGCGAAGGTAGAGAGAGATGATGGTGATGCCATTGGAGAAGTTCTCGAGGTATTTGCGGGAGCTGGTCAGACGGTAGTAGTGGTAGAGGTCGGACAGAGCACTGAACAAGCCCATGGCTGAGCCCCGACGATAGGCAATGACCAAGCGTTTCTCGCGGCTGCCCTCAATCTCGAACATTTCGATAACAGGACCAGAGCGACCAACGACATTGTTGATAATATCTTGATAGACGGCCTTCGTGTTGGGAGTGGCCTTCTGGAGGAACCGCTTCTCACCAATGACATCGATGTTGGTCTCGTTGGGACCCGGGTTGGGGTTGGCGAACTGGCACTTGTAGACGAAGTAGCAGCGGAGCTGTTGTTCGTTGTCGCCAGGGAGAGGAGTAGGAGAGCGGAAGGTTTCAATACGGTAGCTGTTGTCATTAGTGGAGCCATTGACATATTTCTCGTCAATGCGCTGCTCGTAACGGGGACCGTCAACAGCAGCTACACCGGGCCTGCTGGTGTCAATGTAGACGGCGTGGTCCTCGGCCTCCTTGTCAAGGCGGATCTCGAGCTTCTTGTCGTCACGAGCGTAGGCGGCTACCTTGGCTGCGTAGAGAGAAAGAATATGGGAGACGATAACATCGACAGACTCGGTCTGGAAGTAGGTGTCGTCGATTCCCAGCATGTTGTAGAACCAATTGGTTTCCGAATCGACAAAATCGCTTGGGAAGAAGCCCTTTTCTTCTAATTGGTCCATGACTAGGCAAGTTAGCAGGCAATCTATGGCACTGAATGAAGGCATTTCAACTCACCCTGCTCCATCTGCTTTTGCTTGCCCTCAAACTTGGCAGCAATGTATCCAGGGTCCTCCTCAGACAGAACTCGATGACTCCCCCCCGGAACACCCAGATGGGTCGGCTGGGGAGAAGGATGACGCAATGACGACTGCAGGGCTGCCTCGAGATTTTTGTTCTGAGGATAACGCTGGAAACCCATGGGGGTCCCTGTGCCAGAATGTGATCCATCGTTGCTTGCAAAGAGCTTGGGGCCTTGACGGGTGGGCAGAGTATGGTCGTCATTATTGACGTGGCCGTCAGAATGGGGAGGAAGGGGAGACGCCATGTTGGTTTATCTTTTTGATTTCGAGGATTCGCTTTCGAGGGAATACGAAGGAAATGCGCGAGAAAACTAGGAGAACTGAAAGAGTCAGTTTTTAAGAACTTTTCATAGCTAGGACAGTACGAGTAATCGGAGAGTTTGGGGAGATGGTCCAACAGAAAGATAAGAAGGATGCACAATCGGGGCAATATCAAGAGACACGAAACCAGTCGATAAGATTGGAATGGAGGGATTCGAGCAGACACACAGAGGAGGGACACTTACCGGGAAGATGTGGTGGACTCGGAGCAAGAAGCTATCAAGGTGTCGATCGAGGATAAGACGCGGGGGATAGGCGCTGATAAGAAAATGGAAATGGAAGGGGAGATTGAGATAGCAGGGTTATAAGAGTTTTGAGGGTTGATATAAGAGAAGACAATCTGTCTGAATTGTGATTTTTCAAGATGGAGAAACGGAAGACAAAGAGGAACCGGTTCTTATATAGTCGAGGGCTTCCAGTATGTCATCACAGGTAACGAAATACCGCTTCTATGCGATCGGCCAGGAACGGGGTATAATGAATTATGTTACTTAATGATTCTTACAGTCTCGAGTCTAGTCATTTTCTCCTATTCTCTCCTCTTCTCACAATCCTCCCCTCTCTTCTTTTCTCTTCTCTGGTCTTTTCTATGTAAATCAAGTGACATCAGGCGGGGAGCCACGTGACCTCTGATTGGCTGGTATCTCCAGTTTCTGTTTCTTTCGAACGCCCTCATAACTCTGTGAATAATACATACCTACACAAAATCTCGCAATTCCCGGTTTCGATGTGTCAATTGCAAAGAAATCGCTCTTTTTCCCTGCGTAATGAAATATAGAAAAAATGCCGCAATATCCTTACTCCATACTCTTTCACGGTCACGGGATGCTTAGCTGATCTGCCATCCAATTGGAAGAAGCTGCCGATGGGTATGTCTCGGCGCTCTAATCAAATTATGACTGGTATTTTTACGAACCGTTTTACTCAATGATATTCTGGGGTAATATTCGATCTGCTGGGAATTCCCCGTTTCTCGACTCTGGGCTTGTCTGGGCTTTTCTTAGTCGAAACTTAACAGGTCGATCTATATTTGGTCTTGCGCACACCGCCGCACCAGCCACAGTGGGGAACAATCAGCCTTAGGACTGCGATAGTACCTTCATACCATCTTCAAGGCATAGGTGAGCCCAAGTATGAAGAGAGACTTGAAGATTGCCATCATTGGCGGTGGTATCTCCGGCTGTACCGCTTACCTGCAGCTCAAAAGACACCTGCCCGGAAATCACGACATCACCATCTACGAAGCTTACAATACAGACAAAAACGCCACGCATGCAGACTGGCAAGATGGCCCAACTCACTCGTCCACTCTAGTCGTGGGTGGCGGCCTTGGCCTCGGCCCCAATGGCCTGCACGTTCTCCAGCGCCTAGATGGGAATTTGGTCCGCGACATCGTGCGAGGCGGCTATGTCATCTCACACGGCAACATGAAGGACAAGAATGGGCGTCTGCTAGTCCGCATGGATACGATAGCTGATCCTGGATCTTCACCGGTCAATCAATCCACGCATGTCCTTGGCTGCAGTCGTCACGCGCTCTGGCGGTGTCTGCGCGCCCGCATTCCAGACCGCGATGTTATCTGCAGGCGTATTGAGGGGGTCATTGCGAACCCAGATGAACGGAACGTGATCACATTCGTTGGCGACATTAATACCGCTGAAGCAGACTTGGTTATCGGGGCTGACGGGCTCAAAAGCACTGTCAAACGGGCGTTGTTTCCTGAGGCGAAAGACCTGTATCCGCCTCAATATGAGTACGCACACCTTGTAGCTGCACTGGCATGACAGCTAAAGTAATCAGAGGCCTAGTTGGAATAGGCGGCTTCATCCCCGCCGACCAAGTCCGCCAGCACGTCGAATTAGGTTCCATGAACTTCATCCTAGGTGGGAACGGCTTCTTTGGGTACTTCTTCGCTGAGAGCGATCCCGCCGCACCGCATCGGGACTCATCAAGTCAAGTCTCAGAACCAGGTTCGTCTCTCGCTTGGTGGTCGACGTACTCAGCAGATGAATGTCCCGATCCCAAGGCCCTAGATAAAGACGAAGTCGTGCGCCAGCTGCGGGAGCGGCACGCTGACTGGGGAGACCCAGTTATCCAAAGCATTCTGCATTCCCTGCATGTCGAGAACATGTATCCAACATGGACATCGCCGGCTCTGCCAAAATGGGAACGCTTCGGGGTAGTTCTCGTAGGCGACGCAGCACATGCCCTACCGCCAACATCAGGACAGGGATCCTCACAAGCATTGGAAGATGTAGAAGCACTTACCATGTTCCTGGCTCATTACCTAGGTCGGGTCGACGACAAACATGCGAGCACACAAGATTATACTCTAGCCATTCGAAGAGCAACAAAAGACTACGAACAACTCCGTCAACCACACGTAGCAGACATCCTAAAGCGAGCACAGCAGTCGCAGAACTCAAAACGCACCATGGGCTGGGTCGAGGAGTATGCAATGTACTGGTTCATGTGGGTATTAGGTGGGTTTCTCGAAGGCTAATTGTCCCGTTGATGATCGTTTTCCTCTGACTGTCACAGGCTTCTTTCCCGGGTGGATGACCGGCCCGGTGCAAGCCGAGTACAATTACAATATTGCGGAGGATGTCAAGCGGCGATTGCGATAGTAGACTGTTATCTTATTGATATCTGCTGTATTCTATATTTTAGTTGTATTCGATGATTTGTACGTTACGGCTGATATGTGCAGAGTACTTGGTACTTATTGCAACTGTGGCGGTGCATATACTACAAGCGGACATCCACCTACTATTGCATTTGCGGTTTCAATCAGTATAGACATATCATTTCCAGCTAGCGAATACATCACATGTATTCCATGCACCCTCTGCTATGAGAATTATAAATTTTCTCATGGAGCCATCGCGTCCTTCATTATCCTACGGAGTACAACTCACAACCATCAGAAAGCTACACAGAACCTTCCAACAATCGCCAAACCTACGTACGCTATGGTGTGAATTCCCTGATGATATTGATACATCAGAGTCCCTTTCAGTGTACAATGTACTCTCCGCCTTGGTACTATTCATGAAATCAAGAAGAGCAGATGGTAGTTACTCACATTACACTCACAAGTCGATCCCTGCAGAACATCCGTACAGGAAATAATAGTGATTCTGCAAAATGAGAGCTGCCTATTTGAATCCAAAGACAGATCCACCGCAAGAGATTTTATCCTATATAAGAATGAAGTGAACATTGACACCGTACACCACAAATACAAGAGGGTACTGATGCAAATACTCTTTTCAAATACAATCTCTATTGAATCCAGCAAACACGCTGTTCCTAACCAGCATAAGCTACCTGCAACGCTCAGAGATATATTGCAACAAATTGCAAGTTCACGTACGTTGATAACATACGTGCTATCAACAAAGTATATGATCGCTCGCCACGACCCAGCTTCTAAGACCATACCCGTACCGGTGAAACTGCTTTTGCAAGAGAAAACCTTGGGATATTGGATTCACGTCAAGCGGTGATGAGAGGTTTTCCTCGGCCAAAACTGGGGCCACTTTTGCAGAAAGGGTCCGATAGTGATACTTTTGTAGCCAAATCATCACTCAGCCATCAGAGATAGCAGGTGCTACCACATCAACCCATTGCAATCGAAATACTGGGAGCGTTATGGAAACAAAAATCTTTTCACAGCTATTATATCCACGGAGCTATGTGTCGGGTACGAACGACACGTGGAAGGAAAGATGGATTCATCCAGCGAATCAATTTGCTATATGGATGCTGTTGATGTTCGCCGCTGGCCTCAAAGGCTCTCCTAGGGTATGGGCTTTTGTTGGTTTAGAAAAGACATGAGAGGAATCCATTACACACACTGGGTTAGTTTTAGAGCGCAGACTCCTTGATCAGGTCGAGATTGGATGCAAATAGTTTATATGAAGTGAAGTTCCCCGAAAAAATGGCATGGTATAACTTCTCATACGCTATATATTGGAAGATACAGAACTTAGTATTATATTCTTAATTTCTTAAAAAGAGTATAGGCGATATATATTCCACTCTCCTGGGGAGGCGAGGTCCAGAAATCTAATACCCCGTAGTCGCTAATTTCTCCAGAATCAACCCGATTGCGGTATTTTCCGCCCTTTCCTCAAATCTCGCGACGTGCTCATCGGTTTTTTTTTTCCTGTCACGCAGGCATTCAATGGCTCAATTGGTATGTTTGACGTGAAGGTCGACACGGGCCCCCCCCCCAACCTTCGTACCCGTTCACTCAGAACAAAGATTAAAGCTGTCAGCCGAGTATTTCGTAGCACCTGCCATATACCTCATCCTGATACCGCGCCTCGACAACTCCGGCGTTTACTTTTTGCATCGCAGCAGGCTTGGAATTTCTCAACGCCGCAATGACGGGGTTCATATTCGTGGGAAACCGCTTCAGAGGAAAGGGTAGTATGTTCAGTGACAATTTATGCACCATTATTCTAAATAGACCTATTAGCATGCATACCCTGCCGGGAAGCTAGAGGAGGGAGAGGTAGAAATACCTTCTGCGCAGCGTGGTGGGATAAATGTACGTGGCTTGCTCATCTGGAGTCAACTCGGCAAGAAGCCAGCCCTTCGTGTGACGCATGTGTAAGGCATTATTTTTCATGGGATCGTCTCGACACACGCCACACGCTACCATCTCACGTAGGGATTCTGTATTCTCGATGTCTCGTGAAACTATGGGAGGCGGCAAACTACGCTTGAACCCATGGACACTATCCCATTCGTCGTGTGCAGCACTTATAGGGTCGTCAAATAGACAAAATCAGAGCATGAGAACACGACATGCAAAAACATGGCGTGCTCGATAACACATGCTCTGAATAATGCGGCAGCGCTATGTTTGCGCTTAGCCCTGAGAGAAACCAAAGCAATGCTAATCAAAGCGTAACACCAAGACAAATTATACCGCATGTTATGAAACGCTCTGTCAAACGTCATATCTTCGTTCAAGCTGAACTGCAGAGGATATTGGTAGCCGCGCGGTCTTCGTCATTAATCAAAGCACTGGGCAATAGGATGCTTTGGTGACGAGAAAGATATCACGTTTCAAACTTCCGTGAGTAAATGACGAATCTCGTCACCGTGAGCTGCGAGTCTAAGGATATTAGCAGTTTCGCTGTCTTCATCATTAATCAATTGAATTGGGCATAGGATGCTTCCGTGGCGGGGAAGGTATCACGTTTCAAAGCTTCACGAGTAAATGACGAATCCCATCGCCGTGAAAGACTCGCCTCGACCAATGGTTCCCATATGCATGAGAGATAGTCAAAGACTATGCGTGCAAATGTTCAAAAATCATGGGATGACGAGGCCAGAAGGGGAATCGAGTTTGAGATGCTCCTGAATTGCATGTGCGGGCCTTCGCGCATAGCCCTCATCGTTTTGAATCAGGCTTTTGACGTATAGTTCGAGACCATGAGCATTGAGGGCTGTGAAGGCAACGGCCAACCAATTAGCGGGCTGAATCAAGTTTTTTTTGCCAATGCGTGGACTGCATTGATGCCGGAGACAGCTTCCTCCGTGATCTTGTAATTAGCAAACCCATAATTCCGTCCTCCTTGGGGAAATAGAATGAGTCCAGGAAGGGAAGCGTGCAAAGCTGTCTGCAAGCACCGCCCTGAGTTGGCGCTGGCTTGCGTAATGACCATCAATGCTATGCACAGGAAGATGTATGATGCAGGCACTGAATCAAGCACCGAAATCAATGCCAGCTGGCAGGTTGGAGAAGCTCTAGCCCAATAACGGTTGAAGCTCGCCTTGGCGACTCGAGCTGCCCAGGCGTCTGAAAATTGGGCGGGATAGACGCACGAGGCCCACTAGCTAGGCGCCCTATCCAAGGGCATGGTGATCATGTTGATTCTGCGGATGATTGGACGCTGTATGAATCTCGATGCGGAGCTAGGCTAGGTGATCTACTTTGGGGGGAAAGGACAGAGTAATGCTGACTTTATTTATCGATTCTGAATTTCGGGAGTAGATCCCCAGACAATAACATTACTGCACGCGACCAATCGCACTGCACAGGGTGCATAGCTGTAGGTCTAGAATATATCCTGCAGACGTATGTATACGGAGCCCATAATGGAAAATCCACCATCACCAAAAGAAAGGTTCAAGATCAACGCGCCAATAACACGCGATTCTAGCGGTGAATAAATAAGAAAACAACATGACAACAAAAGAAATGAAACGAATCTTGTCAGATGATATGTATCCCCCCTTATCCAATATCTCTATCACATCGGCTCTCCTCCATACAGACGACAAGCCGAGCAATTCCCGAGAATCTACTGAATCGCGGCTCGTACTTTTTCCACGCTTCCAGACGACCGGATCCCTTTCCCCAGACGATCGGATGCATCCCGGGCATTCCAACGATCTACTAGCTATAGAATCGCTACAAGGAGTAATATCGCATCCCTTGTCCACGTATTCACTGCCTCCTAGTTTCCTCTCCGGGGTGAAGCACGTCCCAGCGGAAAGGTCTTAAATATCCCCTTATCCTTTCTTCTCCAGAATTTCTGCCAGAATCAGAATACAGAGGACAAAGGCACAAGAGTTACCTTGTGAGAACTTACAGGGAACACCTCGGTAAGTGTTACCTAACATCGGAGAACAGGGGATTGTTCTCGTCGGACCTTTTCGGGAAGCGAATCTGGGGTAAACCGGAGTATATCTTCTGAGCGCTGATGCTGATATATAAATCTAGACCGTTTGCATCACCACTGCTACATCTACCACACCTATTCTACATATTACGATCTTTTCCTCCATCCTCTACCCTGCGGAGCCTAAGCAGAAAAACAAACAAACCAACAAAATGGCCGACCGTCCCACCCTCCTCATCCCCCAGGACATCTCCGCCGCCCTCAATCAACTAGCCATCATCTACGATTCTGACGAGGACACCACCAACACCACCACCACCAACAGCAGCTCCAGCAGCTCCAAGCACCATCGTCAGCCCTCGAATTCCTCGATGTCCTCGACCTCGAGTCCTCGCGGCGTTGAGTACTATCCTCCACCGCCTCCTCCGTCGCCGGTTATTGGGTTGGGTGCGAGTGCGTTCCCCTGGGGGGTTGAGAAGAGCTCTTAAGCTCCTTTGACTATTTTCGTCATTTTTCGTTTCGATTGTTTGGGTTTGGCTTTGCAACTATATATTTTTATGTGTTGGATTGGTATATATACGGATATGATGGGTACATCAACGGATACGGTATGGATGGGTAAAATGGAACAAGGATGGATAATGGATTGGATACCTTGGAGAATGGCATTTTCGGTGTTGGGACTGCATTAGCGAGTTCTTTTGTATAGCTTTGTTTATATGTTTGTCGTGTATCTATGAACCTTTATACATACTCCGCAATTATCTATACACCTACAATCTGTTCTCCCTTGCACATCGCGACATTCCACTAAGCAAGACTATGACGCAGACATCCGTCCGTCAAACCAGTTCAACTGCCGAGTATAAACTCAGATCCCGACGATCATCACGACTCCTCGGCCGGAGCATCGGATACATACACGTGAATCAAACCGCTGATATCATAGCATAGCTAGCTAGCTCAAACTCGGAGCCCCGTCACGATCACCAACTCCCTCACCCTGTAAATCCCGATAAACCCTCTCCAACGCCGCCATCGCACCCTCGTCCCCGCGAAGCACAGCTTCCTGTAATCGCTGAACCTCGGCCAATTGCTCCTCAGTCCTGGCCCACCCGCGCAATCTATCTTCGAGATTCTGCGTTCTACGCGTGCTGTATACTGTTCGGACTGTGTCTGTTTCACCTTTTGCCTGTTTAACGCTGGACAAGCGTTCGAGGAAACGCGCTTGATTGGATGACGTTGATGGTTTCGGAGGGTTAGATGTAGATGTAGATGCGGCGGGAGTAGTAGTAGAAGGTTCAGAACTAGAAATAAGATTCGCCTTGCGACCGAGGATTTTGACACTGGTTGCTGCAATTAAGTCGAAATCTTTGCCACGTGCTAGTGGTGCATCGACATCAATTTCTGCTGTTGTTGTTGCAGTAGGTGTGGCGGCAAGTTCATCCGGCCTCGTAAAAAACAACTCGGTCCCAATCTGCTCGGCCCAGGAACAACTGAAAACCTGGTTCTGGTACGAGACAATAGGATTCAAGGTGTGGAGGCCGAGGATCTGGAGGCGATCTTGCGCCGTTGCACTTGCACTCGCACTCGCGCTCGCACTCGCACCTGCATGCCTGGCGTCGGACTCGGTGGTTTCTAGAGGGCGAGAAAAGTCCGCGTCCGCGTCGGGCTCCGGGTCCGCGTCGGGTTCATTATTATTAGGCGCGGATGCAGTAGCATTACGGCGCCGCGGCGGACGAATGGGGCCGTGGAGGGAGGTTAGGTCGAGGTTGAGGTAGAAGGACTAGCACATTATTAGAGTCTGTATGTTCTTGTTTTGGTGAAAGTATGAGAGTACCTCTGTTTCCGTGGAGTACTCGTATTCCCAGTCGGAATCGGAATCGGAATCTGCGTTGGCGCTGAGAACGGGCGCGGCCAGCGGATGGAGAGACATAATATTAACTATGCGCTAGTAGGTGGTTGATTATGAGAGATCATCGTATCGTAGTTGTACTCTGAGTAGTAGTTTGTATGTACGGAAGAGTGTACAGTGGGAACCCAGGATCACGACTGAGGTGATCGTCTATCCGTCTCTCCCCCTCTCGTCCATCTAACCATCTTTCTTTCAACTACTCTACTCCCGGAGTACAGTATACTCTATCCGCATTCCACATCTCAATAATTCGATTGACTCATGAGTAAGTGATCCGTCGTTTCCGTCCAATGTAATTGTCGATCCGGCACCTCACGGATGCATTCAGAGCAATGCTTGATAATCATTTGACATCAAATATTCCCACTTGATCCGGTTTTGTTTAGCCATTATCACCCTATCCTATCATTGCTTATTGCAGGGCTGAATTGCCTCTCTCTCTGTGTCTCTCGGATCGTTCCTGCCGTCTTTCCGTCCGTATTTATGCAGCTTGACTGACCCAAAATGTCATCTTTCGTGTTTATATAGTGTTGTCTCCGTCCGCTGTCCGGCTGGTCCGGCTTCTGTTTTTTTCTTTTTTTTCGTCCCTTTTCTTGTATAGGTTCCTTGCTGTCTCTTATGCTCCTGTTTCCTCGTCGCTGGCCTCTCCGTTTGACAAGCAGTCCACTGCCATCCCGACTGTCAACCAGTTCCCCGTCGCTGCTGAACGACACGAGGTAGCATTGTCCCGTCCCTCTTCAGACATCTCTGTAGTACCTCATTCCTCTTCTACATTGCTGCCCGATATTCAGCAGATGGCCCGGAAAACCAAAGCCACGATCGCTTTCTTGTCAACTTTAATCATCTATGTCTCCCTCAATAGTCTGGCCCATACCATCAACCCCTCTGCTTTTGTCTGGTCCTCCGAAGACAGAGAAGAGACGCCGTGGATTGCGTCTTCGCACTCATGGCTGGACCGCAAAGCCTGTCGCTGGTTAGGTTTATGCGGTACAGCTCATGTCCAGCCCGTCCAGACCCGCTTCGGTCACCGCAAGATCTCCGCCGAAGCCCAAATTCTGCCAGACAGCGGACAACCAAAAGCAGAAAAGTCCGAACAAAATGGGCCCTGGCAGACCGCTTGGTCCAGTGGACCGGATCTGTCGAATCAATGGGACGATGCCGAACGGGCGCGTCGGCAGATTCCGGCCTACGTCTTTGAGTATGCGCCGCTGGTCCACCTGTTTTCGGGGGAACAATATTGGCCCAGCGATATCGCGGAGCATTTGTTTCATGTTACTCCGACGCTGAACTATACTCCGATTCAGTCGCAGGCCAAGCATGCGACTTTGCGCGATTTGGATCAGTTGAATCGGTGGCAGCAGAACGGACATGTTTTCTTGACTAGCAATGATAATGTCGAGGACCGTCCGCCGTGGATGGAGGGAGCGCACAACATTCCCGATCAATCTGCTGCTAAGGAAGAGTCCTGGGCCGATTGGGATGGTCGCATCGACGGCGACATTCCTGGCGAGGAAGACCGGGCACAATGGTTCGACACTAGTGACATTCGCGAAGATGAACCATGCGAGGAGGGAGGCGAAGAGGAAGACGTGTTTATCCAGAGTGATCTTGCCAATGCACTGGCCGATATGGACCCCGAACATCTCTTTGGCGAGGGCAGTGAGCTCGAGGAGGAACTCCGCAAACGATATGGCGGGCAACGCATCCATGTCGAGAAGACCGGAGGCCGCAGCAATGCGCCGGCGGTTCTGCTAGTCATCGACAAGGGCAATGGCATCGTCGACGCCTTTTGGTTTTACTTTTACAGCTTTAACCTAGGCAATGTCGTGTTCGATGTCCGTTTTGGCAATCACATCGGGGATTGGGAGCACTGTCTTGTTCGGTTCCACAATGGCAAGCCCAAGGCGCTCTTTTTCAGTGCTCATTCGGCCGGCGAGGCGTACAGCTACGAAGCGGTCGAGAAGATCGGACGTCGGGTAAGTTCAATAACAACTATTTCCTATATACGCAAAACACTAACCAAAACAGCCCGTCATCTACTCCGCAATGGGAACCCACGCCATGTACGCCACCCCAGGAGTCCACTCCTACGTCCTCCCCTGGGGTCTGTTGCACGACCAAACCGATCGCGGCCCCCTCTGGGACCCCCTCCTCAACGCCCACACCTACACCTACTCCCCAACAAACGACACCCTCCTCGCCTCGACCGCCAACCCCTCTGCACCCACAGAATGGTTCTATTACGGAGGCCACTGGGGCGACAAGTTCTACCCGCTTGGCGATTCTCGCCAGTACCGGTTTGCCGGGCAGTATCATTACGTGAACGGACCGCTGGGGCCACGTTTTAAACACCTCAACCGGCATAAGGTGTGTCAGGGTCCTGATAAGGCACCGTGTGTGGTGAAGGATTGGATTTACGAGGCGAAGGGGGCGAAGAGGTGGGTGAGTTGATCGAAACGAAATGATGGCTTTCAAAAAGAAAGGTTGATCGCTGAGCGATCAACCTTTCCTCGTCTACCTTTACGAATCTGGCGTTGGCTCTGTTTTCTTATTTGTTTCTTTGATTTATTCCATATACCCCCCAATGGTTACATTTCTCACCCTGGATGGTTGACGACGGAGTTACTCACTTTGATACCCCGGGTTACATTTACTACCACGATATGACCAGTTATTGACCCAATCTGATGTCGACACGCTACACAACGCTATACAGAATACCAGTTAACAATGATTCATATATGAATGGAGTTACGCGATCTTTGTTTATTCTCGTTTTCTAATGATTGGGTGGTACTGCACAATGGGAATAAGCGTAGGGCAGAGTACCTGTACCTTCTCGATGATTCTCAGCCAATCATCCCACAACTATCTTACATCGTATTAACAAATCCCATGGACAAGTCCAGGCCGCTGTAAGCACGATGATATGATAGGATATCAGCTGACAGCTGCCTAATACAAAAAAAGCAAACAAGACAGCGAATACATACTTGTACATACATACAACTAGCTGAGCTGATGCAATCGATCGGGATGACACTACAGACGCCTACAACAGTAGCAAACAAACAGTCAATCAGGACCAGAAGCATAATAAGGCAGGCTCGCATTCTGTACTATACTATACTGTAGATGGAATAAGACCAAAACAAATCAATAACAACAAAACAAGATGATCACACGCAAAGCAGAAAAGACATGGGGATATAATCAGAAACGATCCAATAATAAATAATAAGAAAGGCTATTAACAAGTAATTGTATTGATCTCATCAACGCCGAGCCAAAAGACAAGACAGCATTAAAAAAAATGACAATGAAAACAAAAGGATATGAGATGTAAGAATGAAAGTGGAAACTGGGACCTGGTGAGCTCACTCAAAAGAGGGAACAAGAAAAGAGAAGTGGAAAAAGGAAAGGGAAAAAAAAGAAAAGAAAAGAAAGAAAACGCCATCCCTGAACGAATAGAAAGAGTAAAAAGGCCGAAAAGGAATGATTCCCTTGAACATGTCAAAACTCCGGAAATATAATAAGCCCATCAAAAACGATAACATATGTAAAAAAAGGTCTAAAGGACCATGGCATGGAGGCCAAGGCCAGCAACTTCAAATCATTAACCATCATAAGAAAAAAGAAACAAAGGGGGAATAATTAACATGTCTAAAACGCGGAATTCACGCCCGTGTAGTCCGCTTTCGAAGCCCGAATTCCTGCTCTTGCAACTCTCGAATCAGACGCATGCTTTCCGCGTCGGGATCCTCGTGCGTTTGCTTCTTTCCTGCCTGCCCGGGCGATGTCGACGCTGACGTTGACGTGCCATGGTGGCCAGCGTGTCTTGCTTCCGTGGCAGGTGTATGAGAAGAATTAAGACGCGAGGACGGTCTTTTCGGACCCGATGACGGAGCAGGAGGTGTTTTGCGTGAAGCTGCCGACGTTGCAAATGCTTGGCGGGCGGATGACGGATGCGATGCTGGCCTAGGTGTTTTGCCTTCAGGTGCATATCTTTCAACTTGGCGAGGTTGGCGAGAGGAATGGCGGGAGCTCGACGTCGGCGTGTGTATCGCACTGGGGTGCTCCCCTTCTCCGTCGGCATTATCTTGAGACACGTCCATTTCATCGGCTTGCGAAGTAGGCGGCGAGACCAAGGTGGTTGTCGGCTGAGCTGCTGGTACGGTGTCTTCCTTTGGCAATAGCGTATCCGTCTGGAATGCTGGCGGTGATGCATATGAATCCTGACCTAAAGCGCTTGCTTTCTCTTCTATCGTCACATTTGCTCCAAATAAAGGCTTATTCGGGTTGACATTTTCTGGGAAGGTGGTGTCAAAACCAACTGCCTTGTGAACAATGGTTGACGATGGCACTTCGATTCTGTCAAGATTTGCCGGCCTGGAAAGCGGCGAAGTGCTCTCTTGCTTCGGCTTCTTACTTGGTGCCAAGCTAGCATCCTCCTCGTTAAGTCGGGGCCGTTTGGCGGAATTACTAGCTCGAGGTTTCGACCGCTCTTGGGCTTTGACAGGGTCGACTCGGCCATATTCATCGTGGATGCAACGGCGCTTACTCTTTCGGCAATCATCACATGCCTTGCTCCGTCCTTTCTTGCCCGAATTGGCACCCTCGGGGCTACCATCAGTGCGAAGTCTGGATACAGTCGGAGTATTTGTGACAGCCGGGTTGTACTTTGCAGCAGTTTCAAACTGATTCAATCCCACGATACTGCTGCCATCCTGAAGACCAGCTTCGGATGCAACGACAGCGAGAGAGTTCAGCGCTGCTGCGGCTGCATCATCATGTCCCAATGAGGATTGATTTTGCAAACCTATTCCCTGCCCAAAGGCATTATTGTTGATCAGTACCATCGGCTTGGTTGGTGCACCGTCATTTTGCTCATCCTTATGACGGCACCGGATTCTCCGTTTCCGACATGCATCGCAGGCAACCCGTTTCGGCCCGAGCCCGGAACCTCGGTTGTTATTCCGAGATTTGGGTGCAGTCTCCTGCTTCATGACAGGCGCCGAAGATGGCGGGTTAGCCTGTGCGGGAACACCATCCTCCGGCGAAACAGTAGGATCAGCACTTGCATAGCCATCAGAGGGTTCCTGCTGCTGCTGATCTGGTAACTGAACGGCCTGTCTCTCAGCATACATGCGTTGATTGTCTGCATTGCGCTCAGACCGGCGGCTAGGCCGCCCTGCCGGTTTCTTCTCCGTAAGACTGATCTTAGGGTTACTTTCGATCACTCCTGGAAGAGTCCACTCTGCTGCTTTCTCGTTCCCGCGTTTCCATGCAACCCAGACTCCAAACTTCCTGATAGTGTCGACCGGGTCTCCAATCCCCTTCGGTATCGACCGCTTGATCGCATTTCGGGCCTCCATGGTAACACCCTCAACGAGGTATGATGAAGCAATCAAAGCCGTTCGAAGAAGATATTTGGTGAGATCGGGTAACCCCTCTAGCTCGCCCTGAGAATAGAAGCGTGAATTGTGGTATGGAGACCCGGCAGGAGCTGCATTATCCCGTTCACCGAATTCGCAGTAAACGGGATAATCCCTGTGGAACTTGTAGTTCTCATCTTGCGCAAACGCGTCCAGCACACTTTGCGGGACCGGATCTTCCTCAAGATACTTCAACGCCGTATACCATTGAATCTTCTGAAAGAATGGGTATCGGAACTTCCGTGGAACTTTGGTATCCTTCTCAATCTTGGCGATCTTGATCTGCATTCCGTAGTTGAGTCTGGTCAGGAAATTGCCGCCAATGACCAGACTGTTTTCAGGGGTCCACACGGCGTGGATCCATCCAGACGGGATCAGCATCGTGTCTCCCTCAGAGAGATCAACACGATAGCATTCCTTGGTTTGATCACCCAGGAAGATATGATCTTGGGCAGGCGAGTTGCACCATTCTTCGTACTTTTTCAGGTGTTTGTCCTTGGGTGGTATGAAAAAGAAGGTCTTTTTCCCCTTAAGGATATGGTAGTAAACTGACGAACCCCCAAAGTCAATGTGGAAGTCGGTATAGCAATCGGCAACGGACATCAGACAGTAGAACTGGACTTTGGGGAAATCACCGATTGCCTGTAATTCTTGGGGCCAGACAGCATCTTGCAGGTCGAGATCACGCACGATTTTTGGCCGGCGGATCAACCGACCCAGCCTACTTTGCGAGACTTCCAAACTGATGACGTTCCGAACGATCTTCTCTCCCGTGCTCTCGTAGTAATCGGCCCACTTTTGCATGTTCCACCTCTTGTCCTCTCCTTGTTGGGACTTGACGTCGATCACTTCCACCCTTTCTTCTGGTCCATAGAGCTCTGCAACGGTTCTGACATTAAGACCCTTTGGAATCACCATGTCCAATCGATCTTGGCCGCAGTCGACGACCCGCTCGTAATTCCGGCCCTCCTCCGGAAGATGCTCAAGTAACTCGTCAAACATCTCCTGAGTCGGAGCATCCGCAGCAAGCGCGTCGAAATCATCACCCACGGTTGTAGTCAATTCCCGACTATTTAAATGGGCCGGGATAATGATTGGCTCTGACATACCACTGCCCCGTTCGAAATACTCGGCGGTGACTAGATCCGGATGCATGCGAGCGAAGTTCTCTGGGAGGAAGCGAATTTTGCCTTGTCGAATAGGTTCAATGTAATGATGCTCCATAGAGCTCGATGGCGCTTTGACGAGACCTTGGTTGAGACCAGCATAATCGATCGCCGTGCGTGCTCGAGAGGACTTACGGACAAAGGTCGTGTGTCCATAAACGGGCCAGCATCCACGACAGATGAACTTATCAACTGTCCGAATCTCGCGATCATTCTTGAACCCGGCGCAGACAATATGAAACCATCGCTTGCAACCATCACAGCTAATCCATGTCACCTCACCTTGATCTTCGGTCTCCACAGGAATCCGAACCAAGTTACAAGCTGAACAGCTTGCCTGGTTTGTGTCGTCAGCGTTTGTTCCGCCTTCTGTTTTTGAAGGTATATCTATTGGCTGCTGGGTTACACCAGCGTCGCGAGAGCCAGAGCCTTGGAAATCATTGTGTGCAGTGTTTTTTGGTGTGCTAGTCACCGGTGTATTCCAGTTATATTCCATCTCCTCTTGCCATGTAACGGGCGGAACAGTGGACGAGCTCGTGTTCGGGCGGACGTTACGGATGACTGGCCGGGCAACGGTAGAGCCATCCGACTGGGAACGTGTGCGGGAGCAATTCCCGGAAGCATTATACATAGATCCTTCATACTCCGGTACCATGTATGTAGACCCAGAGCCAGTCTTTTGCCGCTTCGACTCGTTCCCATGGTCGTGAGACGATCCGTCAATGCTCACTCGTTTCGGCGATTGAACGATTGGGGGGAAATTACTTGGTCGTGCAAAATTCAACAAAAGTTCTGCATCCGTTTTCATACTGTCAAAGATGGAGGAGGGGTTAATGGTATGTGATGGTGCTGCATCCGTCGGGGCATGAGGTGAACGCTGAAAAGGCGACGGATCCTTCTCCGACCGTTGACGCTTAGCCGGAGGTTCAATCGAGTCCCTCATTTCGGGGAAGAGAGGCATCGCAGGTGTAGAACTTTGAGATGGCGGTCGGTAAGAGAGAGGCGCGAAAGTCGGACTCGTCGCTAGAGCGATTGTCGCGAGGGTGTCGATAGTTGAACTCGACCGGCCATGACCGGATCGATGATGAGAGTCATCATCTGTCACGGCATAACGACCATTTTCCGACTTCAACCGATCGCGATCACTGCTCGCATGCTTATGGATATTGCGCTCCGTCCAAGAAGCGCAGAAATCGGTGGTATTCGAGGGTGTGATCGGTTCGACAGCGCGTCGCGGAGGGGAAGGAGTACGGTACCGCGGCGGACGGCTTCCAAGGTGATTAAGAAACGAAGTAGCACCCATCATACTGGCGCTAGGGGATGGATATCAAAATTTCAGGCAAAAGAAGAGAAAGGAAGAAGAGGAAGAAGAGGAAAAGAGCCGGAGAACTGAGATGCGGTTGCGGCAAGCGGGTGCAAAGCGGGGAGGAAATGTTTGACCACGCAGGCTAGAGAACGACAAAAGCAGGCGAAGGAAGAACCATTCCTGACAGGAAGAAAATCGCGCGGTGGGAAATGAAATACAACGTAGAATCGAAAAGGAAGCGAAGAAGGCGGTTGAGAGGATGGAAGGTGGACGAGGGCGCGGCGGAGGGAGAGGTTTGATGGGAGGAAGTTGAATGAGTCTGCTGGCTTTAGTTTAAGGGAGCGGCGGAAGAACAGCGACTGAAGCCCCGGGCGATAACAAGCGCGTATAGAAAAAGGGCGCAGAGAAGGATCAATAGAGGTTATAATGAGGACAGTGGAAAGATGCAATTGAATGAGTGAATAGATAGTTGAGCGATAGTATGTCGACAAGGAGGACAAGCCTGGAAGGCTACGGCGAAGGCAAAGGCAGCGGGCGCGATCGTTTGCGGCGGAGCATACCAAGACCCGGGCGTGCTATCAGGCCATGGGGATAAGTATTGAGAGAGATAGATAAAGAGAGAGAGCGCGAGAGAGGGTAAATGAGGAGAGAAAGGTACTGTAGAAAAGAGATGCTGTATACGGACGTTCAGCTCTGATGCGAAGGGGGAGTTCCCAAGTGAGGCTCAACGGACCGTCTAGTCCCGATCGGGAAAGGCACCCCCCCGTCGCAACCTCGAGCGGTTCGATTGATTGTCGCCTTCACATTCTCTCTTCTCTCTCCTCCTTCTACTTCTACTTCTTCTTCCTCCCCTTTTCTCTACTCTAATTTCTATATACCATTGCCCGAGGGCTTCGGTTTTCCTACCATTTAATCTCACTTTTGATTCTTTTTGCACACCTGAGAATGAGCCGGAAGCTCGCCCCCGAAGCAAATCGGTATGACTGCTCTGATTGTCCCTCCCATCGAAAGCAGCTTCTAAACTAGGAACTGGGATGGATCTTGATCAATATCCGTGTCATTCTTGCGGCTAGATCACAAAGGCTAATTTTTTTTGGTTCTCTTTTTAACAGGATTCTATTTGTCAAGAACCTCAAGTACGTTCCTCCAACGTGACCACTACCAACTGCATCGATATATCGAATTTGGCGTCTCTTTCAGGCCTTCTAGCGATCTCAGCTAACCGCCATGTATCCGATAGCTACAACGTGACTGCAGAGCAACTGTTCGACCTTTTCGGCAAGTTTGGGCCTATTCGGTAAGCCGGGGATATCCAGGAGTAGCTTCTGAGAGACAAGAAGATCGTGTCTAACTGTTATCGCTTCTTCTCATAGACAAATACGTCAGGGTATCGCGAACAACTCCAAGGGAACCGCGTTTGTTGTCTACGAGGACGTGCACGACGCCAAACAGGCATGCGATAAGCTCAATGGATTCAATTTCCAGAACAGATACCTCGTCGGTATGTACACGAAAATGGTGGAAGAACAAGGGACACTGGTGGCTAATATATTTTTTCCATTACAGTTCTCTATCACCAGCCGGAGAAAATGGTTCGTTCGAAAGAGGACCTTTCGGAAAGACAAGAAAATCTCGAACGTCTCAAACAGCAGCATGGTATAGAATGATGAGGGGAGGAAATGTTCTCTTTCTCTTGGTCCCCTTTGCAGACATCTAGCTGCAAGTTGTCTATCATGGGTTGGCTGTGGGGTTTCCGGCGTTTTAATTTTTTTTTTTTTTTCTTTTTATTCTTCTTATTTCTTTTATTCCTATTTGATCCCTACGGGTGTCATGGTTTTTTATTTCTTCACTTGGGGTATGAGGATTCGACGTCGACAGGGTGAGAAAGAGAACTCTGCTCGTCATGGTCCCGGGAAATGATACAGAATGAATGATGAGCTCTCGAGGGCAAAGGCATGCCACTCAGTTATTCTCAGTTATAACTGGTTACAATGATATATATATCTTTCGAACCGGCCTCGGTCGGGTGCCATAGTCGCGCAGCAGTATGATTGAAGCTATCCGTAGCTACTCACGCTATATGCGTTCCTTGATCTTATGAGCTGTACAATGCAGAAGCATCCAACAAGGACTCGAGCTCTGGCAGGATTTGCGCTTTGCAGACGCTTTCGGCATCCGAGCACTGTTTCTACTATGTACTCCGTACTGATACTGGCAATCAATCAGCTACAGTCTCTATTCGAAATTTATATATAGCCCCCCCCCCACCTTATACTCTTCCTATACACGATGACCACCATTATACTCTGTAAAATCTCTACGGCTCGCCACCGTCATCATGATCGGTCCTTGTACAAAATCCCAAGAAGCTGCCAACTAACCCCAATGCGGCTAGCCCCGCTCACCGCCTGGCTCCACCGCTATCGAGATTTTCTTCCTGTCCAAACAGGCAAAAAAGTCATATTCTTCACTATACACGACTAACTCTGCAACACGGCAGTGATCCTTTGAGTGAGCCATTTTTATATTCATTTTCACGGGAAAGGAAACGAGAACATCATTATGCCTGCAGGAGAAGAGCCTAATGCCGGTGAGTACGCCATTCAACTTGAATTCGACTCGCGGACTTGAACTGACGAGTCTTTCTCTATCCAGCCTGGCCCATCGCCGACGAGGCTTTGACCCAGAACTTGCTGGACCTTGTCCAGCAGGCTTCTCACTACCGCCAGTTGAAGAAGGGTGCCAACGAAGGTGAGTCGACCTCGAACCGTCCTCACGTCTGCGAAGGGAACCTCCGAATTTTTTTTTTTTTTTTTTTTTTTTTTTTTTTTTTTTTTTTTTTTTTTTTTTTTTTTTTTTTTACTCCGACTGCTTCAGGGCCACATCCTGCCTTGCAAGCAGATCAATCTCATATCATGGACGGCAGAAGACACTTCTGGTCCCTATACCTGGATTGAATAAGTTACACTAACATATCTTCTAACAGCCACCAAGACCCTCAACCGCGGAACTTCCGAGATTGTCATTCTGGCTGCCGACACCTCTCCCCTGGCCATTCTTCTCCACCTGCCTCTGCTTGCTGAAGACAAGAACATTCCTTATGTGTACGTCCCCAGCAAGCTCGCCCTGGGCCGTGCCACCGGTGTCTCCCGTCCTGTGATCGCCGCCAGTATCACTACCAACGAGGCTAGTGACCTTATGGGCCAGATCCGCACCATTAAGGACAAGGTTGAGCGTCTCATGATCTAAGGAGATATACTGTTAATGATCGATGGGTCTATTGGTTTTGTTGTCTATGTCGTTGTTTTAAGATATAGGCGGCAAGGCTGGTAGAAGGCCTCTTGCTCCAATTGGAATGAATCTTTTCCCATAAATTCTCCGTGCTTTGCTGTAGTCGGTGTACTCCTCGTACTTGTATTCCATACTTCTGTGTACTTGACCCGGTCCGTCTACCTCCCGGGTCAAGTTATGCATAGTCGTACAACTTTCTTGCAAAAAAAAAAATAAAATAAAGAAAGAAAAAACACCTGGATCAAAGCTAAGTCAAGCCAATGAACTGTTCCAGTCATAGTCCAAAAGCAACAAGCATAAAAAACAAAAAAAGATGCCCCCAACCAGGATCGAACTGGTGACCTCGGGATTTCAACCCTGTTACCAGGGATGTCACAAGACTATGAGACCCACGTCATGACCAACTAGACCATGGAGGCAACCGCTGATGAGCCGGGGTAATTATTGACCACAGAAGGGGACGGAGATGCATTGTCTTGAATCATGTTATCAAAGTACAGAACACTTTCGAGAAGACGACATATACATGGTCAAAGGACTGGTATAAAAGCGGCTCTGCCCTGTGTGGAGCTTCTCGAACTCGGACAATTCAAGGGTAGATGAAGCTCAAGTAGACCTCAAAACGAACGAGAATGCCATGGAATACTTCCAGTTCTCCGGACTATGCATCTGAACTGAAAGCAACAGCGTGGCAGACAGTAAATAAGAGCACATGGGTTATTATAACTCGCTAACAAGTTCAGACCTGCGGGGTCTTTGTAAGACCTGCAATTGCATTGCTGTACTTCGCACGGAATAGAAAGCACCTCTATGTACGGAATATCAGATTGAAAATAGACGCCAGAAACCAAGGTCCGTGCGTACTCACGTAACAAATTTTTCTATAGATGTTAAGTTTGGCAAAGAATTTCAACAATTGCCTCCATGGTCTAGTTGGTCATGACGTGGGTCTCATAGTCTTGTGACATCCCTGGTAACAGGGTTGAAATCCCGAGGTCACCAGTTCGATCCTGGTTGGGGGCAATTATTTTTGCGCTTTTTTCTTTTTTTTTTTTAAACCCTATGTATCTATATTAGGCTTTACCTGACATCCTTTCTTCCTTTACGGAATTTTTTGTTTGTTTGTTTGTTCTGTGTCTTTGTTGTTCGTTGTATCTTCCAAAGCCACTCCCATTGCTCATTCTGTACTATGTACAAAGTCCGTATACTCACGCGCGAGTTAAGGCACATGAGTCCCATTATGCTCCGCATCGAACTCATGTCTACCTCTGTTGCATATGTACCTTGCTATTAATTGACAACCGCGTTGTTAAGCGGTGACGAGTGAGCATATCAGTTAAGATATCTCCGGCCTAACTGAACAGAAGTATCAGTACAGTCGAGATAATAGGTGTGACGAGTTGCCAAATCACAGCGGATATAAGATGTCTGTCCAGCACCTGGGCAGTCGAATAGTGAAGACATAAATCATAATCCATTTTGTTTTGCTGTCCCCTTTGAATGCACCGTGTCGAACTAAATACAACATTGCCTGCACCCAGGCCACCAATAAAAAAAAAAAAAAAATAAAAAAAAAGAAAAGAAAAAGGCAGAAAATATATACTCGAAGATGAAAAAAATGTAAGATAGGCAGTTGTGTGAACTCCCAATGTGCAACTCGCAAATCGCAATGCCCATTAAATTAGCCCGTATAACACCGGCTAGACAAGGGCTGGTCTGTCGAACCGGTAGAGGAACGAAAAGAAAAGAAAAGATACAGATAGAATGAACGGATAGATAAAAAAAAAACAAAACCCATTTTTAAGATCCGTAGGGGGTATGAACGAACTAAACCAGAACTGATGTACCGAGTCGCATAAATCAAATGCATGGTAAGAACTATCACCATCAGTATGCTTTCCATATCAACGACCATCGGGGAAAAAAAGACTCACATTCATCACAATCAACATAGGGATATCAAACACATCCCGCTTAACTGTCCAGCAGTATGCGCATTCGACCTTCCCATCCTTAAACCCCAACTGGTTCATCCCTGCTTCACCGGCAATGCCCCCCTTCCGCAGATGATTATTCCACCGCTGGTTATCATCCGACTGCGCCTGCTCCATGTCCTCTTTCGTCTTGTACTTGAGAAGTTTGCAGGTGGTCGTGACAGAACCACGAGAATCACCAAAGGCTAACCTGGCGAAGTCATCGTAGAACTCAACCACGCTGTCGTCGTCGAGAAGTTCAGCGAGGAAGACGGGTTGTGAGGGACGACTGGGGCTACCGGTTTCCCGTGGTGGATAACTGCTTCCGCGTGATGAGGGACCGGATGGTGGGTTCGATGATGAGCCACCGGTGTTGACGTTGAGGTTTGGTTCTTTGCCCAGGAGTACATCTTTTTTCCACCCGGTTAGGATGCTGAATTCCTTACCCACGGCAGCGACCTCTCCTGTCCGTCGACAGACGATAGTCGGCGTCCCGCAGGCGTTGATGAAATCTTCGTATTCGAAAAGTGTCCGTTGGAAACATCGCTCCATGAAAATCAAATCATCGCGGTTCAAGGTCTTGGTGGTGGCGATAAAGGACGGGCGGATAGAGGCCAGCGACTTGGCAATCTGTAACGTCTTCTGCGGTGAGAATCGTCGCTGGATGAACGCTGTCAGGCTATGGAACCCATTCGTGTAGGAATACGGCTCCTTAACGCTTTCGTAGATGGATGACGGATTCCGTTGTCGTCGCTTGACTCCTCCCATATGCAAGCTCTGCTGTTTCAGACTCGGTGTCGAGATTGTAGGCCGCTGTAAGCCGTTGGACTTGCCGATCGCGAGATTCTTGTTGACATTATTATTATTACTACTATCATCGAGGTTGTGCCCATGCGGACTTGCGGTTGCACTCGGGCTGGCGAAATTAGGACCACTTTCGATCGCGAATGCGTGTGGTGCGTCCGGTTTGCCCAAATGACCGGGAACGTAAACTCCGCCCACATTCACCGCGCCTGGACCCTGTCCACCGCCCGACCAGTCATTGAGCAGCGGATCGCCAAACATGAACGGTTGCTGCTGACCGCCTGGGCTTTCCCCAAACCCTGCACCTCCGGTAATCGGTGTGGTCGAGAATTGCGCCGAACCGCTTCGTCCCATAGATCCCCGTTGTGTTGCTGAATCGCTAGGCGAGTCGCCGGCTCCGGTAGCCATGTGTCCCAGCATGCTGAATTCCAAAGCACCATAGCGATTCTCAAAGTTCATGCTGGAAAGGTCAAAATTGAAAAGCGCGGGATCGCTGGGGTCGAAGAAGGGTCCTCCAACAGGATTTTGGCTCTGGTTGGTATTCGACACAGACACAGCTGAATTTGTCTGGGGTTGGCTAACGGAGGATAAGGTGGGATTCTGACCGGTGGGACTAGTCTTCAGGTTGAAGGTTGGTGAGACTGGCGACTGCGTCGAGAACGGGTTCTGGCTCATCGTGTTCTCCTGGTAGACACTGTAGGAGTTGGACTGAGGATTGGGATAGAACGTAGGACCGGACGGCTGGGACGGGGGCGCGTTGACTCCATTAGCGGCGGCGGCAGCACCGTTCCTGGACATAGACAAGCTGTTGGTTCGCATCGGGGGAGGAGGGGTGTAGAAATTCCCAGCGACACCAGGCATCAGCGCTCCATCGGGCGCATCGTGAAGGTATTTGGCTTTCTTGCGCACGCCGTCGTGACATTGGTCTTGGAGGCCTCGTTTGATACATCGCTGGCACGGTCTCTCGTCACCTGAAGTACACCATTAGTTTCGTCTCTTTTGGACGCGCAACAGTAAACCCGGAGACATCTCGGGGGGTAAAAGATAGCAACGCACCGCAAGTCAAATGCGCACGTTGACACGCAAAACAAGCCCGTCTCGCCTTCTTTCTGCGCGGCCTCGACGGGTCCTTGGTGTTGGACGACGGCTTCTGACCATTCCCCGCGGATCCGGCGCCATCTCCATTGGTGGGATTATGCATTGATCGTTGGTGGTCAGCATCGTCGACGTCCTCGCTCCCGTTGCGATCCCCCGAGGGAGCAGGCGAGCGATCCTTTGCGTCGAAATTCATATCAACATGAATTTTCGGAGTCCGGAGCAGGTGCGCGTCGGGAATCGTTCCGCGATTTTTTCTGGGCAGGTAAGGGGCGGGCAAAAAAGGAAATATCTCACGTTTCACTATAAAAAGAAAAGCGCGTGTCTGGGATGCGTGTAAGTAGCACTTGCTACTGGGTCTCGAGCTGTATATGGCAGTATGTTTTATTTCTCAGAATCAGTTCTCTTCGTGTCGCACTACCAGCGCGTCCAGCGTCCAACGTTCAGATAATTCCTGGAAGCCAGCTGTGAGGGATTTAACGATGCCCGCTTGGCCGAGGTAGTTGAAGCATCCGGTCGCAATAGCAGCGGAAGTTCAGTATCCGCCACAACCACGCGAGCCGACACCACCGAGAGCGCTTGCTCTTCTTCCGTGGTCAACCAAACCCGTGTAGAAAATGCTGGTGGATGAGGCTCTGCGACTCCCAATGCGACACGACCAGTGACGGCGATGTGGAGGAGGGGCGGAAGAGTCTATTCGAGACGGAAAAAGCAATAAGCGAGGAAAACAGAACCAAAAAAATATTTCGCGACGACGGACGCGGTGATTCGCGCAGTCCAGTACGGAGTGTTCAGTGGTATTTAGTGGTAGTTCAAGTGTTATTGTTCGAGAATGCACGATATGTCAGAATTCGTAAAGGGACGATCGATCGAAAACGGTTCCTGTCGGGACTGCGGGGAGCTTTTATAACGATGAATAACCGAGAGTACTCTAGGTACGTAATTATAAGGGAAACAATACCCTCTTGAAGAATAAGAGAGAGAGCGGGGAAAGAAAAAGAAGAATTGTAGAGAGAAAGGATTCAGACTGGTTGAGATTATGACTACAGAGTACTGTGGGCTCGATATTATTAGGACTGACAAAGGGCCCAGGCTCTGTATAAAATCGCGCGCTAATTAAACTGCATAATACTACACTACTTCGAGTACTTCCATGTGCGTTTTTGCTTTTCTTTACAAATTCTACGCCACGTGAGAGCAGCTTCTTGGTGCATCAGGCATATTGTTAGATAATTGTTGGTCATAAGAGCTTGGCATCCTTGGAAATCAGGCTACCTTACCTCATGTATGTTGACCGTTAACTATGGCTGCTCTTTTATAGGCCTAGGTGGTAATCATCATGTGACCTTCACAAGTCTTCGCCGACAATCATGTGAACATCCATTCCACGAGTACTCATGGCTGCTAATACATCTGAAGAGTTCAAGAATTGTGCTCGCTCACGGAGATTACCATGGCACCACTGTGAAGAATGGGATTGTCAGTGGTATCCTGGGCTGCATTCAAGCCAGACCATTCCTTACCATGACAATGCGCAACATGTCTGGAAATGCTCAGGTCATTGGCCTTACACGCCCTCAACCGCAAGCTGTGCAACAGGGCCATATCGAGGAGAGAGGAGAGAGTCACCGTTGCGGTCAACTAAACGACGAGGGCCCATACATGACAGTGAGGCCAGGGCTGAGAAGGAGGAGGGTATTACCTCACACCGGATATTTATGCACCCTTATGAATATCGCAGGGTCTGCGTCGCGGTATAGTAGTATGTATACAGTTCTTACTATATGTCTGAAACCTCGTACTTACACCCTCGCCATTTTCTCCGGGACCCTTATTCCCTTGGCATCGAGGACCCTGGGGCCCAAAGTCTCGGCTCAATCGCTTGTGCTCGTGTGCTTGACAGACAAGATTTATTCCTCGCGGGCATGTTTTGTTCTTCACCATTCAAACAGCATGCTGCGTGAGATATTTTTGCTCCTGATATGTGCAGCATGGGTAGATTTTGCTGTTCGTTTCTCCCCACAAATCGAGGTGAGATCTATGTCCACAAGATATTCGCTCAGTATTGACATCATGTAGCAAATCGCTCATAACATCATCGCGCACACTACTACCTTTTTTCACGACCCGGTACCATTCTCTCTTCACCATGGAGAAGAACATACCCGTCTGCTTCAGAGGATCCAGCGATCCAGTGGAAAATGGGACTCGTCCCACCCTCGACATCGCTTGTTAACCGCGCTGCATGGGTATGCGAGATACAAGGACAGAAACTTGGCGGAAGTGGATCGATGGAGGAAACTTTACAAAAGCGTCCCTAAGCGCCAGCGATTGGTAGGCTATTACTTGTGCTAGCATTACCTGGTCTGGCTGACTGGCTTAGTTGCTCGAATCGACCACCCACTACAAGCGCAAACTCAACACAATCGATCATCTCGTGGACACAAACGACAATCTCGCCAGGGACATTGTGAATTACGGCCTACGGTTCTATAATATCAGTCAGTCTGAGCTGGACGAGTTCATTGGAGACAACGAAGCCCAGCACCGGTCCGCTGATCGGACTAGCGTCTCTCAAGGAATCAAGCATTTTGTGCGCGACTGGGCAGATGAGGGCCGTGAGGAGCGACAACAATCCTTTGGATGCATTCTGAAATCTCTTGCACAGACGCCGCGAACAAGCAGGGAACCTCTACGAGTGCTGGTGCCCGGAGCGGGTCTGGGACGACTGGCACACGAGATCGACAAGCTTGGGGGTGAGTATGCATCAACTGTCCAACGTAAGGTCACAGGTTGCTCAGCAAGACATCTAGGCTTCGAGGTCATAATGAACGAGTGGTCGATGTACATGAATCTGGCATATCGATATCTATCCAGTCTACCCGACCCCGACAGCGTAGCGTTCCACCCGTATATCGACTGGTGGTCTCACCACGCCCTGACGGCTGATCTCCAGCGCTCTGTTACATTTCCAGACCAAGTGATCAACCAGTCCTCTGTCTTACTCATAGAGGGAGACTTCACCACCGCTTTTGCCAAGCACACCGGCCAATATGATATAATCGTGACCTTATTCTTCATCGACACAGCGCGGAACCTGATCTCGTACCTCGAGACTATCCACCAGTTGCTCCGTCCTGGGGGGCGTTGGATTAATCTAGGTCCGCTGTTATATGGCACTGCGCCATTTGTGCAGTTATCGCTGGATGAGATCGTGGCGCTAAGCGTGCAGATTGGGTTTGAGTTTCAGGAGACAGATGCTACGTTTGGGAATATTACAGTACCTGGCTTGTCAGTGCGAGGGTTTGAGGTGGCATATGGTCGAAATGGCCGGGGGTTGAATAAGAATGCATATCAGGCGCAGTATTGGGAGGCTGTTAAGCGCTAGACAGGACAGGAATATATGGGAGTCCAAGGAAAATCAGTTACCAGAAAATCGTCTGAATTCAACTTGGTTGGCCAGGAATAGGATCGTGGAATGAACCTCGTAACCGAGTACAGGATGTCAACACACAGAGCCGGTCAATCTTAATTTCTCAATGAAACAAACACTCAATTCAGACCCTTTCCAAGACTTTTTGAGAACCTTGGGGGATACCAAGACTTTCCGCTTTGCTTGGCACCAGAAATGCTTGCCCTGACCGGGAAATTGATCATGCTGTTTGTCGGATTAGTCCCGACGATGCAGGTTATAAAATCTCGCGCTGACCCTGTGCTCGAGGCCTTGGTTTCTGAAACATTAACCATTACTGCAGGTCACAGTACATACATACAGTGCTTAAAACTACAACGCCAAGATGAGATATTCTACCCATCTCCTTCCAATCATGGCATTGGTGTCTTCCACCGTCCTAGCTCAGGACCCAGGTCCATCGCCTACTGCTTCAGTTGGCTGTGAGCCCCACGGAGACCATTGGTTTGTTCCCATCCTTGCTGCATGCACGAGTACGTCTAACAGCACATCTCTACACAGGCACTGCGACGGCCCAGCCTCAACCTCCATCTCCTCGATTACATCAACGACAAGCGAGGATACGACTTCCACCACTGCATCTGCTTCGCCCACAATGCCCAGTCCCACCGAGTCGACTGGCTGCGAACCGCACGGCGACCACTGGCATTGCGATGCACCTGCCGAGACGGGTAGCGAGAACGGAACAACTTCCACCACCGCATCTGCGTCGCCTACAATGCCTAGTCCTTCTGAGTCGGTTGGCTGCGAGCCGCATGGGGACCACTGGCATTGCGATGGACCGGCTGAGACGACTAGTGCTTCTGCGGGCTCTGGGGGTGAAGAGGGTGGTGCTGGGGCTTTAGGGTTGCATGCTTCGCTGCTTGTTGGGTTGTCGCTTGTTGCTGTTGTTTTGAATGTTTAGATCGTGTATACTCCCTGGAGGAGGGTTGGTTAAGATCTATGGCTGGGATTCTGTGCCTCTGGGTACTGTTATTTACGAGTATCATGTATACCATGTACTTACAAGCTTGTTACACCGATATGTATCTGCACTCTTGATGCAAACCTTATATAACACTCACATGTATACGCCCCTTCAACATATTTTCAACTCTCCATCATCCAGTTTATTCTCTCCGAATTTAGAAAGGGGTCTGGGTCTTGATGGGGATGAGGAGAGGTGACATGGTGGAAACAGAATATTGAATACAGTACAGTAGAATGGATTGTCTGTGTTTGGTGATATGAGAATTGTGGACATGTATTGACAGTATTGACCCACGAGGCCGTGTCAGCCCTGTAGCCGTATCCGAAAGACAAGTCGTGGTTGTTATAACTAAAGCTCTCCAAAAAAATTTTTTTTTTTTTTTTTAAAAAAAAAGTATTATTTTAAACAATGGTATTCTTGTAAAGCCAGTTAGGCAATACCCAGTAACTTTTGTTCGTATTATGTTTGTCATAAGCCGGGGGCAAGTGTAAGTCAATATATGTACATGTATTTAGAGCAATAGACTCGAGGATATCAGTCCAAGTATTATGTACCCTGTACTCCGTACTACTTCGTAAATGATACTGGTAATCCGTACGTACAGATCACCGTGTAGCGAATCGGCTCTTCTTCCGAATGCGAGCGCCGTATCGAAAAAATAGGAATCTATCATCGTCAGCCAAGCTATGCTTGTAAAACCATCGCGTGTATGTATCTCGACAGACGGTCTACGGGCTTATCCGTAGACCAGCCCTGCATGTGTGGACATGTCGAATGTATGTAAGGGATGGAAGATCATCACATAATAAAAGGCCAACTTACGGAAACGGAGTCATGAGAAGCGTCAAAAACGCCAGCAAAGACGTCGCCCAGTGATAATTCAAATTGTTGTACACTGCATTCCAGTTAACAATGACGGTCAACCGTGACCGGTCATAAGAGAGAGCTTACTCTGCGTTCCGAATAGAGGAAACACTCCGGCAAAAGTCGACCGAGTAAACCCGTTCGCTGCCAAGGCACTCGCGGCATAGGTTGGATACGCGTCGACCAGGAACGTGAAGACGCCCGAGTACACGAGAATGGTTCCCGCTCCAAAGAACGCGCTGCCAATGATTGGGACAATCCAATGTACAGAAGGATAGATCGTCCATGCGAACATGAACAGGCCAATGGTGACAAGAGGACCGCCAGCGATCGCTATTAAATATGAGAGTCAGTGTCAACCCAAATAAATAGGTTAAAGAGACGTACCTGGAGGAAGTCGCCATTCAGGCTGGAAATCATCCACCTTTTTGACCGTATTCTCATGATTCTTCTCCAAACGAGCATACAGCCGACGCCATAGCGGATCAGACAGAATGGCAAATACCATTCCCACAAAAAGACCAAGGAAGCAGAGTCCACGTTGCCATAGCGAAAAGTCATACACGTTGCCAAAAACCAGCTGGAACGCTCCGAAGAACAGGTACAGAATACCCAGCAGGATCCCAGAAAAGATGCAAAGATTCAGACACATGGGTTCAAGGGCGAGGAGAAGGATGGGCCGGTAGCAGGATCGCATAACTGTCTGCGCTACTGAACGCTTCAATTTCTCGATGGGAGCATGCCATCGGTCGTCTCCGGTTTCTTTGCGGAGCTTTCGGGCCTTGCGTCTTAAGAGCCTGTATAACCTATCAGTTCATCTGTGCCTTCAATCCGAGGGCTGACATACACCGGATGGTAGGTTTCCGGGACAAATGTGATAATGGAAATCAGCATGAAACCTGACCAGATCAGAAGGACATAGAAAGTCCAGCGCCTATCACACGTTAGTCACTGATTGTCTTCCAGCATATCTTGGAATGCAAACCATGTCGTGTATTCATTGATGAATCCCCCAACCCTGGATGGTCGTCAGTATCGCGCACTATAGATGCGATGCGGGAGAGACCTACAGAGGGCCAACCTCAGGACCAATAAACGGCGAACTGGTATAAACCATCATGGGAGCACTGAGTTCGTGACGATTGAACAGGTCACCAACAGTGCCGCCGGCGACACTCAGAAATGCACTACCGGCAATACCATTGAAGAAACGGCAGATGATCATGGTTTGGACGTTCTGCGCCACTGCACAGGGGATCAGCCAGATCAAGAAGAAGGCGAAGGAAATGATATAGATGTATCTCCGGCCATAGAACTGGTCAAGTCAGCTAGCGGGTATCTCGAGGGATAATAACAGGAACAAACCTCTGATAGAGGGCCCAGGAAAAGAGGTCCAACCGCTGTTCATCATTAGCATTTCATCGCAACAAACCCTCATTCAAAACATACCAAGCCCCCAGATGAAGAAGGACAATCCCAGCGTCACCACGATATGCGAGCTATCAAACTCTTGCATGATCTGATCATAAGTCACGGTGTACATCGACGACGTACAAGTCCTAGACCAATCAGCAAACCGCAACGCACCAACCAACCCAGGCAACCAATACTCACACGCAAAGTGAGCCCAACGAACAAATAATCACAATCAACCATCGTCTCCCCGTGTTCATATTCCTCGGATTCATAGGATCGTTCTCATCCCAACCCACCACAAACTCCGGCACCTCCCCACCCCCAGTAACCCCAGCTTCCTCATCGACCTTCTCCCCAGACTGCTCATCGCCCGTATGCACGCTATACCCATCATTCAGCGACCAACTGCGCTCAATAGACCTACTCGCCTGCAAACGGTTTTCGTCGCTGCTTTTGATGGGCGCAAACATGGTATTTCCTTCACCACCGCCATCGCCGTCGCCGTCCTTTTCATTTTCGTTTTCAGTGAACGATGATTCCTTTGTCGCGTTGATAGTGGTGTCTTCGCTGGAATCTTTTTCCCGTTCTGGAATTGGGGTGTCGTTGCTGCTGTCTTGGCGCCGTTGCGGGTGCGAGCTTGGGGAAAGTGTATCCTCGGGATTTTTTTCCTTGCTGCCGTTGTTGATGTTATTGCGGGGGGGGGACTCAGTCCCCTGTGTGCTTGACATGCTTGCGGTTATCGTCCAAGATTATCGTGTGCCCTGAAGTCAATACAAATCGCAGCAGAGTGTTTATGGTCAGGAAGAGAAAAGACTCCTATAAAGAAGATGTGGAGAGAGAAGCTTTAATTAATCATCGTCTCCAACGGTCCCAAATTGGAGTCGGGATTCGCGCCGAAAGCTATGACCGAGGCAGGCTGCCAGCGAGATAAGAGAGGATATTAGGAGTGAAAAAGGAGAAAAAGAAAAAGATATAAGCAAAAGTGATCGATTCCTTCCTTTACGGCATAATTATCCGCACTCTGAGTCTACACTAAAACAGCGCATTCACTGGCTACAGCATAAGGGTCGGGGTTATTGACTGATCGGCGATTTTTTCTAAACCTTACCCCGGGAAGACGCATCGGCTGACTGTTTACCCGTAGCACTATGTATGTATATCACATGGATATCAATTAATTCATTTGATACTACTGCTAATGATCCTAGAGTGTTCGCCAAAAGAAGACAATTCATCCTCAACTCAAAAAGAAAGCCCAAATCCACCTTTTCATCCCTAAAGCAAAACCTAAACACCGTCAAAATTGATGGAAAAGATAACCAAGTAAACAATATCATGTCCAAAGACGTTCACCCAAGAGGAACGCATACATCACTGTACACAGGGGATTTGCACCAGAACTCCGCTATATAAGTTAAAAGAATTCCAAGTAAAAAAAGGTAGAAAACGGAAAAAAAGGACAAGCTTAAGCAGCAACCTCAGCAGGCTGCGAAGCCTCGCCGTTGGTGCCCTCCTCGGCCCAGGAGCCCCAGAGTGCGCGCTTACCACGGATCTTGAGAGATCCGCCAATGGTCTTAGCCTCCTGGTCAACCTTGATCGCATCCTTGGTCGCCAACACCAGAGTTTCGAAGAACATCTTGGTCGCATCGGCCTTAGTGGTCTTGCCCTCGGGGCAGAGATCCTGGAACTTCACGGCCTTCTTCTGCTCGCCTGTCGAATCGTTCAATTGGTCCCGGAGGATGTGAACAGCATGCTGGGTGCCAAGGGAGATCGGTCCACTGTCCACCGCGGGAACAACAGTATCGTCAAGGTCTTCCATATGCTGGTTCATGCCCTCGTCGTCGCTCAGGTGAAGTTCCTGGCCCTGCTCATCTCCCGGGAAGTCGATCTCCGACCGTTGGATAGTCGTGTCGAGGTCAACTCCTTCATCCGCCGGAACAATGGCATCCTCTTCACCCAGATCCAACTGAGGAGCAATAGCAGCCTCCACATCCACGTCCGAGATGCCACTGTCACGCTTCCGCTTCAAATCGCCGGACTTCTTGACAGCATCAAACGACAGCAAATCACGAAGCTCTGGTGCCCAGCCGCGTCCACGACCGCCTCCAAGCACATTGGAAACAAAGTCACCGTTCTTTTGCATGCTCATCAGGGTGAGCAAAACGGGGTCGCGAGGCAGGAACGAGGTCGGTTTCAGGATTCCGGATCGGTTCGTTTGCTGCTCCTTGATCTGGCTGTTCTGGAAATCGGTGACAGAATCAAGATCCATGACCTTGCGACGTTTGGAGCGCTGGTTCTGCTGAACGGTCAAATCATCCTCTTCCTGCCCATCCTGGATTTCGGTCTCGTCATGGTTGAATTCGGCATCTTGCCGACGCAATTCATCCTCGGAAACCTCCGAAAGAGGGCTAAGCGATTCACGCTGGCGTTCCTCTTGGTTTTCAGGGGCAATATCGTCATGGTGATCTTCACCAAGATCCATCGCATCATCTTGGAGATTCAGAGTGATGTCCTGCGGGCCTTCATCTCCCAAATCCATCTTGTCCAACGGAGCGTCGTCCTCACCAAGGTCCAAAGGCAGGTCGACATCATCGTTGAACTTTCCGGAATCGCTGATCATATCCTCTTCGAACGGACGAGGGGCGGGCGCATCTCGACCAACTTCCATACTAAAGTCGGGTCCTAAGGATGTATCTTCCTCTCCTAAATCCAGATCAACCAGAGTGTGGTCTTCCAATCGCGCGGGCTCCTGGGAAACTGAACGGCGGAAGCTGCTGTCGGGGAGAAGCTGGCTACCGAAATCCAAAGTTCCTGGTCGCTTGCCCTCGGGCTCCAAGTTGAGAGATTGGGGTAGAAGTAAAGAAGAGTCAAGGTTCATAAACAAGTCGGATTCCGTCAACACATCGGGCAAGGTGATACCGCCGGGAGCGACAACCGCGGCAGTAGTCAAATCATTGTTGTTGGTCAATCGGAAAGCCTGCAAGAAAATAATCAGTCACGATTTCTTGGAATACAAAGCAAAAAAGATATATGTATCCAACCATACCATCTTGATCTTCATCAGGGCCTCGTTGCAGTCGTCCAGGAGGTAGCGCGCCTTCCGGCTGTAAATACGAACCACACCCAACAACAGTTGACCACTCAGACGCAAAGCCATGGGTGCTTGACCCGGGTCGACAATGGCATTGACGCTGCTCTCGATATCCGACTGCAAGATGTGTGTTTTGGACAGTTTGCGTTCCAAATTGGCCGACAGCCAAACCCGGGCCAGCGGCCCTGTCTTGGACAGAAGAGTCTCGGAATAGAACATGGCGTGTCAGGTCGTATTAAAGAAAGAAAAGATTAAACAAGAAAAAGAATCGCAGAAATGCTGCGTCCAAAAGAGGAACCCACCCAAAGCGGGGGGGTTGGTTGTTGGTGTGGACGAAAGGCCCTAGCAACCAGCAACGGATGACGCGCTGTTGTCCAGAAACAAAAAAGCCCCCTCCGTTAAGGAGATTTGTGTGCTAGCGCAGTGTCAGACCCAAAGGCGACACAGTCAGAAATGAAAGGTATAAGACGCAAAGAGAAAACCGAGATGGATGCGACCAAAAAAATAAAACCGTTAGAGGGGGGAAGCAGATACCTAAGGGTTCATTTGCTGCAAGTGGAAAAGAGGAGGAGCGAAAGAAGGGACGATGAACGGCGGGCAGCGCGTTAAACGCTAGGCGGCAAGCGGTTTGGGACGCGTGTGATTGGTCGGAGGGCGGAAAAAGGTGTGGCTGGGATCACGTGGACTATATCTTAATAATTAAGAACTATGCCTAATGTAGACCGGACGGAACAACTATTATTCATTGCACTAGCCACATGGGGAAAAGCATCATCATCGACCGGCCTCGTCAGCGTCTCTAATGCTGTACAGATGCCTAATGAGTCGCTCCTTTGCACCGCATTCAAACGCTTTTTGATATATTACATACAGCCTACATTGCATATTCTCCAATTCATTGACGTGGTCGTGCCAGGATTACTCGGGATTCCATGACACCCCCAATTTGATTGCTCCGGTTCAATTCTCCCTGTTCGGAGTTCGCGTTTGAAAGAACGTGGCACCTCGCCCTACGAATCGACCCTCCCCGACGTTTTCGCTTATAATATCTTTGCTTTTCCTCTCGCTCCTCTCGACCAAGACGGGATGCTAAGCACTGGTTTTCCGAATTAAATAATTCCGTTTTCTTTGTCAAAGCATGAGAAATGTCAAGGTCCGCGACGCCTGCACTACCTTTGCATAATGCACCAATTTCCGAATCGAGACCCCCGTCTACAACACCGTTGCGTCCCAATGCTCCATCGTCGGTGAGTACCTATATGCGGTTTGCCTGCGACTTAATTACATACTAACCAAGGGTCATTACTATCCGATAGACATCCACGTCGACATACTCGCTATTAGACCCGCAAGAAACGGCGGAACGATTACAGACATCCTTCGTCTACGGACTGTCCCCCGCAGAGGCAGAGATACGGTTAGCACGGGATGGGCCAAATGAGCTGCCTCACGAGGAACCAGAACCCTTGTGGCTTCGGTTTCTGAAGCAATTCAGGGAGACGCTGATCCTACTGCTCCTGGGATCGGCAGCCATCTCCTTCTTCATGGGCAACTATGATGATGCAGTCAGTATCACACTCGCAGTAACTATCGTCGTTACAGTCGGTTTCATTCAAGAGTACCGGTCGGAGAAATCGTTGGAGGCATTGAGCCGTCTTGTCCCTCACTACGCACACCTCATTCGGAATGTCCCATCGGCCGATAGCACTACGATCAACAATGCTGGCCCTATGCCGGGCGGGGTGGATATGGAACTACAAGAGGTCAAAACAAAGAGCCCGAGTTCGGTTTCTGCTGCGGTCAAGGCGGCTAGTACTGTCCCTGCCACCGATCTGGTGCCCGGTGACTTGGTACTGTTCTCGACCGGTGATCGCATCCCTGCAGACATCCGTATAACTGCGGCTACGGATCTATCAATCGACGAGTCCAACTTGACGGGAGAAAATGAACCTGTGGCCAAATATTCCGATGCGCTGCGGAAGGGGAAAGAGACCCTCGCCGTTGAATCGCCGAAGATTGTTACCCCTCCTCGCTCGCCATTTTACGATGCACCTGCCAGCGGAGCAGTTGGAGCGGACATTCGTTTGAACGAGCAACACAATATCGCATTCATGGGTACGCTGGTCCGGTCAGGTTATGGACAAGGCATTGTTATTGCGACCGGTGCCAAGACGGAATTTGGCAGTATTTCGGCCTCTTTGCAGGAGATTGAAAGCCCTCGAACCCCGCTACAGCTTTCCATGGACCGACTCGGACAGGAATTGAGCTACATGTCTTTTGGTGTTATTGGTTTGATCGTGGTGATTGGGCTGTTGCAGGGCAGGAAACTCCTGGAGATGTTTACGATTGGTGTATCGCTTGCTGTGGCAGCTATCCCCGAAGGTCTACCGATTATCGTGACAGTCACGCTGGCATTGGGTGTGCTACGTATGGCCAAACGAGGGGCCATTATGCGCAGGCTTCCCAGTGTGGAAACTTTGGGGTCTGTCAATGTCGTCTGCAGTGATAAGACCGGTACCCTGACTATGAACCATATGACTGTGACCAAGATTTGGCATTTCGACTGTGACGAGGCTTTTGAAGTTCACAGGGACGGCACTGCATTGGATCTAGGCCCGGCTGCTCGAACCATTCTGCGAACTGGAAACATTGCCAACAACGCCAGACTGTCACGCATCCATGCCAACTCACCCGCGAGTGCATCATCTGCCGCGGTGCTCTCGTCAACCGTCGACAGCTCCTCTGGTGCAGTCAAGAGCCGGTGGGTTGGACAGCCCACTGATGTTGCGATTTTGGACTTGCTGGATAACTTGGGAGAGGATGATGTGCGTGAGCGGATTAGCACGCGTGTTTCGGAAACTCCCTTCAGCTCTGAGCGCAAGTGGATGGGTGTGATCATCAGTGGCACGTCGAATGATGCGGAATTCGCCTATATCAAGGGAGCGTTGGAGCAAGTCCTCCGACGGTGCGATACTTACATGACTAAAGAGGGCCGCGAAGTCATCCTGGACGAGCCAAGGCGCAAGACCATCCGAGAGGCGGCAGAGCAAATGGCTGGCGAGGGACTGCGTGTCCTTGCCTTTGCGAGCGGTGCGGTCCGAGAACTGCCTCGATACCGACGAAGCACCCCTGTTTCATCACCGCATGTGGGCTCCAACGATGACGATGATCGGTACAGTGGTCTGGTGTTTACAGGATTGGTTGGAATGAACGATCCTCCACGCAAGGACGTGCACAAGTCCATTCGACGGCTGATGTCCGGTGGTGTACGGGTTATGATGATCACGGGTGATGCCGAAGCTACGGCCGTTGCAATTGCCAAGAAAATCGGCATGCCGGTCAGTAACAATCCGGTGTCGCGGGCCGTGCTCGGGGGTGATGAGGTGGACCGTATGAGTATGCAGGAACTTTCGCAAGCCATAGCATCGACCTCGATCTTCGCGCGGACCAGCCCTGACCACAAGATGAAAATTGTGCGTGCACTGCAGGCTCGGGGAGATGTGGTAGCGATGACTGGCGACGGTGTGAACGATGCACCGGCTTTGAAGAAGGCGGACATTGGTATCTCGATGGGTAAGCTGGGGACAGATGTTGCCAAGGAGGCGGCGGACATGATTTTAACAGATGACGATTTCTCGACGATCCTGCGAGCTATTGAGCAGGGTAAGGGGATCTTTTATAATATTCAAAACTTCATTACGTTCCAGCTGAGCACGAGTGTTGCTGCGTTGAGTTTGGTCTTATTGAGTACGACGTTAGGCTTTAAGAATCCGCTTAATGCCATGCAGATTCTGTGGATCAGTGAGTTTTCTAGCATCCTATCTATCAATCATGGGAATTACGAGCTAACGAGACAGACATCCTCATGGACGGCCCGCCAGCCCAATCCCTCGGCGTTGAACCAGTGGATCCATCCGTCATGGGCCGCCCACCACGCCCGAAACAAGCCCGTGTCCTCACTAAACCCCTAGTCCAACGCGTTCTCACCCAAGCTTTCGTGATCATGCTGGGCACACTAGCAATCTACATCTATGAAATGGGCGACGCCGACACCCTGGGCAAACGCGTCGTAACCGCCCACGACACAACCATGACCTTCACCTGCTTCGTTCTCTTCGACATGTTCAACGCACTCACCTGCCGCAGTGAGGGCAAGTCCGTCCTCTGCGGCGAACTCTCACTCTTTGGAAACAAAATGTTCAATTACGCGGTTATGGGCTCGCTTGCTGGGCAGGCGTGCGTTATATATTTGCCGATGTTGCAGGGTATTTTCCAGACGGAGGCGCTGGAGCTGGGGCATTTGGTGAAGTTGGTGGTTATTTCGAGTAGTGTGTTTTGGGTGGATGAGGGGAGGAAGTACATGAATGCGATGAAGAAGAGGAGGGCTGTGGGGGTGGGATACAGTGCGAGTGTTTGAGGGTTGGTTGGGAATTGTATAAAGATTTATTGTTTGGTTAATGATTGATACCACTGCTTGTTATGTATATGTTTATGTATTTTGTTTGTATCTTGTGAATGGATGCTGGATGCTGGATGCAAGAAAAATAAATCAATCAATCAAAAAAGTGAAAAAGAAAAAAAAAAAAAAAAAATGACCGACGCAGGGGTCGAACCTGCAATCTCTTGATTCGTAGTCAAGCGCCTTACCATTGGGCCAGCCGGCCGATTATGTTTACTTGTTTCAAAACAAGGCTATGTAAGCTAAATTTTTGTAGTTATGCTTTTGTTGTACAGCCAACCACCATGGACGCGAGTATCCCTACAGCTGTGAGACATGCTGACCTGAATGCCGTCTGCATATTATTCTCCGAGGCTTACACCCGCCTATTCCTGCTTTTATTGACCAATTCGGTTTTACATATCGAAATGAGCCGCGTAGCGTAACACCAACAAATATATATCCCAGCTCACTCCCGGTGATATCAGACACCACCACATACCCAGTCCACCAGTATTTGTAAACACATCTGGAATGCGGCAGAACACCAAACATAGCTGACCGGACTAGCAATCAGGAATCGAGATATTTATCAGCGAATCTAGACAAACGCCACCAGTCGATCACGCCGATTACCTTTGAGCGAATAAATGAGCGAATCAATTACCATGTAAATTATCAGGGATCGAATCTCAATATCGCGAATGGAGTCAGTACATCAAGTACATCAAGTACTAGGATAGGGATCGATGGGGATGAATCCTTGCATGTTTATTGAGGGATCTGTATCCTGGTATAGTGTGGAGAAAATACATATTTGTATGTACACACGGTATGTAATTGAATGTGTCATATCAGACTCGTATTCGAAACTGATATTCTTATTCTTGGCTACCTTAAATGTACACCTACAGACAATCATGATCGACCGCACGAGACCGTGACAGAGACCCTGTGACAACCAGAGAGACTGGTTTTTACGTTTTTACGTTTTTACGTTTTAACTCCATATCAACCCCAGATTTCATGACGAAATCAAGTTATTAGCGATCCCGACCAATAAGCTTATCGTGATCGTTATCAGCTCAAGTACTGGGGAATGGTACCCGGTTTGATTGGGCGGCAAGGCCCGATGGAATGGTAGACATTCTACAAGTACTCCAGAGTACTCACATACCGTAGACTTGTACAGAGTGCAGAATCCACTGAGCGTACTCCATATGGAGTAGTCTATGGATACTATATACATACCGAGAGTACTCCGTCTTCAACTCCGAGTCATATCTGCAGCCCGACCCTACGGAATACTGTGCTGAGTACGGTGGCCAACGTTCCTAGAATTCCCGACGAAAAAAATCGGAATCACGAACCAATCGGAGACGCGGACTGTCTTATCAAGGCCAGACGGGGATTAGCGGCGGCCCCACCCGGGCAGTAGCAACTATCTCTGGCCAATGGGAGAGCACCGATAGGACCGGGGGCGGCGGAGTGTCATCGAATTGCTAAAAGGATTTATAGTATCGCGCCCTATGTATCTCAGTATGTACAGATACAAGTATACAGGATATCACTGATCACTGGCATCATGTGGTGTTTTAAATAAAGGCTGAACGCTAGATACATAGCTAGTCAATGATATAAATGTACTCCGTATAAGTACCAACAAAGATATGTAAATACTCTTACTGTAGAGATATCGCCACAGTATACTCTGTACGGAAGTGGAAACCTATCTTGTCTCTCTTTCCAGACATAGCTTATTCTTATTTCCTCCCGTCCAATCAGCGACTGCTCCACCGCCCCTATACAACCTGGTACTTAGTGTCCTCCGCCCGGTCTTTTTCGTTGGCAGATTTTTCTCTTCATCTGCCTCTAGTCATCTCATCTCATCTGTCTCTGAATCTGTCCTATTATCCATTTCATCCCTATTGCCAGCAGAAACATGGCGGAGGCTCCCTATGCCCCCGACTACGCCTCCTACAACTGGACCGGTGCTCCCTCCAACTACGATGCTCTTGCTACCAACGAACTCGGAGGAGACTCCAGGACTGAGAACCTGAACAAATGGTTCCAGGCCGGTGACCAGGCCTACATCATTACCGCCTCTGCAATGGTCCTGGTCATGGTGCCTGGTCTGGGTTTCCTCTATTCCGGTCTCGCGCGTCGAAAGTCTGCTCTCAGTATGATCTGGGCCTGTATGGCTTCCATGTCGGTCGTCACTTTTCAATGGTACTTCTGGGGTTTCTCATTGGCCTTTTCGCCTACCGCGACCAATGGGTATATTGGGAACTTGCACAGCTTTGGGTTGATGAAGACACTGGCCAATCCTAGTCCGGGATCGGCTTTGATTCCGGACTTGCTTTATGCCTTCTACCAGGTACTACATCCCTTCGTTCTGTTCACGTAGTCAATACTAATGGTTTAGATGCAATTCTGTGCAGTCACCGCCGCTATCGTCATGGGTGCTGTCGCTGAAAGAGGTCGGCTTCTTCCCGCCATGGTTTTCGTCTTCGTCTGGGCCACCATCGTCTACTGCCCTCTCGCCTGCTGGGTCTGGAACGTCAACGGCTGGGCCTACAAATGGGGTGTTTTGGATTACGCTGGAGGAGGTCCCGTTGAAATCGGCTCTGGTCTGTCCGCTCTCGCCTACTCGATGGTTCTCGGTCGTCGTCAAGAGCGCATGATGCTCAATTTCCGCCCTCACAACGTCTCGCTTATCCTTCTCGGTACGGTCTTTCTCTGGTTCGGCTGGTTGGGTTTCAATGGTGGTTCGTCGTTTGGTGCGAACTTGCGGGCTACCATGGCTTGCTGGAATACCAACCTGACGGCTGCTTTTGGTGCGATTACTTGGGTTATTCTCGATTGGCGTTTGGCTCGCAAGTGGTCCATGGTCGGTTGGTGTTCAGGTACCATCTCCGGCTTGGTGGCAGCTACTCCTGCCTCTGGTTTCCTTACTCCTTGGGCTAGTGTGATTCTGGGTATTGTGACGGGTATTGTTTGCAATTATGCTACCAAGGGTAGGTTTACCCTTTTTTTTTTTTTTTTTTTTTTTCGATGGCGATGACTTGAACACAAGCTAATGAGAACAGTCAAATACTGGATCCGCATCGATGACTCCATGGATGTCTTCGCCGAACACGGTGTCGCAGGTATCGTCGGCCTCATCTTCAACGCCTTCTTCGCAGACGACTCTATCGTTGGCCTCGACGGTGTCAACACCGGCTCCGGAAGTGGCGGCTGGGTTATCCACAATTACAAACAACTCTATATACAAATCGCCTACATCGCCGCTACCTGCGCGTACTCGTTCGTCGTCTCCGCCGTCATTGCCTTTATCATCAACGCCATCCCGGGATTGCAGCTGCGGGCTTCCGAGGAAGCCGAATTGCTTGGCATGGACGACGACCAGCTTGGTGAATTCGCCTACGACTACGTCGAAGTCCGCCGTGACTACCTCGCCTGGACGCCTCAGAAGCAGGACCAGCTCGAGGACGGTCATGAGATTCCGGCTGCTGCGCGGTACGGGATTGGCGAGCACTCTGAGATGATGCTCGACGGACAGCCTGCTCCGGATAGTTCGCGGGGGTGGAGCGAGCCGGATAGTGGATCCCAGGAGCTTAAGATGCCGGCTGCGCCAAGACAAGTTGCGGAGCAGCATCCTGTAGATGAGATTCATGAGACTTCGTTTCCACCGTCGTCCACGCAGGTTGATGAGAAGATGGAGTAATCTTTTCACCCAATCTTGTTTTTTTTTTTTTTTTTTCTGATTGCACTTTTGTTCTAACTTTCTTCCGTGATATCCAGCATGTTCTAGCCTGGAGTTAGCATGTATTCTTGGCGGTTGGCGTTTGGTTTCTTTTTTGGGTTGGCTCGTTTGGTTGCATAAAAGGCTGGCTGGTGTACATTCAAAATATCTAGGGTGGGATACTTGGTTAGGGTTTTGTTGATACCACATAGATTTGCTATTGTCCATATGCATAATAATAATATATACTCAATACTTACACTCTATAGACATACACTATACACTACACTATACACTGCACACAAGACTAAAACCGTCTGACCATCCCCCGAACCCTCCCTCTCTCCTCAACACTCAACCGATCAACAACATCCCCCGTTTCCCCGCCCCGAACCACATCCTCCCATTCCTCCTCATCCATCCCCATCACAAGCACCATCTGCAGACATCTCCCAAACGCCTCCCGGTGCTTATACCGTCCTCCGCCAATACTACTACCAGCAACATCAACGGCTGCATTGACAATCCCAGAGACGTCGCGTTCGAGTCTTGTCGCGCCGAGCGCGTTGACACGGCCGTGGTACGACCATAATCTCTTCTCGAGCAGTCGCGAGAGATACGTCGTTGTCACGGAAAGTAACTTGTCGAAAGACGGCGGTGTTAGGATCCTAGACAAGGGTGTGAGGAGGGCCGTCCAGGACGTAGTGAAGCGGGTTGTTGGGCGTTCTGCGCCTGGGTTTGGTCCCGTGTGCATGTCGTCGTCTTCGACGTCGTCGGTAGGGATAGGGTTGGTGGTGGAGGGGTCATCGGGGGAAGGCTGGTATTCGATGTCGCGGAATGCGTCTGCGAGAATTGGGCGTAGACGCGGCTTGATTACGTTGTTGAAGATGACTTGGATGCCGTCGCTTAGGAGGTCGGAGACTTTTGATTCAAAAGACGAAGATAGGGAATGGAGGGCTTGGGATGCTTGTTTTGCTTCACTGGGGACAGGGAAGAGAGAGTCTAGTTGGCTGATTGTTTCTTCTGGTTGGGTTGGGTTTGGGTGGGTTGATGGGAGGGGTGTTCGTGCTTCGGTGTTGTTGGACACGATGCGATGGATGTAGTCGACTGCGATGTCGAGGTTGTTGATTAGCACAAGGAAGGCGATTACTGTTTGTTCTGGAGGTAGGGCGCCCTGGACGACGGGGCGGGGGTAGCATTCATCGCGCATTTTGCGCTGTGTCATGCCGATAAAGTCAGAGCCGAGGACGCGGGCGAGGGTTGGGATGACGTTGGTGACGACGGTGATTTGCGAGGTTGCTAGGGTTTGTTGGATGACTTTGTTGACGATGTACATGATGTCGTCCACGGCGGAGGTGATGTGGGGAGGGTCGGATTTGAGGGGTTTGTGCAAGTTGAGGGTGAGGCCTGTTGGGGACTCGTCGAGCTGGAAGGCTTTTTCGACGGAGCGGCGGACGAAAAAGGTTGTCATTGTGTTAAAGGGGGTTGCGAGACGGGTGGTGATTTTCTTGGTGAGGGGGGAATCGGCGAGGAATTGAGGGAGGGTGTGCTTTTCGTTCTCGGGGTTGCATGCGTCTGCTAGGAAGCGGCAGTAGAGTGACCAGCGTCCTAACATGATTCCAATCTCGCTCAAGAGGCCGTCGATTTCCTTCATGTCCACGCCTTCATCTTCACCCCCTGTAGCCGCGCGCGCTGGCGAATGGGATCGTGGTGCACCCGGCCGTTGAGTAGGCAGGAAGCTTTGCACCAAGAAGGTAAATGCATAGGATTTGATATCCGTCAACTTACGATCCACATGTCGTTCATCGCCCCAGGTATCAAGAACAATTCCTCCCTGGACATCCGCCTCGAGCTGCAGCCGCTCAATAACGCGGTTCATCTTCCTAGGTCCGTAGTGTCGTTCCACCAATCCACCATGGCCATCGACAATCTGCGCAATATGCTCGAACAACTTGGTCAACGCATTCGCGTAGAAGAAACCCTCTCTACCCCCGGTGCCAGCATTCAAATTTGCGCGAGCTCGCGCAGCCACACCCTGACACACATACCGCCCATAAACATCCAGCCCAACCTCGGATCTCCCAATAAGCGGGAACAGCTTAAAGAACCTCGTAATCTTCGCTCCATTCCCCTCCTTAACTGCCTTGTCGAACTCCCTCAAAAACAATCCGCACAGCGACTCTGCGGCTGTATCCAACGTAACATTTGGCGGATCCGGCACTTCAGAAGTCGGCACCATCTCTCCTGCAAACGCGCCTTTCACCACCTCATCGGGAATTTGCGCCGCCCGATGCAAGTAACTAGCAGCAGTCTCCCAATCCTGCGGCGCACCCATTGACCCAGAGACACCAAGCACACAAGCCTTCAGTTCAGCGACTTGCTCGACAACCTCCAAGGTTGCCTTCACACGAGCTTGTTCCAAATCCAGTCTCCGAACGGCACTCGAAATCCGGTCCGCCGTGACGGCCGCGGGGGAGAGCATGCCATGGCGGATGGAGCGGGTAGTTGTTGTTTGGGAGCCGAGATTGGCGCGGAGCAGGTCCAGACGGGAGAGTTCGCGGGAGAAGTCTTTCTGAGATGCGACGAGGGCATCCAGACGAGCTGTCACGCTGACTTCTTGGTTGTGTAGGTGGGATAGAGTGGCTTTGATTTCGGCGACAGAGCTGGCGTTGAAGATATCTGGGTCGGTGGACGGGGAATTGGGTTGTGGTTTCGGTTGCGAAGATTTCTCTGAGTTTTGAGGGGAGGATGATGGTGAATCCGCGTGTCCATTGACAGCGCTAGCCGGTGGGATGGCCATTCTGGTGATTGGAGAAGACAACGGATTGTTGGAGATGTCAGATTAGGAGATGTTCATGCGAGGTGGTCTTCCGCGGGGTGAAGGCGGTGAGTGGCTTTGGCAGAGTCCACGATACCATGAGCATTGAATTGAAGAGAGGTAGGGTATATTAATAATATTTTTGTAGAAATAAAAGAGAATAATCAATGCGACGTGAATGCCCAATATGAATGCGACGATGCAACCTAGTATACACCTCAGGCATAAATTACCCGATCGGGCACATCTCAGCTCGACGTCATGACGAGATTTCCTCTCCCGCATCTTCTCAGATCCCATATTAGTCCGTATTAGTTAGAAAAGATCTATCATATTATATACATCTTAAATACCGCCACCATCGGCCGCCGTCGCAGACCCCGACACCAACACAAGCCCAAATCCGGCCGGCGAGGCATCATGGGCAACGAACCTTCCACTTTGGTGGACGAAAAAACGCCTCCATCCGTATTGGAGAAGCGCACTGTGGACGCCCTGGCCCAGTATGTCCACGAGAAGCGCGTGCGAAAGATTGTGGTTATGGTATGATATGGCCTACCCCTCGAAGAAGTAGAATATATAGCTAAATACAAACAGGTTGGGGCAGGAATCAGTACATCAGCTGGGATCCCCGACTTTCGCTCCCCGGATACTGGCATCTACGCAAATCTTGCGTTCTTAGATCTACCCGACCCCGAGGCTGTCTTTGATATCAGTTTCTTTCGAAAAAACCCCAAGCCTTTCTATGCTTTGGCGCGCGAGTTGGCACCGGGTCGGTATCGGCCTACGATCGCGCATTCATTTATCAAATTGCTCTACAACAAAGGCTTGCTGCTGAAACACTTTACGCAAAACATTGATTGTCTCGAGCGGCAGGCGGGAGTGCCGGGCGAGATGCTAGTCGAAGCGCATGGGAGTTTTGCGAACCAGCATTGCATTGAGTGCAAGGCAGCATATCCCGAACAGGAAATGAAAGAGCATGTGGAAAAGGGTGAGGTGCCGACGTGCAAGGAATGCAAGGGCCTGGTGAAGCCGGATATTGTGTTTTTCGGGGAAGCTCTCCCGGAAGATTTCTTTTTAAACCATGAGCTTCCTGGCGAGGCGGATTTGTGCATTGTCATGGGGACTAGTCTCCAGGTGCAGCCATTTGCTAGTTTACCGGGGTTTGTCTCGGACGGTGTTCCCCGTGTGTTGATTAACCTGGAGCGCGTAGGCGGGATGGGTTCTCGTCCGGACGATGTACTAATTCTTGGGGATTGTGATGCCGGAGTGCGGAAATTGGCCGCTGCACTTGGATGGTTGGAAGACCTTGAAGCGTTGTGGGAGGAGACGAATCCGGATAAGGATGCTCGGGATGCCGAGATGGCGCCGTTGCAGACCAAGGACGAGCGACTTCACGACGAAGTCGAGCGGTTGACCAGTGAAGTGGACCGGACACTGGGGCTATCGGGTGCCTACGAACAGAAAGTGCGAGGGCATTTGGACGGTCAGCGGGCAAAAGAGGAGGCTAAGCAGGCATCCGGGGCACAATCGGCCGATGAGGGAGAGGCCGAGGGGTCGGGATTGGGACATGTATTTCCGCATTTGGCGAAGAAGAAGCCATCACTGTGAGCATTTTGTTATTTTTACATATAGTAGTACTGCATTTACTAGCACAGAGAGTATGGTTGTACTCCGTAAGTACTCCGGAATATGTTGAATGTTATGCATGCATATGTAACCCAAAGCATAAACCGGTGAAATCGGTTGGAATGACTTCATGTCCGTTGCGGGGCCTCACTTTTGCCCCACGATACTGTCAGTTTCTTCTCTGCACTCCGGTTTTCTCTTCTCTTCATTTACACTTCTCCTTCTCTGCGTTCAGTCTTTATATCTTTACTTATTACAGCTGCCAAAATGGTCGGACTTGGTCCCAAGACGCCTCAAACCCGCAAGGGTATGTGAGATCTCCCTCCTGCGGCAATGCGACAGCCGTTGCGCCTGCCACCAGCGATGGCACAACACAATGGGAACAGTGCATTGAGGTAGATGCTGATGATTACAGGATCCTCCATTGTGGAATTGCCTCAGAACCTCCAGCACCAGATCCAGGAGTATGAGGAGACCTTTACCGTCGGCACCGAGACCTTGAAGAAGGTGGTCGACCACTTCGAAAAGGAGCTCGAGAAAGGTGAGTTAGCTTACACTAGACCTCTAACATGTCTTCCATTATACTGATAATGTGCAGGTCTCAGCGTTGAGGGCGGTAACATTGTAAGCTGCCTCCCCCATAACCTCTGATAAAGAATGCGACACTGACAAGTCAGCCCATGAACGTCACCTGGGTCATGGGCTTCCCCAACGGTCACGAACAGGGAACCTTCCTTGCCCTCGACATGGGTGGTACCAACCTTCGTGTCTGTGAAATCACCTTGACCGCGGAACAGGGTGCCTTCGACATCACCCAGTCCAAGTATCGCATGCCCGACGAGCTCCGCACGGGCACTTCGGAGGAACTCTTTGAGTACATTGCCGACTGTCTGCAGCAGTTCCTTGAATCCCACCACGAGGGCGAGAACCTGTCCAAGCTGCCCTTGGGTTTCACCTTCTCCTACCCTGCTACCCAGGACTACGTCGACCACGGTGTTTTGCAGCGCTGGACCAAGGGTTTCGACATTGATGGTGTTGAGGGTCAGGACGTTGTTCCCATGCTGGAGAATGCCTTGAAGAAGAGGGTGCGCTTCCTATAATCTCCATGAAAGAGAATACATTTGCTAATACAATGCAGGGCCTCCCCATCAAGGTCGCCGCGTTGATCAACGACACCACCGGAACCCTCATCGCCTCCGCATACACCGATACCGACATGCGCATTGGCTGCATTTTCGGCACCGGCGTCAACGCTGCCTACATGGACAACGTCGGTTCCATCCCCAAGATCGCCCACCTCAATCTCCCTCCCGAGATGCCCGTCGCCATCAACTGCGAATACGGCGCTTTCGACAATGAACACATTGTCCTCCCCCTCTCCAAATACGATCACATCATCGACCGCGAGTCTCCCCGTCCCGGCCAACAAGCCTTCGAAAAGATGACCGCTGGTTTGTACCTCGGTGAAATCTTCCGCCTTGCCCTCCTTGACGTCGTCGACAACAAGCCTGGCCTCATCTTCCGCGACCAGGACGTCTCCGCCCTGCGCAAGCCCTACCTGCTCGACTCCTCCTTCCCCGCTGCCATCGAAGAAGACCCCTACGAGAACCTTGAGGAGACCGAGGAACTCGTCGAGCGCAAGCTCGGCATCAAGGCTACCATGGCTGAGCTCGAGATGATCCGCCGTCTGGCGGAGCTCATCGGAACCCGTGCCGCCCGCTTGTCTTCATGTGGTGTCGCTGCCATCTGCAAGAAGAAAAACATCGACTCTTGCCACGTCGGTGCTGATGGGTCCGTTTTCACCAAGTACCCCCACTTCAAGGCCCGGGGTGCCCAGGCTCTGCGCGAGATTCTCGACTGGCCTGCCGAATCCAAGGACAAGGTTTCCATCCAGGCTGCTGAGGATGGATCCGGTGTTGGTGCGGCGCTCATTGCTGCGCTGACGCTTAAGCGGGTCAAGGAGGGTAACTTGGCTGGTATTCGGGACATGGAGGATATGAAGCAGCTTATTTCGTGATTTCTTTCTACTAGTTTCCCTTGTATTCTGGCTTGCGTTTTGTCACTGTTTTGTTATTATTTAGGTTATTGGTGTTCTGTTGGCATGGAAAAAAATGTCTGATTAGATGATAGAAAAGCGCATCACATTACAACATGTATGTGCTGTCAGACTTGGTATATACTGAAATATATGCATCTGTCTCATGGTCCATAACCACCCACACATTTAGAGTATGGCCAAGCCATGAAATAACCTATGGAAAAAAAAGAAGATAAAGGAGGGGTGTACGAAAGATCGATGCCGAAGGCTAAACGATGGATGTACGGTAGAAAGAAAAGACGATAGATTGATGTAGAGAACTAGAGTACAGGAGGGCACATGGCCATATAAATATCCGCATGAGGGAAGCATATATCGAGTAAGTCCCGTATAGCCGCAGGAAGAACAGGCATTTTGTCCGAGTACAGTTGGAAGTTGCATGACCCTAGCTGACCCCAATTCCCAAAAGTATGGACTTGCCTCCCACCAGACCTCCAGCACTACAGTGTGATCCAGCCAGACACGGCTGTGACTAAAGCTTACCCAGTGGCACTGACTGACCATCTATTAGACTCCTGTGTGGTGCATGTGGAGGGCTTTCCTTTCACACAGCCATGGCATACTAAACCATCTCTGGTACCCGGAGGCTGCAGTGCACCTGTTTCGACAGACTCTTCAGAGAAAAGTCATGTCAGAAAGGGTGCTGGGCTTATCATATAGGTATCAAATGTGGAATTTAATAGGACAGCTTTTATTATATGAACATGGGTCCAGGACCTGTCTTCCTTCTGCAAAAGGAAACGCCAGTAGATGCCGGGGACTTAGCTACATCTGGAACTATTCACAGAGAAGAGGATGACCCTGAGTCAGACTCCCAGAGGAGCCCAGTGTCAGACACCTCTAGTAATGAGGATTGGTGATTGTATTTCAGCTGCATGAGTGTGATCGATTGGCCTCCTCCCTTGCAATACCTTTTCCCAGGTCCCAAGCAGGGACAATTGTGCTAGCCCAAGAACTACTTTGGGAGCAAGTCCCGGTGCCGGTCCCTTTGGCGACACATTCTTGAACGATGTGAATGTTTCCTATTAGACTGGTAGTCCCTTGCACCATAGTAACACACCAAACGCTACCTGGGACAGGGCAAAGGGTTGTCCCGATACGCCGGCGGCAACACTCCCTCCAGTGCCGCCTTGATCTGAAGCGCTAACGTCCGCGAATGCCATCGGTGCTGCTGCGTATAACCACCCATGATCCAGAAATTGTCATCATGAAGGTGTAAATGGCGCTTCCACATGCTGTGGATCTCGCCCTCGGCATCAAGTCCCCATGTTGCGTCCAGATGTGCAGCAATGCCACCAAGGCCAATGAGCCGGCCTTTCGCTTCATTCACGTTCTCATCTGGATTACTGCCTCCTAGGATCTGTGCAGCACTATCACAAGCATTCTTGTCAGAGAATCCGGTACACCAGACGATAGCATCTGCATCGGCGCAGCTACCGTCAGAGAATTGTAACCCCTTCGTTGTGTACGCAACAGGCTCGACTCCAGCTTTGATACTGACATTGCCCTCCACCAGCAACTTGGTGCTACCTACATCCACATAATGACCTCCCCCCTGCTCCAGCAGATTGTGCATCAGGGCAGATTCTGGGTGGCGACTGTCAATAACTGGGAAGCCGGCTGCTGCAAGAGAAGTATAGCGATCTGGTTCCCGCTCAGCAAACATTGCCATCAGACAGCGGGCAAGCTGGCCATCTACATTTGATGGCAACAAGAGAAAACGCTTATCAGCGACTGCGACACCTGTGTCATAGGCACCGAGACTTGCTTTATGACAGACGTATTCCTCTGGGATAATGTATGTTGGCGATCGGACAACCATTGTGGTCTGGAGTCCTGCTGCATGACAATCCTCCATCACATCAAAAGCAGTATTAGCAGAGCCGATAATGAGGACAGACTAGAATATTATATTAGTGGTTTGTCCCTTCGTGCGTATCTGTACGATATATATAGACCACCAAAGCCCTAGGCGTTTAGCATAAATGGCGCGATGCTTAATTTCTCGGAATGGGCCTAGCCTTTCTCTCCTGGTAACGCTAGTACAGTGTAGATCGGACTGCAGCAAGCGGACTGGCATCCACAGCCGTTTTTATGTGGGTCAGATTGGCCAAAAAAGTGATAATAAGATTGAAGCGTATCCTACTCTGTTATTCCGGAGAAAGTTGTAGAGCTATCACTTTGTAGGATGATAATCTCTGTTGATAATTCACATAGCTTATAGTGATGAGAATTGGGATATTAAATAACAGCGGTATAGCCAGCAAGTTTGCAATCCCAATGTGTCGGCCATTACCATTGTCAACATTGACATGTCGCCGGAAGAGCTGGATGCTCTGCTCAATGCGCCGGCTTTGGAACCACCTCCAGATGTCACGCCAATGTTCGACAGCCCTACAAACCGGAATGATCATGCCTGGGGTATAACCACAGTCTGCATGCTCGTTGCAACGCTTTGCCTCTGCCTGCGGTGGTACGTTCGGATATGGTTGGATAGGAAAGTTCGGGTCGAAGATGGTAAGGGCCAATAATTAAATGCCTTTTTGATCCACTATATATGGGCTCGAGCAACTGACAACCACGATTCTCGCCCTTGGAAGTTATGGCGATCTGTGCCTATGTATTGTTACCCATCTCTCTCCTCTGTCCTCATTGTGTTTCAGAAGCGTTGACGACAATATTCAGGGTGCTCACTGTGGAACCGCATATGCCGCTTATGCGTTGATTGACGTGCCAGGCTACTATGTCCATACATGGAATCTCCGTAACAAAGAGATGGTTCGACCCCTATATGTACGTTGCTTCTCGTGTCGGTTCTCCAAAAGGTGGCAGCTAATAAAATCCATGTCAGTTGATTCTCATCTATGGATGTTGTTACTCCGTAGTCCTCCCCCTGATCAAGAAATCCATTCTGTTGGACTGGTGTAGAGTGTTTGTTCCCATTGACAGGGTCAAGAGCCCTTTTTGGTGGGGCTGCATCGCTATGGCCTGTTTTCAGTGTCTCTGGGGAGTCTTGTGCATTATCCTTTTGAATACTCAGTGTCTCCCACACCGAGCCATTTGGGAATTTTATCTTCAAAGCAAATGTTACTCTCTTCCAAACGTGATGCTCTGCTCAGCCAGCGTACAGGTTATTTCTGACGTTACCATGATCTTGTTACCGCAGAGGATTATCTGGATCCTGCAAACGAGCCGGAAGAAACGGCTTGGGATTTCGGTCATCTTTGGAGCCGGTATTTTGTGAGTTCGCCCTCCACTTTTTTTTTTTTTTTTTTTTTTTTTTTTTTTTTTTTTTTTTTTTTTTTCCCTTATCATAAAATGACTGATCGTATCCAGAGCCTCAATTGCGGCGTGTATTCGTCTAGCCCATACAGTCGCATTTGCCAGCCAGCCCGACAGTATCTACTTGATCGGGCCTCTTCTGTTCTGGGCTGATGCCGAGATGACTTGCGGCTTCTTCATTTTCAGCGTTCCCTGTCTTTCGAAGCTCATCATGGAATCCGGTATTTGGCAAAGGGTTTTGAGTGCGCTTGGTTTCAGCAACACGTTCAGTAGTCGCTCCAACCAAAGTTCAGACTGTACACCCCGTGCGCGAAGCTTACGCCACATTCCCAAGGATTGGATGCCGACAATTGACTCTACCTGGTCGAGGATTGACGAAGAACATATAGGCTTGCACAATAGGTCAGGATCACGGACGAATCTGTACGGAATCTCTGAGTCGCATGCCGGAAAAGACGAGGTACGCGTGCAGCGTGCACTAGATGTCACTGTCTCGAGCGATGGACATCCTAAAAACCGAAATTGAGACAAAAATGCCCCATGAAAGTAGTATCGTTAACTTGTTAGTTTCAATATACGAAGAAATAGGGTGACTATTTTGTGGTCTTGTAGGAATTTATCTTGATACTGCAACTGCCTTTGACCAAGTTCCAAGTCCGATATATTACATGCACTATAGATGAATCACTATGTATGGCAATACATGTATTAGCGTCAGTTGTGTCAATGTGCGAGGAAGGTGTTCTTCTCACGTATAAGCTACATTGGTTGTTTATATCTAGATCCATAGGTGGCCTACGCCGGCACAGGCTGAACCATTGTATTGGAGCGGATATTCAGTGCATCAGGTGTAGTAATTTTTTCCGGATATATAGAAATCTTGACTACAGGACGGGATATTAGTCCACCACATACGCTACTACTATGCTAAGACGGTGGCCCAGCAATAAGTGGACCGCCCTAAGCGTATGCCTAATCACCGTGCGCGACTCACTGTTTTGAAGGATTGCAGATGGTCTGAAGGAATTAGCGGGAAACTTTTGATACTTATCCAGTCAGCTGCAGGCCTCCCGGTGTGGTTTCAGGGGCTACATCAATAAGGAAGAAGCGAGAACATGGTGAGGAGAAATATAGGAGTATACAAGATTGGCTGTTATGCATCTGGTCACAGAAGTAAATTAATTCATTTCTTATTCTTCGAGCCCAGAAAATTCCGATAAACCATTCATCTCGTCATTTCCTCCCTGCTTCGCTGCCCACGAGATGGATCACCCCTTTTATCCTTGAACCAGATTTTAGCACCCTTGTCTAGTAAATATGTGACTGGCTCTTTCCGGGCATATTCTCGCGAGGTTAACACACAACAACAGTCACTGGACTGCCCACTTTCTCCTGAAGGAAAAGGAGATATCCAGGTGGCCGGTCGATAATCTGTTCTAGTTTTTGGCGGCAAGATTGACTGCTTCATTGCCAACGTGTGATTTTGAATCACCAGACCCGTTCTATTCGCTGAATGTGCTCCGACCATGGCGGTCCTATTTCCGTGATTAGGGTCAGTAAATCCCCGGACGGCACTATATTCCAGCTACGTGGTGGCAGATGAGGACCCCTCAATCCAGGCGTTGATGACCCAGAAATGATTACGATTTGACATCAGATTCATGCCGACAAGTGCTAGAGATATACCTTCCGTCGAATTTTAGGGACGGTATAGTTCGCAATAGTGTTCTTTGTATTTGCAGTATTTGTCGCTGTTGGATCTTCGTAGCTGGCTGCGCATCCTATCAATGCACCTTGGTATCTGCTGTGGATCACGTCGACCCGATCAACTGAAATGTTGGCTATATTACGTGAATACCAACCCAGCTGGATAATCGGGGCGTTGTTCATTTCCCACACCACGACTAACTCGGCGCGGACATTCGAATAGTAGAACTTGATGGTGTCATCCCCAGTGGTAGAACACGTCGCGGACGTGGCTGTTGGATATATCTGCAAACCATCTGTCTGCGTGTAGGAGGCACCCACCTACTTTTAATCGGCCACATCTACGGTGAAGTTTTCAAGATCACCGTAGAACTCCATGACATTGAACGGTTGCGCGTTGGTGGTGACACCATGGATGGTCCAGGATTGTCCCGCCGTGATGCCCTCTCCACAACTTAAGGGACGTTGGCCTGGTAAAAGAATTGTTCGCCAGATAGAACACCAAACCCGCCTGCCTTTAAAGGTGAGTCGCTGTTCATATATTGTACAGCTCCCTTGACGTACGCTCCGAGAGCCAGGTACACCCATTTTACGGAAGGGCTCAAAATGGCGTGTACATTGCCGGTAAAGTAATAGACCCCAGCATTAAAAGCAATCGCGGACTTATTAATTGCGTTCAGGCCACTGACATAGCCCGGTGAAACTTCATATAGATCGTCGTGCTTAGATGGAACCATATCCCATGGCGGGAAGAGACTGGCAAATATCAAAAGCGCGCTCGGCGGCTCTCGTCCGACCGTCGGCATCAACACATTGTAGCTGGGAACATAGTAGTCGCCGTATGGATTCACGTTCTGCACGTAGTGGGAATTGACTCCTGGGCCGGCATTCCGATATTCCCAGATATCATCCGCAAATTCGACTGAAAACCGCACTCCGTGAGTATCAAGAGAATATGGCACCGATATAAAATCCGAGCTTCCTTGCACGGTGACTTCTATTTGCAAGTTGGGTGGTCGGATGGCAACATCTTTGGCAGAGACGTTCTTGTCATCCAACCGGGTCACATTCACCACCACATCACGACTGCACAAGAACTGCAACCAGGCCATCATCGCTCCAATGCTATCTTCAATGATGATCCTTTCTGCTTCTGGACAAATGGTGTCATGGCCGCCTGGGGATGATTGTGTCCAGGACAGTGGCCTTTGATAAAATCCAGCTGCACTAATATTACATCATTACTGAGAGTACAACGTCAATCAGCGCTGCTATCCTCGCGGAGCAATTCGCTGCAACACAAACCGCCGCAGTCCCAGACCCGGTGATTCTTCTCATCTCCGGAAAACTCACCCAGACAGGCGAAAGGGCTATTTTCGAATATCATCTTACATGGTTTAATCCCGGTGACCCGGATCCTTGCCTCCTACATCAGCTCAGCCGCGTCCCTGGCGTCTTCAGGGGAGATAATGCTGGTCGACCAGGATGGAAATTTGACAGCGATGGGAATCTTATCTCTGGGGAGAGGAGTAACGGAGTGGCGTTCATGTTGAGGAAGGAGTGTAAACGGGCGACGGTATCTCACCATATTTCTGGGAAAGGTATGTACAATGCCACTGCTTGGAGGGGAGACTGGCAGGCGGATATGCAGATTGAGGAGATTGAGATGTGGGTTGAGCTGTGAAAGGGAAGCTTAAAGTTCAGATTTGATGGGATCTCAAGATAACAAACCGTGCGATCAGTAATCAACGACCAATTGGCCTTAATAGTAATTTAGCGCTAAAAGACAAAATATAAACCAAAGGAAAAAGCAAGGAGGAAAATAGCAAATGAATAGAAGGAAAGGGCTTTGCAGAGCTGACTTACACTCCTGAAGCATCTACTTATGCGAATTATTTAAACGGACAGGATAATATTACTATAGCCTATCTTACGTACATTCGCATGACTGCTTAACTACCGGTTACAAAATGAGGACTAACAGCAATCGGGCTCTCAACAACATATAGCCAGTTTCAGTGGGATGTCTGATGGAATAATTTCGAAGTATATACAGGCTCCCTTCTGCCCTCCAAGCGATCCCATGCAGTAGCAGCGGCAAATTTGTCTTTCTCCCCTTATGCTTTAGGAAGTGATTGCTCTCTGAACAAGTGCTTGTAAAGCTGAGGGATTGGCCCCAGTAAGGCCATCAATTTTATTGCCGTCTTTAAACAGCATAAAGGTTGGCATTGCACGTATACCAACCTCCTCAGCAATTTGCTCTTGTGCATCGGTATCGACTTTATAGAATTTGACATGACTGAAATCCGGAAGGTCCGATAGTTTCTCGAAAATAGGCGATATCATTCGGCAAGGTCCACACCAAGTCGCCCAGAAGTCAATGATAACAAAGTCACCACTGTTCACGATCTTCGTGAATTCATCGTGCCTACCGCATTGCAGACATTAGCACTGAGCAATGCAGTCGCAGAGAATGTTTTTGACGGCACTTACGAGTTGATCGCTGTAACAGGCATTTTGGACAAGAGGTTTTCTTCAGAAATCACAAATAGGTTGATTTGTATAAGTTGAAACACAAGGGGACAGCAAGATGAGGGCTTAAGACACGACAAGAGAATAATCTGAGCCGACTGCGTATTCATATACTTATATGGTTTTGTCCAGCCAGTCACGTCATCCTCTCCATTTCAGCTGCGCTGCGTTCGGGAATTACCCCACAGGGCCACGCTTCAGCTGCACAGCCATCTCAGCTGAAAGCGGTCAGATTCTAATAGACAGTACCAAAGCAAAAATTGCCGCATAGTAAATTACCTGACAAGTACTACTGTAAAACCTCGTTATAACGAGCCCCGCTATAACGAGGCGACCACGTTGCCTGAATTAATTTCTCCATATGGATAACGAGAAACCCCGCTACTACGAGTCTCGTTAGCTTCCTCCAGTTCTCCCATGCAAATCTCGTTAACTAGTTAACTATAATGAGGTGATTAGCTAACATGCCGCCATGAAAATCCATTCCTGCCTCCGAAAAAGCCTCTCTCCGAGCCCGAAAGCGCCTCTATCCAAATGCAAGTCAAAAAGACCTCCGCGAATGGTTTGAATCTGAATATAACCATACCCTCTCATCCGGTCTCATCTCCGATATCCTATCCAGCAAATATAGTCATCTTGATAATGACAAACCACCCCGAGATTTAAAGCGCCAACGCCGCGAGAATTGGCCGGAGCTGGAGAATGCCTTATATGATTGGACAACACGTGTTGAAGGACAGATATCTGTATCTGCAGAGATCATACGGCATAAAGCAGAGATCTTTTGGGATTCCATTTATCCTGGAATGGAGAAGCCTACATTCAGCAATGGCTGGCTCCATCGGTTCCAAGCCCGGAGAACTATCAAATGGCGTGAGCAGCATGGAGAAGCTGGTGGTGTCCCAGAGCAGGCAGAGCAAGAAATGGTGATGATTCGGCAGGCTCTGGGTGCTTATAGCCTCAAGGATCAGTTTAATTGTGATGAAACAGCACTTCTTTGGAAGCAAACTCCAGCCCGAAGCCTCTCAACACGGCAGCTTCCTGGTCGGAAAAGGAGAAAGCAAGGATCTCTGCTCTATTCTGCTGCAATGCAGATGTCACTGAGAAACTGGAACCATGGTTTATTGGAACTGCTCGGAATCCACATGCTTTTAGAGCTGCAGGCATAAATATTCGGGATTTCAATTTAATCTGGCGGAGTAATCAAAAGGCCTGGATGACTACCCAAATATTCATTGAGTTTCTTCGCTGGTTTGATGTGAAAATGAATGGACGAAAAGTTGCTCTTATGAATAACTAACTTCTCTGCTCATCAGGCAGCAGCAGCAGATATACTAGCAAGTCAACAACCGCTTCAAAATACACTTATTATATGGCTTCCTGCAAACCCAACAAGCCGATATCAGCCACTTGATCAAGGGATCATTCACTGTTGGAAAGCATACTGGAAGCGGTACTGGGTCAAATACATCCTGTGTGAATTTGAAGCCAATCGGAACCCTATTCTTACAATGAATGTTCTAAAAGCCATCCGGTGGGGCTTGCAAGGCTGGGAGTATGGGGTTTCTGGGCGAGCTATTCAAAACTGCTTTCAAAAAGCTCCTGACTCTCAAATACAGTATCAAGAACCTGTGGATACTGCAGTAATGGACGACATCCAGGCTTCCTTCTCTCAGCTTCAGCTATCTACGCCAATTCAAGATCTAATGGATATAAAAGCTTTCCTAAATCCCAGAGGAGGCCGTCCAGGACTCTCCTGATGATATTGAAAGCCAGGTTCTGGCTCAATATATGCCGGAGATTGAGGAAGATCCTGAAGAAGAGCTAGAAATTTTACCAAAGGTGTCTGCGGAGGAAGCAATTGCAGCCATTCAAAGACTCCGTTTGTATGAAGAGCAGCAAGTGGAAGGAAGTCCTGCCTTTATACGTGAGGTGGAGAGGCATGAGCGTATTATATGGCGTCGGAAGTTGGATTTGCAAAGTCAGCGTGATATTGGAAGCTATTTTTCATATTAGTAGGCATTTTTGGGCTCTGAATATATAGATTGCTATCAGAGGCTGTTTTTCGGCTTGAGTATCTATTACCTCGCTATAGCGAGAATCCCGTTTTAACGAGATAATTAAGCTTCCTCCTTTATCTCCTTATAGCGAGGTTTTACAGTATAAGCTGACGGGGAAGGATCTACTATGAGTTGTTATTATGCCCATGCATGTACGACGAATGGCGATAGGATCGGGGGACTACAGCTATGCAGCCAGTATTCTTTTACCATAACCAGCCATACATGTATTATACATTCGCATTTGATCTGTCTCTTTGATATTCTAGCAATGGTTTCCTTTATTAATTAATTGATGGCCGCCAGATTGTATAAATGAACCCTTTTGATAGTTCTTCCCCACCATCATAATTAACAGGAGTACGGTTTTGCCATGGCCAGCTCAGAATGAACCTGGTATGACAGCAGATGCGACTTCTCTGTAATGACTCTCGGAAGATTAGGAAAGCCAAAAGCAGCGACGACTGAGCATTAAGGCGAAAAGGGCAAAGCGTCGAGAAAATCAAGTTCGCATGCATTTTTACATAAATAATTCTATACTCATCAAAAACCAAGTCAAAGGAATTAACCCCGGATCTCCCATAACCGAATCCGCCCCTGCTCATTCGCAACAGCCAACAACTCCGAGTTGGGCGAGACAGCCACCGACGAAATCCGGCCCATGGGCGTATTCGATGTAGGCCAGTTACGGTAGACGGTGCAGGTGGGGAGGTGAACTAGACATATCAGTTAGGATCGAAATTGGAGTAATGTAAAGGGAAAGGGGAAGCATACCCAATCTCAACGCATCTCTCTTCCACCGAGAAGCCATAACCAAGAACTGACCATCTGGCGCAAACACCAGATGGCTGATAGGCGTGGTGAGCTGGTCCAGCGCACGCACGGGGGTCGGGTTGCGCGGGATTCCAGCATTTTCAGCCTTCTTGTTCATCCACTCCCGTCGGTCATACACGTTAACAACACCACTCGAACTTCCCACAGCAATCCATCTATCACCACCAAGCTGCGCAGGCCCATTCTTTCCACCGAGTTTCAGCACCGTGGTACCCACGGCACCGGCGTCGACCCAGCGCGCGACGATACGGTTCGATCTCGCGGCCCATTCGGAGACTTCACCGTTCTTGCTGACAACCGTCATACCCTCGCCGTCGCTCCACCATTCGAAATCAGCGACACCTCCGCGGCCGTCAATGCGCACCTGCGCAACCCACTGCGCGGTTCCCGAGTCGAGCACGTTGATGAGACCACCGCCCTTCCGCGAAGATCCAACGAGTCCGATATACCGTCCGCAGGGCGAGAGCTTGAACCGTTCCATGGTCTTTTGCTCCTCCTTGCGGTCTGCGGTGCCGTTGACTTTGTCCACTTTGCCCGTGTCCAAATCCCAGATGTGGAAGTAGCGGCGGCGGCCGGAGGCGAAGACTTTGGTGCCGGTTGGGTGGGAGAAGGCGGAGGTGTGGATGGGCGTGCGGCGGATATGAAGGGACGTGAGGAGGGGGTTGGGGGTGGGTGCTGAGGGCGAGATGTGGTGAAGGAAGAGGGTTGATGCTGGGCCGGAGGAGAGGAGGACGGGGTAGTGCGGGTGGAAGGTGAGGGAGTCGATAGAAGACTGATCTCATTAGCAATATACTTAGATGAGTAGGGAAAAAAGGACGTACCGGCTGATCCTTTCCGATATCCTTCAACCTCTGAATATCCACAACCTCCTGACGCAACTTTCTCTTCCCGCCTGGGCCAGTATTCTCCACGCCGCGAGTAAGATCCGTTGCATTCTGGAGCAACTTGGCCAGCGGCTGCGTAGAAACCTGCTCCTCCTCATCATCTGTATCCATCTCATTATCCGAATCATCACTGTCCTTGTCCTTCTTCTGGTTCACCTCCGGGTTCGCCCAGTCCGGCACGGGGTTCAATTGCTGGAAGTGTCTGCGCAAACGACGAACATATTCCTTGCCGCTTACTATATCATCGGCTTCGGTGTTGCGCAGCTTGCGCAATCGTTGGTGGCTCGCCAGAGAGACAGAAAGGTTCTCATCGTCGCTGTCGTGCCACGCCGCAGGCGCACTTTCGTCTTCGCTTTCTTCGGAGGAGGAGTCAGGATCGGCGAGATCAGTAGATACAGGACCCGCTCCGGAGTCAAGAAAGAAGAGCTACCATCCAACATTAGCCATACATCATAGGAAACGAAAAACGGCGAGGGCAACAAACATCAGAATCATCAACATCCCCCAGCTCCTTCTCCTCCCCATCACTTCCCTCCCCCTCTTCACCTTCACCAACACTTTCATCATCACTCATCGTCCCCCAAGCCATCAGCCCCCGATCCTGCTGGCTCTTCAAAGCACCCTGAAACCCCTCATCGTCTCCGAAAAGCATGCGCTCGAGTTTCTTCTCCGTTTCGTCCTTTTCGCGAACGACCTCCTCGTCCGCATTCTCCTCTGCACCGTTATCCATTTCGACGTCACTGTGGTCTTGTGTCATGACATTGGCGCTTTCAAAGGGAGACCGCGAGCTGGTCTTGACCTTTTTCTGTTTTTGCGCGACGGCGGTCTTGGGCATCTTGTTCAATTGACGGTGTAATTTAAACACCAAGATAAGTCAATTGTAAGAATCGCGAAATATGAGAAGAGTTGTAAGGGATATATTGCAGGTGCAAATGTCCTGCGCAAAAATTGTCGACAAAACCAGAGACTTTTCTGTTCTGCGAATATTTTTCTTCAGCGGCGGCAAAATCGGGCGGCAAGTAGAGCGGTGAGACATGCATTAGGGCATACCACAGGTCTACGTTTTAAGAGAGGTAAGATTCAGATAATGCAGTATATTCAGATAAAAACATGGTATTTTTGTTCCAAACTCCTGTATATGGTGATGGTGGTAAAGGAATGAACAAAAAGCGTAAAACTAATCCTATACGCCCAACCTATCAATCAACGCCATAGATATAAAACTGGTCATCATAAACATTCGTAAAACAATAGCTTTTTATCAAGTCAAAAGCTGCTGGATCCTCAACTATGGCCACTGCTGCTCGATCCGGACGATGATGAAGAACTATGCATCCTGCCGACCGTGTGATCATACATAGCGCGGATAGAACTGAAGCCATGCAGAGCTTCCTTAGCATGCGAGTCCAGTGGTTTCCCATTCTTTGCATGGCCTTCTTCCACATCCAGAAGTCCGTCATCCTCCAGACCTGCCAGCAAGGCATTGCGCTGGTCGTTCTCGTCATTGACCAATGTACCCTCGCGGTCGTCATCCTCGGCAAGCATTTCGTCGACTGGTGTCATAGGTTTCTTGATAAAGGTGTCGATAATGTAGTACTGGATCGCGTTCATGATCAAAGGGAACAACAGCATGACAAAGATAACCTGAGCAGCCGTGTTCCCTTCTGTCCATCGAAGCGCCCAGTCACCCACTTTGACGATAAACGGTATGAAGTGGATGAGGAAGAAGACGCATATCTTCATGCCCAGCAAGCCTATGAAGTAGATTATGGACTGCTTGAACCACCATGTCGCACGCGGTGGGTGCCCATAATTTCCAGATTCGATGGACTCGGGAGGGTTTGCAAGGGGAGTATATGACGCTAAAGCATTCAGAATTCGAAGAATGAAGATGAGTATAGGGATTCCAAGGGTAGTCTAACAAAATAGGAGCGATTAGTCATTATTCGGATATCAAATAAGAGAGCTGAACTTACATCAATTCCGATATTCAATAGATAGAACGAACACGGATTCGGTTTATATGTGCTCGTGATGTCAAACTGACCCGCAGAAAACATAGACATCAAGAGATTCGCAAGATGTAGCATCGCAGATCCAAAGACCTGCTTAGAAACGTCGAATGCCCACACCTTGACCGGTCGTTGCGGCCGTTCCCTCCATCGCTTGTATACCAGAGATAGTAATGCTAGCGCTCCGAGCGCGGCTTGTACGATGAGTGAAAATGATCCAAGCAGTCTGCATTCTCCATTGCCGCCATCCTGGGGATCAACCTCCATATAAGACGCAGTTTGGGTTACAGACGATGTAGGATTCGAAAAGACGCTGGTGGTGGTTGCTGCAAAGACGGATGTGGTGGTCGCTGCAGTCAACGAAGCGAGGGTCGAATCCATAGCCGATTCGATTCGCGGTTTCTTGAACAAAGAGTGGGGTTGTGAGGAAAGTCGGAACGAGGGACGAGGGAAGACGACAATATGTTTGTTTGTTGGCCGCTATACACGGCAGACAGACATGGACGGTGGGCGGCTGGCGAGGTTGACGATCAAATGGCGTTGAGGGGCGATTAGCGATTGACAAGTGAGACAAGGCATACAGCACAGCAGATCAACGCCTCACTACAAGTATTCATGGACTGTTCCCTGTGATAGTTGGAGATTGCCAGACGCTGTACAGAGTACTCCCTGCATAATAGAAAAATCGAAAGGAGAAAAAAAAAAGGCACAGATCTTTTACCAGCAAAAGCACTGTTTATTGGTAAGAGAAAATGACTCTTACCATCATAATTGACCCTATTAACACTGCCCCATCCCGCAGGCGGTGAGTGGCGCAGCTGGATGTTTCAGGGCATACGACCGTTCTTTACGGTCGGGTATTAAAAGCAAGCGGGGAAGGGTCTCGAGGCTATGTCACAATTTAATGGAGACTATTAAATCGTGAGTGTCGAGAGAAATTAAAAATAAATATTTCATTTTCATTATGAATGAAAAAATAATTGCCCCCAACCAGGATCGAACTGGTGACCTCGGGATTTCAACCCTGTTACCAGGGATGTCACAAGACTATGAGACCCACGTCATGACCAACTAGACCATGGAGGCAACTCTTGCTTGATTTGGCCAATCTTAGCTTGAGACCTATTTTTTGTAGGTCACCCCGCTATAATAGCTGCAACTGCCATTCATACTGTTGTCAGTAATTTCCAACACTGTGATTCTTTTCTGATATGTCAATTGACTCTTTCTAGTTCAATAATATGCAGTCTTTCGAAGGTAGCTTCGACAACGCCCCTCCTTTCGGAACATTTTACGGACTTCAAATTGAATGTATACTCTTCAAGAAATCGTCTAGAATGGAGCATCTCATGTCTCAACTAATTCATCAAGACCCAAAGAAAGAGTGTTGATTACCAAACTCCGATTCATTCAACCAACCAAGGTCAAACAAGTCTCGAAGAACCCCGAGTTCGTCAGTCAAGACGGCCCTTCCATCCAGAGCGGGTATATCCGGGTTATCTGAGCCTGAACCCGACTGCTGCAATGGCACTATATTACCGCTATCTTCATACCTTTGACGATCAACAAGACCACTACACAAAGTGGTAGTTGCACTATAAACCTCCCTCGTAGCCGCGATCAACCTGCCCAGCTTCAACCCTGCCTCATCCGCAACAGACCATAACCGTCCCAGGAAAATTAGCAGCTCGTGGGCTAGCTCCACCCTTTTCAAGCAGATTTCGATGGGTGTTACTCCTCGCACGGCTGGGTGCGAGCATAAGCAATAGAGGACCGTAATGGCAGCTACCAGAATTGAATGCGCCGAGAGCCATGAGCATTCCATGTTTAGGAACTTGTGGAGGTCGGCGTAAATGGATATAATGTCCATAGCGCTGCTGAAGCATGCCTGAATAGCTTCTGTGCTCGGCTGAGGAATTTGCGGGCTTGGACGATAGAGGAGCATAATGCAATGGTGATACTTGAGCTCCAGTTTTTGGAGGCTAACTCCTGGCAGTGTCCCGAGATTATTCAACAAAGGGCCCTGTTGCTGGTTTTGGGCATCCTGCAGCAGCGAGATGCAAGCACTTTGGGCTTCATGTTGCCAAGCAGTTACATTAGTCGGCCATGGAAAACGGCTCGGTGATCGCGACACACGGTAAAGCATCAGCTTGATTTCTGCGACAATCCGGTCGAAGCGGAGAGAGTAAACGCATGCTGTGTAAGGGGTTGGTGCCAGCCATGGCGGTTGTTCGGGGACCGCTTGGTCTTGCGAGTTAGTCTGATCCCAGTGGGTTGCTGCTGATTCGACCTCGTGATTATTGTCTAGCCCCGGAAATTCCCGGTCGATGGCTTCGTCTCTCAGCGTCAGAGGACGTCCCAAGATGGTGGTGAGGGTGCGATCCATGGAATATGCTGACCAGAAGATGGCGCTTCGCAAGTGTCTTGTTTTGCGATGGTATGAGGTTTCGGTCTCTTTTTTGCCTTCACAAAGTCAGTCCATTTTCTAGAGCACTTAACCGTCTGGTTTCGGGAAATGACACTAACAATTATCACGCCGCTGCAACCCAAGATCCAAGCAGCTGGCAATAATGGTATGCAACAGATACCACGCATTTAACCCCTCCGGACTATAATAGCTGTGCTGCGCAAATAGCAGAAGAACCTGTACGCCTTCGATGCTATCATGGAGCTTGACCTGTGTCGCGTATCCCATACCGTTGGCGAATAAGTCATGTGAGGGAAATTTCCTGTTCAGCTTAATTTCTAAAAATCGTGCACCCAGAGAAAGCACCAAATAAATCTGTGCAAGGGCCAGCTTTACCGGGATATTGCTGCCCCAAGTTGACGTAGTACTGAGATGCGTCACTCGCCTGAGAAGGGCATGAAAATCATCCTGCGAGATGAAGGGGTACAATGTTGAGACGCCGAAGTATATTTCTGCATACTGCTGGCAGTCGGTCATTGAAGGAAAGTCAAGCTGCTGGATATCATATGCACCAAGACCCTGTGTCGAGTCACGTTGTTCTTGGTCTTGCTCATTCTCTCGCAGGTATGACAATGGCAATCCTTGTGACTGGGGCACTGATTCGTATATTAATCGTGCAAATGGGACTCCTGATGATGGGCCCAGATACTTGGGATCACTCGCATTCGACAGGGAAAGTAAACCCACTTCGTGAGCGAGTGGTTGATCCCGTGTAATCCGACTGGAAGTTGAAATGGCCGGAGAAGCGCCATCATTAATATAATTGTTTTCTGCTCTTTGGATTTGCCCCGAGCTGAGGGTTCGAACTGTACTTCTAGGTCGAGGGATTTCCTCACGCGATGAGCGAGACGTTTGCTGACAAGGACCCGGCTCCGGTTCATTTGCTAGATACCCGAGCTGGCTGCTCTGGTTATACTGATGCTGATCATGAGATGAGGAATCAAATCGTGGAAGCTCCACCAGCCCTGAGAGCCTCGGGTCAATGTTGCTAGTATCTCCATTGTCAGACACACTCGGGCGGGTGGTTGACAGCGCAATGACTCTATTGGCAGCTTCTAATTCCCTCACACGATTCTCTAGATAAAAAAGGCGACTATCAAGCCATAATGGACAGCATATCAGTACTATCCGAATTAAAACGTTCCCCAATTATGCAGAAATAGTACGGAGTACGGAGTGCACATACCTCCGGGATACCGCCGGACCCGAAACCCCCTCAAAACATTCCACCCCAGCTCTAGCACAATTAGAACAAGCAGGCGAAGCCCCGTCGCAGCGGACTTTACGCCGACGGCATCTGGAACAAGCGAGCGGACGGCGCCGAGCCGGCGGACTTGTCGCAGCGGGAATGGGAGGAGGACCTGCCATCTCAAGACCAAGATTTCTGCCGCTAAGAATCGGTGAAAGGTTCATTTGTACAATTGAACAGAGATTTCTGCACTCCGATGCGTATAGCGTGAGCCAACGGTTCAGTTCATGAATGCGGGAACGGTAAAAGACCGTCGTAAATCTACTTCGGAGTGTTCCTGCTCGGATGCACCCGATATGGGTCCGGAGCTGTCCAGTGCTTTGCCTATTCTGTTTACCATTGGTTGGGTGCGTCTGGGGATTAGGGTTGGTCTCGACGGCCGAGACTTGATTTTTATAATCCCGAGGAAGTACTGTGAGCTAGCAACTAATACCTCCCAGGCGACCCAAGTATATCCATCATCCTTTCAATAGATTTGGCATAAATTTCAACGCCCTGCATTTTGAGAGTTGTCAACTCTAGTGAGCCGGCGTTCTCAGCAACGAACTTCGTGTAGTCATCGCGCACGGTGCGGTTGAGATTGATCTTGCGCACTCCACATTCAATGGCTTTTTGAAAAAGCTCATCGGACACAGGATGCGTTCCATGGAGGACCAGTGGTGTGCTATCCGAGACCAATTTTCCAATGGCCGTAAGCCTATACAAGTTAGTATATGCGCAAAGCATTAGAATATAGATAGTAAAGACATACCGTACTAGATCCCATGCTCCCTCTGGCCCACCAGCCGGATATCCACCATGGATATTACCAAAAGAAGGCGCAAGAAAGTGCACCCCTGTTTGCTGGACAAATATCTCTGCATCTTTGGGCCTTGTCATAACGGAATCCATGTCAACCGTAGGCAAACCATCCTCTCCACCTTCAATGCGACCCATCTCAGCCTCAATAGTAATATTGAGTTTTTGAGCACGCTCCACGACAGACTTGCTGTGTCGAATGTTTGCTTCCTCATCAAAGGTCGAAGCGTCAATCATAATAGAATCAAAGGGGAGGGTAAGAGCCAGTTCCACATCTTCCAGCTTGATGCAGTGATCCAAGTGGACCGCCACTGGGACACTAGCAGCATGTGCAGCACTCACCACGTAACGGACGAATTCTATGCCTTGGAAGTGTAAGGTCCAAGGGAAGAGCTGGATGATTGCGGCTGAGCGCTTGCGTTCGGCTGCGCGTATCACGGCCATGATTCCGTCGTTGTTGTAGCTAGAGCATTGCGGTTAGTAAGAAATGGCACAGGGCAAATATTTTGTGTTTTCAAATTTACGTACCAGTTATACGCTCCAACAGCGTAGTTGCTTTCATTGGCATGGTTGAGAATCTGCCAGGTCAGGTTGCTCGCCGGATATGCGCTATGATTGCTGGTCATTGTGAAAGATATCTATAACTTGTCGGGCTCTCCTTGTCTCCTTGCTCTTCTATTTCATGGATTTATATGGAAGTTGAAGTTCAAGAGATTTTCAATAGTCTTATCCTCAAATTCGCTGCTGCCCTCGGCCTCGGACCGTTCACCGAAGCGCCTTCGGATCTTTCCAATTTTCCAAATTATCTGACTAAACAGACGCCGGATATTCATACAAAGCAGCTGGTTCCCAATCCACATCAACTGCCACTTTTCCTCTGAAAACCACGTACTTAACACCTCGATCCAAGCCCTATTATCAACCTCCAAGAATGCGTCATCTCTTTCCTGACTTCTCCCAACTCTATCCTCATGCTTTTTCGTATGGGGCCAATCGCTTCCCCAAAGCACATCTTTAGAGTTCACATCCACAAACCGCCTAACAACCCATCGCAAATCCTCATACTGTGGACCTAGATTCGAGCACCTATATGGTGCAGATACCTTTATCCACAGAATCCCCTCCCGGGGTGCTCGGCAGGGCATTTGAAGTCCAAGTATCTTGGTTTCCCGTAGATATGAATTGAGTTGAATGTTTGTTGAATCTCCGTAGCGATAGCTACTCCCCGCAATCAAGGCCATATGATCCACCACAACGGACACAGGACACTGACGCATGGACTCGCACAGTTTTGGCCAGAACTAAAGATGTGGCTGCTAAATTTGGATACTACAGTGATTCCCTGCCTTATCTCTCTATTGTACCAACCGCGCGCCGTAGCTTCAATAAGCCGAACCTGCACATCGATTTCATGCATAGCTCCATGCCGGACGAAATCTAACCGCACAGAACGCGCCCCAGCTTCATGTTACAAGCCAAGTATCTCATCTGTAAGTCTCAATATTAAGCACACGAATTCCCCGCGCACGGCCCTTAAAGCGCTCGAGGTAGTGCAGTCAGCTTCGTAGGAAAGACCATGTGCGATGCAGACGTGCTCGAGGCCGAGGGAGTGCCAAAAGGCCTAGAGGCCTGTGAGAGAAGCGCGAGAGGGCGTGAATTGGCGGTTTTGGGAAAGGGTGAAGAGGTTTGGTTCGAAGATGTGGTGGTGGGTATCCCATGCTTTTGGAGGGATAGGTTTGGGAGAGTAGCTTTCCATTGGCATGATCTTATGTTTGATTTGAAAATATCTAACATAATAGAATAGATTTTAAATTTCATGAGCATATAGTTTCTAGTTGAACGTACGGCTTCCATATCCAAAGGGTAACTCCAATGCTAATATTAAGTACTGGCCTTTCTTTCTCTTTTCTTTTTTTCCTGTAACCCCACGCTACACTCCGAGTATATTCAATTGCCTGTATAGGATACTCATTATGGCACTCTCGGTGAGCACCGAGCTGAAACTAGCCCGGATGAAGCATCACGGACGGAGTCCGGCTCCGACGCCATATAGATCGATTTAGGCCGTCTCGGATCGGTGCGTAGGAACTAATAAAGCGGACGGTCGCATGAAAAGAAAGGCGATCAGTCTACTGTTGCAAGCCAACGAAGGCCAACTTATTTCATCTGAGAATTCACCATGTCCGCCGATCCAAAAGACATCATTAACGGCCTCCAAAAATGGGGTGCCTGCGACGTAGCCGATGGCCTGTCCAAGCTCAAATACCCAAATGGCGGCTTCCTCGAGGGCCTAACGATATACTCCCCGGAATTCCAATCCGGCGAGACTAAGCTTATTGGCCAAGCGTACACAGTAAAATTCGCCCCGAAAACGGACGAGGCAGCACCGAAGCTTCAAGGGAACTATGTAGGTCTTGCATCCTCATCCAAGGTCCATGTGCATATAACTAATGAAGAGAGATGGATAAAATCCCCTCCGGAGCAGTGGCATTCATCTCACAACCCCTCCCACACGTCAACGCGGTCTACGGCGGCCTGATGACTCTCCGCGCAAAAACCCTTAACGTCGCCGGTGTGGTTATTGACGGCCGCGTGCGAGATCTGAATGAACACCGCGCGCTGGGATTCCCTCTTTTCGCTAGGGCTGTTGGTACCACTGCTGGAGGGGAAGTGTGTCGTCCGTCTGAGATAAACGTACCTGTGCAGTTGAATTCAGTTATCCAGGAGGCCTGGATCCAGCCTGGGGACTATATCATTGCGGATTTGAATGGGGTGGTACGCTTGCCGGTAGAATTAGCGGAGAAGGTGCTGGATGCTATTCCGGGGATTGTGAAGGCGGATGAGAAATGTGCTGAAGGGATTAAGGCTGGAAGATCTGTGGAGGAGGTGTTTAAGGAGTTCCGGGGGTAGTAGTTTAGTTCTAAAGGACGTTACGTTATGTATTGACGGAAAATTCAACGATATTGATTGATAAAAGGTAGAAAACACAGATAATTCACGGTACTAGTCCATTCCCAGTCTTATACACATACCAATCACTTGACGAAATTACGCGACAAAACGGAATCCCTCTCTCATCACAAGACGCTCATCCTCCGCTATTCCTCTAATCTCAGCCTGACTTTCGCCCTTCATCTCCTGCGTGACGGTAGTCTCACCACGCGCCAGACGTTTGTTGTCACGGAGAAGGACAATGCGCATGAAAATTGCCAGAATTATAGCAGAAAGGCAGAAGGCAGAATTAGCCGACATAGCCATGACATAGTGAGGGGCAGAGCTATCGGGGTACAGGTACGACGAGAATATCTACCATGTATTAGACACGTAGAAGAAGAAACGGATAAAATAGCAAGGCAGGGACATACCTGAGCAAGGTTCCCAAATGCATTTACAAAAGCCACAGCCGATGCACGCTTTATTCGCGGCCGTATCATGACCTTTTGCGTCCAGGACACCAATACCGGATTGGCACCGTGACCACCTGCTACCATGGCAATCATGGCAAAGTATCGTGCGCCGATATTTATCGACGCAGCCGCGATGACATATCCCACGATGGCCAGGACCAAGGGCCAAATGACGTGGAACGAAGAATTTCCGAGCCGGTCCGCAGACCAATTATTGGCAACCATGAGGATCACACTGACAACGTACGGCGGAACAGTTAGCAGAAGTGTATCAACACGGTTGAATCCGAGTGTCTCGACAACAGTTGGGAAAAAGTTCGATGTAGCACTGGCAACCTGGATGCAGAGAAGGGCCACCGCAAAGATATACAGCCGCCAGTCTGCAAACGCTTGTTTGAAGCCGTATAGCCACCCAGAATCATCCTCGTCCACTTGCCCAGCGTCGGAGATTAGCCGCCATTTGACTACTGCTCGCTCCGTGGGACTGAGCCAGCGGGTGTTACTGGGGTAATCTGGAAGGATGATGATAGAGCAGAGCGCAATGAAGACAGTGATCGAGCCTTCTATAATAAAGATCCAGCGCCAGGACTCTAGCCCGCGGACTCCGTCTAGGCCCTGTTGAATTCCGGCTGCGATGAGACCGGAAAAGGCGCTGCCAACCTGCGATCCGGAGAACAGAAATGCACTGCGTATGCCCATCTCCTCGCGCTTGTACCATGAGGAGATTAGGAATAGCGCTCCAGCTGTGACAGCATATATTAGCCATCACGTATTAAAAGGATATAATGACAATCAAGATGAACTTACGATAGAAAGCAGCTTCCACGAATCCCAGCAAAAACCGAAGTGTATAAAGTCCCCCAGAATTGTGAACTGCACCAACCAGGGCCGATAACATGCCCCAGGTTGCCATAACACCAGGGATATACCATGATGGCCTTAGGTTGGCAAGAAAGATATTGGACGGAAGCTGCATCAACACATAACCGGCGAAGAGAAGAGCGACAGCAGTGGAATATTGTGTGCTGGTTAGATGTAGAGAGTCTGAAATACCGGCCACTTTTGCAGTTTAAATGTTGTTCTGCAGATATGTTAGTATCGAACAATATTATGAAGCCCAACAATCAAGAGACGCATACCCGATCGAGATAGTTCAGTATGAAAATGAGCCACATGCATGCCAGCAGCCGCATATCGAGCTTACGCTTTAGCTTCTTCTCAGCCTCACGTAACTCCTCTGTGCTCATATGCTGAGTGATAAATAGACGATTGTCCCCAGAGGATGCCTCGTTTACGACGACTGTGTTGACATCCTTCACGGGCTTCATAATGTCGGCCATAATGAGTAGCAAATAGAGAAGATGAATATAACTGACAGAGTGGGCAACACAGAAATCCTACAGAAAGAGAGCAGGTAAATGCCCTCTTTAAATAGCCAAACCATCCCGTTTCCCTGTCGCCTACCCAGCCTACTTGATCAGCATGTGTCTGGGATGTGTTTAACAAGTACGCAGCGCAAAATAATGGGGGAGGGGATACACACTCACGACGACCAGTACTTCATTGATTCCAATGTATCCTATTTGTGACGATCTGCAGACGGTCTGTTTTGCCTTGTTGATGTGCAAGGGGGAGGATAGCTCCGAAAAGCTCGGCCCGGGGCCGAGAGTATAGCGGCAATTCACCGTTTGTAGGGTTTGGGGGATACCTCGGATGGGTATATAGGTAGCGCTCTAGGTATACATAGAAGAAAGTAACGCTTGAAAATAATTGGCTCTTTCCCTGATCTCTTGTCCATCCTGATCTACAGCTAGCTGTTCCAACACTTTGCTTTTGTGTTTTTCTAGTCGACAACCACCCCACGCTCGATCAACAGAGCCATACCTAATCCACAATGACAATCGTTCACATAGGTCAGTTTTCCCTAATCATACCATCCTTGAGCTCGAACTGACACACAATAGTGATGTTCAAGTTCCGCTCCGAGGTGACTCAAGAGCACAAAGACACGTTCGTCCGCGAGCTCAAGAAGCTCAAGGAACTCGACTGCATCAAAGGACACCGCCTTGTCGTCGGTGGACCGTCTGTTACAGACCCAATCGAGAGAAGTAAAGGATTCGAGTTCGCCCTGCTGAGCTTCCATGAGAACCTTGCAGAGTTGGGGAAGTATCAAGCCAGTAAGGAGCATCATTGGTACGAGTCTTACCTTTCGATCTCTTGCTTGTATATGCGCTAACAAAAAATTAATGTTGATAGGGTGACGAGCACGTATATGTTTCCGTACAAGGAGAATCTGGTGCGGTTTGACTTTGAGGTTGAGCCGGAGGATGAGTATATGTGGAATTTTCTGCCTCTGGAGGGTATCAACGGGGCGAAATAGTTTAGAGAATAGAAGCTTTTTACGATGAGAATTTTAATTGACCTCTTGCCATACTGAAAACAGAATAGAAAGTGTGTACATCAACGTAGGATGCTGATATATACACTTGATGAAGGATATCAACGCTTGTTATACATTTAGAAAACCACCCAAGTCTAGAACGGACTACGGTAAGCACGGAATGTACTTAGAAGTTGGGCACTGGCAAGAATCTTCTGCAAAAGAGTGCCATAATCCCAGCCCATCGCGGCCGTTGCCATTGCAGTCAAACTCGCTTGATCTTCTCGCCCCGGACGACCGGGGCCTGTCATGTTCTGATGGTTATTAGTGTCATTTCTCCTTATATAAACCAACAAGGGCGCATAACTCACCGGCTTCATGTTGATATCAAAAATTGCAAACCCGGAACCCTCATGGAATCGGCGCACATCAATCCGAATCGGTGCAGTTGCACCGATGAGTTTAGCAACCTGCTCGCATTCCTTCATAACCTTCCCATATGCAGGGTCCTTCATATCCTCTTCTGTTGCCACACACGAGTTTGCAGTCACCGCCACCACACCATTGTATGGAGCGATGCCGTCTGCGTGATTGTATCGCGAAACTGGAAGTGTACTCCAATGCTCCGGTCGCTCAGGAGAAGGTGGCATAACAGTGATAGTCGCTTCCTCACCAGCAAGATACTCCTCAAGCATGACCAGCGGTGACTCTCCCAGTAATGCTGTGAGATGCTCCCTCAATTGAGTTTGGTCATGGCAAAGTTTGACGCCATGGCTTCCACGTCCACGAACGGGCTTACCCACCACGGGGAACCGGTCAATAGATTTAACCAGCGCCTCAAAGTCATCGGATTTTGAGAGAAGCCATGAACGTGGGAGGGTGTAGCCACCGAGTTCTCCCAGTTTACCATTGAGATACGCTTTGTCGTCGAAATTCTCCACCATCCCGGGTGGCTGGCCCACGACACGCAGATCCGAGGCGTAAGGAGTTAATTTTTCAGATTTCTGGAGTGGATGGGAATCGAAGAGGATGGTGTTAGCCCAGAGATGGGTAGCGCCGCTTTTCACGGCGGAGTAGATGCCCTCTTCTGTATCGGGGAAGCACCAGCCTTCATTCTTGAAGACTCGTGGCGAAGGGTCTGGTGTGACGATATTGATGCCTTTCGATTGGAGTGTATAAACGATATCAGCTCCGGAGTCTTGATAGCCTATGACCCTGTAAGCCTATGATAAACGATAACTAGTATAATGGTTACCTACCGCCAGGTTTACGAGGCTTGCGTACCCCATTGATGATTGGGGGGTCAATATCCTGGAACAAAACAGCCACTGTAGGCGCACGGCTGGACTGACTGTACATGCGCTCAAGGGCTCGAGGAAAAGCCCATTGGCTCGACGGCCGTAGGCACGCTTGAGGTAGCGTGTTACAGGTGGCAAGCATGATGGATTGCGATTGCGTGGAAAGAAGTAGGAGGGATGCAAGTAACCCCCGCGTATGATGTTTGATGTTGATGCTAATTATATGCCGATGCCGGTCATCGGTCGAACATCCGACGGAGTGGCCCGAATGACCGGAGCTATCCGAATGATCGTAGGGCTGCATCGGTACCGGCCCGAAACAGTTTTTTACTGAATGCCCTGTGACTTGCATTGTTTTGGATTGCAGTTGTTGTAGTATAATAGAGAATAGAGAACACATATACAGCTGCATTGCTTTCAACTTAATTGATATACTGCAAGAATTGGCAAGCACCAGCCATTGTTACGCTTCGCTTGCTGACCAAGTTGAGCAACGATTCTCACAATGTCTTCCGTAAGTCCTACCGTTTACAATTGAAAGACCGTCCTCAGAAACTGATAAACTTCAAGGCTAGTTACTATGCTGATCCCGCGACGGCAAGCAAATATGCTACAGAGCTGCTGGTTAAGGCTGGTCTCTCCGAGGAAGACGCCAAGTCAATGGCGGACTGCCTGGTTTTGGCCGATGTTCGTGGTGTTGTGAGTATTGACCATATCTGCACTACGTGATTCTGTCTAACAGATAAAAGGATACCCATGGTATGGCCCGTTTACCTCAGTACCTTGACAGGGTCAGCAACGGCCGGGTCAACGCGAAGCCAAACCTCAAGTTTCTCGAGAAGACCCCGGTGGTTGCCCACCTTGATGGTGACAATGGTTTCGGCTTCGTGGTTGCCAGCAGAGCAATGGAGTCAGCCATCAAGCGCGCAGAGATCTACGGCATCGGCATGGTCACCGTCAACAATTCTAATCACTTCGGTATGGGCGCTACCTACGTCCTCCAAGCCCTGGAGAAGAATATGATCTCCCTGGTATTTACCAACTCAGCCAAACAAATGCCTCCATTTGGGGGTAAGGAGACTCTCCTTGGTATCTCACCTTTCGCTGCTGGTGCTCCTTCGAATAACGAAGTCCCCTATGTTCTCGACATGGCTCCCTCGGTTGTTGCTAAGGGTAAGATTCGCCGCGCAGCGCGTCGTGGCGAGTCAATCCCTGTTGGATGGGCATTTGACGCTGACGGAAACCCTACCACCGACGCAAACGTGGCTCTGAACGGTAGCATGGCGCCCATTGGTGGTCCCAAGGGTTCCGGGATTGCCATTCTGATGGACGTCATGTCAGGTGTTTTGACTGGCGCTGCTTTTGGTGGTGAAGTCGGAGATCAGTACAAGGATCCCAGGCCCCAGAACGTTGGACATTGCTTCATTGCCATTAAGCCGGATATTTTCATGACGACCGATGAATTCAGAGCTCGCATGGACGTTTTGGCCCAGCGCGTTCATGGCGTGACCCCGGCCCCTGGCTTCAATGAAGTGCTTTTCCCTGGAGAGCCAGAGCATCGCCTTGGTGCTCAGCGCCGCAGGGAAGGGATTCCATACGCCGAGGCAGAAAGGCAGATGTTTGTTGAAGCCGCAAATCAGTACAATGTTGCTGAGCTCCCTCTGTCAGACGTCCCCTTATCTCTGGATTATGGAATATACCCTCTGTACGTAACGGAAGATGATTAGATAGTCCCAATGCCAATAGATTAATTGCTCATAAGTCCCCGCGATGTCGATGTTATCTGACCCTCGGCTAATCACGTGTAGCCAGAATGATCAGGTGACCAGTAGCCGCATCTGGCGTAAAATACAGTTAAATTACATAACACAGCCAATAAGCGTCGAGGACGGACTTGCTCCCCGCACCAGCTTATCGATAACTCTCAAACCAACCACTTTCTTCCGCTTTCCACGCATCTCAGACCGTTGTGAGCAGGACCATATCAGGCAGGCACATACCAAGACGCAAACACGACGAGACAGACGCAATGCGACCAGATGGACCTCGCGACCCCGTCACCGGCCCTGATTCCGGTCCTGAGCCCCCGTTCCCTGTACGATTGTCGGGTCCCGTAATCAAAGGTTTCGGGCGGGGGAGTAAAGAGGTGGGTTAACTTGTGTTATCTGTCGGCGAGCACTCTCAAATACAGGAAGTGGAAGGCTAATATGGGCTTTAGCTGGGTATTCCTACGGCTAATATCTCGGCGGACATGCTCGCGGAGCATCCGGACTTGGACATAGGTGTATATTACGGCGTGGTTGCGTTAGACCCCAGTCGGTTTAATTATACGGAGACATCATCATCGTCGCCTCAGGGAACTTGCGGGAAGATCCTCCCAGCGGTGTTGAGTATTGGATATAACCCGTTCTACAAGAACAAGGAACGCTCGATTGTAGGCCGTTGTCTCTGCAATTGACGTTGTATATGCGTTGCTAATCCGGCTAGGAAATCCACATCATGCCGCCCCTCGCAGCACCCTCGCCGACTGCCGCGAGCAACGAACAAGTGAAATTCCACAAACTGCCGGACTTTTACTCGACACCGCTTAACCTGCTGATCCTTGGCTACATCCGACCGGAATACGACTACGTTTCGCTTGGGGCTTTAGTGGAAGATATTCGGGTGGACTGTGAAGTGGCACGAAAGAGTCTGCAACGAGATACATATGCGCGATATTTGGAGGAAGACAGAGAGGGCGATAATGACACTGAATACGTCAAGGCGCATCGGCAATGGTTGACGACTTTCAACGGGAATCGGCAGGCACCTGCCCGGACGTCCGGATTATGATTATAATAATGATCACATACGTACATATTTACTGGCCATGAGAGACATACGCAAGGAAGGGACAGCGGTGGGATAGACAAAAAAGAATGCTCGAGTTGATATTTGGTGGTTTCTTTAAATTATGTCTGTTTTGTGTGTATAACCCGCTTTGAAGCATTTTGTGCATTTAATACATAGGATGAATCTTGGCACTTATTGACCTGCTTCCACTTCCTGCTTGAAGCTGAAAACAGCTTCAAGCAACACTTGCTCACTTGCTCTTCACATTTCTTGTCCGTTCCCACTGCAGGGTCTATTTCGTCCCTACGACTTGGCGCCATGAATCGGAACCCCACGGAGCTTCTCGCCAACGCCCGCCGCGCCAATAATCATTGACATCACTACCAATCTGCCCTTGCGCCAAGGGACGAGCTTCTTGTCGAGCCTTAACATATGTCATAGAGCATGACCAGGAGTCAGATGCGCAGGCACCATGGTTCCCTCCGAGTTACTTAAAGTGACGGCTGTTCCTTCTGGCCCTGCGATATTATCGGACCATCCGGATTTGATAGACACAGAATGGAACGCCTCGTTAATTTTGCCCGTCGTCGTCACAGTAACAGTACCAATGTATCGCGGTCTCGTTCGCGTTCGACAAGTGGTCGGAGCAAGAAGGATGAAGCTCCTCGTCGGCTCATATTGACCTCCGACACTCCGGACTTCGACCAGACTATTATCCGACAATTCGAGACTGAGGGATTGAAGGTCAAATACCTACCATTCCTTGGTGGAGGTCGTGATCTAGAACGGGCCAGGAAGGATCTTGAAAACCGGTTGAATGAGCTCGAGGATGATCTAGAGCCTGGAGAGAGATATGCGGTAGTTGGTAGGTCTCTACAAGGAAAGAGGAAGCACAAGAGAGGAAGAAGCTAATTCCATCAGCGTACAGGAAACCTGCCTATCTGCTCTTGGCAGCTCATCACCAGTCTACTACAACCACCAATCCGCTCCCCAGACTCTGCGCTCTAGTTGCCTACTACCCCGAACCACCCTTTGATCCCCATGACCCCCAGTTCCAAGAGTACTTGTTTCCATGCGAGCCTCCGTCTGGTGCACTTGATGGTGTCTCAACCTACTCCCCTCATTCTCTGCTCCCTCTCCAGATCCACCTAGCAGATGGCCAGACCCCAACTCTTTACGAGAACTACACAGCCAATCCAGACAAAAAGCGCCACCGATGCCATATCTTCTCTTACCCAGAGTCGCATGTCGGATTCGCGGAGCAGTCGGAACTGAACTATGACCGGATTGACGCGCAACTTGCCTGGAGCCGGACACTGGATTGCATAAAGAGGAGCTTTGCACCTGGGCCAAACTGGACAGTCTCTGACATCGAGACGACATGGGCGAAGCATTGGCACAGCATGACGCAAATCGGTGCCCCTACTCGTGACACCATGGAGGTAATAGTGGGAGGAGAGAATGGTATCGAGGCACCTGAGAGCCACTATTGCTACGATCATAGCGAGGGACCAACTGTGAATTGTGTCCCGACTTTGATTGGAGGTATGTTTGAACCCGCTAACTATACTGATACATCTATGTCTAACAGCCGAAAGCAAAACGAACCAACCCATCCACCCTCAGAACCTTTCACAAAAACACTTTCTTCCCCTCCGGCCCACCATCTCAACACCTCCGCCTCATATCCCGCACCACCGGTCCAGACCGCGTCGTTGACGAGGTCCTCCTCTCCTTCGAGCACACTGAGGAAGTTCCCTGGCTTTTACCGAACGTGCCACCCACGAGCCGCAAGGTGCAGATTCCCCTCGTATTAACGGGGACGTTCTGCGCTGGGAAGCTGGTCCGACAGCAGGTCTACTGGGACCAGGCGAGCGTGCTTGTGCAGATTGGATTGTTGGATCCGGGGTTGATACCTGGTGGTTTTGAAGTGAAGGGGAAGACGAGGGGTGAGAACAGGAATGTCGAGAAGTTGCCGATTTGCGGGAGGGAGGAGGTGGAGGGAATTTTAAGTGCTTGAATTTCTCTCATTTTCCGAGTATAAAAAGGTGATAAGACTAAACCGTTAATGCTTGTTCTGAATGTAGATAACTATATGAAATAGACAAGTGTGTCTTTGTCGAAAAGTATTTTCTCAATTCCAGTCAGCGCCAACAAGGCAGTTGCACTTTTCTTGCAAACCAAGATGTCTGATAGATATGCAATCTTCTGAAGGTCTTGAATCATGGCGCGTCATTAGCGTGGTCTGGTATATCCAGTAAAGACATGACAGTCAAATCGAAGGATGTGATGACTGGATGCCTTTGCTTATCTGGTATCACCAGGTACACAACGCAATATCCGGATGTGCTGAGAAGTTATTGTCCAGATATACTGACCCGACTGATATAGATAGCTAATTCCAACAATTCCGGTCCCAGAGCGCGAATAGCTAAGGAAATGCGTTGACATTGCGGAAAGCAACAAAGATTCAGTCTGAAGAGAAGCTCTATAACTTTATAGCTTTATTCCGTTTCAAAAAAAAAAAAAAAAGAAAAAGAAAAAGAAAAAAGAAAAAAGAGTTGTAATGCATGTTCTACTGACCAAGCCGAACTTTACAGCAATAGTCTTAACTTGGAAGTAAGAAGAAAGGAGTGAATGGAAAACCAGGGAATCCAGGGGCGCCTTCGTAACTGCATACCTGTTGGGACACTGATATAGCCCAGCAGAGTCACGTAACCAAAGCAACGTGGTGGACTATTCACTTTCCAGCATGGATCAGCATATGTAGCAAGCCACATATACAGTAGATGTTGAATGAATATTCTTGTTTGATAAATCGTGCACACGCTTTTATGCAAAATCTATACAAGCACACATTGTAGTACTCACAGGCCCAGAACCCCGAGATCATCACTAACCCCACTGGCACTCTTCAACGTCCTCAAACTAGCCTCTTGAGCAATAGGCAAAACATCCTCAACCTGTCTATCGGTAGCACCCTTCGCCAGCCCAGCAACAATAACACCCAGTAACGTATCCCCTGCTCCGTTCACGCTCACAATATCCCCCCGCTCCAGGACCGCAGCCGGAGGAAAATGACGCATGTACACACCACCAACAAGATCGGATCCGAGGCTGCGGGATAAGATGTACGGCGAAGCCTCGGAGGATGTCAATCGGGGATCACCCACACGAAGGAGCTGAGTGAGAAGGACGCCCTGCGCGCCTAGTTTTGTGATGATGCAGGGGATGAATGGGAGGAGCTGGATAGATTGTTGTGGAATGCCTTGGTCGACGAGGTCGGCAGATGTCATGAAGACTAGTCGTTCGCGGGCACCTGAGGATGGGATTCCCATGGCGTCAATTACGTTGAACCAGTTGTCTGACTCGAGTAAACCGCGCTCACGTGCTGCCATGTACATAGTTGAGAGCTCTAGTTGATTTGGTGCTGCTAGGCTGATGGTGTTGTTGGGAACAGCATCGGAGTCGCGAATGACGGCAAGCAGTCTGCAACTTTTTGCTGTAGAGACGGGCTCAAAAGCAATGCGGGCACCGTGTTTTGTAGCCACTGCAATCCACTTGGCTAGCACAGCCGGGCTCCAATTTGCATCGACTACCACCCATCGAGGCTTTGTGCGGCCGATAATTGGATCCCAGAATCCCTCAAAATCAAGCTTGTCCTCCGGTAGCTCCATTATCCCCATGTCTGCCATTGCCACAACGAGGTCCTTATGTGTGTCATTGATAGCGACATATTGTGCTGTCCTTCCCGATGAAGCTGAAAGCATTTGGACCCCTTCAGTTGCGAGGTTCTCAGCTTGAAGCGCGGACAAGGCTGCACGACCACTCAAGTCATCACCTACAACGCTGCAGAAGAGGACAGAGCTGCCTACACGACTAGCAGCAATGGCAACATTATGACCTACTCCACCGAGACTCTGTCCAATGACGGCTGGGTTCGATGTTTGTGGAACGGGCGTGGTAGTCGTAGTGCTCTCTCCCGCAAGTGGGAAATAATCACACGAAAAGTCAATTGCAAGAGAGCCAGCAACCAGGACCTCCGCTTTTTCTACTTCCCCAGGAACGCCTTCGGGGACTGGTTTCATATTCGACTTAACTTCTGAAGCCGTGCGGTCAGCTTTAACCGTCTCGGGGATTGCTGGCATATGTCTATACATGAGACAATCTCCGAAATTAGGGACAATCCAAGCCTGTTTATCGACAATGCACTCACCGATCACTTTGTCCTTTGTCCGACTGCTCCAGTTTTGAAAGCTCTACAGCTACCTTGGCTGCTCGCTCCACGTTTGCCTCGACCAGTGTCCGATTGGCGACCACACTCTTTCCACCGCTCAACTCTTTGATCTTAGCTAGTACAAAGGGTGTGTTATCGCTTCCTTGGAAGCCTTCCACTTGCGCCAGATGGAGCGCCTCGTCAATGATCGCATCCAAATCCTCTTTTGGAATCGACTGTTGAAGCGGCACCGGGTTGGCGAAATGGATGCCTGATGAGACAGCGAGCTTGCTTTGCGCATCTGGGTGGTGTTAGAGGTGCAAGAAACTCCAACGGACCGGAGTGGAATCGTAAAGAACGTACAAATAATGGCAGCAGCTTCTGCTTCGTCTTGAATAACCTTGGGGCTCTTGATTCCGCTGTCCCTTGTGAAGAATGCAGGGAAGTCCACGGAGCCCTGTCTGCCATCTGCAAAAGTTCCGACACAGACTCCTTCGGTTTCAAGATATTCCAGGGTTCGAGGGATATCCAGGAAGCTCTTGCACCCCGAGCTAATAACAGCCACTGGGGTACGACCCAGCTCAGTGAGATCCGCTGATCTGTGTATTAGCATCCCGGTCATAGATCTCATTCGTGGTTGCACATACCAGAAATATCCATCGAGTTTTCTCCGCCCCGGTGAACGCCACCTTTCCAAGTTAGCTACTAACATGAGAAGCAAGATAGGCGTATATGGCGAGAGCATACCTAATCCACCAGTTCCAAACACCTTAATCCCGGCCATGTGCGCAAGCATCATTGTGCCCGAAACGGTTGTACCGCCATGAAGTGGCGTTCCGGCCAGACCCTGATGAATATTAGTCTTTATGCATATGATTATCCAGGTTAAGGCGTCATATACCAGGCCGCAGATATAACCCAGGTCCCGACGGGACACCTTGAGTGCATTCTTTTTCTCAGCGGTCGATGCCAATTCAATGAGCTCTTCAGCGTCCAGTCCAACTCGTGCCACGCCATCGAGGATGCCAATAGTAGCCGGAACGCCTCCGTTGACTCTGACGACAGATTCAAGCAACGATGCAAGGGCAACGCTTTCAGGGTATGGAAATCCTGGGATTTTGCTCAGCCGAGGGTTCGCTACCGAATACCATTTCGGATACACGTACCGTGAGTATAAATCGTAGATTCCAATGCCACAACAGGCTTCCCTGTAGCTACAGCATCACGGATCTCCTCTGACACCTTCAGGAACTTGCTTTGTCCGAAATCATGATAGCATCGAGTGGAACGAGGGCCTCTTGCGGCCGACACTCTAGTTGTCCTGCCGCAAAGACGGGCAGCAGCTCGTGTCGCCAGCATCGTAAGAATAACAAGAAGACAATGAAGCTCTCCTTGAAAACCAAGCAAAAGAAACCGAGCTAAGGGATATGAGAGTGATAGAAAAGTGGTATTGATATCCATCGGCGATAAGCGCAGCGCATTTGGCCGCTGCGGCCACCGTACAGCTCCATGGTGTAATTACCGTATTGGGATACAGACACCTCAGCAGCTCTTCTGCCCACTCCCATCCCTCAATCAACTCTCCTTCAACTTATCTTATTCTCTCTTGGTGAGATTCTGGTCGGTCTGATTGAGGACCGCCCATAGTTGCAATGAGGCTTTTTACCGCAGTCACTGCGCTCTGTGGGCTACTACTGCCCAGCAGCGTAGTATGCGCCGACGAGCGAGTCGCTGCGATCAGCGAATTCAACCCCCCGCAAGTGTTCAAGAATACGAATCTGGTTCGGCACACGAATCTGGAAAAGGGCTATGTTCGGGAGACGGTTAATGTGGTCGTGGAGAACGTGGGCAAGCAGCCGCAGAGTGACTACTATCTGCCATTCTCATCGGACGTGTTTGACAAGGTTGGAAGTCTGGAAGTGAGAGATAAGAAGGCAGTAGAGAAGGGAAGGTTCAATGTGGAAGCTGTCGAACTTGATTTCCGCAGGTGAGTATGCCTACATTGGTGCCAATGGGTGATGTTGATGGCGATGCCACGGTTGCTTGATTGGGGCTACACAAGCTTGATTGCTTGGACTATTGAAGCTAATGATGTTCTCTTTCTATAACAGCGACCTCGAATACTTTGTCATTCATTTCCCGGAACCTCTCGCTCCCAAGTCGCAAATCACTCTGGGAATCTCGTACACCCTTCTCAATTCCCTTAACCCACGTCCGGCCACCATCGAACAGTCTGACCGTCAATTCCTTTCCTACTCCTTCTCCGGCTTTACGATTTCGGCCTACCCCACCGTTACCCAGAAGACGAAACTGAAGTTTCCTAGCACGAAGGTTCCTGACTTTACTGTCACTGAGGGTCTGAAGACTAGCTCGGGCTCCGACCCCGAACGCCAGGGCGCAACATTCACATACGGTCCCTATGATACTTCGAAGGTTGCACCGGGAACGACCTACCCGATCACCGTTCGCTACGAGTTCACCAACCCTATTATCACGGCTTCTCTGTTGGAACGCGACCTGGAAGTGTCCCACTGGGGTGGTAACCTGGCAACAGAGGAACGATACTGGCTGCGCAACAATGGCTCCGAATTGACGAGCCAGTTTTCGCGTGTGGAGTGGACCATTAGCAGCTATCAGAATTTGCCCTCTTCTGCATTGCGCGAGCTCAAGTACCCGCTCAAGGCCGGTTCGGTCGATCCCTACTTCATCGATGATGTCGGCAACGTTTCCACGAGTCGGTACCGTCCTGGAAAGCCTAACCGCGACGCGCACCTGGAGCTTCGTTTTCGGTACCCCATCTTTGGTGGCTGGAACTACAGCTTCCGGATCGGTTGGAACAATGATCTGGCCTCTTTCCTACGCCGCGCGGTAACTGGTGCGGACTCTTATGTCCTGAAAGTGCCGTTCATCGAGGGTCCCAAGGCCCCCGAGGGTGCCCAATACGAGAATGTTGTTGTCCGCTTGATTCTTCCTGAAGGATCTCGGAATGTCAAGTATGAGTTGGTGGAAGGATCTGCCAGCAATGGCCTTCCAGGTCCCAACCAGATTCGGTCTCACCTGTCCGACTACAAGACCTACATGGACACACTGGGCCGGACAGTATTGACCCTGGAAGCGGAGAATCTCTCTGACGAGGCTCGTGATTCTCAGCTTGTGGTAAGTTTGCTCCAATTGTTATTTTTTCTTTTCTTTTTTTCCCCCGGAGTGCCGTGCTAATGACTGTAGGTCACTTACGATTACACCCTGTTGGATGGACTGCGCAAACCGTTTACCATCACAGCCGGTCTATTGGCTGTTTTTGCTGCTGCGTGGTTCATCGGAAATATCGATGTTAGTATCAGGAAGCGGTAGATATTCATATATACGGGCGTGTATTATTTGTGTTTTATCGTCCAGCGCAGCTTATACCAAAATGAAGTGCCTCGCAAACTATTATTGAAATTCAGACGGTCATATCGAGTCTCTATCTTTGTAAAATCATAGTAAACCGGGTAAACCGGCATTCATGGCTTGTCGCCTTGACATGAGATGCTGCTGCCTCCCACAACTTTCTGCCTTCTGCCTTGCTATAAATTAGCCGTCCTCTTCTCTCTTCTTCCTCTCTCATTCTTCTTTCTTGCAACTCTATCAATTTTTCTTTTCCTCAGCATCCTCGTCTTCCATCGCCACCCTGGTCCCGGATGGTCCTTGGCGGGAGGCCAGTAAGCAGCACAGGAACCATCACATTTTGTGGCTGAAACCTAATCAATGTTTTCCGGTCGACTGATCAGGCTGGACTAAAAGGGCACTGTCTCGTAGGAAAGACTGCTTGGGCGATAGGGTTGGGTTTGGGATATCAGATGCTGTGAGAGATGCATATCATAATACATTTCAAGGCTCTTGGCGGAAGGTTGGTAAGCAGCACAGGGATCACCAGTAAAATTGATGAGACCTAGTAAATACTTTTCCAGCATACAAATCATTATAGGCGAGAGGGCAGTAGCCAATATTCCCCTCGTAAGAAAGATTAACCAGGGGAAGGGTTGGGCTTGGGAAACTCACACTCTTTATAGTATTTTGTATTGTACACATGGCCCTTGATGGGCAGCTGGAGCAGCACAGGAATCACCGTAGCATAATGTGGATGAGATCTAGTTAATGTTCCCGGCTGACTGACCATCCTGGACTACGAGGATCATTGGCCAGTTTTCCTCGTAAGGAGGTCTGATCGGACGGTAAGATTGGGCTTGCGACAGTACTGATGCTTGTCATTGGCATCGTCACTTGTCGAACCTGCGTTAAAGAGTCAAACTCCAACTTCCTAGTTTTGCTAACACTTCATAGGGCCTGGTCCTGGAGGGAAGCTGGTAGCAGCACAGGAATCACCGCAGTATAACGTCGATGAGACCTAGTCAATGCTCCCGGCCGACTGACTGGGCTGGACTGTGGCACCATACTTGAGTGCTACTGTCTTGACAAAACAAGGCAAGACACAAGGGTTTCCGGTTCCTTACAGGACGGACTGGTTGGGCGGTAGGGTTGAGTCTGGCATATCAGATGCTGAATGGTGCTGATATCGAAATTGCATAAAAAGGTATGTATCCACATCATCACGGCTAGAATGCTATGAACGGTACTGACTTTGTTTATATATGATTCCAGTTGTGATGATCATGAGGGTTTCGAATGAGGTTATTACTTCTTGGACTTAGGAGAGTCGGGATCCCGAGTAACCATGTATAAACAGCGTGCGTGGAGGTTAATCACACTTCGAGGATTATAACAAAAAGTCCGGACACCGTAGAATGCTTCCCATCTGCTAGTCCTATCCTATCCCACCATTCTAGATTGTACAAAACTTAGTAACAAACGCCGTACGCCGCGAGAAAAAGATGCACCAAAAGAAAGTAAAAGAAGTGAATATCATTCTTCCAGTTTCCTCTTAACCCCATTCGCAGCAGGCGGCATAGGTCTCCCTCTCACATCTGAAGGAGCATGCTGTGTAGCCTGGCGTTTCTTCCAGGCAGTCTTGATAGCGCCTGCAGCGCGAATGAGGTCATCTTCCGTCACGCGGTCCTCGATACTCTCAAGGACCTTCTGGACAGTAGAGACATGATTCGCATCCATTTTATCATCACGGAGGCGGTGAAAACGCCAGCGACCTTCTTCATCCTTTGCACATTCGACAATCGTATCATCGAGCGGCTGCCCGAGGGCCTTCAAATCTTCCCATTCAGCCGGGGTCACGTACAATTCACCGAATGGACGGTAATCGTTCGAGCTGTGCATAACGAAGAGGTGAAATATAGGGATTGCGTCGTAGTCACGGTACGGCTGCGTGATACCATCCGCTTCATCGTCCGAGTCTGGTTCGAGGAACGGGAACTCGAGGCGCATGCGGAAGTCGATGGTGTTTTCAGCAGGCGGCTTCCATTTGAGGATATGCTCGTCTGTACCAATACGGTAGGGCGTACTGCGACAGGTGAAGATCAAGCCGTCGTTGCCGTGGATGCGCTTGACCCTGGGGATGATATCGCGGAACATCATCTCGATTCCGTAGCTGACCTGGGTTGACTTGTCCTCTACAACAAAAACGCGGTGCTGCTTCTCTTCTGGAAACTTTTCGTACATCGCCCTGTATGGCTTGAGGACGTTCTCCTTGAAATACGCCAATCGCTTGTCCAGCGTACGATGCATCAAAGCCTGTCCATCCAACACCAAACAATCAAACACGAGATACTTGAGTTGCTGCGTCCCATCATCATACGTATCATTCACCAACTCTCCATCCACTAGTGTATCCACGTGGTACGACTGAAAGCTCTTATCCCCCGGTCTAGGGAAATGCAGCCCCGGCACGAATCGGTAGTCATTCTTGCGGTCGATCAGGTAGTGAATCTCCGGGGTATCGGAGTCCGGGTCCCCGCGCGCAAAGTACATTAGACACCGGATCCCATCTGTCTTTTCGCATACGTAGTAGTCCTCGCGTTGAAGTTCGAGGAGGTGTTTCGTCGAGAAGCTGACTGGTTGCGCTCCCGGGAAGTTTAAGTTGTTGCGACCTAGGAGGGCGGCGACTTCGCGGCGGAACTGGTCGGCTAGATCTGGTTCAGCTTTGATGCCAACAGCATCTAGGTCGGGGACGGAGTTGGACATTGTGTTTATATGGAGATGTTAGGAGCGATGGAGCGAAAGAGGGCGATTGTTTTCTGATTCGAGGGACGTAGGAAGTTCGGAGGCAAGTCAGGACGGCTGTCGCCCGTAGGCGCGAATTCACGGCGGAAGTCGAAAGAAGAGGTGTCGAAAGATTAGAGTGCGCGAATAATTGACAGGACTGTGTGTTGTAGATAGCGAGAGGAGGTGAAAATGGATGGAGATGGAGATGGCCTCATGGTTCGATGCCGCGGCGTCAAATGTCGATCACTTGCCTGAGGCATACGCATTCCTTATTTGGAAAATGCGCCCACCCTTCGACGCTACACACAAGCAATAAGTGATAATTTGGTAAAAATAACTGTTATTTAGCGTATAAGGATATTAAAGTACATTGTGTGTGTGTGTGTGTGTGCGCGCAAATATGTCAATACTAAAACAAGACATTGAAAACTAAATCGCAAGAGATATAGTAGTATCTTAGGGGTATCATATGAATATAGACCCAACCAAATGTATCCAAAATTGCAATATAGACGCCAACCCCGATGACCCAAGACCTAGGCTCATGTGAGAAAAGAAATAAATGTATGAACGCCGTATCGTCACGCGTAATCTCGTAAGACCCCAGTCACCAATGACGGCAACTGACAAACTTCTAGGAAGTTGCAGTTATCGAATTTCCAGGCACTGATGCTGAAGATTGATCATTTGTCACATCAGTAGTGGTAGTATTATCCGCAGCCTCGTTGGCGAAGGGAGAGTCCAGAAGGCTGGAGTCATCTGGTTGAAATAGGTTCCCTCCGTCTATTGGGGGATTATCCCCAGTTGAGAAGAGTCCACCACCACGGGCACCGCCCAGGGCATTGGATAACATCTCTTTGATGCGGACATAGCGATATTTGTTCTTGGTTGTGATGACTGTATGGGTGACGAGTGGTTGAGGGTTGGAACGGCCTATAGCGGCCATGACATTGTCTTTTTCTTCGTCCGAATCCACGGGGCCATTGTTTTCCATCTCGTCTTGTAATGGAGCATTGGCATCGATAGCGGCCTCTGTAGTTCACATTAGCAAAGCGCGCCCCATGAAAAGAGAAGAAAATGACTTACTCTGCTGCCGAGCTTGATTCTTTTTCTGATACGCCTGCAACAACATATCATACGGTAACGACCGACCAGGAACACCACGCTTCGCACCCATTGAATGACTCTTACAAGTCAACGACCGCGCACACTGAGCTCCATTCGGTAGCGTTACACCGCACTGCTTCTCAACATCGACCGGTCCCTTGGGCTTGGGCACCTTGGGTTTCGGTTCCTCCTTTTTCTTCTTCTTCTTCGGTTCCTTATCCTTATCATCCTCGTCCGTCTTCCGCTTCTTCCCCTTCTTCGTTCCATCCTCTGCCATCCCCTTCACGGCACTCTTCTTCGCACTCTTCTGTCCCTTCATCGCATCGTCACCATCCTTGTCGTCATCGTCGTCCTTCCCGTCGATCTTCTCCTTCGCCCGGTTCGCCGCATCGCGCGCCTCCTTCTTTTTGCGCGCCTTTTCTTGTTTCGCCTTCAGACAGCCGCGGATGTGGTCGACTGCGGCCTGCTTCAAAATCGGCCGCTTGCACGTTTTGCAAATCACTGATTCGATATGGTCTTCTTCGCGCGGTTTGCCTGTGGGAAACGCCGCCATCGTCTTCTCGTCTAGACCGGGGAGAATGGGGGATGCTTTGGGTGAGGTTGCGGGTCGGACATCTATAACTATGGTATCAACAACATCACCCTTCAAGCATCATTGCAAATCAAACTTAGAGAAACGCACCATCTTTCTTAGATTTTTTGACCGGCTTCTTTAATTTAATCTTCCCGGGTTTCGTATCCTTGTCCGCAAACTTGTAACCCGATGCATCGACCAAGCTTCCTCCTACTGCTCGAAATCTATATTAGCATGACCACAGTTGCAAGCCACGAATGCGAAAAGAAAAGAGATGTTACCTCTGCCATTATCACCGTTGGCCGCCATGATTCACGCGAACCAGAAAGCGAGGATGACAGGGGTTCTGGCCGGACTCGTGACGTTGCTACTACCCTGCAATCCCAGCAAAAAGAGGGATTTGTTCGACCGTCCTTTATATTTGAATCTTCAGTATATAGAAATAAAAATAAATGGTGCTGTTCGTCCTGACCGGCAGCGTTGCGTTGCGCCATCTAAGGCGGCCGTCCGACTCCGCAGCAAGTCGGTTCAGTCACGTGCCGTTCTGATGCCTACGTCGGGCCCTACTCGGAGTACATTACCGTTCTTATGCATGAAAGGAAGGTAACTATATCGATATCTTCGCCAGCAAACTCACAATGACGCAAAAGAATGTATTATTAAGACAGTATTAAGTCTGCAGGCTTCAAAGAATTTGTTTCATTGTCCGGGGTAGGGCTGCAGCTAGCGACTAATCCCCTGTTTGCTATGACTGATCATGTTTCTGCTAACTGTTAATACGTATTTATGTTGCTGAAATGCTATAGTAACCCACAATGTGCTTGTTGGATTGTGCCAAGTTGAACGATAAGTGGCTCACTACAGAATGCCATGCCATACCCAACTTCCCAGGAACAGTCTTGTCAAACGAAGCCATCTGTCGCTGGCCTTCCGTGCGATCCATAAATAGACTCTAACTGAGCCCCGACTCCAGTTGTCAGTATATAACAGTTAAGTTTCTATCTAAGCGTGGGTGTGAATGACCAATCACAATCCATATCTACTCTTTGGCGAAATTCTTTGGAATGCGTCTCAATGATACCTGGCTTCTAGAATTTGCACCGGGCACCAGTGAGCCACAATCCAGCTTAGTGCATTCTTTTATTGATCCAGTAGAACAGCGGACTGGCATGGGAACAGTTCCAATGCTCTATGGGCTTTAGCATGTTGCTTGGTTACATGTCATCAGGTCTGTTCAACCGATGCCTTCGATTGAGCTTATCCTTCAATTTCATGGATTTAGACTGTAACCTGGAAGTCGTTTCCTTTTGGTTCCACCCTAATTCTATCGACTTAACTAGCGGTGTTTCGGAGTGTAAAGAGGTTCACGGCCCAGTGAGATACGATTTTTCATCAGGTTATGAAGGATGGAATGGCTACATAAGATTGATAGCATCATGCGGAGTCTATATCGAAGAGGACTACAAAACCGAGGATATATGCTTTACCGACTTTTTTTTCTAGGGGTCAACTAGGGATGGACTGGACGGTTTGCAGCAACTGTTCGAAAACAGTGCTAACAACATCTCCAATAAAATCACGGGCCTTTCTCGACAGGCGAGTGCTGTCATCGCTAGAATTACCAACCCACTAAGAAGTTTGTTTCAGGAAGGCTGAGAAGCTTCATGAATGGGCTTTTCCTTCGACGCCTATGCAAGTAAATTACTAGCACCCAGTTCTGAACGCACCAGTGACTCGATAGCCAACGTGAAAAACACTGATAAATAGGCCCATTCAGCAGACTCTCCATATCGAGTCGGTAAATCAAGCAAGATGGGGACAATTTGTATGTACCGTTCCAGCCGCTGTTTGGTACTCTATGGGAATCATTAGCCAGCACGCCTTTCCCTTGCTAGCGGATGCGTCAGATAATCGCTTCTTGAAAATCGTTACCTTCGACCTGCACACAGAGGACACCCATGAAACGTAGCTGTTACAGGATCTCCGGATGGAACTCTCAAAATTAGGGCATTGTCCTATACTTTGATGGAGTATAGACAGGCATAAGGTTGGGCGGTGCAGTGGTATTTACTTGTTTATTGGTATGTGCCCTATGACCTAAAAAGCTAGACGTTGTAAGATAACCAACATTTTCAAGATTTTGAAAGCTAACACAGTGCGAGAGCGCGCTCATCAATTAATTTCACCATTTGCTACCGCATGCGGGGATTCAGTACGAGATCTATCCTATCCAACAATCCCTTACCCTTCGAATCTTGGCTCAGGCGAGAACCTCGAGATAACAATCTTCCACGTTCCCATGAATGACGCCGATAAAAAAAACATTTGAATTTGGATGTTGATGCTACAAAGCAACCCTCCAAGTAAACGCAAGCTGACAACCGGATCAAACCAGAACGTCCGTCCATCATTATAACTACGCTGGTCTACATCATTTTTAGCCTCTGATGCGCTCTGATAACGGACCCTAGCTTCCAGAAGCTAGCACGACAGAAAGATCTATGACCCTGACAGCCAAATATATTGGGCTCTTCTCATCTTCATCTCTGGAAGTGCGGGATGCATGGTATGGTGACTTTGTCCGACGAGCTTTGATAGATTACGAGTGTCTGGGCCACATCATTGACTGGATACAATCTATACCAACGCACATTGAGACACACTTCGTGGTATTTGGAAAAGATCAACAGATAATAGACATACGATTATCTATCATCCTATGATGAGAGGTCATACCAACGCCGTTTGTATTTCCAAGCCGACAGACACCAAACCACAAGAGTCGCCCATCATGTTTTTGCGAAACCGAAAACAAGAGCTGAAAACCCTAGAAATCACGACCCTTACACATTGATATAGTCGCCAAGCGAGAGGATTGCAAACGTGGTCAATTTTAATTTCGCCAACTGGAACTCGAACGCCAGAAACCTCCACTTTACAGTGCTTCTTCATTTTCGTCTGCGTCTGGACCAGGACCAGCACCCGCTTCCAAGTCTGTACCAGCTTCTATGTTCCCGTTTGCCCCAGAAACCCGCACATGGGCCGGCGTATACTCCATAGAAGCCGATATAATCCGAATCCGAGGCCTACTGATAATCCCTTTCCCTAAATCCTGCACCGAGATAGATGCCTTTCGCCCATGATACGGGGTCGACTTCTCATACGCCCACCAAATCCTCGAATCGCGCACGATAATCCGTGTTCTGAATCTCTATTCCGATGTGAAAACGCTTCATATGTGGGAGACTAATGAGAACTGGCATAAGTATCTGCGGTTGTGCGAGTAGATGATTGAAGATTGGCAGGTTGAAGTGTTGGTCTCTTCGCCCTTTGTGTATTAGTATAGATTTCTTCTCATGTAACGGTGAAATCAAGTCCATTCCATATTATCTTTTTGCAACCTTGTCTCTGCATGATTATGATACCTTATGATTTACCGGTAACCCTAGCATCTAGACATTACTTTAGTATGACCTGAAGGCCCGGTCCGTTTGGCCATTCCTAAACCCTGCTTTTACAAGTCTGGCTTCAACCATTCTTTCAAGGAGCACCGGATCCTTATGATCCGGGATGAATGGGCTTGTGCAATATTAAAGACACCACTATTATACAGCCTAATTTCAACCACCCCAGATCCACCATATCAATCCCTTAACCTTGCAAAACAAAGACTACTATTCGTCCCCCCAAACCCAAAACTATTCGTCAACGCGACCCCAATATCCCTCTCCTGCGCCTGATTCGCCGCATAATTACAATCGAAACCATCTCCCAATCTCTCCAGGTTAATAGTCGGGGGCATCACGTTCTATTATCGTCAGCAAGCCTTCTTCTCTAACGCAATTTGGAGGGGAGAGGGTACCTTGTGAATAGCAAGAACCGTAAAAACCGCCTCCACAGCACCAGCACCACCCAACAAATGCCCGACAGCACCCTTCGTACTGCTAATATTAACCTCAGATGCCTTCTGTTTTCCTCCAGGCCCAAGAAGAAGAGACTTTATAGCAGCGTTCTCTGCTGCGTCACCGATAGACGTTGATGTTGCGTGGGCGTTCACATAGTCCACTATCGACGGAGGCAGGCTTGCATTCCGGAGTGCCTTTCTCATGGCCATTAATGCACCTTCGCCGTTTTCGCGGGGCGCAGTCATGTGATAGGCGTCGCCGGTGCAGCCGTAGCCTTTTAGTTCGGCGTAGATGGGGGCGTTGCGGGATTTGGCGTGTTCGAGTTCCTTTCACTAGTTAGACCTGCAGTCAGAAAAGAAGAGAAAGGACCGAACCTCGAGAACAACCATGGCGGCACCCTCGCCAACTACAAACCCGTTGCGGTCTGCATCAAATGGTCTCGACGCTTTTTCCGGGGCATCATTGTAATCTGTTGCCAGACTGCGTGCTCGTGCGAACCCGCCAATTGCCAGTGGGTGAATACACGATTCCGCACCCCCAGCTACCATGACATTTGCATCTCCGCAGGAAATGAAGCGAGCTGCGTCGCCGATGGAATGGGCCCCGGTTGTGCATGCTGTTGTTGCGGCGTGGTTGGGGCCCTATATCTTTAGCATTTGGATTAATATGGGCTGTTCTCGAACGGACTTACCATGAATCCATATTTCATGGATATATGCCCTGCCCCAAGATTGATTAATATCCTGGGGACGAACAGTGGCGAAACCTTTCTGTAACCCTGTTCTCGTGTCAGTTTGTTTTTACTACATTCAAGAACGGCGATAGACGAAACTCACTCCCCTATCATAAGCAATCACAGTATCATAAATCTCATCGAAATTCCCAATCCCCGATCCAAGACAGATTCCCTGCCATTTATTAGCCTTCCCAAAGCAGACCGTCAGAGAAAAAGGCATACTGTCATCTCCCTCTCCTCAGCATCCTCCGTGCTAGGCCTCCACCCAGCATCCTCCAACGCCTCCTCAGTAGCAGCCATAGCATACTGCGCGAACCGCGCCATTTTTCTCTCCTCCTATACTATCATAAGCATCCAGCGTACCACCAACCCAGCATCACACCCCAGCATCAACTTAACTCGTGTAAAGAGTAAGACACTTACATCCCGGTTCACCCACTCATTCGCCACCCATCCACCATCCCTCCGACTCCCCGACGGTACAACAGCAGCAACCTGGCATGGCAAATCTGTGAAACGGGGATCTCGATTGCGGACGTTGACAATGCCGCAGTGGTTATCTAGGAGGCGGGACCATGTGTGGCGGATTCCTGTTCCGTCAGCGATCTGTGTTTTGTATGTGTTACTTTGTAAAACCGAGTGTGTGTACGGTATCTGAAGGACTTTCCCTTCTGGGTAGTGGAGAAGTTATACAATCGGACGATTGCTATAGAATGACATAGAATGGGGTATACATACCGACACCCAGCGGCGTCACGGCACCTAAACCCGTCACGACAACACGGCGCATACTCGCGGTGACAGTGACAGTATTGGCATCCTATCAATCAATTAAGTTAACATGTACTTGCAGTAGAACACAAAAACATACTATACCCAGTCCAGCAGTTAAAAGTAACCCCCGTCCTGCAGCAGTACAGTCAGTGCCATCCATCCCAAAGGGGAAACTCTGCACGATGTCACACCCACTTTTTTTTTCTTTACCCTGACTTCTTAAGTGAAATAACGTAAGATAACTAATCGCGGCCGAACCACGGTCTCTCTAGTCCAACGGCGACTCGTCTCGGCTCGATCCCGGCGGGGCAATTAAAGTGATCTGTTGTTTTTTGGGAAGTTCGTGGAGATAAATTGATAAAAATGTGTGTGGTCTGCGGAGTAGACGGAGATAGTACTGAGATACGGCGAACACTACAAATATAAAAGCTTCTCCAATTTTGTTTTCTTGATTTCTCCTTTCTTTTACTCCCTGAAATTACTTTCGATTGTATGCGACAATGTTAAAGTCCCTTGTTACATTGCTAGCTCTATCGAGCTCAGCCTTATCGCACGCCCACCATGACCATGACGAGGTAGTTCCCCCGCGCGTGCGCGAGGAGCTCCTCAAGAAATGGGATCAAGAGGTACCCCTCCACCCCCCTCTAAATCCATCCCTGATAAGCCGGACTAACAAGCGCAGTGGTCCTTCACCGGCATCTCCAGCTTCGCGCACCTCAAGCCCGTAAAATGCCTTATTGAGCCCGACGAGCGCTACGATATAGCTGTTATCGGCGCGCCGTTTGATACCGCTGTTAGCTATAGACCAGGTACCTCTCCTTCTACAATCCATACGCATTCTGAATATTAGATTGATAACAAAAAGGCGCCCGCTTTGGCCCCCGCGCCATCCGCGCCGCCAGCGCACGTCAAATGGCCGGAACATCTTTCAACACGCGCGCCGGAATCAACCCGTACAGTTCCTGGGCAACAATCAAAGACTGCGGTGATATCCCAATCATGCCCTTCGACAATGGTGTCGCAGAGCGCCAGATGTACGATGCATTCCTTGAACTAGGCTCCCGACCCGCCGTCACACCGTCCTCATCCAGTAAAGTAAAGGGCATCTCCGCCGGAAAAACCAAGCTCGTGACGCTGGGTGGCGACCATAGCGTTGCACTACCTGCACTGCGCGCGCTGTACCAGATCTACCAAAAGCCCATCACGGTGCTGCATTTCGATGCGCATTTGGACACGTGGAATCCGGCGCGGTACTCTGCATACTGGGTATCGGAGCAGTCAGGGTTCAACCACGGGAGCTTTTTCCACAAAGCTAGTCGCGAGGGTCTTATCTGTAATTCGACGTCTGCGCATGCCGGTCTGCGCACGCGGTTGACTGGTATGGACGATAGCGATTATACGAATCCCGGTCCGGAGCAGGGTTTCCTGCGCATTCATGCGGATGATATTGATGAGTTGGGTGGACCTATGGGCATTGTGAATCGGATTGTTGATCGGATTGGACTTGATCCCGAGCAGCCTGTGTATTTGTCTGTTGACATCGATGTGCTTGACCCCAGCACTGCTCCTGGTACTGGCACGCCTGAGCCTGGTGGTTGGACGACGCGGGAGATGATTCGCATTCTGCGCGGTATTGAGAAGTTGAATATCGTGGGCGCTGATATCGTGGAGGTGTCGCCTAGCTATGATAACAAGGGTGAAACGACTGCTCTGGCTGCTGCGCAGGTTGCTTTTGAGATTATCACCACTCTTGTCAAAGCTGGCGCGGGGGATGTTGGTGGCTGGTATGGACGGAAAGAGGATGTCGCGGAATCTGTCCACCAAGGTACTGATAAGGACGAGCTCTGATCGTAGCGTACCTGCCATGCCAATAGCTTAATGAATCATGAAAATCTGTGACAATTCAACGTTTCATCGTCTGTTGCGACAGTCATACCGTAGATTACTGACAAAAGTCCCTTGCAGTAAGAAGAGTTGTCCACAGCAAATCTGATATCATTGGCTTCATTGAGTCGATTTCTAATTCCAGTATCTTGCCACTAAAAGTCATGAAAAAAAAAAAAAAAAAAAAAAAAAAAAAAAAATTCGCAAATTGGATAAAAAAAAAAGAATTCGAGCGAGCAATCTGGATAAACAGGTAGACAGGCGGAAGTAATTCACAACATCACAGTAAAAGTCACAGATGATTAAAGAGAAAATAAAAATCAATCAGCCAAAACAAGACGCCCTGACTTCCAACGCCGATTGAGACGATGAGCTAAAGAATGGAACACGGGGGATCCTCGAGAAATGAATGACAAGGGACGGAATCGGAACGACTGCCGAAACTGTCGGATATAACATCGGATCGGACAAGAGGTAGAGTAGTGAACGTAGGATGATCCGTGGCGGTAAGTCCGGATTAAAAAAAAAATGAAAAAAAGAAAACACGTCGGCCGAAGAACGGGGGATCGTCGATTCAAACACCGGCGTGCGACAGCGGAATCTTCAAGGGGGAGGGGGAGTCGGAAGGGGGAGAAATGACGGTGAACGGAATCAATGGACCCTGGGATGTGATAAGATGAGAAGAAAAGCAGAAAAAAGGAGGCTGCTGAATGTAGGCAATCATTTCAAAATATCCGACTTCAAATGAAGAAAAAAGACACGAGATGGCAAGCCATGGCCGCCATAACAAAAGGGCGTAGACCGATAATTCATCGAAAATGGAGGTAAGACAGAAAAAAACGAAGGATCCCTGACTCCGTACGACGTTCTAAATCGAGCTTGTTTCAATCGACATTCCTCCCAAAGAAAAGCAGAACAAACGGGGTAAAAAAAAGAAATAAATAAAAATCGTTCCGACGTGTCTGTTTGATAGAGCAAAGGGTCAACAGACATGTCCAGCGATGACGTAGGACCAATGTAGAATACCAACCTGAGCATCTGCAAAAGAGACCGTTTTTTGCTGTTTAAATAACAATGAAGCGGCTACAGCAGGACGCACTTTGACCTCTTCTTCGGGGCAGGTTCAAGAGCGGCGACGATAGCCTAGATCAGTCAGCCATTGTTCAGATATTCTCCAAATAGGGAAAGTAATACCTCGTCGAAAACATCCTTCAGTTTGTATTGGGTCAAAGCCGAGCACTCGACGTATTTAACAGCACCCAGATCCTTGGCCATACGATCACCGTCTTCCTTGCGAATGGGCGCCATCTTTTGACGGGAGAGCTTCTCGCGGACACTAGAGTCGTCGCGCAGATCGGCTTGGGTACCGACGATCAAGCAGGGAACACCGGGGCAGTGGTGGTGGACTTCGGGGAACCATTTCTCGCGAACGTTCTCAAAGGATGCGGGGGAGGTGACGGAGAAGCAGACCAGGAAGACATCGGTCTGGGGATACGACAGAGGGCGAAGACGATCATAATCCTCCTGTCCGGCGGTATCAAACAAACCCAAGGTGTAGGGCTCATCACCGATCCTGAAGTTTTGAGAAAGAAACTCGAGTCAGTCCAGGTGTTCTTTTGTCCATTTATCTCCAGCGACGCGTGGTTCCTAGTTGCCAGACTACCAAAAACTGAGACAAGATGCTGATCCGACTTACATGACAGTAACCGCATAGTTGTCGAAGACCGTAGGAACATATTCAGAGGGGAATTTGTTTGTTGTGTACGAGATGAGCAGACATGTCTTTCCCACGGCACCGTCTCCAACCACGACACACCTGAACAAAGGGAGCTTGGTTAGCTTTAATCCCGATCAATCAACGCAGAAATAATATAAAATATGCTCAACCCGCCCGGAAAGAGCTCAGTAAAAATAAGAGAGAAGAGTACGTACTTGATGGTAGCGACAACCATATTGCAATGGCGTTAAATTATAGAGCGAAATGAGTAGGAGAAAAAGTAAAATCAACCGTGGAAAGGAAGAAATAATAAAATTAAAGCAAGGCAAAAAAAAAAAAAAAAAAAAAAAAAAAAAAAAAAAAAAAAAAGCTTCTAACAGTTAGAGACGGAATAGGAGATCAACCTCGGACTCAGGACCAGCAGAGAAGTCCGGAAGAAAGACGGGGGCAGCAGTAGTCGTGGGAGAGGGAGAGAAAAAGGAGGAGTAATAGTGGAGGAGGGACAGCGCGTTGACCGGAGGGATTAGGATAGCGTTAGGAGGAGTAATAGGAAGGAGTAGTATAGGATGGGATAGGATAGGGGTAGAGAAAGAGTGAGAAAGAGAGGAGATATGAGAATCTCAAGAAGTGAGAGGTTGGAGACGCGATGTTGTGGTGGTGGTGCAGTATGTGGATGTGGTGGTGAAGACGGCCGTGAATCCGTCTCTCCGCCCAGTCAGGAGCCACCCGGAGCGGTGGTCTAGAATGCGGTGAATAATTTATATGGGGCCCTGGGCAGCAAGACCAAAAATATGGACAAGACAAAGAACTGTCACGATAACAAAGACAGAGTAATTACTAGGGACGAGTACGGAGTATACAAGAAATATATGAGAAGAAGAAAAGGGACAGAAAAGAAAGGCGATGGAAGATTAACGAAATAGGACAGAAATCCGACTACGATGTTTGCTATGGAGGACAGAGTAGTAACAGCAATAACAATATGGACTGACCATATGAGCTGTTTAAAATACCTCCTCTGACTGCATCTTTTGCTTACTCTCTATCAATACCACTGAGAATAACAGCGGCTTGTCCTATTATCATTTTCCTGCCCAAAATGGAGAAAAAGAGGGGCAGTTATCAATATGGGGTACCCCTCCGCCAGCCGAAAATATCAGTCAATACAATCAATAATGCCATGAGGAGAATATTAAACGCTTGGATACACGGGGTGCGTTGCAATCCGCTTTCCCTGTTTATTGCACATCAGAGGCATATTCAACGACCGGATCATCTTGCCTCAATGCACTTCTGCATGCACCGTTAATCCGGGTCCCCATCGTCTTCGGGAAATCCCACGGGGAGTCCGGTATGTAGTATGCATCTCCAGCACCTCACCGGTGCATGAACTTACATAAGAGAGTTGTTCAGTTATTTGACGTTCGTATATCACCTCGTTCACTACTAGTAAAGGATATTCAGAAGTCAAGATTTATCTGTTCAACTGACCTAGTACCACTACAGCGAAAGCCACATGGTCTATACCAAACAATCAATCTATATACAGTTCATGCAACATGCAAGCGTAACTTCATCAAGGTATCCGGGTATAACTCAGGAATCCAACGGTATGATAGTCAATCCAAGTCGGGACTCTATCATGTCACTCAGTTGTTCCGTTGTCCGGCCCCCGGTCCTATTCATCGTAATCATTAAGAATAATCAAAAGCGTAAAAAAAAAAAAGAGAAAAGAAAAAGGAAACGGAAAAAACACGCTTGTGCTGCCCACGTGTCCAGTCCCGCGCCAGCGCGGGCCGGCTGTTGGCTCTTTTTCCTTCATCTGATCCCTGTTGTCACAAAAGAATGCATAAGGAATGCAAAGTCTGTGCTTCTATAAAATGCAGGCGCCGTGATCTGTGACGAAGCAGCCTGGTTTGTATAACTGTTGATGAATGCTAAGTCAAATCGCTATATCGCTTAGGTTCGCTTCGAATGCCGATCTTCATCGGATACTTCTTCGGTGGGAATGGGGACGGGCTCCACGTCGGGATCATGAGCACTCATCTGGTGGAAATCATTAGTCCTGTACAATGAAGAAAAAAAGCCATGGGCGGGTATCTCACCTTATCCAGCCTGTAGTTCACCATGAGAAGACTCAGCGGAATCAAAGGAATAGAAGCGATGACCGCCAACACCAATAGTTTGTTCATGGTCTCCTGGTAAGCCCGGTTGATCGCAATCCGAGTCGGAGATCCAAATGGATATGACAGAGCTTTGGTTAACTTCCCAAAAATCTCTTCGGCCTCACCTCTGGTCTCCTCAGGAAGGTACACAAGCAGCTTGCGAGGGATGCTATGTGTCCAGACAGCCCCGGAGATCGCAGCGCCTACCGCACCTCCCATTTCCATCGAGGTTAGGAACATGGCTGTGGCAGCCGCGACTTCCTGGTGACTGGCAGATGCCTGGACTCCCAGTTGCACGGGTACATTGAGAAGTCCACCTCCAATACCCACAATAACTTGGGTTCCCAGAATCTGCACTTGCGAGCTGCCCTCTCGTCGATATAGCAGCATCAACAGCAGACCGACGATGTAAATGACACAGCCTATGGTAACGAATTTTCGGTACCGTCGCGTGTATTTGATGAGGATGGAGACCGTAAATGCTGCAATGGTTGAAGTGAATGCAAATGTCTGGGTCACACGGCCCGCAGTGGAGACATCATATCCCTGAACGACTTGGAGATAAGAGTAGAGATACGGCTGGACGGAGAAGAAGAAAGCCACTGATAGCCAATTAGCAAAATTGTAAAACATAACAATAATGGCGATAACATACTGAAATAAAAGAAGGCCAATACACAGCCTGCGACAGCAGTTCGCTGTTTGAGAAGATGCAGCGACAAGAGAGGTTTCGGTGCAAATCTCTTCGAAGTTTCCCAAAGGGGCAGAACAATCAGACACACAAGACCCACTGCGATCATGGAAATAATCCTCTTATTCCTCCAACCATCTTGGGCATTGGCGGCAAGTGTCAAGGGTACTAGAATCAAGGTAACGGCGGAGGACAAGAGGATCAAGCCAAACATGTCCAGGTCATACCACGTGCGTCGGATCACACTGAGGATACCGCGTCGTCGACTCGACCTGGTCTTAATGAGGTTCAACCTCCGAGCCTTTCGTTGGTTCAGCAGCAGCGAAAGAGCCAAAGGGAGAAAAGAGGCGGGCAAAATGATCGACCACATTCCATAACCCCAGCGCCACGATGTATGTCTAAGGACGGCATCTGCGATCGTTGGGCCTATCCAAACAGTAACGAGAAATGGGAGCTCGGGCAGAAGGGCCAATAGCGCACGATTCAAAAGACTACTGCTGTCTGCGATGAACACTTGCTGCAAGATCTGCAAACCTGTCGAGCCGGCGGAGTAAAAGATCTGTGCTGATGCGTAGGCTTGCACATTGTTCGATGCGGCCATCTGAATATAACCAAGGACATAAATCAGGATACTCAAACAGAACGCTTCAAAGCGACCGAAAACATCGGCCACTTTGGCCATGGGAGGTTTGATCACAGCTAAATGATCGTCAGCGCCGCGCAAACCAGACAAGACCAAGTATAGACTTACCATTGACCACATTCTGGACCACAAGAACCGTCGAGATCAATGAATGTTTGCTAAATGCACTGGTCGCATATGCCGACAATGACATGAGGGTTTGGCTTTCCAGAGATGTACAGAAAGCCATGAGAAAGATACTTGGATTTGGATGTCAGCACAAGCATTCCAACCGACAAGGATGTATGCACAAACCTAATATAAGCTACAACCAAAGTCCGAGAGGTCCATGTCATGTTGATGGCCTCAATCTTCCGAACGCCTTCCTGAACCTCATCCACTGACGAATCATCACCGTCAAGATTTCTTTCATTCAAATATCCACTTTCACCATGAAGGAGTCGATCTCCTTCCTCGTCGTTGCGTTGTTGTTCCATGTTGCCGAGTGTGCCATAGGAACGTCCGGATCGTATATCGATATGGGGCATTGCGTTTGGATCCGAAACGTCAGTGGAAGGGTTCGACAGATTGCTCTGTGAGTAGAAGGGTCCATGTATCGGAAACGTCAAAGGTATATGTCGCAATAATAATAGAAAAAAAAAAAAAAAAAAAAAAAAAAAAAAAAAAAAAAAAAAAAAAAAAAGCTAGGGGTGTAAAACGGTATTGCTCTTGAGTAAAGTACGAGTACTCTGTACTTAAGCGGCGACAGGGGTTTATGAACGCATCAGAAGAAAAAGCAACGAAGAAAGCCGGGGCTGAGTATAGTGGAAGTGCAGGGAACGAGCAAGGATAGCTATGAGCTAGTACTCCGTACTGTGTAATGGTCGTCGCGTTATTTGTGACCCGTCCAAGTCAGATACCACTCAGGCAGGTGCGATCAACAGACAGAAAAAGCAATGTAAGTCTAGGCGAGACACTAGGAATGAGGGGGAAAAAGGAAATATCGGGCGTGGATTACCGGGCTCTCCCCTCCATTAGCGGAAAAAAGCAGCGATATATACTTCTGCGGTGCTCGGTTGTATTGGTGGATAGATCCGATGCGTACGTGCAAGGGATAGCATGAGACGAATGACCGCAGTCACCCAATATAGATCATAAGAGTCAATTACCAGGCTCCTGCACGTCGACGTGGGATTCAACGGATGATCACTGGCCTATGGACTTGACGCCCGAGGCTCAGTGAGGCAGTGTGGACACCCGATCTGTGCCCCAGTGCGCCAGAGGATCGGGGCTGACTCAGTGTGAGGATCTGTGAAGGTAATATGTCGGTATTCAGAGGAAATAGTATGTGGTGACAGTTGATCGCAAAAGATTTCGGTAGGCATGCGGGGTGTTCGTCGACCACAGGTGTACACTCAAACCGGAGGATTCGAAACGGATGACACGACGGCGAAATTTCGACTCGATCCGCGTTCCCATATGAGCTAAACGAGGCAGCTGAAAACCCCGGGGAGAGAGATGCGTGTGTGTACGACTAAATGGGGTGCGTGTGAGAGTTAGAATTGGTGGTGGATGTAGTCATTCTTAGGCGGAGCAGCGGCGGTAGTGGCGAACCCGGGTAAAATTACGGCAGAAAATCAGATAAGATCAGGCTTTACCGACCAGATTCGGCTACAAATAGAATACATACATACAAGTATAGCAGTCGAGTAATATTCTGCACTGACAATATGGAATTCTGGATGCAGAACATCCCTGTTCAAGTGCACATGCTTGATGGACTTTATTCGCAGTAGTTCATGCAGAACACCTATTTCAGCCTCTGGTCTTTTCTCTCGGGTACAACCGCTAAAGAAGGGCGACCTCCACTCCGATCTGCCCTTTTCTCCATCTATTGCGCTAGCCTTGTTATTTGCTTTTGCTTCAACTGAAGCGCGAGAGCCGCTGGGCTAATAGAAACAGCCGGAATAATAATCGTCTTTTAGCCGTCCACTCATATTCTTGCAACAGACCACCACGCAATGACCGCTCTGAGTACTGCAGATGGGGGTTGTAATATGATTTCTGGCATTCCTGTTTGGTCGTGCTTACTCCGAGCTAGTTACTAGTTAGAGTCAGATGCAGCTGCATGGGAATGTCTGGATTAAAGAAAATTATTAAATTAAATTTTTTTTTTTTTTTTTTAAAAAAAAAAAAGGCGGCTGCAGAGAAAAAAGCCAACGTATCTTGGGTGGATCTAGGATACACTTGTCAGTCGAGAGCATTCAATATGGTTTTCCCTGTGTATTCTTTGAAACATGCCTCTCATCAGACCGAGAATCTTTCTAGCAGGGGTGAACTTTGAGGTCAATTTCATGAGGTTAATTTCAGAATCGAAGCCTATCATGTTTTCCCGAGATAACAAGTGACGGAGCTGCCGGAGCACATCCATTAGACTATTTATCCGTAACATCTATGGAGCTCCATATCGACATAGTTTCCTTTCTCATGGCTAGCAAGTGACCTAGCCCTTTCTAGTATGATCAAGTGCATACTGACAGGTGACTTACATCAATAAGCACTGGGTCCTTTGCGTATCCCCATTTCAAGAAAGCCCTGTCATCTAATGGTGATGAGTGGTAGCACGTCAATGTTCAAATGTACTGAAATATGTACGCGGGACTGCCCAATGCACACGACATGCACACCGTAGAAAAGGCCTCATTCGGCTTAATCTATACTAAGTGTTTGAAGTTGACGTTTAAATTATCCCCTTGACTGGGCAGTCTTGCTGCATAGATACCAACCCAATGCCTGCGCTTCATCCTCCCCTTCAAGCGCCCAAGTGGCCTCCCGTAGAGGCAATTCCTGGTCTCCCTCCACATGATACACCCATAGGCTGCTAGTCCTCAGTTCTCGGGCAATTTCCCGTGTCGCAGCGCACCTCTGACAACACAGGAAACAGACTCCGATCCATATGTTGGTCTTTGAAGACGGTGTCCAGACACAGCTTACCGTTAATCAGCTCGATATCAGCCTTCAGCCACTTCTGTGGCTTGCCTCTGCAGTTGCTAGGACGAATATCAGCCCACCTTGGTCTTTTTTTTGCTGCCAGTCGCCGTTGAAGGTAACACTGATTCCTTTGAAAGCTGCCAACAGAATGCTGTGGTAAATAATAGGCGCATTGAATACTTCGGTAGAAGGGGGTTTGGACCAGATGGTTGTAGATGTTGTTGTTCTGAATGGATTATGGAAGCTCATCGGGGAATTCCCGGTTCATCATGTGATTTGAAATGGGGGAGGATGGGCATTCTGAACACAATAACACAATAGAAATGGTCTAAGCATTATCAGGGAAAGAACAGTGTGAATCAGAGAACTTTGGGTGGTTTAAAAGAGGAAAAGATATTGGGTATGATAGAACTGACCCACGTCATTCGACACATACACGAGTACATACCTCAACGCTCCCAAAAGGGAAAGTCTTGGCTTACTTCAATATCTAACCAAAGCATAGTAATCATTACAAGCATATCTATTATCAGATATAATGCTGCTGCCTGCTTAGATGCATCTAAATTCCTTCAATCGACTCCTTAAGAATATCTCTGAAGAAAACGCAGAGTAGTATACATCCCCTGCTGGAAGACAGATAATCTTTTTGCGGCAAAATTTCTCGAGCAAGACTATCGCAAATCTGGCTACAATCATGATAGAACCTTCTATTGTCAGGTGGGACCAGTGATATCGTCTTTCTCACAGGTAATGCACAGAAGACCTATAGCGACAGTAGTTTATGGTACATTGTTACATTGTTATCAAATTCCGTTTTAGTTTACACCATGGTCCACGACTTCGCTTGTTTAGTTCATACAGGCTTCCATTATTTGGCTCTTCAATCTACCCTGAATATATAGCGCCAGCAATCCTGCGTCTCAAATTATGTCTCTTTAATTGCGCCCAGACACCAAGATGGCCACAAAATTAGCCTGTTCTACAATAGACAAGAATTTGAGGATGTTGTCCACTGATATTGTCACAATGTCAATTATACCTTGGACGACGCAATCCGAGACTATATTTTTAAACTCACGAACGGACAGCCAGGCTTTTTGATGTGATTCTTAGGTTTATCAACCAAGTAACCCTATCGCCATCTTAAGTACTGAAACCAGGCTTGCTGACTATCCGTTTAGTTCTACAACGACAACAACAACAACAACAACAACTTGCAGCAGTGCAATGCAAAAACTTACCCTTAAACATGTCAGAGATCTGTTAAAAATCATGTCGACTTATTTCGGTTCCTCAAACTCAGTGTTATTACTGATAGAAGCCTTCCATCAACGGCAATGTGAAAGAGCTCATTGATCCGGAGACAGTCAGCGTGTTTCTACGGGTGCTAAGAAATGGTGATACAATGTTCGACCCGGAAAGCAGAGTCCTGGTTCGCTGCTTCGAGCCTGAATTCGTACACACAGAATTGGAGCTCACGCTCCACGGGGTGAAATGTGTTTTGCCCTCACCATTGCATGCACGGTAAGATTGTATCCTTTGCAATCCCATTTCAACTGTTGGTCGCTAACAAAATGATGTGCGTAAAATATGCCTACGAACCATCCCCAACTACACAGTACCTATCATTGGAACTCCGGATGCTGCTAAGATTCTTAGAGGATGAGACTCCTCCTGGTGAGCCATAACATAACAGAAGCTTTTCAGGATGACTTTGTCGCTGTCCAGCTGTGCTGACCCAGGTATGGACATCGCTAATGAAAACTAATAAAGATCATCATTAGCTGAATTGCTCCGTATGGTAACGGAGACTGAAAAGAGGTTCATTGAAATTCATACCCATTCATTGTCTTGGCAGGGTTATGATCACCATAACTAGGTTGACGGTTGAGATCCTCTGAAGGCGGTGAGAAAATCAGGCAATATATATTCGATTTTGTATAGTTATTCCGTAGGCGCTGTTCCGGCTGTGCGATTGTTTATAAAGCTCATTTGTCTCGTCTATATACTCAAGTGTGCCGGCCGAATGTTCTTGTCTGCCAGTAGCGACGATTCCCGTCATGTCTGTTCGTCTCCTACACCCAGATGAGTATGAGCTTGGCACTCGGTCCTCTCTCGACTCTCAGGGGACGTTCGATCTCGACGAGGCCGATTTCGAATCGCAAACCCTTCCAAAATCCAAACTCCGTTCGCTTTCGCATAAGTGGCCATTCCTATCCCATTTGTTATCCTCTACGTACTCTGGATACCGCCGTCTGAGACCTTCGCGACCGTTCCTGTCCGCTTCGAAGCGCCCAGTCGGCTGCTATCGACGTCTTCTGTTCCGCAGATCGTGCTTCTATCTCCATGTTATCGCCGGTATAATACTCGCCCTCGTGATTCTTACTTCAATATTCCGGCCTTCTTACACCCGACCGCCGCCGCATTACAAATCCCTCCGAAACGCTATACAGCAATCGATCACACCGGGCAGGGGCAACCCTCACAACGAGAAGATCTATATCGCGGCGAGCTTATACGATCCGAGCGGGGAGCTTGTGCAGGGACAATGGGGTGCTGAGGTTCTGCAGTTGGTCGACCTACTAGGACCGGAGAATGTGTTTCTGAGCGTCTACGAAAATGACAGCGGGGCGGAAGGAGAGCGCGCGCTGCGGGAGTGGGAGGCACAGATTCCATGCGACAAGTCTATCGTGTTCGAGGAACACATGGACATGCAAAGTCTTCCAACGGTGACAATCCCTGGCGGATCGCACAGAGTTAAACGTATCGAATATTTGGCTGAGGTCCGGAACCGAGCTTTACGACCTTTGGACGACCATCCGGAGAAGCGGTATAATAAGTTACTTTATTTAAATGATGTGCTTTTCAACCCGGTTGATGCCCTACAGCTTCTGTTTTCGACTAATGCTGGCGAAAATGGGGTTGCCCATTACCGAGCTGCTTGTTCTGTGGATTTCATCAACCCGTTCAAGTTTTATGACACTTATGCTACTCGGGATCTACAGGGACATAGCATGGGACTTCCGTTCTTCCCATGGTTTTCGACGGCCGGAAATGGTGATAGTCGAAATGATGTTTTGGCGGGAAGTGACGCTGTGCGGGTACGCAGTTGCTGGGGAGGAATGGTCGCCTTTGATGCCAGATTTTTCCAGTATGGCGCAAAAGAGCCCGTTGGAGACCATGATTGGGAGAAGAGAAATTCGACCCAAAGGTTCCAACCTAAAGAATCTGAGAGCGGGATGTCGCCGGTCCGCTTCCGTGCCTCTCGTGATGTGTTCTGGGAAGCCTCGGAGTGCTGTCTCATCCACGCCGATCTACAAGACCCTCCATCGAATGTTGATGACCTCACGGACACTGGCATCTACATGAACCCGTACGTTCGAGTTGCCTATGACAGCCGCACTTTGTCTTGGCTTGGAACCACTCGTCGGTTCGAGAAACTCTATGCTTTTATCCATAACATTGGGAATCACCTTGTTGGTCTTCCTTGGTTCAACCCTCGCCGGGTAGAAATATTTGGCCAAACCGCTGAAGAAACCGTATGGGTTCCTGATCCCGTGGGCAATGGAGAAGGAACTTTCCAAACAGTTGAACGGATCGCCGGCAACGACGGATTCTGCGGACGTCGTGGACTGCAAGTCATTGTCGAGCATCGCAGTGAGGGCCAGAAAGGGTGGGAAAACATTCATGTTCCTCCATAATGAATTAGCGGTTTGTTGGGAATGATTTGGTTTGTATTGGAGTTTCGGGTATCTTTTTAATTTGATTCCTTTTTTTGTGAATATCTTGGATGTAAATACACGAATTACATGTCACCTAATCTTCATGAATAGAAGCGGCTCTTTGCCAATTTCCCTGCTCGCGTTCTTCTTTGGCCCTATGGCTCGCTATAGTAGATGTCCTGGAAGCATCTCGAGATACAGCAAATCCGTTTGTGGCTGAAAGCCAAACAATGCCACAATCTGTTTGCTATTGTTTGATCAAAGCCACAATCTACATTCTTTTACTTTCAAACATACGACATCACATTCACTTTGTTGCTATACTGTGACTATTTTAGGCTTAATACTCTACTTCCTTCCTTCTTTTTCTTTCTCTCTTCTTCAAATTCCTTCTTCTATTGTCTACCTATTCATCATCTTCCTACACAATTCTTACTCATTTCGAATTCTCAAGTACCCTACGATGACGGGTATGCAACCTATTCCCCCAGAGGTGTCCGAATGGCGCCTCAAAGTGGCCAATGTCGTTCATGATGTCTTTGCTTCTTTCTTTTCCTCAGATCGCTCCTCTCGAACATCTGAAAATGGGGAGTCTGGTGACGAAACTACGACTCGTGCCTCTCGGGGCCTCGAAACAAGCCGATGGGCACCCCAGAATGCGAGTACAAATGCCTCGAAGACAGGCGCCAGCAGGTCTAATACACGAGTGGCCAGTGGAAGAAGCCTTGAAGACAGTCGCTGGGCGCCAAAAGACGTGGTGCAGTGCAATAGCCCTGCTGCTCGAGGGCTGGAGGATAGTATGTGGGCGTCGAAGAGTCAAAAGGGCACAGAGGTAAAGATAGGTTTTGATTACATTTTTGTGGACTTGAAATTTCTGATCATGATGAACACTTTTCCATTAATTCATTGCACAAGTTCTGGCACTTTCTTTCACAGTGAAAGCTCACTGACAGTGTGAAAAACAGGGAAAGAGCCTTGCTCCCAGTGACAGTCCTGCACACTCTTCCTCTCTCCCCTTCACTTCTTTCACTTTTTTCCCATCTTCACTTTCATCCACCCAACCCCAGCCTCTTCCTTCCCACTCTCTTTCATCTCCATCTTCCTCATCTTCCCCTCAAGTCTACTCAAACTGTTCTCGAATCTCTTCTGATCCTATTTCTCGTACTTCGCCAAACAAATCCCCCATAATGTTTTGCCCCGCGGATGTGGACGACACTGCTGGGTTCATGGCAGTCGTTCGCGCTAGGAATCAAAGCATCCAGGCCACCACGTCTGCTGCCATCCACGACACGTCCAGCGACCAAGAAATATATCCTAAACCTTCTACTTTTTTCGTTGGCAATCCTACTTCTCCTGAGTCTGTCCTGTCATCTCCCAGCTCGCTCGCTGGTAACCACGGTGGTAGCCAGGGCGACGCGTCTCCAACCCCCAAGGAATTGTTTGGTAAGAAAAGAAATTTCTCTCCTGTTGACAGCCCTACTGCGTCTGAATTTGTGCCTTCGTCTTCCAGTTCGCTTGCTGGTAACTTTTCTGGTAGCCAGAACCCTTTTTCCCCTGTTGGTTCTAGAATCTCCAGCTTCGTTGGCAACCCTGCTGCGGAAGAGTTTGTGCTTTCTAAGCCCAGCTCCTTGGTCGATAATCCTGTCAAAGATACAGTCTCTGTGTCTTTTCCGAAGGTAGATATTGCTACTAGTAAGTCGGTCTTTTAGCGCCACGATGGAATGTCCCTGACGGAAACGTTTTGTAGCCGATCATGGCTCCCATGAGAACGGTGGGCTTGACAGTTTCGGTTCCAAGCCTCAGCTTACCGTTCCTAAAACTGCATCTTCAAAAGAACAAGAGATTGTCACCGGCGTGGATGATACTGCTGGATTTATGGCTGCTGTGCGCGCCTTGAACCAGTCACGTAATGTTTCTGCCATTAGCGGCACCACCGCTGTCGAACAGACCCCCAATTTGACGGACGTGGTGAGCGATAATGCGGAGCCGGAACAACCTACTAAACTTCCTGTCGCATCTCCCGCCAGGGATTTTTTTACGTCATCTCAACTCAAGGTCAAGAGGGAGTCCACTGAGGGATTCGCCGCTTTTGATACTGAGGATCCGGTCCGAAGTATCCAACCGTCTAGTGAGCCTCCTACTTTTGAGGATCCTCCTGGTATCTCGTTTGAGAAAGTCAATGTGGACGATACAGTGACCGTGGTGTCTCCTTCCATTGAGGAACCTCCTACTACGTCTTCATCGGAGAAGCCGGCCAATGTGGATGACACTGCGGCATTCATGGCTGCTGCCCGTCGCCTAAGACGTGCTCCTGCAGGTGATACCGCCGAACCCAAGGGTACTGCTCAAAACACGGTCGAACCGCAAAGTAGCTGGCTGAACAGCCTGTCTCCTTTGAAAGAAGACTTGGGATCTCTTGATATTTTCAATGCGCCTCGTCAACTTGTGGCTCCCGTTCAGAACCTGAAGCGCGCTGGAATCGGCCGACTCAGCATGTCTCCTGCTGAACACTTTGTTTCCGCGGCTTGTTCTCCAGCAGTGAAGATTAACGATGATTTGGGTGATGCTGCGAGTTTGCACACTGTCACCGTTCCAAAGCAAGAGCCTGTCATCAATGGATTTCCAACTGCTTCTAATGGCATAGATCATGCCGAATCCTTGTCTATGACTGATCATGTTAATGACTCCGAGCCTGAAGCGCCAAAGGAGAAGGTTGCAATTAGCGTGAATGACACGGCTGGTTTTCTTGCAGCTGTTCGTGCTTTGAAGGAGAGAAACCGGTCTCCTAGCAATTCCTACACTAATGCAGCTCCTCATGAGAGGAAGGCTTCAAGTAGGTCTATTTTGGACGTTTGATCTGGTCATCGCTAACAGATCTTAGATGAATACGGTTCTGCAACTCGTGCTCATCCGAGTATCACCGCTGTCGAAGACGAGGATCGCGAGAATCTGATTACTTTCAAGTCGTGGGGTACCCCGGCTCCGCGAGACAAGCCTCGTAAGACACTCCAACTTCAGTGCCTGGTTTGAATAATGACGCCGACATTCGCAGCTTCGCAAGTGAGACGCATCATCCTTACTGGATTGCCTTCTAGCTGGGCTACCCCCACCAAGGTGCTGTCTCTCATTCACGGCGGTGCTATCGAGAAGGTCAACATTGATTCGTCCGGAAATGCTTATGTCTACTTCTGCGACCATGAAGCCTGCAAAGCATTCTACGAAAAGTACCCGAACGGTATCGGTCTTGGCCAGAGCAATGTCTTCGTTGATATAGGCCAGGAGGTCGACGTTGTCAGCTCACAGTTGGCCTTGAGCCGCTCCATTGGCGCTACCCGTGTTGTCCGTGCCGTGGGTGTTGACCTGAAAGTCACGATGGACCAGCTTCACCAAATTGCCACCGGCAACAACCGTAAGATCGAGAAGATCACGGACAACTACGTTCCTGGCGAGGTGAGTGGCTAATAATTCTCCGGGATCCTCCTGTGCTAACGAATATCTAGGCTCGTGCTGTGAATTTCCGTTTCTGCAACATCGACGACGCGAATAAATTCCGTGCAATGCTTGTCCGTGATGTTGACTGGGAGCATTGCAATATTCAATATGGGAAGGATCCGTAAGTCTTGTCTTGGCTCTACTTTCTTTTTATTCTTTTTTCCTTTGCCTTGTCTCGGGGGTTGCTGACGTTTGCACAGTTGCGAGCTCGCTTCTGGATTTCATATGGATTGAATCCATCAATTGTCACCATACGGTATGACAGTAAATGTCTGGAACAGCGACATAGGGTAGTTATTGGTCA